GAGAAAAATGTCAACATGGTCTGGGGTTTAGAACAGAATCGTGAGAAATTATCAGGAAAGATATAGATCCGGGTTTTACAGGTACAATATAAGAACACAAATAAACATGAAAATTAAACGTTCTTCAAAAAGAGAATGAGTGAATGTCAATTCAATTAAACATTTAAATAATGGGACTATAGTACATACAACAGAAACACAACAATATTTTACCTTGATTCTCCCACACATTTGGAGCCACCCTCCATCAATTTATTACTCCCAGAAAACTGACCTAAAATTCCTAAGTTCAAGTAAAAATACTTTCAAAGTGAATGATGTCTTTTCTGAGCTCATGAGTTATAACAACATTTAACTAAAGGTACAAGAAATACTAATCACGTTCATATGAAAGCATGTGTAAAGCAGTATTTGGACTTCAATAGGACTATAACAGAAACACTTAAAAAGCACCACAAGGGTTGTAGAATGGCCTACTGGTATCTAATGCTGTTTTTTCATATTGAAACAAAGCTGTTCTTGTACTCTTACTGAACTCAAAGTGCCTTTCTTAGCTGACAAGTCAAGATGTCTTTCAACTTCTAAGGCTGCATTTTTAAAATTTTGTTAATCAGTACTACATTTTGATAAAAAATGTGTAACTAGAAAGTGAGATCTTTATCAAAAACTTTCATCAAAAACTGAAATAATTTAGCTAAATCAAAACTGACTTTCAATCAAGTGTAACAAAAAAAGAACAGTTTTGCTAAATGAGATTGTAAAGAATGTTGGTCTAACTTAAAAGGTATTTTGAAGTCCTTGGGTTTTGTAATTGAAGAAACTTACACCACTAGACTTTGTAGAAAACAAGCTCTATGTCTAGGAGGACTTTAAGATTATTTACACTTCAACTTTGACAGTATCACACATTTTAGTAGGTTGATTTAGGTCAACTTGGCTTTTATAAACCAGTTGTACTGATAAGAGGGGGGGGGGGGGTTGTTTGTAGGTCTTGAAGAATCAGTACCCTTTCTTATAATTTGAGTTTGCATCTTGCAAAATAGAGATGAATGAACTAGGTTTAACCTTTGGGGTAGGGATTAATCGATTAAGACCCTGTTCATCCCCCTCTTTTCTTTTTACTCAGAATACATCCAACAGGCCCTGATGATCATGAGAGAGACCAGTTTAGCAAATATGGAATGTGGTACTTACAAGCATCTATGTAAATCTGAATGGATGCTTTAGAATCATGGGATTCCTAGGAATCAACATGAAAGCATGTATGAGATTATTATGTCAAAACATAAACAATAACAACAACAAACAGAATATGAAACTTGAATCTGGGACGAAGCCATGTAATCCTAACATGGGATTTTAATTAACCAGTCATCATCATAACATAACATTGCTTCACATATATCTCAAGTTCCAAATTGTTATGTCTATGAATAATATTTGTAAATATACATTTATCTTGTATACCCTCCCTCAAACTTCTCCTTTATTTGCAATTGTGCATATCAATGGCTTAACTACTTTTTTCAGAATCCACATGAATGTAGGTGCATGCTAACTAACCGATATCATACATGCATATATCGTGCATATATGACTGCCTCTTAGGCTTAGACATAGTACACAGGCCCGTAGCCAGGGGGGGGTTCGCAGGGTTCGGGTGAACCCCCCCCCCGGCCAAAAATTCTTTCAAAATCATGCAGTTTTTCACTATTTTGAGCACTTCACAAGTGATTCTGGCCATAGTTGGGCCAAAATTGTCAAATGTGAACCCCCCCTGGAAATTTTTGAAAACTGAACCCCCCCTTGGGAAATCCTGGCTACGGGCCTGGTACATCTATATAGAACACTAAAACAAATGATCGTTGTAATCAAGCAAGTAATTAGCGCAGTTTTGTTTATAATGACCCCATTACCCTGTTTGATATTAAATAAACTAGGGAAGATAATTAATTACCCTGGGCAAGCAACTGATAGACAATATAATTACAATATAGAGGTTGTCTGATTGTATATTGTTCACAGTTATAGAATATGAGCTACTGTTGTATATAAATGTACCATATTGTATAATCAACTATCAAATAAACAAATATGTAAAGATAACAAATAATCAATTATGATAAGAGTCTTTTAAATGATTGTCATTTAAACTTCTAATGTTACATAAGGTCTCTACTATCCCCCCCCCCCAAAATGCTCAGTCCAAGTTTGTCACATACATGTATTACGGAAGCAAACAAGATAATAGGGGAAGAGAAAATTACAAAAATGAAATTGAGATATATTCTTTAAGCATTTTAGTAGTGGGTACTGCATTGAAAGTGGTAATGTCATAAATTTTGTCAAAAATATAATTCAGATTTAACAATGTGCCATATTTGGCATTCTGATACTCATAGCATCTTTCTGTTTCACCTGAAACATCTCAGGGCTGAGAAGATTTGAGATGTCATGGTTTATCATGATGCATATTTGGTATGATTTATCTGTTTACTTTTGATCAGGTGTTTATTAAAGACAATAATCAGGTGCCCTGTATAAAATGTGATGTTGGTGAAATCAATAGACATATGAATGTATACATCCACAAGGAAAACATAAATATTTCATTATAAATGCAGCATGGGTCAATAGAACCAATACTTAATATATAGTTTTGATACAGTATGCTATATACATGTGCATTATATTTACCATGGGTGTGAGAGCCTAGATGACTTACAATAGGTGTATTTCAAGTCCACTTTTTAGAAGCAAAACCAAACCATTCAAAGGGGGAACTTTTGTATTGTAGCCAATTTGTGCTTTATGGAATATTATCAACATGTGAATAACTTTTGGATATACTACTCCAAAACACATGGCTTCAGCAACAGTCGTAAAAACATGTTTCAATCAGTTTAAGACTGGGCAAAGACACGGTTTAAATATCTGGGTCAAAGACCATGTCCAATTATAGCATGTTTCAATCATTTATATATGCAAGTCAATTAGAAAAAGGCTATATTAGTCCACATTTATAACTCATGGTGAGATGAACATCAAGAAAACATATACATGCTGAGTAGATGGTCATTGTTCACACACCCAACAGAGCTAAAGTTACTCTAGAGTTTTATATGACAAATTGACCATGAAGGATACGACTGGATTCAACTTATGGAAGTCCACTTTGAAACACATACGTATTGCACTAAAAATGTGTCAATTTGCAAACACCTTTTTCTAGCCAACTAAACACCTCCCTGTGAAGTTGTGAACACTTCTCAATTTAACCCATGTAGGAAATCTATGGCGATTTTTATGTCAGAAAATGTCTTCAATACTCGACAAGATAAGAGAAACAAACAAAATATATCTTAATCGCTTTCTCTCTTATCCCTAAGCACATAATCCAGGAGATCTATGATAGCCTATTGAATATTTCCAATAACTAGATCTAATACACAAAACTGCTTCAATATGAACTATTTACGTCAATCATGTGTGGGCTTTACTGAGATATAGTACTTTTATTAACCATTACCCAGTATGATGTTGGAATATTGTTAAAGCAGCATAATTTCATGAAGATATTCCTGTCTCAGAGACTAATTAATATGACATCTCCACAGGATGTACTCAGAAAACAAGAAAAATATCACCTGTAACACACTGAAGCATGATGATTTCTTTCTTCATTTCTAACCCACTATAACAGAATCTAATAATTTTGAGAATCAAACAACCTTTAGCTATTATTGATCATTTTTGGACAATGTTATCTCATTTTTGGTGTTATCATGTTTCTGCTTGAAAAAAAGATGTGACAATTATTACACAATTGGCACAATAGAGAATTGTCACTATTAATTGAGTCAAAACAACTACAGTTTTGGACAATTGAAATTGAATTGTATATAACTGGAATGGTAAATAACATCCTTGTATCATCTCAAGATATGGTTCACTCCCTAAATAAAGATGGGTGAAGAATAAAATTGAATTGCCCAAATAGTACAAGCAAATGTTAAATCTGAAGGAACTGTATATGAGCCTAGGAGGGAGACTCAGACGAATGAGTATGCAGGGTGGGGCAAAACTTGTTTTTATTTTTTCAAAACTAATGTACATTAGATATATTGCACTCATTCTGGATAAACACCAAATTTTTATACCAGCTGAAATATCATGGTAACATTGCATGTTAACCATAAATAAGTACTATACATGTATAGTACATAGTTCATTTAAAACCAAGGGTTGATTTAACATTTAAGTTAGTTTACTTGAATCACTTGGGAGTATTAGGGTGGAGTTCCGTCATGATTCCTGATTTTGAAAAACAACTTTTGGAACAAGTCCCATTCATGACTTTTAAGTATGATTAAACTCACTTGGGATTTTAATCCACATACTGGTCTTGTCCCCCTTGTTTTATTTATGTAACTTCTACCAATACCATACTTAAATTTGTTTATTTTTCAGTAACTGCACCTACAGTAGAGTTTACCCTTCGGATAATAATAATGGGCTTTTCCTTTCCAATTTGAATATCAAAAGAGGCCACAAATAGGCTACACTAGCTTGGGGTCAACGTAGTTAGTGGGCGTGGGCTAAATATAACTGTTTGTTTTGATTTTTGAGCACTATTGATATGTTAAAATGTCACCAAATTCTGAAGAGATGTACAGATATTGCAAACAAGTTATATCAGTTTGAATTCAATTTTCTAATTTGATGTTATTTGGTATTTCCAGATAAAAAATATCAGACAGTTGAACTCCATATGGTGTCCATATTCAACATGTGTTTTGGCTTGGGTTCAATTTTCAAATATGAGAAAACACCCCTCTTTTCATACAGGTTTCCTGCTCAATAACGAAGCTATAGGTGAAAACAAGTACACATTATGAAAGATTGAACTTCAAAGTATACAACTTGTTCGTATGTTAGGATAAAATAAGTAACAGACGATATGTAAACACAGAATAAATTCCAAGAAAATCTGCACTCACCGCTTCTGTATGGAAGACATCATTGTCGAGAATTTCGTTAAAATCGCCCTCTCCGAGTTCATTGAGTCGTCTATCCCCGCTGTACAACTCCATAGTACAGCTTTATATTAGTCCAAGTTTTTAGTTGACTTCTGGTGGTGAAATTTTAAGAGAAATATGCCAAAATGTGGAAGTTTTTTCGAAAGTTGTTTGGGGAAATACCTTGCCTTTTCACACACACGGAAGTGAATGTATTCGTCCGCTCCGTTTTAATCAGTCCGGTTATATCTTTATTTTGCTAATGCTTCATCTTTGTTTCGTTGTGTCTTCGTTTCTCTTGGAATTTGTTTACGATTTTAGATTACGATTACTAGTTCCAGCCTGGAAGTTTTCGCTGCCCAAGTTTTGCTGTTTGAGTTGACTCAGACAGTCATGAACATGCGCAGTAATCGACGTCACTGGGAATATCGCTCTCGATTGCTACACGTCAGTTTTTACACTAAGCTCTAAGCCAATCAGATCTCACGCCGACTAATCAATATTCATAAAAGGCCACAACAAATAGAGTTTTGGTGATTGTAACCAATGAAGCTGCTTGTGTTGTTTCACTATAGCTATTGGCTAAAGCTATGTATCATAGACATGAGGATAAAGAATCATATGTGTTGAGTTTCAATAAGTTTATTGTACAGTCAATATTTCTTTCTCTACGTTTAATACAGAAAGGCCATGTACAATGTTGAAACTGGTAAAACTTTGTCAGTAAACTCCTTCAAAAGTATTTTTACCCTCTAATTGAAAGCCCATGAATAGGCTAGTATTTTTAAATGTTCATGTCTAATCTCTTATATTTTTGAATGGAACAGCCCTAGGTGGGTGGGCCTACTCTCTTGAGATAATGGACAGTACACAGGCCCGTAGCCAGGATTTGCCAAGGGGGGGTTCAGTTTTCAAAAATTTCCAGGGGGGGGATTCACATTTGACAATTTTGGCCCAAATATAGCTAAAATTACTTGAGAAGTGCTCAAAATGGTGAAAAACTGCATGATTTTGAAAGAATTTTTGGCCAGGGGGGGGGGTTCGCCCGAACCCTGCGAACCCCCCTGGCTACAGGCCTGGTACAAGTGGACCATACCGAACACAATGGGGAATATTTGAAAAAAATTGCTAGATCTGCAATTGTGCAATGACTTGAATATGGATGAGACCCATTTGGATTATGACAGGGATGATAATACTTAATAATCAATTACAGAATAATGGTTTTGATTGATAACCAAAGAAAGAAGTTGATTACACTTATGCTTGATTGAGCTTGTTACATTTGTATTGCAATTTGAACCTAAGATCAAAACTAAGTTTTCTTTTAATATGCTAATATAACACCAGTCCTAGACAGACACAAATAAACAATCAAATCCACATATAACTGTAATTAAAACAAGACAATAATTAGTAAAAAGGAAAAGACCGATGAAAATATGTGTACCGTAAATTAAACTGCTGCAGTCATTTAGCAAAGGAATTACTAAAATCATAAAGCACAAAAAAATTTACATCATAATTTTCTAAAATATTTATTTCATATTTAAATTTGTACAAATATATTAATAACATCCATAGAAAAATTTCATGTTAACTCTATAAATAACCTGTTTTTTATATCACAGATATTTTGGACGGAAAAGTAGAAATAAACAAGACATTTTGACTAATGCACAATTATAATGATATGTTCTGAAAAACAATCATACAATCTTGCTCAGTGTTCATACATATTTTGTAAATATTTATATTCATCATGACCAGTATCAAAATATAAAAATCAACAAAATCATATTTTGAAAATCAATAAATATAAAAATAAGACGAATTCTCATATAATACACCAGTAAAAGTATCAGAGTAGATGTGCAGTAAATTAAGGACGGAATTAATAGCTTATTGATGATTTTTTTCAAATATCATCTGTATTTGTTTTTTATTTGGATGGAATCAACAATGCCTGAGTTAGTATCACCTTTTAACCCCCCTCCCTTATACTTGTTTTAGTCAATACAATTGATGGCCTATGCTCAATATTTAATACAGGTCACCATTAAAATATATGATTTAGTTTTAAAAAACACTTAATGCTTAATGTATAATGGAATGCAGTTTCTACATCTGTTACCAGAATCAATAAATTGCATAGCAAATAGCTTTTCACAAAAAAAACTCAATGTTTGAAAAAATAATTAGGCTATCCAAAAATTGTTTCATATGCTGCATATTCATAGAAGCATGTATTGAATAAATGGAAAATCAATGCCCACGATGTGCTGAAGTTGCATTTTAATTGAAATATTATAAAAATTCTATGAAAAGATACAGACAGCTGGGAAAGACATAATACAGAAGCACTCATCAAATTCTGAAACTATTAAATGATGAAACAGATTTTAAAGTGATGCAATTAAAAATTAATTGTGATTCAGTTTGCTTTCTTTGGTCATTGCTTCTTTGTGATTGAATGTATATAAGCATCATGCTGCTTTTCAAGGATTTGGGGTCCAATTGCATTTTTAGGTCTAATTGTATAAATATACACATAATACTCAGTGTATAGTATGTACTGTTGAAAACACTGAGAGGGTATTTTCTGAAAAAGTTCAGTTTGATCCAATGTGTCCACATACAGTTATTTTTATTGTTACAGCCTATTTTAGATTGTCCAGTATTTGAGATTTCTAGTAGTCAAGGGCACAGAGTAAGGCCACGCCTCTCTTTATCCAATGATTTTGTTTCTTGTCCGTAGGGATCTCTACTGGTGACACAAAGTTTGTTGACAGACCCGTAGTTGACAATGTACCTGGAAATACACAACAAAATTCATAAATACTTTAACTTAGTCTTGTTTCAAACCTCTGATCAACTCATATTTATTTTCTTTTTTCCCATTAAAGCAAGGAAGAACTACAACATTTGAAGAAATGTTGATCACAGAAGAAAATTTGAGAATGTTGATTGGAGAAATAAGGAAAACAATTTTTCAAAGAAACCTAGTGTAACAAAACCATCATTCAAGACCAGGAAGCTTCTATCGTAGTTATGGAAAGAATTCAAATACGATTGGACCATGAGCCCGACCATGGGCTTTTTCTCTTGAAAGCCCATGATTGGACCAAGGATGAACAAAATTAATGATCTTTGTTTAACAGCCTCATACGCAATGACTTTTTACTAATGTATTGGTATCCAGGGCAAGAAAAAATAAAATATAATCAAAATTCCAGTTCACTGATAAAATCTAAATGGATTGAAATTAAATCTGTGCAAGGATTGATCCATTTGTCAATAATGTGTGATGTTAAAACATCTCCATTGAGGCGACATATGTTGTTAAGTTTAGCTTCTTTTCACTTTAGTATTGGACTAGGCATTAGATGAAATCGTGCAAATAAAGATGAGATGTTACAGCTGTATTCAACTGCTCATCTGATGCAATAAGGAAAAAGAAATTGTTTACTTTTTCAATTAAAAATCCTCAACAGTGAACCTTCACAAGTTAAAGGTACTGAACTGATGCAATAATGGTGAATCAAGAAAACAGGTGAAACTGAAACTAGTGATAGCTCAATTATACAATTATATAAATAGATATGCAGAAAAGGATTAACCAATTCAAATAATCTGGTGTTTTCTCCCTGTTGATTTGTGTGAATAGAGATAATGCTAAATAAAAATATTAATAAATGAAGTTCAGGATATTGGGATTATCCCAAGGTAAATAATATATATGCCTGAGGACCAAACGTCCTTCCAGTAATCTCAATATCCTGAATCGATTATAGGATGATCTGTTTATCGCTGTATTCCCCAGCTGACATTTTCTGAACATGTTCACATAATGCATTAAATTGAAACTGTTTCTTCACAAAATCGAGCAACATGTGTAACACATATTTTTCTTAAAGGACAAGTCTCGGTAAGGAGAACAGTCTTCTGGGCGAATAATTTTTTTATGAGAAATGTAAAACTATCACCAAAATTAAATTATGGATATGATGAACTTTGCTCTACAAATAAAACCGAGACTAGTCTTTTTCAATTGATCACATTGATGAATACCCAAAAAATCGCATCCCTTTGAGATTTGCTGGGTACACCCCTGATATGTGCACACAATATATGTACATGTATACATACTATACAATATATCAATATGGTAACGGTAACACATGCAGTACAATAGTCAATAATGTGAAGAAGTCCTATTTATTTGAATCAGGCACTTTAGGATTAATAAATCCATGCCTGAATATACAAACATTAATCTTATTATGAATGTAAAATAAACAACAACAGTGCTATAAAGTAAATATAAACAATTATGTAAATAATTGAAAGGATCATTTCAGCTTTCAATAAACATTTAAGTGAAACAATTATGTTTGCACTTAAAGTGTGTTTCAGTTATGAACAATTGCTCTTTGAGACTGAACAAAGAAGTCATAATTCAATATTGACAGACACAAGGACTCTAACATTGATGAAGTATTATCCCATACTCAGGTTGGATGCTTCAATGGTTCATACATGTAACATTAACAGAGCCCGGATTCCCACTGTAGGCACCCCTGTCTATATTCCAAAGACTCTATGTCCCAGAATTGCTAGAATTTCAACTGGTGTACATTTGAAACGGAGCCTAGAATTGACAGCTCCAGAGCTAATTAAAGTCAAAGTGTAATAATGACAGAAATGTCATTATCTAGTCTACACCAAGCAAAGAAAATCTCATTTCTCATGTTATACTTAATTCTATAGAAAAACCCCCAGCCAGAAATTCTTTAAAAATCACCATTCTGAGCTCTTTTCTGATACTTTTTAGCCAAATCTGTCAAAAAGCTCCCCCCTTCGCAAAAGCTCCCCCTTGCTAAAACCACTCCCCCTTGGTAAATGCTAAACAACAACCCCGTTTCTTACCTGCTCTTGTTAGTGTTTTGTAGACAGGGCATACATAGAAGCCTTCCTTGGGGGGTACCCTGTTAGGTGTAGGAACCAGCCACATGGGAGGGAAGTCAGTGTACAACTCCTTGGGACGAGATTCAGTCAGTTGGTGTTCCACAAAGTCCCATCTAAAAATATATATTTTAAAAGAGAATGAGATGTATGAAGGCATTGTTATAAAAAAGATGTATTTTATGATCTCAAACAATTACAATTATATTTGATAGTTGAATAGTTAACATCACTAAACTATGCAAAAATATCTAGAGGTAGATCTTGTAAGTATAATGTATAGATGTAAAAAGGTAATGAGAATGAGATGTATGAAAGCTTTGTTATAAAAAATGTTATCTAATGTAAAATAAAAAAATTATAAGAAACATAAAATGTGAATCAAATAGTATACTATATTGAATTCAGCAATAAACATGCCGTATATCCAAACAATGGTTTTTAATATGCCATTTTCATGTTAAGCCATAAATGTGTATGATGGTTTGGCCAATAAAGTTAGTGTAATGTTATATTAATATCACAAAGCTTTCAGTCAATGATCCTATTTGTAAGATGACTTTCAATAACTAAAAATATCAAGTAAATGTGCTATTTTCACCAATCCTGCCACCTATATTAGATGAGTTACACTATTTTCAGATTTATTGAGTCATTCCAATGATGTGAATCTGAATGATGTGTCTGAGGTTTTGCATAATGTCCTAACAGCTTGATTCAGGTTGGGCTATTACCATAAATATCAGGAAATGATGTTACGCATTTAAAAGTAAGAGATGCCACCTACTATATGTAATTATATTTATACCATGAACTATTTACATGAATAAATTGAATTCATGAATAACATCTACTGTAAATCTAGCAATATTTGATAAATTGAATTTGAATCAAATATTTGAAATAAAGCCATGAAAAATTGAATGACTGAAGAGGTGATGACGATTGTATATATCTCTTTTCGTATTCCTCTCTGCTTTATTTTTGAAAGCTGGCTTCATGCCATTGAGACCCCTATACTTCTCATCTTGTTATGAAGATTGAATATACAGTAGCACTGAATGAAGCTATGCGACTAGGACAGAAAGTTCCTTAAGTATGGGAATTCTCTTTTCTTATTCCATGCTTTATTTTTGAAAGCACAACCCATCAATTTTCTTTAGTCTTTCTTGATACGTGAGAGATTCCTATAGTTCTCATATTCACAAAGTAGATAGGAGATCCAGAGATATGATACGAGACTAATTTTCTTCCTCTTACCTTGCCCCCTCCATGAACAGACCATAGATGTAACAGCCATCATCTGGTCCTTCCTTTAACTCTGCGGCAGCTTCTCTCATAACCTGCAATCATAAAAGATGAAAAATGAACAATAGATTTCTTCTATTAGTTATTTATTCTATTCACAGTAAACTTCTGTATTTACAGGAATACACAGTTAAATTCATTTTGGGATTGATAAACAATTATTTTACTATTCTGGTTTCATTACATCATGATTTTAATATTTTTATATAGGATATAACAAACATACTAATTGTTGAAATCCTAAGAAAATTATGAATATAACGCTTACCTTGAATCCAAAGCTTATGGTGTCTATAGAGATCTTGTGTTTCCTTGCAAAGTTCTGCAATGTTCCAGTCAGGAAAGCTTGGGGGAAGAAGAAACCAGAGATCCAGAATACCTGAAATAATTCATTGAATTACCTAGTTAGATTTTCTCTGAATAATATATTCAAGATATAGCATTTGATTATAGTATTTGAGATGAACCATGTGTATTTTTTTATTTGGATTGTAATATACTTGTGATGCCAATAGTGAGATTTAATTGTATAATATTTAACAATAAATAAAAAGTGAATGAAACTAATATGGATTATGAATCATTTACGGGTGTTCGTTACTTACAGAAGGGATGCCATCATCTATCCACTTTTGTATGAAGGCCATCCTGGCCACCAGATCTGTCACCCAAGAGGCTAAGGGCTTCAGTGATGGGTAGGCCTAAAACATGATAGATTAGTTTAGGTTTTTATTAGGCAAAGAAATCCAACCTTACCAAGTTTATGAGGCACAGCATGAGGGGTATTGCTAGGGTTTAAAAATAGGCAAGGCAAAAATGGAGTCTATTTAATACAATCATTATAATGCCGTACTTCATTTTCGTAGTTTTCAATTGAAAAATGTTTTCATTAATCTTTTTCTGTAAAAGTTTGTTGAGATGCCTGGTTATCCCCATGACAATGATAAAAATGTTACATCACGCTGGTTACAATTACAGAGTGTATACATTAATTTTGCAGCCTTTTAATTTTGCAGACCCAAAACTATAAATGTTACCATGACAAATATCATACAATAAAATGATTTCCCAGAATAAATTTTCAATTATGACATCATAACTATATCACATTTATTTTATTTAACTGTGATGTCATAGCTATGAAATAAATTCAGTTGTGATGTCACAAAGCAAATAATGTAATGGTTGCTATAGGCCTCTTGTTTTATAGCAACAAGACATGTGATGTCATAGAACACAATAAAGATTGCCTGGTGATATAAATATCGTTTCTATGGTAAACACAAACAAAACCAATTGCAATACAAAACTGATAAAGATTCTTGAAAGTTGATCTGCAAAGACATAAATTACACTAATATTTGAAGATGGAAAAACAAACAACTAGAAGTCATAAGATAAGAAGTGCCGTAAGCAAGATTGCTATTTGGAAATCCAAAGGAACAAGACAGCTATGGAGGCGAAGCAATCGCATTGTTCCATTCAATGATGCTGAAGAAGAGGAGAAAGTGGAAAATGACAGAATGGTGATAGACCTGGATGCCATACATGTATACGAATGGCCAGAAATAGACTTTGCAACATTTGGCAAAAATGGCTTCTATACAAAAGCTGACTGCACAATGGAAACTATCCTGATGATGTCTCCACTATATGATCCAAATTTTTCAAACCCTCAACAGAAAACAGACAAGCGTTCTCTCCTTCAAAGAGCCCTGCATAGAATTGGAAAGAGAGTAAGTGTCAATGAGTAATTTGCAACTTAGAATATTCTTAAAAAGTCCACTTAATTATACTGTACTCTGTATCGAAATAAAGGACATAACTTAATGATGCAAAATTTTATTTCCAGACACGAGAAGCCAGATATATTGTTTCTTCTGTGGTGTCCAAGAGACCCAAGCAAAAAGAAAGCCCTCAGCAGGAGACAAAGATCGATGACTCTAGATTTACTTCATTTTAAACACAACAAACTATCATGTGATGTGCACTATCATGTGATGCTATGACCTAGTTTCCCAGGTGTGGAGGAGAATGAATCCTCCAGCAACAACATTGACTCTGGGCCACATGGAACTATGTAGAACTAAGGGCTTTTAGGAGATGATGACAGAGACCATTCATAAGATAGCCCCTTCCTTCATTAACTGTATTTTTCTAAATCTTTATTATGCTCACATGTATTGAATTTATGTTGTATGTTGTCTCATGTAAATAAATTGTAAATTTGTTCATAAACCTAATCTTTTTGTTATTCTATATGTTACACACTGATCAGACAAACTTAAATCAACTCACACATCATTTGAACTACTAAACAAGAAATAGAAAATTCGCAAGGCACCAACATCATGTCACCATCTTGTAGTGTAAAAATTGTGGACACAGACTCCAAAACTAAATCTCAGTTGCCAGTTACGTAAAAATAGTGGCCTTAGCAATAGAAAAACATTCTTTTGCCTGTATCTTCAGAAAACAGTATAACTGTTTCAAGTTACACCATTTTTACAACAGAACCTTTTTTGAACATATGCAAATGTGAGAAGACACCCACTCTAAAGATACCAATCATGATGGGTCTAACCAAATAAGATTTCATCTCCTGTGAAAATACACCTTCTACACAATCTCTATTTCACTATATTATAAAAATGAATTACAAGCCCTTACCTTGCCTGCCCACATAGAAGGCACTGAGTTGATGAAGAGACTGTTGGCCATGTCTTCCAGGGCTTGGGACATCACTACCAGACCCTTCAATGCCTTCAATAAGTCTTCTAAACTCTTCTTGATTACAACCAATAGACGATTGTACCTAAATATGACCGAATATAGGCAATAATTTCAAGCAATACCAGGAAAACATATTTATGCATAATCCATGTAACACATGTAACACAACATAATTTATAAATTCAATCCTGACATCCTATCATCACAGTTCACCATTTCTAATAAATGTCTGACATAAAGTTTAATTCCTGTGTATCAGATTAACCTTGGTACACACATATGTATACACACTAGATCATTCGTGGACTTAAATAGAGCGACTGGTATAAACAAATGATCAGAATTGTCATTTCCAACCTGGTGATCAATAGTAAAAAGAAAAGAGTATGGATAATCAAAGTAAGTTTCAACCTCAGAAAAAATGCTTTGAAAAGCATCATTTGATATCTCATGACAGAATAATTAAATGTAATATTAACATACCTAATGACCTCCTGTGTTAATACAGTGTTCATTGACTGTTCATACATGACAGGGTATTTCTTGATTACAGCTTCAAGGTCAACTGGTTGGGGCACCTCCTTCAGGACTTGTTTGGCAGTTTCTTCCATGATCTGTGAAGAAAATAGAATAGCATATATGAGGGATGTTGAGAATTGAAAACAGTGAAAAACTTTGAATAAGGAAAACATTAACTTAATGAGAGTGCATAGCATTCTATAAAATGTAGAAATGATCTGTGTATTATGCGCCATCTATTTAAACCATTAAGTTAATTTACAAGTAAATAACCTGAAATGCAAGAAAATCAATCAGTTACTCAATCAAGGGATAAGAGAAAAATGGCAAAAAACAAACAAAACACTCACCTCCTCTCTTGATTTTCCAGCACCTGATGCACTCTTTGGTTGTAGTTTCACTAGGCCACCGAGAAGAGCAAACGTCTCATTCTGAGCATATGTGATGTTGGCATTGTCATGGAGAGCGAAGATTTCTGGTGTATCGTTAATTGGGAGAGATTTGATATATGCCATATATGCCGCATGGTCATTCTCTGCATTAATCTGTCTGTATATGCCTGACTCTGAGTACACATGGTTCTCATCCACAACTACAGGGTGGTAGAAGTCTTCAAGAATGTTCATCATACAACGTCTGTCCCAATCATCAGTCACCCTCCCTCCATAGTTGATGTGACCAGCAGTGTACTTTAGCACCTGTTATTAAATTGTGTACATAATTTTGAAAATACATTTCTTTATAATTTACCAGTACCTTCATAGTGTCCTATCATTAATCAAAACTTGTGCAGAATTCAAAATAAAATCATGTAACTATATAACAAATAAAGATATATATTAAATCTTACCTTATATGGAGTGACGGAATATTCCTCCAGGAACATTTTCAATTGACTCATACAAATCTTCAAATCACCATCAGTGAAATCGTATGGGATATTAAAGCCGAGAGCGCCGAACTTGCGTCTTTCAATGACGACACCATGGAACAGGCACAAAGACAGCAGTAGATGGCGATACTCAATATTCTGAAATATGCATTTTAAAACATCAATGCCTGAATTGAACATACATGTAATGTAATGTCATGTTATGGTTTACACACCAATCATAAACATGTAAATATGATTTACTTTAAATGATTTTGTAGTTACTGTATATGATTACTTTTCAGGAATAAACAAATTAAACTAAAAATGGAGAGTATCTCTCTCCAATAGCACAAAACAAACTTACAAAAATCAGAGGTTATTAGGGAATCAACCCAATTATTAATTTCTATTATTTGTTTATCAATCAAAAACTTTGAAAATACACTGTGTATAATTAAACTTACTATATTTTGATTTGTGAAAATAAAAGGATTTCATTTTTTCTCTACAAAAGCATATGTACTTAGAGCAAGCAACATGAACGTCAAAGAAGAAAATCAGCTTTTAAATGTAGCAGGCATACAAAGAACAACAATCTAACTTTGAACATTCTTAATTTCTTATCTACATGCAAGATTTACTTTTTCTGTTTGTGGGTCCCCTTCATTCAACTACAGAGAAAATTTTAATTTAGGCAATAGAAAGATGGCAGGTCATGTACTAAATGTACAATTTATGATCTTGGGAGGAGGCCTTATGTTATTACTTAAAAGTAATTGACCCTCTAACTTTGATCATAAATAATCTCAAAGTGTTTAACATTCATAACATACGACACTTGCACCATTAAGAGACTTTGGTAGAAACATTCTTTTCAATAAGCTTTATAGACAAGCAAAGAAAGATCATCTAAATAACAGTAAAACCTGTTTAAATCGAACGCCTCTGGGACCAACCAAAAGTGTTAGGGTTAGAAGGTGTTCACATTTAAGGTCTCATAAACAAGTCAATGAGAGAGAAAATTTGGGACAGGGAAAAGTGTTCGAATTGAGAGGTGTTCAGATTAGAGAGGTGTTCAGATATACCGGTTTTACCGCTGGTGAGTCGGAGGATCAAGCAAACAATCAGGATGGGTTTAGGTTGTTCTGTGTTTTTCAAATATAGCTGCTTGTACTTTGAACTTTCATTAGTTCATAACAATCATTCTCAATTTTTATGTGAATACATTGTAGTGTATAAAACACCAAAAAGCTGATAAGTAGGGGCAACATAATACAGGAGTTCTACATATAGTACTACAGTATTACAGGCTAAATTCTACAAGTAAATCTTTAGGATAATAGGGATGTTAAGCAGGGGCGGACCTAAAAATCAACTAAAGAGGGGGGAGGTTGCAAAAGCTTGGGTCCATTTTTAAAATTTTGGGCCTCGAGTCCCATAATATGTGCCAAATTTCTAAAAGTCTCAAAATTTAAAAATAATGCCCTGTATAATACCATTTTTAACCTAAATTTTAATTAACCTAAATTGCCCAATTTATGTGGGGAGAAGCACCCCTAAATCTACCACTGTACAGCTACATGTTTTAAGAGACTTGTATACGAATATGCAATATAATGACACCCAGGGATTCCTGCCCCCTCTCAATCCCCCACTCAATGAATTGTTTTATCTGGGTCGTAATTATACAACTATTTTCCATACACCTTCATACTCAGTAGATCAGAGAAAAGCGGAAATCTCATCCCTACAGGTTCATAATTCTACATGTCCACATACAAAGTGTAGCTTAAGTTGAAGCTTAACCTCTCTAATATGTCTAAAAGTAAATATAACAAGCAACAAGGTCTACAAATCCATAGATTCAGAGAGTTTGTAGATTTCCATGCAATCTGAGGATTCTTACCGTCTTAGATTTCTGCAGTAGGTGAACATTCAATCACAAGTGTGAGGGTCAAACCAAAGTTAACACGTGATGTCAGAAACAAAACATGAAATGAAAACATAACAAAACATGTGAAAAACAAAACATGTGAAAACAATGAAATGTGTGGAATGTAAATGGTGTGAGACAAAATCCCAAGTACAATGTCAAATATTAGTAAACTGTCCCCTGAAGAAGAAAATATGGGTCAAACTTTGGTTCAACTGTCTCCCTAATGAGGAACATTGGTATTAGATATATCTGGCTAGTTTACTTGGTTTTGAAAATCATATTCTGTATTCTCTCGAATAGACACACATACTCCAATAAATGCACATTCTTCCTTTTCCAGGAAAGACCTTGGCATCGTGAAAAAAATCAACACACAGGCACAGTGCGTTTAATAGAGAGAATACAGTATGTGACCATGGTGTGAGTGACACTTCCGAAGCTCAATCTGTGTGTCTAGGGAGGAGCCTGTCTACCAAAGTAGAAGACTTGGCCTCACTTCCTCTTATGTTGTTGAAACTAACTGTAGAACTGTACTTGGGATTTTGAAAATAAAATAATCCTGTGAGTGATGCTTAACGTCGGTTAATAATCATGGGGTGATCTTATATTATGTTAGTAAATCATGTGAACATGTCTGCAAAATACATTTCTTTAAGGATGACAATGATGTAAGATGGGGAGATCTTGTTGGTTTGATTGGGCAGGGAGCCACAACGTAACTGTAATCTGTACTACAACAATTCTATGGGGGCCTATGGTTGAAAGAGTTCAAATCAGAGATGTTATTGATCAAAATAAATAATAACAAAAACATAAAATTATACGATTCACAAGGATGGGCCAATAGGACATACTATTATGTAATAACTTTAATTACTCATAGTTATGTATGCAAAAATATTAGTCTGTGAACACAAAAATATTATTCAAACCAAACTTGAGGTGTAAAGTGCAATCATTCTGTGAACATGTAAATATCGTGAATTTATCATCATTAGGAACTTTGTTAATCAATACAATCATTCAAATTGTGAAACATTTTTTATTGTTTAATAAAAATTCGTTCAAACTGTACCTTTTCTCCACAGGAGTTCAAGTATTCGTCACTGAGATTGGTGTATGATTTCATTAAGTTTGCTTTAATTCCTCTAGGGGGCTCCACTGTCATTTTGGAGCCATTTTGTAGGATAAAAACAGGGAACTTTGGGCTTGGCATACTGGTAAGCCAGAGTCGGAAGTCTCTGTGAACCTAAAAATAGAGAAAAATGCCACTTTTTAGGAGTTTAGAGAAATTGGTGATGTAAGTTAATCAAAAGTTTACCTTAAGAGACTAATATGTTTGAGCAGCCAAAGTGCAGATTCAACTTGACCATAATCATGATCAGAAGTTGTATCTTACACTCTTAAATAATAACAAAAATGCACTGAAAAGTTCATATAGAACTAGCTACCTTATCAGGGTCTATCTGTTCAATGAGCCTCTCTAGAGAAGGCATCCAGCTGGGGGCAAGATGACAATTCTGGAAAAACACCCATTTGCCCCTTTCCATGGCACTACGCATCATGGCCTCAGCCCTAGGGCCCTGTCCCTGTCCAAGGGAAATAGCACTCAACTTCTTCGCAAATCTCATCTCATCTGCAAATTTATAGAGATCGGCAGCAGGGTCCGTACCCATAGAGAGTACAAAGATCAGTGGGGTAGTGGGGGATGAGTCCTTATACACAAGTGAGAGATCTGAGGTCTGTGGCTCAATAAATCGCTGACCAAGATGAGTGGCGACATAATCTTGCATAGCATTTGTGAGCCTGTCGGAACGCAGACATCTGAGGATTAAGAGTCGTTGGAAATCATCTATATCTTTCTGCCAATCACCTGGTAGCTCCTCCCTGAAGACAAACAAAACAGAAATGAACAGGATAACTTGAAATAATCATAAATTATTTAAATATTAACGGATTGTGGGTAACTCATTGACATCATAAGGATGTTCATACCACTTGATTGTTTAAGCTATAGTTATTTGGGAACTATATGTAAATAAATAACAGCAAAGTGAAAATAATCAACACAGCAAAACAGGTGAATTTCTGCAAAAACTGGTAATAATTGAAACCCCAAATTTACAGTTCACAACCTTTTTAAAAATTAATGACTTTCAGAAATTTAGTGTTCTTACTTCTGTGGCTCAACACTATCAAAGATCCTCTTAAAACCTTTCAAATGGTTTGAGAAGTCATCAGCGAAGTTGCTGAATGTCTTGAGGGAGGGGAGGGTGAGGATCTCCCCCCAGGATCTATCAGACAGCCACTCTGAAGCAGGGTTAGGCATCTCCTTTGGTTTATTTGTTCCCCCTGATAATAGGAATCTCCACTCATCCTGAAATCATAAATACTTTGAATTTGAGGCCCAGGAATACGTTAAAAATGTTTAAAAAGTCCCCTAGTGTACTGAGTTGGTAATGCGTGGTGTATACATGTTTACTATATTACTATATTACTTACATTGAATAAGAATAAGACTGATTTTCTATTAATGACTGTATACCCGGGCCTCAGCTTTGAATGGTACTTTCATTAATAGCTTTAAAGAATAAGCAGTGTTCATTGAAGGTCAGGGGACTTTGATTTTTGAGGCTATCAAGCCATCAGCTATTTACAGGATCTGTCAAAGATTAGAGACTAAATTGCATATAAATATTATTAGTGGTAGACATACATTTGTATTTGCAAATTATAGACCTTTCAACTACACCATTGCATCACCACCTGTTTTTTGGGCCACAAGTATTTTTGGGCCACAAGTTTAATAGTGTGAAAAATGTGGAATGCCTCTTCGTAAAAACACTTTTCTAAGTCCAATTGGCCATGTACTGAATATGAAATGAACCTCTGTGCTTATGAAACCTCAAAAGTGGAACAATACTTTTGAGGTGCCAAATGTGTTCCACTTATGCAGGTTTTACAGTACATACTTAGAATCATGCGCACTTAACAGTTCCTGTTTGTACAAGGCAACGTGGCTTAAAGTTCAAGGTTCTCAACATCATTTTTTAAACAGGTGATAGCTGCATAGCTAGTTATTAAACTTTTACATTTGGTCACATTGACCCAGTATCCGCTATCTATTTCACAAAAAGGCCAAATCATCAGTGTATTTATTTATACATACATTCAAAGCAAAACAAACATTATAAAATACTAGAGTATAAAAGTTGAAAAACAGCAATGAAGGCACTTGTTATTGATCAGTCAAAAGGAACACTATCCTTAAATGAAGTGAAGAAACCTGAAATCACTGAGCAAAATGATGTCCTTGTTAAAGTGAGATATGTAGGGATATGTGGCACAGATGTAGGGATGCTCGACCATAAGAACAAATCTGGGACCATATGTACTCTTGGGCATGAGATCACAGGACTTGTTGAAGACTTTGGGGAAGCAGTCCATGATTTGAAAGTTGGAGACCCTGTATGTGTGAGTGCTGGTATGGTATGTGGATATTGCAGTTTTTGCACTGCTGACAAAGGAAATCTTTGTGATAATGAAGGTGTTTCCACATTGTTAGGTATCTCTATTGATGGTGGGATGACAGATTACATTGTGGTGAACCGTAAACGTGTCTTTCTACTTCCACCTCAACTCCCATTGAAGATTGCAGCTTTGAGCGATCCATTGGCAACTGTCTTCCATCCATTTAAACTGGCAGTCACAAGTCTTGATCCAGAAAAGTCAAATGCCTTATTAATTGGTTGTGGATGGGCTGGCATAGGAATGTCACTTCTTTTACATCGTAAGGGATTTAAAAAGATAACAGTGGTTCAACGATCAAAGCCCCGACGAGATGCTTTGTTGGGCTTTGATCTTGGAATCCGTGTAATACACCCAGATGCTTTGAGAGAGGAATTTAAAGCTAAAAATGGTCGAATTAAAGGATTTGACTTCATATTTGATACTGTCGGCAACCGGGAATCACTCAAGGAGTACTTTCCCTTGACACGAAAAGGTGGACAATTCTATGTATTTGGCATCAATACAGGGGACCCATCACTGTGTCTTGATGCAGTCGACCCAGTGGAGATCATATGGCATGAAATCAGTATTTCTGGAACAATAGCGTACACACCCAAAGAACTCACAAAAAGCATCAAAGAACTTGATGAAATGCACAAATCATTTGACTTATCGAAAATTGGTATTAATGTGTACTCAATTGAAAGATATGAGGAAGGTTTTGCGGCTTTGCAAAATAAAACAGTGGTTAAAGCCATGTTCGAATTTAATGCTGAGACAAATTAATAATCCATTTATCATAAAACAATAAATGGGAAAGAAAATGACAAAATGCAACCATTAAATTTAAAACAATCGTGAACTTATGGATATGACTGGTAGAAAGTGATCTGTCTGTACATATAGCACTCCATTTTAATACTTATTGCTACTTATAATAGATATGAAATTCAAGTGCAAAATATCTTGTCATTTCTGTCATAAAAAAGTAATATTGTGACTTGACAACAAGACAAGGACATTGCTAAAGGGTTAAGTGTTGTCTAAGTGTTCAAGGTTTACTAGAGGGTTGCAGTGCCCGAAGTACTAAAACTATATGATCATTCTAGGTTAGAGACATTGTCCTATAAACTAATAAATTAAGAGTTTATTGGTTGATATATATATTTTGTATTCATTGCAGTTTCATCAGAATTGTTACACTTTTATTATTGTATACTATTACTTGGACTTAATTTGTGTCCCTGATACATACATGTATGGTTATTGAATACCAAAATGTCTAATTCATTTCAGCCTACTGTTTTTAAAATAAAGATGTATATGAATAGATTTGATTTTATGCAAATGAGTATTTTTCTATTCAAACGACCACCATGGAATTATCTATTATAAACTGGATCTGGCTTGTCTAACATCTGTATAATTTTTATTGCACTTGGCAAGTGTGATAAAGTTAGGCGGGTGGGTGAAACAATTAATAAATCTTGTCATCAATTTGACACAGAAACTGTTTGTTCTAATTTGTATTAATTGTTGAAAAACAGATGAGTGCCAATATCTGATGAGATTTTGGCATGTTTGGTAATTTTAAATGTGGCAAATTTTGTTCTTTGAGTGTAAAAGTTGTCCATGTGTGTCTTGTTGTCCATGTGTGTCTTGTTTCATGTTATTACTAACAAATCCAACATTTGACCTACATCATAACTGCTACATAACTTCATTACTAGCAAGATAAACTGCCTTTTAATTTTGTGTATTCTTCAAATATTGTGTTCAACACCAATGAGGAGATAACAATGCATACAAGTATTCAGAAAATATGAATAATATTGCCAAGCAAGAATCTATAAAACCAGAAAAAAGTTAGGCAAAAGACTAATGTTCCACAAAAATAAGACCATTTCTTAAAATGATGTGGATTTTGATAAAGTTGAGGTCACTGTAAGTACTGTTTGAAGTATATGTGTTGGTACTTGAGAGACAATTTTGAACTTTGAATCTTGTCTAACTGATTTATCTATTCTTACATTGATCTTAGCTGACATATATTTTGTTTTTATTACAGAATTTATGATCTCTCAAACCGTTACGTGACAAAAATCATGTTCATGCTAGGGTTGTTCAAAAAGTCTTGAAATCATTTCTGAATAGACACATTTTTGAAAATTTGTTGAAATGGCAGGAATTTTGGTAAAGATGCCAAATTGAGGCCTCCTGCAAAAGAGCAATGCATTATCATACCTCACAATGGTTATCACCTATATAAATAAACAAATGCAACAATGTGTATGGTAAATGTACCAGTTGCCAATATTGCCAATGGCCATACGAAAATTGCCAATGACCACTCCTGAAAATGCTCTTGACTTCTTATGACTTTTCAAAATTCTAACAATGGCCAATAAAATTTCATGAATAGGAAATCCACAAAATCTAAAACTGAATTGGAGCACAAATTTCAAGATTTTTTGGACAACCCTCATAGTTAGTTGATAATTCTAAGTCAAATGCTGAAGTTATGCACATAGAGATATTCACAGATAGACAGGACTAAACAACTTAGTTGAGAGATCAGAGTTAGAAACATGAAAGCGCTTGTTATCGATCAGCCGAAAGGAACACTATCGTTAAAGGAACTGAAGAAGCCTGAAATAACACAGCCTAACCAGGTACTTGTTAAAGTGAGGTATGTTGGAATATGTGGAACAGATGTAGGAATGGTCAATCACAAGAATGAAAATGGACCAATATGTACTCTTGGACATGAGGTCTCAGGAATTGTTGAAGCCTTCGGTGAAGCAGTTGATGACCTGAAAGTTGGAGACCCTGTAATTGTGAGCAGTGGTATGGCATGTGGATCGTGTAGTTTTTGTAAGAGTGGCAGGGGAAATCTTTGTCCAAGTGAAGGAGTTGCCACAATGATTGGTATTTCAACTGATGGTGGAATGGCAGATTACATCGTGTCAAAGCGTCGACGTCTCTTCCTACTTCCGTCTCATCTCCCGCTGAATATTGGAGCTTTGAGTGAACCACTTGCAGCTGCATTTCATCCATTGGAGCTGGCAGCCAGAAGTCTTGATCCAGAAACATCTAATACACTAGTTATTGGCTGTGGATGGACCGGTATGGGAATGGCGCTTCTTTTACATCGTAGGGGATTTAAGAAGATAACAGTGGTTCAACGCTCAAAGCCACGACGAGATGCTTTGTTGGGCTTTGATCTAGGAATCCGTGTAATACACCCAGATGCATTGAAAGAGGAGTTTCAAACCAAAAATGGTCGACTTGAAGGATTTGACTTTATATTTGATACTGCTGGTACACGTGCGTCAATCACAGAGTATTTCCCTTTGGTACGGAAAGGTGGACAATTCAGCATATTTGGGATTAATACGAGAGATCCGTCATTGCGTCTTGAAGCTGTAGACCCAGTAGAGATCATATGGCATGAAATCAGTCTATCTGGCACAATAGCTTTCACACCAGAAGAAATCACTAAAACCATTGAAGCAGTCGATGAATTACACAAATCAATTGACTTATCAAAAATTGGCATCAAAGTTTATCCCATTGAAAAATATGAGGAAGGTTTTGGAAAAATGCAGAATAGAGAATTGGTTAAAGTTATGTTTGAATTTAACGCTTAGACAAAGGAAATAATTTGGAATACATTTGCTGTCTACAGTCTAAATCATTTTTTGTGAGTCAAACAAACCTAAAAATAAGCAACCAAATGACCACAGTGCAATATTATATAAAAGAATGCATTCATATTCTAGCTGTAAACTTTTGTTTATTTTGGATTGTTGTGGTTTGGATTACAAATGTGTGACCTTTTGTATTTTGAAGCTTCTCTGAAATGTAATTTTCAAAATGTTTATGGCTGAAACTTCCCAAAACTCAAGAGTCCACAGATTTACAGCACATAAAATGAGTTATCTGAAGACTGCAATTTGCAAAAGTTGTTTTTAAGTAATGATGCATTTTTCTTTATACCATTACACTGCAGTGATTATTCGATTCATAATGTTTTGGTTTGAATGACTCACAATAGATTGATTTGGAGTATAGAAGACATGGTGGCAACCATCGCACATATAACCAGCATAAACTCATTAATCCTAATTGACTGAGAGTGAAAGAAACTGATACTTATATCAAAACATTGTGTATAGTCTTTTCTGTCAATATAAATTAATATTATAAATCTAATTTGATGAGATCAGGACAAATGATAACCTGGGGGCCATTAACAGAAACTGCGTAAAGTTAAAAATTCTTCCATTGTTGTCTAACTGTGACATCATTATATCCATGGTAACAACAATTGATTTCTGTTAATGACCCCCAGAAATGATTCAAATGGCATCCTATTGCTTAAAATAATAATAACATTTAACGACATTTTTATAATGTATAAGCATAAGCTATATGAGATATATAAGTATAAGCTTTATGAGAACAGTGCTGAGATAAATATAGAACAGGGACCATATCATAATATCAAAGATTAACCCTATCTTTATTATTGAATGATTAAAGTCATATTATGATTTTAAGAGAAACTGTTTATATCCACTTGAGGATAATTCTATCTTTGGTTATCTATTGTCTATGAATAATAGTTATTACTAAAATAGCATGTAATAATGATATAATATATTTATAAAATGTTTTATTCTTGCTTGATTTTTATATTTATGGTGGTAGGGGGCAAAAAGTCAGTAAAAAAAGTGAGTGATACAATGATATGGATATGGCCCCTTTGTCCAAATAACTATACCTCAATGTTTGGTGTGCCTTGTACTTGTCACCATCAAAAATACATAAACCATCTCACTATTTGACTAGAGGAATTAATATGTTAGTGTATATGTTTAGTTTTTTAGAAAGCTGACTTTGTATTTTCCTCAAGCAAATTATGTACCAAAAACATATTTTTAGTAGTTTTTCTCAAATTCTGTTGACATGAAAACACACGCACAGATGCATGTAGGCAAGCCCATTAGCACAAGCAGACAGCAACATAGCACTTTTTCAAATTGTGGTAAAAATGTGAGAGGAAAATATTCTGAATACTTCATTTATTTGGTCTGGCCTTATTGGTATCAAAGTAAGTTCAAACTTTTGAACAAAGCAGCTGATGCCCATTAACAATTCAGTGGAATCTATGAGAAAAAATATATATGGGTCTATTTCTTTTTTAGTTTTTGTTCAACTTTGTCTCACAATTATTTTTCAAAATTTCTTTCTTTCGCACAAAATTCTCTGATATGTTAAAAAACATTTTCCTGGGTTTAGTTAGTTAGTTTAGTTAGTTTATTTTGAGATGAATTTCATCATCAATAACAAAATTGCAGCATCTGAAACTCTAATAATTTAGCCTGAAAAAGACACTGATTGGCAAGGTATGTTCTCAAACATTTAGCCATTTACCCCTCATGGCACATGCACTCAAAGAAAAAATCCGACAATTATAAGTACAACATTCCTTATCAAAAACACTAACACGTTCAAAGTTCTCATAATTTACATTGAAAAACACACTGATTGGGCAATTAATTTCTAATTGAACAATCCTCATAGATGAATGTGAACATTCACACTTTTGATGTAAAAATGTCCAAACCACTACTAAACGTCAAAATTTGATTTTCTATTACATCCTGAACAAACAGACATCTCATCAGAGCCTCGATGATTACAAGTAGAACTTTAATCACCAAGCAACTCGGTTGAGACTTCTCCATCGTTCAAATAATACTTGATATATAGGGGGATTTATGGCTTATTAATCTCTAAGTACGGATAGAGTACCAATCAACCCATTGATCATATCCATAGATTCAAGATCAAATATTTCCCAGGAGCAGAGGACAAGTTAAGATGGTTACTGAATTGTGAAAAGTTTCGTTTGATAGATGCATGTTGGAACTATAAATTGAAATAATGGAGTATCTTATAAATATTTGATGCAGTAGCTGATTTAAAAGTTGAAGTAAGCGATATTGCATCAAAAATTCGAAAAAACTCTAAAACGTAGAAATATCTCAAGTTAGGAATAATTGGTGGAGATTTAATCTGGATAACCTGGCAGCCTAGAAAACTAAACTGCTTTATAAAATTATGGTGAAAAGAACAATCATTGATGTTTGATGTTGGCCAACTATATGTGAACATAAATGAGTTCGCAATAAGAACAAAAGAACATCACAATTATGAACACTACAATCTGAATAAAGATCTCATTAAAACAACGCCATTAAGGAACTCTATGTTGGTATGAATTCAAATGACCAATTGATGAACCTCTCAAGTGAATTCTGCACTAACGTACTTGCTGTATTCAGCAATGGTCACAAGATGTCTACAAATTCCAATATGAGTTGTAGCTTGTTGGGCGAGTTGAACTTACCAAACAATACAGGACACACTCTGAACAGAAGTGTGAACTATGAACAGGTGCTGTGGTTTATAAGCTATGGGATTGTCGTAACATCGATCTGTCTGTTTGGAATTGTGTGCAACTGTTTGAATTTGATTGTTCTAGCGGGGAAGCATCTCCAAGAGTCGCCATATACGTATCTTACAGCTTTAGCCGTGGCTGATTTATTAACCCTCATTTTGTTTTTCTTTACTGGTCTTGCAAGAGGTGTCTTCCCAGATTCCCATGGGTGGATGATATTTCAAGCCCATGTATACTACCCATTGGCCTACATTAGCACTATGGTAGGAATCTTCATGACACTAGCATTAACAATTGAGCGACTGATATTTGTGCATTGTCCAATCAGATCAAGACAATTGTGTAACCAGACAGTAGCGAGAAAAGTAACAATATGCCTCACATCCTTTGCGATTGTGTTTCAATTTCCTCGATTCTTTGCTTATGAAGTTACTGAAAATGGGGTGTTCTCTTTTACGCATTTCGGAAAAAGTTTAGGATACGAAATCTACTCTTGGATTCATTTGGTTGTCTTTTCTGTTGGTAGCTGTGTTGCTATAGCGATATTAAACATTTTGTTGATCCATGGGGTGTACAAAATGGAAAAACGCCGCAAAAGTCTAGTATTCCAAAAGAGCAGCATGGTTCGGCAAATGAGCAACCAGAACCGTTTAACGCTAACCTTGATCAGCGTTGTTTTCTTGTTCCTGATTGGTCAGTTACCATCTTCCTTCCTGAGTCGCGGATTCATCACACTTGTGTCGGGAAACAAGGAAATTCTCCAATCGTACACATATCGTGTAGCCAGCATGGTATCCATGATATTGGTCACCCTGAACCACAGCCTTAACTTCGTTATCTACTGTGCCTTCAACAAGAAATTCTGGGCCGTGTTTAAACAGGTTTTCTCCCGAGCGAGACGTGGTAGTCGTGTTGGATCAACTACAGAATCCAGTACCAGTGATTCGAACCCTCGTTCCCCATATAAAATCAGGACATTTAACACAGAGGAGCTGTCTGTGTTACATAACAGTATAAGTACTGGTACACTACAGAGCTACGTAAGGGACTCCAATTTCACTAGAGTGAATTCAACACTCACAACAGTTGACTAAATGAGCATTTTGAAAAACGTTAGATTTAATTTCAGTAGAAATTGACTTTCTTCGAATGGCAATAATGTTATTCCACTGTTCTAATTTCACTGAAAATTGTTTAAAAGCAAATTATGAATAAACATTTCCACTTCAACAGTATGAATGTGTCATAATTCATGAGTAATTTCTTTAGAGGAAGGGTAAATTCAAGATGACCAAATAGTGGAGGGAATAGTATCATCCTCTGTTCAAATACTTTCATGAAGAAAGAACTTGTAAGACATTTTTGCCAAGAATATTACATAACTGTCATATTATCTTACAAAATATCATATTTTTTATATCATTTTATATTATATTGACTTAAAACACTCACCATGTTTATCTTGCCTTCATGTTGTTGAATCCTGATACAGACAAGCAAAGCAAACAACAGTTTGTTTTTCTCAAAGAGACTGCGACACACGTTGCTATAGAGACTGAATGTAAAGTAATCATTGATGTTCTTGATCCTAGCTGGGAGATTGTCTGCAATAAGAACAGGTTATTGAATAATAAGCAGTGGATATGCACAGACAGCGATATCTGCCCTCCCCAAATGGGTCCAAAATTAACTCTTTGGCTGGATTTAAAAGATTTTTGGAAAATACAGTTTGAAAATGATGAAAATCATTAAATAAAGGAGAGAACATAAAAATGAGAAATTATGCTGAAAAACTATATTTCTCTATCAGCTTACAGTATTCTTATTGCTGTTCTCTCCCTTTAAAAAGACTGATTAAATGTGATGAAAATACAATTAGCTTGACCATGTGTTATTATATGTTTGTTGTGTTGTGTTCTGTATTTTCAAATATATGTATATTTAACGAAACCATGTCTCTGAAGTTTTTGTAACAGACTATTCCAAACACTAAAACCATCTTTAATTAACATAGCAACAAAGTTCTCTGATATATGCCACTGATCTGAATTTGACATATAATTATGTTGAGTAGAACTTGTCTATCCAAACAGCTCTCTAATCTGAAGATCTCCCAATGTGAACACTTTTTCTTGGTCCTAATCCTTGAAATGTGAACACTGCTGATCCAAACAATTTTGGCTGGTCCAAGAGGTGTTCAGATTAGACAGGTTTTACTGTACAGATAAGTATCCGGGGGTCATTAACAGAAACTTCTTAAAGTTATGAATTCGTAAATCAATTGTTGTAACCATGGATATAATGATATCACAGTTAGATAACAATGGACTTCATGAATTCCTAACTTAGGAAATTTCTGTTAATGGCCCCCTGGACTGCTCCCTCTAACATACCTGCCCGCTCTGCATTAGCAATACCACCAAGGAATATATTGATGAACCACTCAAGGGAGTATTGGTACATAGGGTCAATGTTTGCAAGGTCAGCCACGCAGAAGAAGAGAATCTGTGTGTTCACAGCTACAGGGATGTACTGACTACGTGTCTCATCAATGTCTTTCTCTGTCTGCTCAGCTACTACCACCTTAGCCTACAATTCAATAAGTAAAACTGTATATTGGAACACCTTTCTTTTACAAGTCCCATTTTTTAACTACCATTGACTTTCATGTTAAAGACCTCGCACACCTGCCAATCGGAATACTTTTGTATGGTCCTAGTTATGTTCGGATTAGACAGGTTTTACTGTATTTCAGAACTAGACTAGAATCTTCGCCTACAACTCCTATTTTCAGAGAACAAGGTTATAAATTATGAATTAAAGATAACTGAATGAAAATAGTGACAGTTTTCATTTCAAAATCTCAAGATCAGAACAATTCATAAAATTTCAAAAAATTCTAATTACCTTAATTTCCTGGGACTTTATCTTGGAAGCTTCCAAAACATTTATGAGATCTATATCATCTACAGGGCTTCCCTCTGATGCACTCAGCCTTTCCAAAATCTTATCTTCAATCTCCTTTAACTCGCTCTTCATCTTTGCATTGCTGATAATCAGTTGGTTCTTGGCCTCTTCAAGATCTGGCCTCTCCTCAGCGACCACAATACCCAGGAGTTGGTCCTCCAGGCCACTGTAATGAACAAAACAAGTTATATTGCACTATTTTATTGAAAAATTCAAAATGGTTGCCGAGTATTTTACCCAGCATCCCCAAAATAAACCTTGCCACTAGTCTGCTCTTGCATTTGCAAAACTTTCAAGTTGAATGTAATTTTCTTTGAATTTGGATGACAATATTTATGCCTACCTTGGAGAAAGTGTAAAGTTGACTAGAGTGACTTTGGTGGACACCTCAGGTGTGTATACAGGGTTAGGTAGCTTAGTGGTGATGTAGAACTTAAAGTCCTCATGGTAGGGTATAACAGCATCTCCAAGCTTTATCACAAGACTACCAGACTGTTTGAATGTCTGCCTCAGTAGGATTGGCTCCAGAGCAGGATCAAGTTCCTCACCTTTGAACAGAGAAAAATATATTCAATGATGTTCCTCATTATGCCTAAACCTGAGTATGTTTGCTCCCTTGCTTCCCAGTGTGATTTATATCCTATGATACCTTGGAAATTTTCAAGTTTTATGTGATAAGACATTAAACTTTAATATAAAATGCTATTACTCAATTTAATAAAAAAAAAAGTTTATTCATTTCGCATATTAAAAAACAGAAGTGCAGGTGATGTCTGTCAGAAACAGAAACTCTTAACTCTATGTACTATTATTGAAATATAAATGTAACATGACAGAATTAAAGTATATCAACAATATGAACTCAGCTTCTTACCAACATTCTCCATAAGGCATGGTTTACCAAATCTCACAGCGTTCTCTAAACTACGTAAGAAATCTCTGTCTGACAGCTTTATCACATCTATTCCATTGTCTTTTTCCTGGAATATAGAGGACAAGGGGTTACATTATTTGAGTATTTCATAGTGCTGCTCATACATATAACAGTTATTGTTCTAACAATGTGAAAAACTACTAAACATTTCTAAGTATCCTAACAAAGAATCAATTTGCATCTGAAATATAGTTCAAAGGGACCTTTAATCTATTCAATTGCATAATTAATGATTTTTTGGGATTAAAATGGGGAACGAATCTATAATACACAGGCACCCCCATATTATTATATCTCAATAATCCTATTAATTATCACTCACCATATTTTTCACCCACTTATTAGCTTGACCCTGAGGATCAATAAACAATGGCCACCTGCGGGAATACTGAACAATGACACCATTCTCCACTGAGAGATTGTCCTTTGGAAGGCCAGAGATCTGCCAGGCTCTCACTTTGACTGGCTCACTGAGGGTGCTCACCAAGCTACAGCCCTCGTTGAAAGGTACATGGTTGGCTGCCAGGTTAGAGATCCATGACTCCATCATGTCTGTTCGGTATTCACCCTAGATGAAGAGATGTAACATAAATAGAGAATTGAATCTAGATACACAAATGCCTCATCCATGGTGAAGTTTGTATTATTGTTGTCATACCCTTAAAGATCCAAAGTACAGTAGTTACTAAATTGTTTCTCTCTTAGCTAAATAAAAATATTTACTTAATTTTCAAGTTGCTGGAGAAAAATCTATACAATTTGAATCAATAAATGAAAAAATTGAAGTATATCGAATTTGAATTTTTAATGTTCAATTGTCAAATTGAGGCATAAGATCTGAGAGAGGCAACCATCTTGGTTGCTCCAAGTAGGGAACATGCCTTTATGTTTACATATACTTTGTTACTTACAGTGAAAGGTCCCAGATAGGCTACACCACCAGCTGCCACTAAAGCATCTCCAATGATATTTTTCACCATGGCCTGAAGTCTTGCTACAGAGTCCTGCCATCTGCCCTTTTCATCAGCCAAACCTGGAAGGGAAGAGGTATCATATGAGTGTTCAACTGTGCATCCCAGATGTTTTTGTTTTTTTGAATAGCAAATAAAGTGATCATGGTGTTAAAAAAGTTATTCTCTTGTTAAAATTATATATTGGATCCATCCGGTCCATGGGGAAAATGTATCATCCAAAAGGATAAACCCAATATACCATCTCATTATAGGCATAGCCTCTATGTTATACTAACCTCCAATCAGTTTATCAGCTCTGATGAGACGTGCCTCACACTCTTCGCACTTGTTCTCAAGTTCATCCTTCTTACGCACACAGTCATCATACTTTGCCTGCAGGGTGGCAATTCCCTCTTCTACTTCATTCAATTTCTTCTTAGCTGCATCAAGGATCTTCTGAGTCTCTGCCAGGTCTGTCTGTGCCAGAGCAAGAGCAGCACGCTTTGGAGCTACACCCTTGGCCACGAAATGGTACTTGTGCATAGCCTGTGTCCACTGGCACAGAGATGTACACGCTTTGGATACCTATAACCAGATATATATAAGGGTTATGTACTGGGAGGTTTTGGATTTATAACAAGGGAGGTCTTGTTGTTCAATATTAGAATTATCCACAAGAATATCATGCTTTACTTTGAATAACCCATCTATTGTACAATCACACATATGAAATTTGGAGAGGGGATAGAATGGTGTGAGAGAGTATGATGTGTATATTAGGATTTTGGAGATATGTATTCGTTGACTGGTTGTCTCAGATGTCTTTTACTTGCTGTTTCTTGTAATGCTTCTATTCACTTTTGGCACTTATGCTTGCATACTTACACAAGTATACTATTCATACAGTTTCAACTGAATTGGAATCAGAGATCATTGCATTGCTATTAACCATAGGTTTTGGACCAATATAAAGATGGCAGCAATGGTAGAATCCAATAAATTGATAAGCCTGCCCTCTATATTTTAAAATAAAATTACTTCTATCACCCTTGAGCCTATGCTACTCACCTTGGATATAGCAGAAGGAGTGAATGCCTCATTGTCAATGTATGGCTGAATCTTTCCAATGATGGCATCAGAGATGGCATCTTTATCATACTTGAAGAGACTGTCCAAGAACTTAGCTGGGTCCTGCAGCATTCCTTTACCCACCTCCCAATAGTCATCAATTTTTTGGCCAGGCTGAAACATGATTGGTTAAAATAGTTTGTCTTATGCATTTACATTGGGACAATTAAGTGTTTTACCATTTGTAAAAAGATTAGCTTCTTCCAAAGTTCTTAAAATAGAAATATATTTCTGATTTAGTTTATACATGTATTGAATCAGAAAATCTAGTATAGAGCATTATTTTAGGATGAGATCTCTTAAAAGTATGGCATAATCAAAAAATTAATGTGAAATGGAAAATTATGGTTGATTACTATTATTGCAATTTTTGGTGGTTCTTTTTTTGGGTCGTTCTTTAATTGCTTACCTTATCACCTGCCACTTTCTTAGGCTTAATAGATTTCATAATACAGACAGCCTCAATGACCATCTTGACACCCTCTGGGGGACGTTGCATAGCACGCACTTCAATGACGTCATTCTTGTTCAGAGACTTCAGACTAGCAACAGCCGCATCCTGAAGAAATGCAAGTATTTTATAACAACTAGAAAAACCTGATATTTCATCAAAGGATTGGTATCGATATGGTGAACTGAATTCAACAATGTTTTTCTCTTAAACCAATTATTGAAAACATTCTGTAAAAAACATGGTCCTTTGTGTAATGTTGACTGGTTGGCAACAATTTAATGCAAAAATTATTTAGATATATTTTATATAACTGTTTTTGTTAATATTTTTTGTTTTTTTAGTGCAATTGATTTTTGTTCCTTTCTACCAATTCTTGAGAATGAAATAAAATGTCTTTCCGAACCTTGTTGGAACAAAATAGCACATACAACATTTTCTCAGACCTCTCAATATTATAGTTATACAAAAGAAATTTTGGTTGATTTAACAAAAAGTATGCAAAAACTTAAAGCAAAACCCCCCAAAATAGATAAAAATTAAGATAAACCTTTTTTTTCATTAACAAGATACATTTTTAAAATCAACCAAACCTTCCTTTGTTCAATTTCAATTTTGAGAGACCTAAACATGTTGTGTTTATGTTGTTTTGTTCCAATGAGGTTCGGATAGATTCATATTTCATTTCGAACATATGATACCAAGAACAAAAGAAGTGTTTGATGTGTTTTCTAAAACGGTATAAAAAAAAGTATTTATAGACATTTCAAATTATAATGTTACCATCCAAAAGATGACCATTAAATTGACGATGTCTAAAATTTTCAGGATGTTTTGATGACTGGTTTAAGAGAAATGTGTGTCCAAAAAGTTCACCATATCGATACCACTCCTTTAGAAAAAGCACAAAATAAGCATGAGTTCTTAGCTGATGGACATTATTCTCAGATGAGAATGTTTAGCAGATGGCAGAGGAGTAGATATGTGAACATGAACAAACAAATACAATTAATGAACAGATTGAGACAGAAATGTACAATGTACAGAAATGTACTCACAAGGGCAGGTAGGGCCTCAGCCAGATCTCTCTGTGCATCATCTGCAATTGCTTGTGTTTCCTTTGCTTTCTCTGCAGCACCTGCCTCTTCCTTTTGTACAGTGGACTTGGTCTCTTCAGCCACAATCTATGATTACAAATGAAGCAAACTTAATGCAAATGTAGTTCCTGTTTCTTTATATCTAATATATCTCTACATATATTCTCTATATGTTTATCTAACACATGAGATAGCAGATGTTGTGTTTAAGTCAGATGACACTAGCTACTAAGATGTACCAGTTCCCTAAGTTCTTGAGAACCATGCAACTTACAGTATCTTTGGATATTTTCTCCATGGTAACAACAGACTCCTGGACAGCTTCCTCCAATAGGGGGCGCATGGACTCCAGTTCTTCTTGCATCACTGCCACTTCATCTGCTGTGGTTAACAACTGCAATGAAACAATAAGGATGAAGATTTTAAAAGTAAACAAAAGACACTGAAAAGTATTTGTAACCCTCCATCAAAAATCCAATTGATTACTAATTGATTTTCTAAACTTAAAAGTCAATTACTTTTAGAAAAGCAACACATGCCAACAAAATGCGCATTTACCCTCTCCCTTCTAATGTAGTTTAATAATAACTTTGTCAGCATACATTGACATCACCTTTTAGAGACTACAACTAAACAAAGTGTATCTCCATAGTCCATACCTTATCAAGACCAGTCTTTGTTCTATTTCTTGCAGTTGTAATCTCAACTTTCTTGACAGAGACCAGCTTAGAGAATATCCCAAGTAATTCTAGGTAGCTTGTGGGAGTTACATAGTTCTGCCTGTTCAGCTCTGCCTTGAATTTGAGTGAGTTGTTGAACACTGACTGGTGGATGATGCCACACATGGAAACCTAGAAACAAACATAGAATATAGAAATCTTGTACATTCAATACCCTTTTCAAATACAGTAAAACCTGTGTATATTGAACTTTTTTTGCTGAGAAAAAACTGTTCACTACAGAAAGGGTAATTTATACTGAAGTCAGTAGAGTATGTGCTGAGGAAGGGTGTCCACTAAAGACAGGTGTTCACTACTAGAGAGAGGTGTTCACTAAAACAAGTTTCATTGGACTTTGATTTTGCACGTCTAAATGAGAGCTTTGCCTAAACAGTAGCTTCCGAGTCTTGGGGTAAATCTAATCAATGTAGTTCAAAAATTAGGGCTTTTGATAACTCATGATGAGTTTTTCACACAAGCCCATTTATTTAATTCTATGAGGACTCCAAAACTCATTAATTCGTCACCTCTACTTATTGCTAAAAATAATATTTCTAATGAAAAACACATTGAGTGACAATTACAATTATAGCACCTACCAGTCCATTGAGTGTGTCATCAGCTACATCTAAATCAGGGTTATCATTCAGTGATCTTAAAGCCACAGACCTCAGGGCTTCCTCTGGCCACTGACTGAACCAATCAATTGTACAGCAGTTCACAAGAGCGGGGAATTGACGCAGACGGGCACGGAATATCTCACCAATGGGACTAGAAATAACAATAATGAAATGTTGATCAAACAGATAGAGAGATACGTGAGATATATATCTACCCATGAAGAGTGCTTCATAGGTTCGTATATGCATGGATAAGTAGCTAGTACAACAAAAACCATAAAATGATTATTATCTAGATTTATAGAGTCAACATACAAAATCAAATCAATATCAAATGCATGCTTTTATCAAAAAATCAGAACACCATAACATTTTTATGGTATTATTCTTGAACAACCATCGAACAAATTATATAAAGGTTAAAGAAATATATACATGTATAAATAAAGACTCTACCTCATTGTGATAACAGTATGTAGATTACTGCGCACACGTTTGGTGTAGGCTGAAAACATGTTTGTCTTGGTGGGCTGCATGCCTCCATCTACAACCATAGGCTTCATAGCAGTGTAGATCTGATCTAATTCATCCACACCATAGATGTTAGGCACATCTCCTGCATTGAGAATGTTGTTCAAATCCTCCATGAATGACTCATTCTTGATCTGAAAGCAATTATTTGACAATTTTAAAGCTCATCTTTAAAATAGATTTTAAAGTCTTCATGAAATAGAGCAAAACACAAAGTGCAAATCAAAGTTACTGAAAAACATCATCAATGATTACAGTAGGAACTTTCTCTAAAGTTCCTTGCTCAGAATTTATACTTATTAATAACAGGTAATGTCCATATGTTGCTTCAGTCCAGTTGCTTTCTCTCATTATTTACCATGAAACAAAAATTTCCAAAATGCTTGCAATCTCACCTGTGTATCACTGAACAGGAAGACCATTGCTTTGTTCTCCATGCCAGCCTTCAACATCATGCTCTTCAAGTCATCTCTCCACTCAGTCACTCCATAGTTCTTTGATAGTTCTATTTGGAAACAGTCATACTCAGCCCTGTAAGAATGAATCAGTTTAATTATTTGAAATATGAACTCATTTAATACTTCAGTTAAGGAGCAATGGCTTTTTGCCCAAAAGATCTCATCAGGTAAAGACTATATATGTTTTTTTTTTCTCTTGATTCTATACAATGCGCCCATTTATTATCACTATTAATTAATACATTATTACTTTCATATGGGGTTTCCTCTTGATTCAATACAACACATAATTTATTATCATTAATGTGGGAGGGGACCAAGTTACTCCAGTTGTCTTGGTGACCAGTTGTCTTGGGGAGGAGTTATCTTGGGGACAAGTTGACCAGATGCCGTATTAGAGTACTTACATGTAAGCTGCCAGCCTAGTGAGACTCTGTCTTCCACTCCCACCCATGCCTAACAGGAGGGCATTGCCCAGGGGTTGTATTACCATATTAGAGTACTTACATGTAAGCAGCCAGCCTAGTGAGACTCTGTCTTCCACTGCCACCCATGCCCAACAGGAGGGCATTGCCCAGGGGTTGTCTCATAATACGACTGATGCGACAGAGATGTCTGATGGCATCCATAAACATGACAAGGTTCATGCGGGATGTGTTCACTTGGTTGTAGTCGTCCAGGTAATCCTCAATCTGCTTCGTCATCTACGGAATAATAAAGATATTTGGATATTGTTTGTTACAGCTTTCAAAATTCCCCAGCCTTAAACTCTTAGCAACAAATATTTTTAAATACATTTCTGTTAAAGGATGTGTCTGGGTATATGCCCTTTTGGTCCCTCAGTCAAATGTATGTGAAATATGGTTTTTATTACTGTCCTAGTTATATTTGATAAGTATATTAACTTTTTCACGAGTTTTGATGCATAATTAACCCCCTGCTGAGAGTCAGAATAAGTATCTTAACAAACAAAAAAATAGTCATTATCATAGAAAAAACACCACTGGCAACATGTATGACATACAAAGAAGAAATAACTTAAGACCCATGAGGAATTAAAAAGAAAATCATATTTTTGAAATATATTTAAGGATTAAAATTTTTTTCAAATTTTTGAATTTCCCGCCAGTTTAATTTGAAGGGGGAAAAACAAGATGGTTGCCATTTGATGTAAGAAATATCTGAAAAAAAGTTGCTTCACTTTTAGTTTTCACAATGAGCACAGTTTTCCGGTTTAGGTATTTTGACTGATTCTGACTCTTCAACACCAGGGTCATGTATAGAGATTATAAAATTGAAACCAAAATGTTGTGCTCAGCATGAATTTGACTGAAATATGTGTAACATCACCAACACAATTGAAGTCTCAAAACTGGATGCTCAGTAACTTTGAGTGACTATAATCCCTTGATTACCAAGATAAACACCAATTCACTTATCCAGAAATACCATTCAATGTCTATACAAAGAAAGTAACCAATGGTTTGGAAGATATGTTTCAATATTTTTGCATAAATAATTCATTTAATATTTGCCATTGATTTTTTTTTCAATTCTGACAAAGTGATATGCACTGTCTTTGATGCCAATATTCTTCATCAATTGTGATACAAATTGATGTTTTTGTAATCTCAGAAGAAGGATAAGATATTGAAGTTTAATAATATGTATGATTGAGTTGGTTTTTCAGACATTACAATTTTCAATATTTTCTAAGTCGATACCCAGACTCATTCCCAGACTCATCCTTTAGACCATCAGAATTTCTGTAGTTTTTCGCTAAAATATTGTCCAATCCTGATCGAAAACATACATGTGTCTTTTTACTTATAAAACTACAGAGCAGTTCAACTCAGTTTTTCTTTACAAAATTTGAGACCTACAGTGCATCAAGCAACCAAAACCAGTGAAACTTCTTATTTCAGTACCCTCTTGTTCTTATTAGTATTACCATAATTTAAGTGGATTTTAATCACTGAGCAAATAATAAGATGGATAAATTGTACCAGACACAGCAACACACCTTATCATGCTCCGTCAACTCCTCATATACCCTAGCATCAACATTAGTGTTCATAAAGTCGCCATATAACACAGGGGTTTGAACAACAACGTCACTGTAATCTACACTGAACTCAGATTTCATCTTTGATTTCATGAGATTCTCGAACCAGTCACGATCTTCGTCATTGACAAGACGATCTTGGAAGACTCTGCAGCTCTCGTGGTACCAGATGCGTAACATGCTTTCGATACTCTGCAAGGTGCAAGATTAATTAAACAATGATTAAATGGACAAATACAATACTCCATATAGAATATATGGATATTACAATTAATATAATTATTATTTTTATTTCAAATGAATATATTTTACCTATAACACATCATATACATTTTTAGTAATAATCATTTTTCTTTATAAAATCAATTTACTTATTGAACATGATATTTATTTCCATAATATATTACAAATTGAAAATCTAGATATAATGCAATATGTTAGACTCAGATTTTACTGTTAACAATATTAAGGACTTTGTCAAATAAACACTAGAATATAGTATATTCTCAACTGATCACAGTAATGTAAAGTCTAAAGATAATACAATGCATATTGATGAATATATAAAAAAAATGAAATGAACATACATCTATTTTATCAGCCTCTCCCATGAGGAGACCTTGGAAGACCTTTGAGAGATCTCTCAAGTTGAATGTGTAGTGAGATTTGGCTGGAGTTGGTAGCAGTTGGGTGGTGATGGTGTTGAAGACATCAATACATACTGCTGTTATTTTATCACAGTGCTCCTTGATGTTTGGTGAATTTGCTGGAAAATGAAAAGTAAAGTAGACTTGATGATTGGAATCATGTAAATATATTTATCCCATACTTGGAGACGTGTTACAGGTACATAAAGCCGGTTTGTAAAAACGTATATTTTCATCAGCGGGCAGATATAGTTTTACGTCCCGCTCTGAGCGGGCAGATATAGTATATCTGCCCGCTACGTCATAATCGCCGTTCCCATATTGGTTCATTCTTTGTAACGTTCGCATACTGTAAACGACAATGGAGACAATCGCAATCTGTTTGATGCTTTAAAGAAAGGGAAGGAGCAGTATGCCCTGTTAATAATCAGAGATTCGGACAGGATTGAAATAATTCCACGGCTGGTTGCAAAGTTTCTGAACTGTGGCCAATTTAACAATGTGAACCAAATGACCAAGATTGGTATGGAATAAACAGATCATCCTATAGTCGGTTCAGGATATTGGGAACCTCATATAATCTCTATATATGCTGTTTGTAGTTAACTCTTAAGTAGTATGGAAATGCCATTAAACTAGATAATTCCTCCATTTTGAAGAGAATATGGTATAAAAATAGTGTTGACCCCAAAAATCTTGACATGTTTTTTATCACCTAAGCATTCTTGATTACTCATATTACCGAATGTTATGTAATAAATTAAACACATGCTTTTTGTACTTTCATTATATTTAGCTATTAGTACTACAGTAGTGTAGGACTGTATGCATCTCATGCTCCTATTGATTTCAAAAGTTTAGAATTCTATTGGTTTTAAAACAAAATACGAAAATCCTCACCTATCCAAGATTTGAGAATGGTCCCAAAGATCCTCTGCTTTGAAGAGTCTTCAAGTTCCGTAAATGCAATATAGTTGAAATGTCTCATAAGTCTCTGGGTCACAGGATTCCTGCCTCCCCCTGGGGGACCCATGGCACAACAGAAGCTTACATCAACCAAGTTACGGAAGTCACCGATAGACTTACGATCATACCAACCCTAGAATATAAAAAAATAGTTTTGTAGAATCTAAATATTAATTCTTACTTATTCAAATATAAATTAATCATCTCTAAGATATCTCTATATGAATTAAATTAAATCAAAAAAATTATCTTATTTGATCAACTGTTTGACAATAACACAAAAATTGCATTAATATTCAAGACTCAAAACATTAGCAAATTGGGTATGCAAGCATGAAAATATATGGGCAAAGGTTTCCTTTAAAAACTCCCTTACCTTGAAATCCATCCACTGCCTTATAAGCTCTATAGGTGGTTGAGCTCCATATTCTTCCAGAGCTGGCATGTTCAAGTCATCCACAAAGAAGATGAAGTATTTCCCTAATGGTGGACCGAACACACCTTTACGTCTGAAATTTATAAAATAAAGAATAAAGCAAAAAAAATATAAATAAAACATGATTGTGAGATTTTTTACATAATTTCATTCATTTTGGATAAAGTTTTTGGATCGAGCATAGACAAATTACAAAAAACATGCATATCCAAACATCCTTCTAATATGAACACCTCTCAATATGAACACTTTTTTCAGTCCCATTTTTTTGAATTTGCCAAAGACTGCCATGTTAAAAAAACCTAAAAATTTTATCACCTGCCAATCCAAAACACTTTTGGCTGGAACCATTGGTGTTCTGATTAGACAGGTTCTACTGTCATTTGGTCAAGCTTAATCATCGCAATACAGAATAATATGAGCATACCTCTTGTCAAGTTTCCCGTCAATGAGATCCTGTGTCTGGTTGGCACTAGTTTTAGCAGAAAACACAATGAATTCTGGGACATATTCCTTTGGCATGTTTCGTGTGAGTTTGTCAGCTATGGCAAGAGTCTTGCCTGTCCCAGTTGGTCCAACACAGAGAACCTATAAAAGGTGAACAAAGATGGAAATGACATCAAGCTGACCAATAGGTGGCATTATGATTGATGTACATGTACGAGTATATAGAAGATATTATAAACAAATTGATCTATGTACCATCTATTCAACATGCACATATGGAAAATCTGTATATTCATCATTTATAAATTTCAAACAGTTGTCTGAAAGATTTGTGTATTTATTATATTTCACCAATTTCAAAGTACATTAAAGACTAATCACTAAGAGATGTAAAGGACGATTCTCGGTTTGGAGAACGAAGTTCATCAATCTAAATTAGCATTATCCCTGCTTCGGACAAATTTGTTTTTTTTACATAATATAGATTTAAATGTCTTCTTTTGAATAGTCATAATTTAATTTGGGTAATATTTCTAGATTTTTCCCCCAAAAATATTAGCGCAGTACACTGATGAACTTCTTTCCCCAAATCGAGACTTGTATTTTATTAAATCGGTCTAATTGAGCGTTATCCCTGCTTCAGACCAATTTGTTATTTTTACATGTTGTAAATTTAAATGTCCTCTTTTGAATATTCATAGTTTAATTTGGGTAATATTTCTATATTTTTCATGAAAAAAATTATTACCCCAGGAGACTGTTCTCCAAACTGAGAATCGTCCTTTCCATTCTTGGTGAAGAAATTCCTTTCGCTGTCATATGACAATAATTGTATAAATCGAAAGAAAAACTTAAATCTTACTGTTTTATTGTTGGTCAGCAGCATCTCAAGTACATATGCTGATCTGATAGTGTCCAGGGTTGGCACAATGATATCTGAGAACTTGGTCTCTGGTTGGATTACAAAATCAGGCATTCTGTCCATCCAGCCAAACCAATGAACCTAGAGACATAAAAATGTGTTGAACTAAATCAATGTTGATTTTACAGATACACATACAATTATTTTCTGCTATAAATCATGTTAGATTCCAAAAATACTGATACCATAAAACTTTAAACTTTTTAAAATTTTAAACTTTAATGGTGAATGTTAAAAATTTAAACATTTTAACAAAATCGAAGAAACATCTTATCTAATCCTCCATTTTTATTTCCAAATGTTGCCCTTTGTTTTTTTCCATTAAACACTCTACCACTCAGTAAACCCCATATCTTATCTACCCATCCTCCACTCAATAAACCCCATATATACCCCGCCCCTTTTCCACTCTATATACTCCTCCCATTCTTATCTACCCCTACCTCTTTTCCTGGTGTATAAAACTGAAAATATGCAAATACTTGAAATGTTAAATCTCTTAATTAATAGTATATTCTATTTAGATTTCTTCAGTTTTACTTCAGTAGCTTCAATATTTTTGTCATCATAATAGTACTACTTCAGTTAATGAAGGTAATTTTAGCTTTTAATCAACCCAAGCACAATCAAATGCTTCCAAAATGTTTGTATAATGTTCCCATACCTCTTTCTTCTTAGGAGCTCCATCTTCGTCATCGTCGCCATCATCTTTTCCCGCTAGTGAGATACCAGCATCATCTAGTTGGTAGTCATAGACCAGGCCTTCATCAGGGAATGGCAGCTTTACCTAAATGAGATTGATAATTATTCATTTTTGGACAATATAAAGGATGTTACATAAAAAACTAAATCTTGATCTAACACAGTAAATGGGGATTAGAATGAGAAATCACCAAATAAATTCTTATAGTGACAAATTATAGTTTACAATTACATGTAGGACTTGTAATTAAAGCAATATTTTAATGTATAAACATGTTATTGTGAGAATTTTTTTATCTTATTATCTGTAAAATGAAGCTTCTGATTGGTCAGTTTTTGTGATGTACCAATCTGCATTGCTACTGAGATTGTCCCCATTGATAATCTCCGTCACAATACAGAAAATATTGGTACGGAGGGGACATCCTCAGTACCAATACAGAAGATCACTCGATAAAAACATTAAAGAATGATTTGAAGTGGAATACAGGATTCATTCTGCTCGAGAAATTTTGTATTGGAACTTATAATATTGCTGTTTACTTGGGACAATATTCCAATCAAAAACGGTCTTAGTTTTACACAAAAAATGTTCTTAGTTGCCATTAAAGAAGACTTTTCACAGCATTTATTTACTTTATCATTTGCAAGCATCATGAAGTGCATAAGTACTGTATTTGTAATATTGTAATATTTCTCCGTTGCCACCATCTGTGTGTTTGTTTAATCATGGGTTGATAAGTTGGCAAGAATATGTGTCATTTGGCAAAGGAAAATGTCCAGTGATGTTAAAGCTTTGCATAGACTTGCTTTATATTAAGCCATTGTTACATGTAACTCCCCTTTTATCCAAAAGATGATCGTAGACCTGTTCCAATATTGTACAACAAATATATCAGGGTCCTGATGACGCAGGAACTTGAGCAAAAATTGCACCAACTGATAGTTAAATCATTCAAAAATGGACTTGCTGGACATTTTTTAGAAATTTTAACCAATCAGATTGCAGCATGTTGAACCACACCTACTTTTTGCCATTAACTTCAGATTAGATTGTTGAACTTGGAGAGAAGAAAGTATAGATCATGATTTGAGCATATATGTTATATGGGCATATATGGTATATGGGCATATATGGTATATGGACTTGCCCAAGAACATACATGTAACTGCATAATGACCATGACTTTTATGGCTAAATGTAAATCCATTGTGTCATCATGCTACTCTATGGGAGTCCTAACTAACTAACCAACCTATAACCATGTTATCTTTGAAGATCTGCATGCTCAGTGATTCAGACATGAATTTAACTCATTTTATTGATTCAATACCCCATTGAGGAAATTACCCACTTATTGTATTCCAATCGTGCTACAAAATACCAAAATACCGTCTTTGTTTACTAATTGATCATTAACTTAATGGTATATGCCTGATTCAATCAATCAATTCAGTCTTTCAATGGTACAAAACCAACCCAGCAAGACGGAAAAGAGTAGACTTGAGGACCCAAAGCCCAGGACCTTAAGAACTAACTATGTAGATGATGCTCTCTTTTAAGAAGTAAATCAAAGAAAAGGAAAGGTTATCCCTTCTACTATCTTAACATAAAATGAATAAGCAGACCATGTTGAGTGATAATATTAAAATTTTAATATCTGTTATCCAGAGAAAATATCACTACGAGTTATATATGATAAAAAAAATATTGATATACATATACATGTTTCAAATGAATATTAATACAAATGAAAAACAACATAACCTGGGAAATAGAATAAGGTTGATGATGGAAATTTTAATGTAATTGGCATGGTTACAATGTAATGTGTAATGTAATATTATTACATGTATGTAGATATTTAAATGTATTATATATACATGTAAATAATTCAAAATCATTTTTTTGATTAACTGAAATGACATTTTTCCACATACTCAGATAAAATGAAAAATATATATAACTATACCTACATATGAATATATATAGGGTATCCTATGATTTTGAGAGATATCATTTTTATCCACGAGTAGATATCAATATCTGGACAAGTGAGCGTAGTGAATGAGTGCAGATATTGATATCAACAAGTGGATTGAAATGATATCACGATATCCACAGATATCGCTTTTTGTCCACGCATTTGCAAAATATCATAAATATATATACATGTTATTCTACAGATTTGACCTCAACTATGGGATAAATATTATATATGTATGTGAAATATTTATTTACCTGTATTATTATATAATTAATCAGACACTAAGTGCTACTTAAAAATGTAATTTGCATGGCCTGGTGAGTTTTTGTAGTTTTAAGAGTGTGTTTATAATAATACATATGTATGTAGTTGACTGAACATTATACAAGCGTAACTAACTCAACGTAAAAACCTGGCCAATTTTCAAAAATACGAGTACCTCTGTTGCACCAAACGATGAATCAAATTCAAATTGCTATTTCAAGAGTGCAGAGGATATGGTACCATAAGTATACACATCCCCATTATATATATCTTTTATCGACTCTTTAGATGTCATATCATGACATATTAGTCACTTAGGTAGAGCAATTCTTCCCATTGTCGAGATTACATGTCAAACATTTCAAGGAAATATTATTTGTGTCATTTTATCCACAAATAATTGATGTCTAGTATATATCATATGTATATTGTTAGAAATTACTGATGATCAAAATAATGATAATGAAAATACAGGTAATAATACAGTATTGATAATAGAGGTACATGTATTAATTTGAAAAAACACTACTCTTTAATGATTATCATTAATATGTAAAACACCTGTTTTAGGTCTATCTAGACATATTCTTTACAATACCTATTAAGTATTATTCAATCTATTGATCCAGCATCAAACTGTATGGAAAACAATATAGTGCTATGAGGAGATTCTGAACTAAAAATATTTTCTTACAAATAATTCGAACAGTGAATACTTGAAAAATTAACCTGTCGAATCTGAACACATTTCAAAAAGATCACATACATGTCAATTGGCTATGATATTAAAACTTCTGAAAAACATCAATTCTAGTATCTGTGATAATGGGTCTTTCTAGCATGATTAAATTCATTTGAACTGGATTTTGAATGCCATAAAGCTAAGGGGTCAATTGGAATATTAATATTCATTGAGAATACATTTACAAATGTTTATTTCTTCACAATCCATAATCTTGCAGATGCAAAAACCTCCAAATCCAAACACCTCCTAATCCGAATGCTTTTATCTGGTCCCAATAGCATTCTGATTATAAAGATTTTACTGTAATCAGTTTCTACATGTTTAGTATCATGTCATGTCCACCTTTAACATTTGTCTATGGGCTTTGGAGCTTATGCTCCAAATGCCTTTGATATACAGCTGGAGTTTCCCTGAATCTTTCTGGTGAATTGCCACCAAATAGGTGGTTAAATAAAATGATGAACTGTTTTGAATATTGCAGTGTTATCATAGGCTACCATCAATAATGCACATTTCTTGAATTGAATTATATTGAACTTTCAAATACACTGAGTTTAATTCGGTCTCATTGATCTTTATTAAAAAAGTGTTATTCACCAATCTGTACATGTCTAACCAAAAGATAGCATTTCAAGACACAAGCTTTTTTTAATTTTCAATTTTTTTGCATATAATTGCATCAAACTTTGCATCAAAGTTGATAAACAATTTTCGAAACCATATTTTTAGATGTATTTTTACATGTAGATTTCAAATATGACATCACTTTGACTGAATTTTGAATATTTAATGACGTAAATCAAGATCATTTCTACTCGCATCTAGTCTATTCTGTTTGAATTTGATAATTACATGTACATGTAACTGAACATCTGCTAAGGTCTTCAAGTTGACCACCATACATTTCAAGTTTATTAATTTAATGCTTCATGGTTTCTTCATCCAGGTTACAATGTATTTATATGCAGATGTTTTCAGCCAATACTAACATTACTACTGTACCATGTCCAGTCTGTAATCACTATGCGGAACCTTTAACATATAAGATGAACAACAGTCACGCATACCGCAACCTAAATGGAATTCTTATGAAAACAATATACTTTACACGGAGGATAGTTTAAGTCGAATCAATATTAATATACAAATATAGACATATTGCTTTAAAAATAAGAACAGACAGATTTTTAAGGACATTAAACACTTTAAAAGGAAGCCTTGAACATGTATATTCTGGAATTTTAATAAACAAAAGCAGATTTCAACATGGTCAAAATTAGCCTCCCAAAATCGGAATGGTATACCATAAGAAGATATAATCCAACTGCTTATGATGCGCAGAACATCAACAAAATTCGGAATTATATTAAAATCATTCCTATAATCGCACTTGTGATTTTGACTGTTATATTTTTACTAAATGCAATGCTCTTCAACAAAGGTAAGATGGTTACTTAATACCAGGGACCTAAATTAATGTGATGTATATAATACAAAAATTGAATATATAACCATCTTAGAATGTTATAATATTGTTGCTTGGTCTTGGGTGTTTTTAATTTATTTTGGCATAAAGAGTATCGCACGATTACTTTAATTATTGTTATGCCTAGATTCAGGAACATTCACTTCAAGCAACTGACCAACCATTTTGATTTCATTTCAATTTTAACTGCATTGCTCCAATTTATATACCTTCAGTTGCAGATCAAGTGACAAATAGCAATGACATGCCAGTTGACAATAGAGAACTCTTGAAATCAGTTGTGAAAAGATCAGAGAGGAACAACATCACATCAGTTAAGAACAATACTACCCCCAAAGGGTACAATAACAACATCAATAATAGCAGTATGACCAAGCAAGATAGGATGGACGCTGATGATATTCCATACTTCCTGTTTACGATAGATCGATTATACCTGGTGGATTCAGGAAAGGAGAAAAATGTTGTAGAGAAGCCGATTGGCTTAAGGAATAAAGACATACAAGAGGTTATAAAGCAGGGTGTGAAAGAACTCAATAAATTACGACAACCACAAAACCTGAGTCTTTTTACAAATCAAAATTTTGTTGAAGGCATCTACAAAACCATACCAAGAGAAGGAAGTATTTATGAGCTACAGTTCAGTGACCAAAACAATGGGTTCAAAGCTAATGAATATCACAGAATAACATTAAAGAGACCGATGGCACCACTACAAGTGGTTGAAACTGCAAGGACACCGGCACCAAAACAGCTCATCCATCTTATCCTCCCTGTTAAAGGCAGGATACCCACATTAAAACAATTCCTGAAACATTTCATCAAGGTATGTGTAAGACAAGATCGAAACGTTTACCTGACTATTGTGAATTATGGCTTGGAGGATCTTTATCGCATCAACTCCATTGTTCAGTATGTTAAATACACATACAATTTCAAAATGATAGATTTTGTGACACTAAATGAACCATTTTCTCGAGGCAAAGCATTTCAGGTTGGCGCAACCAGGGGACCAAAAACTGATGCTTTGATGTTCTTATGTGACATCGATATGATGTTCTCTCAAAAATTTCTAGACAGATGTCGCCGTAATACAGAAAGAGGGAAAAGTGTGTATTTCCCAGTGGTGTTTAATCAATATAACCCAAACAGGGTGTATCCTTTGCTTGGTATGAAAGTACCTCGGGTTAAGAGGCGCTTAGTCATCAATAAAATGACAGGAGCTTGGAGAGACTATGGCTATGGAATGGTCTGCCAGTATAAATCAGATTTCGAAAAAGTAAAAGCCTTCGATGGAAAATATGACGAATGGGGAGGTGAAGATCTAGATCTTTACCAGAAATACAAGAAGAGTGCTTACAGAATTGTACGTGCGATAGATCCCAGCATTATCCATATATGGCATGAGAAGAAGTGCAATCCTAAATTGCCAAATGATCAATACAGAAATTGTGTGCGATCAGCTGCTAAAAATGAAGCTTCCCGAATTCAACTTGGACTATCAGTGCTTGGGAAGAAAATTGACAAAAAGAGAAGTTATAGGGAGAAACTGGTGTATTCATATAGTGATGGATTGATGATCCGAGACCAGTTAGGATAGGATAAATAAATAAAATGTTTATCCTCTAATCATTTATTTCTATTGACAGTGAATAAGGACAATTCTGGCCTTTATGGAAAGTAAATTCTGATTTTAGAATATTGTAAATGATTAGTCAAATTTTCATCCCCTGATAATTCTACAAAAACAAAAACACTGAAAATGGAGGATCCACTATATATAATATACATGTACATGTACCCTGGTATATGCAATGTACATTCACCACAACTTATGAAAAGAGTCTAAAGATATAATGGCCTCTATGATGGCATAACTCTAAATGTGCCTGTTTTAGCTTATTAATGCATAAAAGCTTTCATCGATAAACTAGTTAGATATATATATTAGATATATTTTACTATGTGTACAACCAATTTTAGGAAGTAGAATAGATCTTAATATTAATGATGACCACACATTCAACATGTTTACAACAGAATGTGGCAAATCCTTATATCACATTGACATGTTCATTAACTATACTTTTAATATTTAAAGTGAAAATGCAAATGCTTCATACGCATGTAAATAGTTTTTTATATAGAAAAACAAACGGAGAAAATAAATAAATATAAGCTGTAATTATATATCTGTATTGCCTCACAATAGAAACAATAGAAATAAAAAAAAATATTGTGACATGTGACTCTTGGTAGTTAAATTGGGAACTTGTTTTGCCAAGTTTCATGTTCTGCTATTGAAACCTCTTCAAATTGGAGCATCATTGTCACTACTTATTGATCACCCTGTAAAGAGGATATGTTATAAAGAATACATGTGTAAGCCAATTAATTGTACAATTAGTCATATGACAGAATACAATCAGTCGTATGACAGAATATAATCAGTCATATGACAGAATACAATCAGTCGTATGTCAGAATACAATCATTCATATGTCAGAAGACAATCCGTCATATGACAGAATACAATCAGTCATATGTCAGAATACAATCATTCATATGTCAGAATACAATCAGTCATATGACAGAATACAATCAGTCATATGTCAAAATACAATCAGTCATACTCACATTGTTTGTCTTCATTCTCTCACGGATGTGCTTATCAAACTTGACACGACTGTCATTGTCACAAGTGGCACCAACTGTCCACACGAGAGAGAAGATAAACCATGGCTCAATCAACTCAGCGATCCTTTCAAGACGCTCCTCAGGGATCGGCTGTTCACCCTACAAAGAACAACAAAGTTAGATAACAGTTTTTCAATCATTTAAGTTTTGATCTTAACCATGAAGATTGATTTATTGCGGAGCAGGAAAATTTCAATTGATATAATATGCAATTAAGCCGAACAAAAATAAGACATCCATGTGAATTAAGAGACATTAAAGAATAGAAACCAGCTATTTCAAAAATATGTTTTTCTCAAAAGTCCTTGATATGCCTATTTTCTAGATCTCAAGAATTCTGAATTTATTTGAACGACATGGCTTTTAATTGCCTTTATTTTGAAAATTCGATTAAAAGATTTTTTTTTTATGAATTTGTCTGCTTAAATATGCTATGTATATTTGTGTTGATTGTTAAATTACAAAATAGGTAGGGTAAAGAATGTGTCAAGAAAGTCGTTTGATCTCGTTCCAGAAGCAATATTTTGTTTTTTTGTCTTATTTTTGTATTCCTGTCACTGACAATTGTGACTGACAATTATTTTGAGCATGCACTAATATTTTCTATTGCTGATTTTGTTGTGCACTTTGTTCTAACAACAGTTTGTGTGACATAAGGATTTCAAGCCCTATGGTCGAATTTGAAATACAGGCTGGTGTGTATTTTATTTTCTTCTACAAAATGAGAAAATAATGGCCCAGTCCAAAAGTAACTCTGTCTGGATCTCTGGATCAGAACATAAGTTTGGAACCTTTGCAGCTCTTTTTACGAAACGGAGTTTTTAGACAATGACTTCGATTACTTAATACTGTCTTATACATTGAGTGCAAATATGACCATGCATATCATACAGTGACATTGATAATATCATAATTGCAAGTGATCTTTCACATGTACAGGTATTATATATACAGTAGTACTATGTTAAGTGATATCCCTGTATTTATATGAGTGAAAACATATTTGCATGCACTTGAGGATAACAAATTCAGGAAACCAACTTGCGCCGGGCAGATTAGCCAAAATGAGAATTTTGGGGGAGAGTACTTGTGTATCATACGATTAGACTCAGGGGACTTAACCTTTTCCAGATAAATGGCATAGCTTTGAATATTCAAAGAAAATAGTAAAATGTTGAGCTGGACAAAATTATTCTTGGCTAATTTTTTCGAATAACATGTTCATGTTGGGGAGTAGAAAGGTGAAGTCCCTTAACATGCAGTGTCCTCACTAACTCACTACTATATATATCTTTTATTGACTACACGACATATTTGCAGATTTTCCTCTTAAATCTACATACACAATATTTGCCTTCAAATGAATGCTTTAACAAAAATAATGGAAGATTATGTAATCATATAAAAAGCAATGTTATTTGGGAAAATATAGAGAATAAACTTAACAAAAATAATTTCTCATCAAGCCTCCATCACCAAGCTTATTTTATATATCCACCAGGCCTGTAGCCAGGGGGGTGAGGGGCTGGAGCAAACCCCCTTGCCAAAATGTTTCCCAAAATTAAGCAGTTTGTCACCACTCTGTGCACTTTTCGAGTAAATTTGCCCATTTTTGGATCAAAATTGTTAGATGTGAACCCCCCTAGATTTTTTGAAAAAGTGAACCCCCTTGGTAAAAGCTGGCTATGGGCCTGTCTGCTTCAAATGCCATGCATGAATTTGGAAGAGTGAGGGATTGGTTGAAGAATGGACCTTATACAAGATTATATAGTAGTATAAAAAATGATTTTTTATGGGGAGGAATTTTTTATGAGCTTGGAATAGAGATATATGATCAAATCAAAGCAAAATGTCGCAAAAATCTGGATTCTTACCGCATATCGTCTATGGGCCTACAGTGGTGTAATCCAGCAGAGATTTAGAATGACATCAGAATTCAAATACACGTCACACACATCAAATAAGGTGGTTTAGAGTGCATTGTCAAGTAATAAACAAAAACAAGCAAAAAATAAACATCAAGCAACATGACAACAAAATACAAGTAAGATTAGTAGAAATAACTTTGTGCAAACATATAATGTATGAAGTTATATTATTGGTCCATTATTTTTTATACAGGGTGACCAATGTGCCAATTTTAGCATCGAGATCACCCTGTATTATGGAAATAATATAACTTGCTTCATAAATGTTCATGAATGCATTTAAACAGGTGCTCAAATATACAAATAAAGTATTATTCAAAATCCAAAATATATGTTATGGTTGTTAGATTGTACATAAAACAATAATATTATAGAATAAGCTATTTATAAAAAAAAATATACGAGGGGTGATCAATAAGTAATGGACGCTTTTTTACACAGATGCTTTTTATAAACCAATCCCTTCGATTTTCTTACCAGTGATACATCATTCAATTATCTATCAACTCTGAAGATTTGAAGACAAAATATATAATACTGGTTGATATATCCTTATTTCTGTGAAGGAGGTACAGGTACCCCAGGACCGACATTTACGTCACATATTCTGAAGCTATTTTAGCTTGTTTAACATGCAATGCAGTTGAATGCAGGCTGTACAAAACAAACCATTATGCTCATGAATTACCCCATTTTGTTTTGCCATAGTTGATTTTGAATATTTTATCATCACTATGTGGTATTCATGCCACATTCATTCCACAGGGCCCTCTAAATAGGTTCCATAAAGTGCTACATGTACACAATTCCTCATCAAGATTGTGAGACAAGGCTGAATCCATTCTCTGACATGGTAGCAAGATGCAGTTGCATGGGTTGTTTTATCATGTTTATTTCATCAATGTCAATAAACCTGCATTTTTTCTCTCTAGAAATACGTAGTATAGAAATTAACAAGTCACATGTGAGCAGATCTGGACAATATGGTGCATTGGCCAAGGGCTCGATCTTGAGTTCCAGGGATATTGTTTTCTGAACATTTTGAGATCTGTGGGCAGGTGCATTGTCCATATGGAGTAGGGTGTTCCCTTCTCTCACCACCCCTTTCTTCCACAATGCTTTCTCAAATTGACCTGCAAACCCCTTCCATACAACACTCTGACATCACAATACTTTCTGTTTATGTGTTACCAGTCAGCAAAAAATTTCAAACAACACAACACTTGTTGCACATAAAAAGTTCCAATCTAACTGAAATTTACCAAACTGGCTAAAAACTGAATATGTGATGTAAATGTCGGTCCCGGGGTACCTGTACCTCCTTCACGGAAATAAGGATATATCAATAAGTATTATATATTTTGTCTTCAAATCTTCAGAATTGATAAATAATTGAATGATATATCACTGGTAGGAAAATCAAAGGGATTGGTCTATAAAAAGTATCTGTGTAAAAAAGCGTCCATTACTTATTGATCACCCCTCGTATATATATATACAAATGATTATTAGGTTAATACAAATAAAACTGAATACGCAGAAAAATATTTCTCAATAAAGTTGATACAACAATAAATGCTATTACTGAATCAATCTACTATAATACAGCCTAGAATTCTACACATCTACGAAAGCATATTTATGGAAAAGAAAAGTTGACCTTTTAAACTTTCAGCTAACATCAACCCATTGATTACTCATGCCTTTAACTGCAGAGAAACAATAGTCCCATTTTTACATTAACACAGGTGAATAAAGATTTTTTCTAACTACATTTGCATTATCTAGACTAAGGAAATCTAAGGCAACAGGAAAAAGTTCTAAACAAAATCACTTAAAATTTTGAGATTATTCCAACAGGTAAACTGGATTTTTTTCAGCTAGTTCTACTCTATGTTGTTTTAGGCAAAATCACTACCTTGGTATGAGGTATCCCAGAGCTTAAATTCCAGAGAATATAAGATTAACCCCTCCCACTTCCTTAATTATTGTATTCTAGGTATTTAATTCAATACTGATAAAATAACTCCCTCCTTCCTTCCCTAAGCCCAACTAAAAAGTAACATGCCCTACAGTATGTTAAAGATGCTGGGTTAGCCACCAATGTGGCACTATATAAAAGCACTATGCTTGTCTTAACATCAAAAATATTTATTAAAGGATGCTAGATCTACTGAACAACTATTAAGTGAAACTTACGCCATGTTGGCCTCGCTGTTTATAAAAGCAAATGTGAATATGAAACCATAAAATGTTCTCTAACTGCATAAAATAGTGGAAGTGATTTCAAGCAAATTAAATTAATATAATTATTTCTTTAAAGCCGTGTACAGTGGATATTGAAATATGTTTTTGAAAAAAGTGAATAAATCAATGTAATTCAGTTAATAAACATGTTATTAGTAATAACCAACTGAAATGTGATAGTATATCTCAACAAATTGTAAATTGAAAATCAAAAATTATGAAATTCAAATTAATAAACTGAAATTATATACAAGGGGTGATCCAAAAGTAAGGTGACTGTCTCTGCCAATTCAACATTTTTTAACCAATTCCCATGAAGTTTTTGGAGAATGTGCATCATTTATACACTATTTCAATATTGAATTCTGAATATAGCAACCACAGAATGCATATTTGACAAAAATATGGGAAGGGCACAGAAGATAAACTCCCATTAAGGTAATACAAAAATATTACACTCTTGTCCATTATTTATAGTTTACTAGAAAAATTTAAATGTTGAAATGGCAGATGCAGTCACCTAATTACTTTTGGATCAACCCTGGTATATATGGTATAGCAAAGTTGAAAGCTAAAATCCAAAACCATTATGTATACATGTACAGTAATGAGTAAATAATTTATCATTAAAAACTTAAGCAAAATGTTAAAATTTAAATAGAGTCAATGCAAATATACTTCAAATCGAAAATCTCAAAACATGTAATTCAAACAAAAGCATGTATATGAGGACCCAATATTTATCAAATGGATAATTGTGTCCTAGATATAAAAGCAAACTCAGATATGTGCAACGGATGTTTAAATGTAACAAGATGTCATGTTTTTTTTATATTATTCCTCTAAAAATCAGATTTTTCACACAATTTTACGTCACATTTTTGAGATGGAAATTTAATACTCCAAATTCAATTTACTACACATCTGTCTGTTCGATTCTGAGTACGACCTTTGTGTAATTCCTTGCTAACTTTAATAATACCACTTTTTAAAACATTACAAATGTGACATCTAAACACCCAACAAAAAAGTCAACTCTCAAAATGCAATAAAGTAAAACCTTTATATAGTGAACATCCCCACGACTTAGCATAATCTTTCGCTATACATAAGTGTTCACTGAAGAAAATATGTTTTGTGTTTTGTATATAGGAAACAGAGACTTACCTCTTTGGGGATGAAGGGTGAGAAGAAACAGTCCATAGTTTTGAGTAAACTGAAGGTCAAGTTGCTGTCCATACTAGGGACAATCTCTTTCATGTTGGATCGCAGGAAGGCAATGGAGTCCTAGAGGCAAGAAAAATATTATAAGTTAAGAAGTCATTTACAAAAACCATCCATCTATTTTCACTGGAAAACATTTTAGTGGCATGTCTTCTCAAATCATGCTTAAATTTTCTCACAATAAAAAAAAAAATAAAATAAAAATATGGAAATGATAAACAAAGGTGGCAGTCATTGGATAAAACCAGACTGCATGATTTTCTACACAGGAAGCATGTAATAAAAGACACTTAAAATTTCTTATTTCTTAAAGATCTTATTTCGTCAAACAGTTTTTGTATAATAAATAACACAGGCAAAAGAAATTTCCAATACACATAAGCTTCATCATCCATAAGTATTTTACCTCAAGATAGAAGTCAAAGAGCTCCTGTAGTTTTGGCCTATGGTCATATATGGCATCAGGCAACTTGCGAAGCCAACACTCCACAAATGGGTTTAGTCCCAGAATACTGGGCTCCAAGTAGACCATACCACACCTACTGACTGTAGCAGGGGAGGCAACAGCCAGATCCTGTACCTCAAACATCATAGTCATCTCCTACAAGGAAAAGATATTCAATATATCAACACTCAACACACGAGTGTGTACACAAAATAGACTATGCAAAACCTTTAGACTGTAACATGGGGTTCAATGCAACATATTTCTTTCCCAGCTACTTTACATGACATTGTCATTTTCATATTGACTCAACCCCTGATATCCCTCCTTGAAACACAACCTTTCAACTTTTGATTTGTTGAAGAATCTACTGTTGACTATCAAGAAATCTAAGCTATTGCATTTACAAAATGGAATTTTATCCCAGTGTCTCAAATACCTCCAATTATATCTTGTGATCGAAGCACATTAAAAAATTGCCACATGAAACACCTCTGTAAATTGAACACCTCAGTAAGTAAAACACTTCAAATTCAACTGGCCCAATGCCTTTATATTTATTAAACCCATATTAGTGGAACACCTCCCAGGGAAAACACTTTTTGAGGTGATAAGGTCAATCCACTTTCACAACATTTACTGTAGATGTTTAGACCAAATGTTTCACCTCAGAGAGTTTGATGATTTCTCCACTGCTGAGACACAGCTTCTTGTTATCATCTAGCACTGTATTCATATTCTCGATCCACACTGCATCTACAGGGCCATCAAACACGTACCAGCGTTTGTCTGAATTCCCCGCTGACACCCCACCACGGATCAGACTAGATAGAATACCATCAGTCCTAGAAAGAGAAATATCACAATATATGGTGTTATTCATGTACTGACTCAAATCTGGCCTCTTTTGGATGTATGAGTTGTCAGATATTCTGATGTTTGTCAGGAGTGAAGGCTTCATCAATTTCAAATCAAATTAAACTGCATGTATTTCAACTATTTATCTATAATGAACTTACCATTCATGGGTCATAGGGTCAAACTCTCCATACAACTGACCCATAGAAATAGCTTTAGGGTTAAGGACGTATGTGTGGACCATCTCAAAGGGGTCTCCCGATGGAGACATTGTCCCTTTTAGCTCTGACATTGTCTTCTGAAGCACTTCATAACACTGTAATAGAGAAAGAATATTAATGAATTTAACGCATTTAAAACAAAATGTCAACCATTGAGTTTCCAAAACTAAGAATCTAATAAGTTCAATAATATCTGAGACACTAACATTTGAAGCTTTAGAATACATGTATGGAGTATATTTCTTGAACAAGCCAAATAGTGATAAATAATGCACTTTAAAGAGCAAAATGGTCTCCATGTATTTAACCCAGTTAACCTAATCAGATCTTTGCACAAAGTCTGCTCTTGTATCTGTAGAATTTCAACAGGTAAGCAGTTTTCCTGGAACTTTGATGACAAGATTTGTGTGACGCCCACCTACTCAGACGCACACTCATCAGCACAAAACAACTACAATATAGCACTTTGATAGCATGTAATAGAAAAATTGGTTAAAATTCCTACCTTTGTTTTTCCCGATCCAGTAGGTCCAACCAACATAAGACCGTGTCTAACAACTGTAGTCTCATACAGCTGAATGCATTTGTGTAGAAAGCCATCGACATCTTGTATTCCAATCTTAGTACATATCTTCTTGAGAGCGTTATCAAGTTCCCCATAGTCAATAGGCTCTTCCCTAAAAGTATTAATATCATCTTTAACAGTCTTGCTATGAGGCCTCGTAACTTCCCCCTGTAGATCTAAGACCCAGCCCTAGAAATTGCTAGATGGGGGTCCACTGACTTGAAGTTGATACAATAAATATTATTTCAAGGAAATATGTTGAGATGAAAAACAAAAGAGATATATACATTAAATATTTAGCATGCATGGTACAATTTTCCAACTCTACAAGTAGCAAAAATCAAACAAACAATTAAACCAAAAAACAAGTAAATTATCTGCTTACTTATATATATATATACAGTACGTGAATTATAAACTACAGTATTAACTAAATACTTACTGACTGTATTACATTCAAACAAAGAATTTAAAACTTTAGAACTGTTTTTCTTATTATTAGAACTAATTAATTTTAAATTTAGATTATGTAATGTTTATAGACATGTACTAAATTGCGTTCTATTGGAATAGATCATGTAAAAAGTAATAAAGTAAAATATGAAATAAAATACCCAAATTCACAAGAAAATATATGACAATCTATGAAAATGGTGCTGTGTGATATGCCAATACCCTTTATTTGGGAGAAGTTTAGGGTAAGCATTTAATTGAACTTACTTGATAGAGGGGAAGAGATCAGACATGATACCATTGAAGAGTTTCAGATCATCCATGAGGAACTTGGGCACATTGACGTCCCTGAGGGCCCTTAATGTTATCAGCTCCTCATTCATATCTGGGTTTGTTCTCTTCAAGTTTCCAGCTGCGGAGATCACAGATTTCACTGCACGCATTCCAAAATCATAATGGTCCTGGAATATACATTTATAGTATCACAAGTCATGGTCTTGAAACATGTAAAGGGGCGCATATCACGCAGGACAAAGAGTGATGTCATAAATATCTATATAATTCAAGAAAGATTCAAAGGAATACAAATAGCTACATTTTTAAAGGACCAGTGGACCAGTCTCCTTCTATCTGTATTTGTTTTGGGACTTGTCAAAATGTAGAATCCTAAAAAGAGGAGGTTTCGGGAAGGCCAGGTAGGCACCACTAAATAAACATAGAATTTTTGATAGCCTAAGAAAAGCATTAAAATCTACATCTATGTTACCTGTGAGCTGAGCTGTTCTGAGGACAGCTTGAAGGTGGTGGTGATCTTCTTGGCGAGGATTCTTGCATCAGCGAAACCAAATGAAAACAGTGAGATCTCAGCAATCAGGGCATAATCTGGCACCATCATGGACATAGGGCGAAACAGGGCCTGAAATATAATAAAAAAGTTATTTGTTTGAGAAAGATACATTTGTATTTCATTCATTCTACTTCAAAAAAAGCATATACATACAGTAGACATTATTGCTGCAAATCAAAATTGATGACAAAATTGTTTTGAAACAAAAAATCAAAATTTAAAAAAAATTGTTGAGATAATATGCATATTGTGGTCCAATAGCTAATGCCACTCCCTCCCCTAGAGCCATATATGTATTGCAAAACATGTCTACACAACCAAATTACCTTCAAGTTATCAGGAAGTTCTGTCCTGCCAGCATAGCCAGGGTTCATTGTAATGAACACAGCACAGGAATTCTTCAGAGCCAACTCAACACCCTCAAACATGAACCTGTCAACCTGTAAAACAAAATAAATGTCATTTATATTATTTATTTAATCAAGTTGGGATATTACTTAAATATGAGAGTTTCTATCTTTGATATAACTCTATTTTTTGAAATACACATACTCTATCAATACATTTTTACTAATGGCCTAGTCACATAGCCCGGCCGATGAGGTTACGATGAGCCAGCGATGCAATTTTCACCGAACTCGGCCGAACACCGGCCGGACATCCGTGGCGTTTGTTGCTTAAAACCGCATCGGTGGTAGCTCGGTGAAATTTTAACTTCGGAGTTAAATTTCACCGGGCTCTCACCGAGCTCCCTCATCATGTCATCGCAGCCCCATCGTAACCACATCGGAAAACACGTCGGCCGAGTATCGGCCGGTGTCCCGTGCATCTGAGACAATCAGAGGACGAGGTTTTTTAACGGACAGCGGCCGAGCTCCGACCGAGCTCCGGCCGATGTGGGACAGAGCATCGGCCGGTCACTGTTCAAAGCCCGTTAACAACCCGGCCGGCGATCGCACGGTGTCCTGTTACCTGCTCGGGTACCGGCCGTATTCCTTCCGATGTCCGGCCGACCTCCGGCCGGTAGTTGCTGCCACATCGGCAGAAAAAAACGACCATTTTGAGACAGACTCCGTACGGTCACCGGCCGGTGTTCGGTCGGTCGCCTGAAGATGTCCGGACGGAGTCCGTTCACGTCACCGAGCTCTGCTTCCGATGAGGAGAGCTCGGTGGCACCAAAAAAATCCACCGAGCTCTATCGATGCTGGACATCTGCCGGGCTATGTGACTAGGCCATAAGTTAACTTATTATGCTTATAGTGCACAAATAATGTAAATTTTCCTTACCAAGTGCAACTTTAAACTGCTATTTTTATTGCTTTGATTAAGCACATGTAAGAGAAATAGTGCCCACGTAAAATGGAAGGTAAAGGAAAGGGTTTAGTGAAAGGAGATATGTAGAAAGTAACAGCAAACAGGAGAAAATAAAAGCAGAACAGCATAACATGGACATGTATTTCAGCTATATACAGCTACATGTGATTAGTGTCTTAGGTTTGTCCTCACATTGGATTTCTGGGCCTGGTGGACTACCATAATTTGCATAGCAACAACAGAGAGTACTTCTATGTCTATACGGTTGAACTCATCAAAGCAGGCCCAAGCACCAGAGCTAAATATGAAAGTCAACTATTTCTTATATGAATTCAAGAAATATCAAAAGAACCAATGTAGAGGCTAAAGGCCAATAACGCAGATGCGAGTAGGTAGTTACCAGATTCACCACCAGGTGGCTCGTTCGGGTCAGATAGCATGGCGGGTATAGTAGAAAGTTCCCTTTAACTTAAATTACATCTATTTGCGTGGTTCAATTTTCACAAAACCCTTATGTATCTAATAGTTATTCAAATTAAAATAAGTCCAGTAAAAGAAAATGCTATCTGTCCAATACAAGAAAAGATAATTCACTTTTTGTGGTTTTGTAACATGGGGAATCAACCCGAACAAGAAGTCACAATTTCAAAAAAAATTAAATTTTCAAAGTTGATAGACAATTTTCGAAACCATATTTCTGGATGTACTTTTACATGCAGATTTCAAATATGACATCACTTTGACTGAATTTTGAATATTTAATGACGTAAATCAATATTATTTCTACTCGCATCTAGTCTATTGGTTTCATTTTGGATCTTTTTAGTATGTACTATAGAAAAATAACATTGCAACTGGTCTGATAATCAATGTATAGTAGGTCTGAAAGCTTTAAAACACAACCTGTATAAAACATATTGAAAAAATATATAGAAGATATTGTATGATTAAGTAAGAGTGGTGGAAGACTAGAGTAAAATAAGAGTAGCTACAAGAGAAGTGACAGTTAACATAGAAAGCAATAAAGTAATAAAGAGGTTATTACTATAGTAAGTTAAATAAGGCAAAGAAAACATGCTTTGATTCTGGTCACCATGGTTCAAAAAGTTGGATCAGTCAGCCAAGGTTTTTAAAATAAGTGTTATTTTTACAAAAGAAATTAGAATCAATTGATCTGTGGATTAACCGTTCATACAAAATGAATATCCTGGAAATGGACCAAAGTCAATAGCTTTTTCTAAGCCACAGAGAGAAGTGTTATCAATTAATAAACAAGTTTTATAAAACTTCACTAACTACAGAGACAGAGTACTCAGGCAGAATGGTGCATAAGGATATCTACAAAAGGAAGTGAAAAGCGCACAATACACAGTGGGGCTGTTTGGGTAAGTGGCCAAGGCCATGCAGTGAGCGCACAGACAAAACGCTATTCCATCAATCCACCTCACCCTTTGCTGTTGAGCTTTCTGTATTGTTGTAATTTGCTGGGCTACCACAGACAGCACCTCAATATCAATACGATTGAACTCATCAAAACAGGCCCAGGCACCAGCGCTATAATAAGTCAATCATATTTCTTATAATAAATTATTAATTACTTAATATCTATACATGAGAAAACACATACAGTATATGAAAGGAACGGCTCATCTGAAAAACCATGAAGAAATTTAGCAATACCTATAACATTTAAAACATTAAATTAATCTATCAATAAAACGATATGCTATTCTGTTTTAAAATTTAATTAAGACGGTATATTGGAAACTTTTGATTGAGTTACATCAACCTGTGCAATGAATTACCTTGCCAATCCTTTGAAGAATTTGCCCATAGCCATGTAATCCAGCTGATCTGAGCAGTTAAAGACAACACACTGTATAGCCATTGCTTTGGCAAGATCCTTGGTTGTTTCAGTCTTCCCTGTTCCTGCAGGCCCAGCTGGGGCACCTCCAAATTTCAGATGCAGGGCACCAGTTAAAGTTAGGTAACACCTAAAGTACATGCAATTTAAACATGAATCAAGCTTTATCCTATGCCAAGTAGACTTTTAGGAATCGTATCCTGATTTTGAGGTTTCCATACTGACAATTGTATCGCAACATGACACATAAGTCTATGTACAAGATAATGAGTCTTGACTCAAGACAATGTGATTATCATTAGGATTTGTTTCTCAAATGGGTTTTAAAATCCTCATTAACCTATTTCAACTAAAAATAGCTGAAATGTTCAACTGTTGATTTCATTGAATTTTCTCCTGACACAAATAGAGAAATTGAATTAGAGTGGAAAGAGATTGTAAAAATAAACACCACTGAATTGAATGGTGGGGAAAACTTAAATGGTAAAAAATTAAGAAAAATTTGGTCCGTACCTATCAGTGAGTGGCGTAATGACGAGACGTCCTGTGTTTCCTAGGTATTCATAACCATACAAGAACTCAGCATTCACGGCTCTTATATACAAGTTCTGCTCTAGCCAATAGTACCTGAAATAAGTCAAACAATTTATCTAATAATCAATTGTTATATACACTTTTATTTCAGCTTAAATTTGGACAAAAACTAGTATTTGAGTTTTTTCATGAAAAATGGCAGCCATTCTGAATTAAGCAAGCATCTTGAAAATTCCTTCTTGAATAGCTATTGTACTAGTCCTGGGACAATGTCTAGTGAATTTAATATAAAGAAACACTTGAAAATTTGAATAGAATACCAGCAAGAAATCTATACCTCAATTGGCTGATCCATTCAAAGTCATTCACATTCTCGACTTCCTCTTCGATCATTTTGTTGACGACATCTCTGGCATGTACTTCTATTACAATGAGAGCAGACAATGTTTGACGTTCTTTCTTTGATAGATCAGTCTTCACCAGGTCTCTCAAGTCATCCAACTACAACAACAGTTTGTATAATTAGCAAAAAAAAGTACTTTAAATAAAAAAAAATAAAAAAGATACCTCTGTTAAGGAATGATGTAAAGGAGTCAATCCTGGGATTTGAACCACAATCACACCTATTACAAGTCAAATGTTTTAATCAAAAGATGTAACAATTATACATTAATTTGTACAAAAACTAGCTTTTTGTTATCTATTGGCAGACTCCTAAGAAATAGTAAATACACTAAAACCAGTGAAAAGGAACACCTCTTTGTAAGTTACACCTCTCTATATATTAATATGGGACAGTTTTCAGAATCAAGAATCAAGTTCCATAGACATGTTAATGAGGCCTCTCTATTAGGAACACCTGTCTAAAATGAACACATCTGGTCAGTGCTGAGGGTGTTCCATTTACACAGAAACTGCAAAGTGGAACACCTCACAAGTTAAACAGGTTTTTAAAATCATGTGGCCCATTGACTCCATATTAATGAACCTCTAGAAGTAGAACACCTCGCAAGTGGAATACTTTTTTGTGGTCCCAAGGGTGTTCCACTTACACAGGTTTCATTGTTTTTATATGTGGATCTATTCTGTTTTGTTGTGTGGACTGTGACGCTAACAGTTCAATTGAAATGATTGATAAAGTGATTTATGTCTAACATAACAATGTAGATTAATGCATAATTGCACACATGTTTCTGACTAAGTTATGTTTCAATTTGATTAATTCAAAAATAATGCAGAAATCTGTTTCATATGTTTCAGTAGAGACTGATAAATATCCTGCTGTTTTTTCCTTTCATCCATTATTAATAGTGTAAACAATTTTGTGATCATCAAGTTTTTAGATTAATCATATAAAAGTTTGTTTTGATTTTTCTGAATAATTTAATCTTATTAAGATGTTTCAAAAACATGTTTAAATTGCTCTTTGTAGGAAAAGGGAGACAAGACATTAACATGCAAAATGTCACCGCCTACCATTTGTTACAGACACCGAACACTAAATGCTGACCCCAAATGCAAAACGATTAACTCCATTCAGAGAAATTTGGAGACTATAGAAATTGAGATCTAAACAATTTGCTGTCATTTTAAAGGTTTACCTGTTGTAACAGATGAGGATAAAGTCCTTTCAAGTCTCCCTTCTCTAAAGCTTCAGAGACTTCAGTGGTCCAATAGGTCTGTGCTCCTGCTATCACAACCTGACCTGGCCAGCTTATAACCCACTTGGTCCTTGGAATCTGAAATATTGTTTATTATTAATTTCATGTAAGCTATAATAAGATATATCTAAACAATATACATTGTATGTACATAACACTTTTTCATGTTTTGAAGACTATGAACATGATGAACAAAAAGTACAATATTTATAACTTTTGAAATCCACAAAATTATTGTGTGTTTTTTAAAAATATTAAATCTCAATCTAATATGACTTAAAGGAGTTTGTGCTTATTTCCTTTTCAAATCCTCGTATTTGTATAATTGTACTTTTTCATCAATATCTAAATCTAAAAATCTTAAGAACATAAAATTATCTATAACAGATTCTGGGAGATTAAAAATATGTTGGTCAAACAAAATACCTCTGCATAATTAATGATTGCTTGTCCAATAATCGAGCGCACGCTCTCTCTCATGACACGTTCTATCTCCAACATCCAGTCCTCAACATTGCCAGTAGGGTACAGCTCTTCCTGTAATGGTACATCCTCCCCCTCAGCTGAGTACATGTATGTGATCTTCAGGTCATCTTCAAATTTCAACTGGAATAAAAATATTTATGTTGATTTTTCATAAATATTAAAAATTGCTACATTGGCATAAAAGCAACAATACATAGTATTTAAATGTATTTATAAAATACTTTTAGTTTGATTATTATTGTATTACATGTACATGTAGCCCAGAATCTCCTTCAAGCTTTACTTTAACAATTAACACCTAGGCATAGTTAATTTAAATATATGATCAAATCCTATGCTAAAGCCTGATATGAAAAAGTCATCCCACCTTGGTGGGAACTGAATCCACAACCTCCTGAATAGATCACAAAACCATCAACCACATACATGTAACACTTACCCGTGCAATATTCTCAAAACACTTCCTTAGATGGGGTTGCACAGCAGTAGGATCCTTAGTCTGCGACAAGATCTCCAATAGTTCGTCATCAGAGAGGAAGTAGAAACGTGGGAATGAGTTACGTTTAGTCTCCAGGTACTCACTGAGACCTTTCTGGACTTGTTCAAGAAGTTTGTTGCACTCCCGGAGATTGTCTAGAAGTCTGTTGTCTGGGCACAGAGAGATCACCTATAGGAATAACATAATGGTTTCATTAAGCAGCAGGAGATGTCACTCAAAATAAGTATAAAATTTCTTCTCCAGGCCATTTATCAGAGAGCCTACTTCCAAGTGACAGAAGCCCAGAATCATTATCGTAATTTCTCCTGCAAGCAGTAAGACGTATTGCATAAAATGATTTATTTGTAGAGTGCTAAATTTGGCATACATGTTCACTGTACAAACCTGGGGATTATCTCTGGCGTTTTTCATGATTTTCCTCCACAATCTCTCCATTGTTTGGTATCTCTTGCTCTCCACAGGCAACTGGCGATTGATGTCCTCAGAGCTAAAGATGGGCTCTAGATAGAGCCAGGACCTCTGACACACCAGCCATTCATCCAACACATCCTAAAATAAGAAAAAGTTTCAAGTTACATAATGAAGTCAGTTGACTTTTAAAGCTAATGTGAATTGGGAACCAGAATTCTTCAAAGGCAATAATGTACAAAAAGTTGAACTACTAACCTGAGTTGTCCGCAGTCTGTTCTCCCAATTACTGATCCTCTCCTCAAATGGCTTCTTGTATGGTGAGAAAGACATGCTTTGTGTCATCACAATGTGGTCGTCTAGCAACTGTGACGTGTCCTCTGAAGCCTTGATGATGTAAGTTCCCGTCTCCTTGTATGGGAATACCTCAAACACGACAGGCTCCCATTCTCCTTCCATCTTGTCTAAGGCCTGGAAAGTAGTCATATCATAGAAATTAAGTCATATCATGTAGTGTATATTACATGAGTCATGATATCATTGTTGTCATTGGACATTAATGTATTTTCTCCATTGTTGATATTTTCAAGTTTTTCAATGTCTATTCTTACTCCTTGTTATTTTAGGCCTGAATTTTCAGAACAGTTTATCTTCAATGAGGATGTTTTTCCCTTTTCCCAATTGGAATAATCAAGCTAATTACCTGTTCTATCGAATATTCTTTCCCAGCAACCTCCGCCACCTTGGCAATGCTCTGTATATGGTCTTGCAACTTCATATCCAGGCACTTGGAGAATGTAAGCTCTTTCTTGGGGCGCACAGCAAAGCCAAGATCTTTAGAAAGCTGAAATAAGAAATATAATGCCAAATAGCATAACAATACCAAGGAATGGATTGGACTTAAAACATGTTCAACAAATTACAAATAAATAGCTTTAACTTACACTTTTAAAATCTTTAAAGCCATTAAATATTTGTTATCGAACATTTTTGGAGAATGATTTTTCAATGCTTGTTCATCATTAGTAATATGGTATATAGAGTCTTCACATACCTGTTCCCAATGTCTGTTGCGCATGCCTGGGTTCCTGAGGCCCTGTATAAGAGGTATGTAAGGTTTGAACTCTTCAATCCATCCTTTGATCTCAACAGCCACCTGTTGTACCCCTAGAATAGCACATAACCTCTTGATCATTTCCTACACACATCTCTAGTCCCCTAGAATGCACTTTGTTGCCATGGCATTATTTGCAATGTGAGTTCTTATTCTAAAGTCACTACAACATGTCATTAATCAACAAACAAACAAAATGTAATGATGTATTAAGTTTGTGATTCTACAGAAATTTCTTGGTATGGCCCAGACCTCTGTCTGTCTGTTTGATTTTGCATTTTGTAGAACTATGATATTTGAGTGTTATATGTGGCTACAATTTATCACTAAGCTAAACAAAACTTAAATGTGTTTCATTGAATTTTACAATACCAAAATACTAAAAAACTTGAAAAACAAACAATTTTTTTCAATTAATATTTGCATCAATTTATGGGCTTTGAATTTGGGAATGATCTCATAATTTAAAATTTTCTACTCTTAAATTAGATAATGGCAAAACAACATTGAAAAAGAGAAAATATCATATAAAAATGTTCAAAATCTACAAATGCAACATGCAAAAATCGCAAGCAAAGCTGCATAAAAATTCATATCCCATAATATCTATACATTTAGCAATGCTGCCATTGCCTAACCAAAACAATTACAGTATATTAGAATTTAAAAAAAACATATTTCTAAAATCAGGTAATGGCTGGGGAGTTTTTAAACATGGATTTTCCCTAATAACTAAAGGTGATTGAAGATGTGGACAGAAATGTGGTGATTCATCTATCTATATCTATGCATGGGCTTTCAAGAAGCCCATAATCTATGTACATGTAAAACTGTCCCCATCTGGAGAAATCCAATACATATGTGAATTTCTAAATAATTGGAAGAAAAAGAAAAATCTTCAAAAATCAAAATAAATATCTATCCTGAATAAACTGTTTTTTTTATCGCGACTGCATGAATAAAACATTTTTATGTACTTCGGTAAAGCCAAAATAGTACTATGATGATAAAAATGATATGAAAATTCTAAATTGAGACTCACTGGAATTAGAACATCTTACAGATTACAATATAAATAAACTTCTTCATGTATTTTTTACGATTTCGAAAGCCTTACACCTGAACTATTATATCCCTATCTAAATTTAAACAATATAAAAAAGATCAATTCTGAATTACTGCTCTAATGTATTGCGCATTTGTTAAAGCTTGCACGGATATTAATGGAATCATATACAGCTCTTATACAACACAGTAAAACGTCCCAGGCTGAACAGGTATTTAGTAGACTTGTCTTGAAGTCTCCCCCCCCCAATTATCTATTACCCAAAGGGCAAGTTTTGTTTGTTCCAAATCATTTGTTAAGCACAGAAAACCTGTCAGATGGAACCCCTCTCTGAAGGTACACCCCTCTATATGGGACATTTTTGAAAGCACCAAGTTCCATTAACTTTCATGTTAATTGTTAATGAACACTCTCTATAAGGAACACCTGTCTACACAAGGAACAATACAGGCCAGCACAGAGTGTTCCATATACAAAGGTATAGCTGTAATAGCCAACCTGATGTGTGTAGGCATTAATCAATTCAATTGAAAAATACAGCCATGAGAAAATGAGGATCTCTCCAAATCGAGGCACCTCTTGCACACTGAGGCAATTCAGACTGGACTGCTTTAAATCAACTGTCAAGTGTCAGACTTATCCCAAACTTGTTCATATGGGAGGTTTTACTGTATAGTTAGCTGCCTTCACAGATTGTTACAAGTCAACACCAAAATTTTTGTTATAGTAATCTTTGAGACCCAGTGTTTTTTCTCTGAAACCACGACCATATTCAACATAAAATTGAAACATTGAAATTATGATTCAAAAACTGACATATTCAAGAATTAGCCTTTTCTTGTTTAACCTCTTGAATCCCAGGCTCTAAAATCGGTTGAAACCAGAGAATTTTTCATTTTTGCCACCTTTTAACATTTTACTACATACTTATACAACTTTAGATGCTCAACTTAGTAGAATTAGATGGCAGAGATCATTTCTTCTCATTTTAAAACAATTTTTGTGTAAATCGGATGAGAATTGTTCAAATAAGAGCAATTTTAGTGAAACATTTTGTGACAATTTCTCGTCACTCTGGGTTTCAAGGTCATTTCTGAGGTGACAAGATTCTCGTCACTCCAGGTATTCAAGAGGTTAAATGTGGAAGTAACAATCTGTGGCTCTGTAGATAGACATGTATGGGAGCACATATAGTGGGTACCATGTAAACTTACTCTTATCAACTCCTGGGGGCAAATACAGTGGCAAAACACAATTAAACATAAATACACAAAAGCTCATTTAAATGAGGAAAAGTAAAGTCTCACTCTTAAAGTAATATATACTCTCTTGTATAAGATAAAAAATGTGAGGAATTAAAAGCATTAATGAAAGTTAGGATGACCACAAGATAAGAAATCAGAGTCTAGAAGTAGATCAGGAATCCAAAGGGTGGAGGCTGAATTTATGAAAGGTGATAAATCATCTACAGTAAAATGTCCTTGCTAAAGTATTTGTTTTTTACGTGGAACTCTCGCATTTACATTAGAAAATGTGCATTCAAAATGTTTGTGATCAAGATGCTGATACTTATATACAATTCACGACAACATATAAAGGACATAGTCAAAATACAATACAATATGTTCTGCTGGGCCATTCATCAAATGTAACATGAGACTTGATTCAAAATTCAGGCAAAAGAAGCAAACAACTTGTGACAGAGCACATTACATTCATGGTGTGGCCCTATGTCAAAATATATCATGTACCATTTTAAAATTATCAAAAGTGCACATATGGTATGAGAAAAACTTGTGTATATCATCATCAAAATGACAATTATTCATTCAGAACAATGCATTGATAACCAAAACCAGTGATCTTCCAAGGATTGAAGTAAGAGGATGTTGCGCCATGACCTACTTGACATTATGAAATTAGGCTTGCACCCACTTGAGAATCAATTTGCACCCATTTGGCAATCAGAAAATCATGAAAATCTGGCATATTTTGACCAGTTTTGGTCATGATTGTGAAAATATGACTTTTTACCCATTTGAAGAAAATAAAAAATCCTGGGAAGAACACTGTCTACCATGAAACACCAAAATGACTGTATACAGAAAATAAAAAACTTTTACGAAAATGCATGTACCAAAAATAATACATGATGCAAATGTTATTACGTATGTATAGCTTCATAGTCTAACTCCTACACTTACATACCTGGTATATCATTAAATATCTTCACAGATTTATGCATAGTTTTGTAAGATTCATTGACATTCTTCTCAAGCATTTCAGCATCTATAGCAGTCAGAGGATCGTTCATCCAGCTCTCGTGCCATTTCAACCAATCAGAAGTTGTTATCCAGAGGTTGCGGAACGGTTCAAAATCTCTGACAAGTTTCGCTAGCTTGTCATACTACAATGACATGATGACTTCAATAAAAGCAAAGCAGCATAACATAAAGGAGGAGGGAAGTTAGCGCAACAGATTTTGGACAGTCATATGTTGGATTTTGGCCATTTTCTGAGGATTTAAACAATTGCATATGTTAGGCCAATGCATTACCTCCAGGAAAATCACTTCTAGAGATGATAAAATAATTTCGACTTTGAGACAGGGTAGATGCAAACAACCCACCCACATGTTTTTTCTGAAATGTTTTCCTAATTTTTGACCCCTTCCATCCCTGCTTTTTTAATTTTTCTTGCATCAATATGTTGCATTTTGACACATAATTAACCACTTTAAAGGAATAAGTGATTCCTCCAGGGGTTTTAAAGAAACCCATTTTGGGTGACCAAACTTAGCTGAAAGCAATGATTTTTCCTATGGGAAAATAACATGGGAAATATTGTTTTCCACTTTATCTAAAAGGAATCATTTATTCCTTTTAAGGAATTAACTGTGTGTCAAAATGCAACATATTGATGCAAGAAAAATTAAAAAAGCAAGGATGGAAGGGGTTGAAAATCAGGAAAACATTTCAGAAAAAACATGTGGGTGGGTTGTTTGCATCTACCCTGTCTCAAAATCGAAATTATTTAATCATCTCTAGAAATGATTTTCCTGGAGGAAATGCATTCGCCTAACATATGCACCTGTTTAAATCCCCAGGAAATGGCAAAAATCAAACATATGACTGCCCAAAATCTGTTGCGCTAACTTCCCTCCTCCTTTAACAAAGCAATTTAACAAAGCAACAAACTATCATAGCAATGCATTAACATGCAAAATGTCACCACCTGCCATTTATTAAAGACAATGGCCACAGAATGCCGACTGCCAAATGCCAAACACAGTCCAAAAAATTGGAGAATATAACATTATGTCACCATTTGTGGTGGAGACAAAATACCAATAATGCTTCTAAGTAATTATTTAAGCTTCTAAGTAATAACTAAGCTAAGGTCAATGCTAAAAAGCAATTAACCTCATAGCAACATAAGAATTAAACGCAAAGCTACAGAGAAGTTAAAAAACAACATGTTATTAATAAATTCACAGTAGCAACAATGCTATACAAATAATATAACATCAAAGCTAAAAAGCTAGAAGTCAAAGCTTTAGACAGGAGATGTAAAAGTCAATTGTTAAATGTGCTCAAAGCATAATTCTGCATGACTAAAATAAACTAAACTGGAAAAAAAAAGATCCTATAACAAGGATTATTGCAAGAAGCAAATATGATTTTCTGAAAAATGCAACTATCAAAAGTCAAGATATGATCCAAATCAGCTGTTACAATTTCATATATTTTAGGATTATTTGGAACTTGAAAAATAAGAATGCAAGAAACAGGTTAACTTGACAAGATAGTGAAACAAAATCAATTCAAGAGAAATATATGAAGAATGGCTCATACATGTACAGACAGCCCCCTTTCTACATGTACAGATATATTCTGCTCGCTACATATTTGGTATAAGCAATATCTATGTCATAGCTACATGAGGAAAAGATGGTGTGAAAGATTTCAAATAATAAGAACCATCTCTGATTCTCAATATACTTAGAAGACAGTGAAAATGAGAAAATGAATCATGATGTAGAAAATGGTTATCACATCAAAACAATTAGGAATTAAATGTAATAACTAATAAGCATAACAAAGAAAAAGTTATTAGATTAATTAAATATAGTGAATGATTTTGAAACTTTTCCATAACTTTAATCAGGACTTCCATTGTGAAAACATGCACAATAATTTCAAAATATTATCTTAATGATCTGAAATGAATGAACCCCCTATACTAAATGTTAATCCCCTAAAACTTTATAAATTTTACCTTTTAAAATATTATGATTTGTTTATAAATGCAACTGCTGTATAATGTCCTTCTTTCATTATACCATGTGTTTAAAAACTGATTACTAAACATTTAAAAAAAGATACTTTATGCCTTATTATTGAAACGCAAGTTTTATTGAAATTGTGCAAGTTTTACCCAATGAATGATACCAATTTGAATGTAAAAATGTCAAAATCATCCAGATTGTAATTGCAGTAGATAGGCTAGTGAAAATGTCAGAGACACCAAACAGAAACACGACCAATATTATCGAAATACAGATGTTATCCTCATATCAATCAAAGACATCCTAGAAAACTTAGATGAAGTTAAACATGCAAAGGAAATACAAATGCTTGTTATGATTAAAAGTGTATGTGACTTTAAGTTGTCACCGATTCAAAGAATCCTGGTGATAAACTAAATATTGACAATTTTAATCTATAAGTATTTTTTAGATCAACAAAATTGAAATCAGATATGAATGACATACATTTGTGACGGGCATTCCGAAAAGTCTCTCTCTGTTGTTATAGGTGGCAGCAAGGGTCTGGGCCTCTTTGAGTTGTTTGTGAACACGTCGTACCTCATTGGCTACTTCATGTGCACGGTTAATATCACTATGGGCTGCGAACCCAGCAACCATCATCTGAAAGAAATAAGGGTTCAACAATTGTATAACAGGGGCAAATGTATTGGATATGACAGATAATGATTTATATACTCAACAATAAATCATCCAAGGACAGTAGTTTTCCATGTCAATTATTCAATTTCTCTTTATTCACAGAAGATCTTCATTAATCATTAAGAGTCAAACTCATATGTTAGCTAACGCATGCATGTTCGTTAAACATTCTAACTATTTCTTCTTAATTAATAGATCATCAAGATTTTCAGTGGCCATAATCTCCATATGTCAGCATTTTAATTGCAAAATTGAGCTTGTCTAATGTCCTTCAAAATTCACTTCGCGCATATTTTAAAATGGTAATTGTAATGTCTACAGTTAAACTAACCAAACTGAGCATCAATTTTTATGTTGAGTTGATTGAGTTGAGTTGAGAGATTTAAGTTTGCATATTGTTGCGCTTTCATAAAGTAATTTCTAAAATGTGCAGACTCAAGTGTGGTTTCATGCATGAATATTACATTTTTTCACAAACTGGAAGTTCTACCATTGTATCTATGGATTTCATTCTGAAAAGAACTTTGGTGTTCAACATTTTACGTTTCAGTGTAACAGATGTACATTATTCATTTTATTGATTCTTTGTATTAAGTCTATTTATTAAACACAACAGCTGAATTCTCTTATTAAGAAAAACTATTATGACTTATTTCATAAGCAACGAGAAAGGAAACACAATAAACATAATTCTAGAAAGTATGACAAGAAAATTACTTGTAATAGCTCTATGTTTTCTGATTGCGTTCTACATCATAATTTGGAAAGAAATGCTTGGGAATTATCAATTAAAAGAATTAATCAATTTTAAGGTTATCGCTGGCCGAAAAACATTCAAAATCGTTGTATGGTATGGCTATCAAAATCGCTCAATACAAGAAGGATCAGTAAAAAATTGGACAATCGACAATTGTTTGTTATCAACTGATAGAAATACAGTAAATGAAAGTGACGTGGTAGTGATTCCAATGCAAATATATCGACAATTTGAAGATCTACCGCAAAGACGTAATTCGTTACAGAGATGGGTCATGCTTTTTGATGACTACCCCAGTATGATTTTAAAAAGAGATGGCTGGCAGTCAGGGAAATTTAAAAGAATGTTTAACTGGAGTATGACATATCGTTTAGACTCGGATGTACCAATACCATATGGATGGACAGAGAAAAGGGAAAAACCCATAAAAATCAAGCAGAATTTTGCAAATTATCATGCTAATGACACTGCCCTCGCATCAGCTGTTATAAGCCATTGCTCATATACATTAAACAATAGAATTAGTTATGTAAAAGAACTTGAGAAGTATGTCTCCCTTGATTTTTATGGCTATTGTGGGAACAAGAAATGTCCTGGGCAACAGTATGTGACACCTTGTGGTGAAATTAAAAAGCACAAATTTTTCCTTGCATTTGAAAACAGTAATTGCATGGAATATATAACAGAGAAACTTTGGCTTCTTAGCTATGACCAGAAAGTGATACCAATCGTTATGGGGGCTCCTAAGAGTGACTACATAGCACAAGCACCTCCAAATTCCTTTATACATGTTGATGATTTTAAATCTCCAAAAGCACTTGCTGAATATATCACAATGCTTGACAAAAATAATACAGCTTATAATGAGTACTTCCAATGGCGAAGGCTTTATACTACACATTCTAGGCAGCAATATTTAGGAATGCAACCATGGAAAATTCTCTGTGATAAACTGAATGCAATTGATGTGACAGAGACAACAGTTTATGAAGATATTGCTCAGTGGTTCAACAAAAAGACAATGTGTCACAATCCCAATAAGACAGGCTGGTCAAAATAAAACTATACAAATTCTCCTATGTTAAATAGCAAGGTTTCATAAAGAATAAAGCAATTTATAGCACTATTTGTAATATTTATACAAAGCCCGTGTAAAATGTTGTGAGGCATAATTGCTTTTTTAGAAGCATTTTGAAAAAAGCTTTGTAACAAAGAATTTTGAGGTTTTATATAGCCACAAAGTCCTATTTATTTTTCAGCTTTTATTGTTAAACTGCTGTGTGTAAAAGGTTCCATGATTCAACTTACCTGCAATGTGTCCAGTCTGTCATTGAAGTTAGCTTGATCAGTAAGCTGTAGTTTACGGAATCTCTCTTCATCTTCATCAAGCTGCTCATAAGTGGCTTCCATTTGGTTTTCTATCTTGTGAGGCCACCCCACAGCAGTCCATCTAGAAATATAAATAGAATCCATGTACATGTAAAATAAAACTTGTCAAGGCAAATTTGGACCGGCTAAAAGTATTCACATTTTTAGGTTTTTAACATTGAAAGGAAACAATGGGACAGGAAAAAAGTGTTCATAATGGGTGGTGTTCCGATTAGGGAGGTGTTTGAATATACAGGTTTCACCATATTCGTTACTGATTACATAGTTGCAGTAGGGGTAACAAGTTTTAAAAAAGTTTAAATGATTTAATGATTGCTATATGCAATTGTTATTTATCTTAGCATTCTAATGTTGATAAGCTTTCACAAATAGGGAAGGAGACCCCCATTTTTCATCTTTAAGACCCCAGAGATAGAGAATCATTACTAAACATGTATATTATATGAATAACTTATGAACATACTTGGCATTGAATTCATCCTGTGAGAGACTGTAATAGAACTCTTCTATAAGCTCATAGTCAGACATAGCTTTGTCAATCAGCTCTTGATGTTCTTTGATCTTTTCAGGAATTCCCTTCATCCATTCACGCAACTCAGCAAGTTCTTCTACAGAGTTAGGTTTGTCATACATCTTACGGCTCATTGCTTTAAACTCTTCACAAGCCTATAACAATTAAGTAATCTTTATATATGGTGTACACTACAGGTAGATAAATAATGCATGATATGCCATAACCAACAATTTAATTTAAACTTGTTAGAATGATGCTTGTAATATTAAAAAAATCAAACTGTCTTAAAATTTTCATTAAAAGTTTAGAATTCTAAATTTCAAAGTGAGTATCAGGTATCGCAACCAGCTTGTGGTGTGTATGAAATATATGGGGCAATTACTATATGTTTACGATGTATGATATTGAACAGGAACTTTCATAATACCGAAATGCAAAAAAGAGACATCTGAATAAATGAAATCATTTAAACCACAGAGGATATTTTACTACTTAAAGATTTTGATAGGACAACTGGTAAACCCATAAATATGTGTAACTCACGTCATCAGCCTGTTTCCTAAGTTGTCTGGCCAACAATTCCAAAACGGCATTGGCCAGTGCCTTTCGTTTCTTGGACAGTGCTTGACGGACATTTTCTGTATTGATATAGAATGGTCCAATGACAATATTGCTGGGTAATGTTGCCTCTATCACCTCCTTCTCTGCAAGGTGGTCTTCAACTTCTCTCTTTACTTCTGCTGCACTGTGACCCTGAGCTTCGTACTCCCTGCAATACAACATGTGACCCCCTTATAATGCTTACATCACTTGATGTTAAAATGTCAAACACACCAGGCTTTTCAAATGCAACTCTGCTCATTTTATCAATTACTGTATAATTGATTTCATATAAAATACAGTGAATATTGTTATTGAAGCCTGAGGCCCCAAGATTATTATTGGTCCCCTGGGCCTTCCTTTTTAAAACATTACTTCGAAAATATTTCTTTTAGATTTAAAAAAATCTTACTTGACATATTTGTTGATGTCTAGATTGTTGATTTCCAAGTATTTCTCATAGCAGCTTGCATATGACTTCATTGGTATTAAAGCCTGAGCGACAGCATTCACAATGGCATTCCTCAGTTCTTCCACTGGAGGCTCGTGTTCTCCAACTGACTCCAGGAGAGGGGTCCCAGACCAGAAAATCTCTTCCAGTATATACTGTAATAAAGGAGTGATCATTTTTAAGTTGAAAATTGCACAGGTGAATTTCACGCAGGTTAGGTTGATTCAAGTCCAAGATCATTATTTCAGAAAAAAGTTGGTGCTCATTAATATGACTACATTTTAGCTACAGGAAGTATGGAATAAAAGACACCAATTTGAGATTAAGGATTACCTTTTCTAGTTGTGGCACATTCTGGGTAGAAGAAATGCCTTTATCAAACAATGCAACCAAAGTGGACCCAAAACTGTTCAAGTTGGTACTGTAATGGGCTCCATCCTTGTCCAATATCAGGTCTACTAGGAATAGTGCATTCTTCTTGGGTCTGAAATGTGGATGTGTGGGTTTAGTAATTGTAAAACAGGGGCACAAGTATAGGATATGAATTACATGCATTTTTCAGTTTAATTTCTCAGATAATGAGCACATATACATGTAAACATTGATTTCAATTCTAAGTTGAATTATTACACAAGACACACAGTCTTTCATACAATGATTTAAAAGAATATGCTATATCGCATGACACTAACAGTATCCATATTGTAAGTGTTGTATATATTGACAGTATTGATAAGATTTTTGCGGTTATTCCAAAAGCAAAATTCCAGTACCCTACACCAATCACCACCACTTATTCATGAACACTTAGTGTTAAACAAAATGTCAAATTAGTAAGCAAACTAAAAGATAGAGCTCCCCTTCTGTACTGTAGTACTTTTGTACTCACTTGAATGGAGTGTGTATGACATCGTTCTCAGGCCACTCAAATGTATCAGCTATCTTTAGCACAGCATGGCAGGCATCTAGTATCATCTGAGTGAAGTTCACTAGGGAGTCTTGAACCAGGTACCTCAATGAGTCCTGTAATAAGGAAATATTAATAGTAAAACAAAATTATAAATAACTAATAAAGATCAGAATTTTATCGAAAATCCAAATCCAGGCCACTAACTAATTCAACAAGAATGCATCTGTAAAGTTGAACACGTAAGCACATTCTCATGACAAGATTTAGGTCTCATCCACCCACCCACCTGCCCAGCAGCACACAATGTTTACGACAAAGCCCCTGGACAAATGGGGCTAGGGGCTTCATTAAAATAACCTTTTAGAATTTAATCATAATTTTGATTTTCTGTTTGTCAGAATTTTACTCTACCTGCATGTTAAACTTGACCATCTCTTGGAATTTCTTCAATTTTGAGATCTGGTAGACTTCAAAGTTAGTCTCGTGGATATTGAACCATCCCTTCCCTACATCTCTTAGGCTAGTACGTATAGCCGCTCTTAATGTTGTAATCCAACTATCTTTCAAGAAAAGCGCAACCTGAAAAAAAAATTCATATTTAAGATTTTATTTCAGGCATTACGTACATGTATATAATTAGCAGCAGGCAACATGTGATTTTCTCCAGTTCTCTTCATCAAAATCACATGCTGTTTTTGTCGCCTTAGTTAACTAATAATATTCCCTAGTGTTACCTATAATGTCATATGCTTTTATAATTAAGTTGCTGGATTTTGGTTAGAAGGTGTTTACATTTCAAGGTTTCTTATTAAAATTTGGATGGAGAAAAAGTGTTCACATTGAGAGGTGTTTAGATTTGTGATATGCAGGTTTTACTTTTAGCTTTTTTACCTGAGATGTTGCCTGGGATTGTGTCTGTTCAAATTCCTCCAACCTCATGTGTTTCGCCATTGGTACATGGAATAATGACATGGCAGAGACTTTGTTGCACTCTGTACGCACTTTCCCGATTGCTTGAATACTCTCTTCACGCGTCAACAGTGAGTTGAAGGCAAAATTATCATACTGCTCATCAAATGGATATTCGGGAATGTCCATACAGCAAGCTAATAGAAAAAGATAAAATCATTTAGCAAAGTTGAATGAATTGTGTAATGTATGTATTATAAAATAAATTCTTTAAAAAAATCAGCAAATATTCAACCCCCTTGAATACATTGAATATTACTTAAACAGTGACCATATTTGGACATTTCCAAATCAGAATATGTAAAATTTTTGTATCCAGTAGAAAAAATCCTGAGAAGAACAAAGTACGATACCTTTTTCTGGAACAACCACAGGGACGTCATCAGGGAGAGTGACAAAGGCAAATGTTGTGGGGTCTTCTTTCACTGTTTTGTCAAATATCACACGATTCATGGAACGGCAGAAGTCAATGTTGATTTCCTTCTCCAACACCTGGGTGTAGTCTTCCAGACTGAAATATATATGAGTAAATATCATGGTGGGTGTATTTTCAAATTCAATCTATAGAAGTCAAGTCTTTATCTAAAACCACTTCTTGAGCAGGTATGCTTGATAGAGGGGTAAGGTAAGTTTTGTCCACATGATCTGCCAAGATAAGAAAATATTGCATTAATCTAAACTATGGGACATCTGAATCACCTCTATTAAATAGACCCGAGCCATTTAAGGCAAATAAAAAGTGTAAAATATTATAATGCATATCACATACGTTTTATCCTTGGATAGCTTAGGTGCTCCTTTTGCCCACTCAGTCATGCGTTTCAATGACGCTTGATCCAGTTCTCCTACACCATCCATCGGCATACAGTCTATATACAAGTTATAACGTAGGAGAGCTTCTGTGTGTTTACGAATTCTGAATGAATCTGAGACACGTTTAGCAAAGTTCTGTGGGTCCTCTGCAGCGAATTGGAGCCTCACTCTGGGAATCCAGTACTGGTTGCTGGACATTAATTGTCCTGAAATTCGAAAATATATTAGCATAAACAATAGCAAAGAGTGATCACAAAAGTATAGCATTTGAAAAAACATAAGAATCAAATTGTAAATGAAGCAAATAGTGCCATTTAAACTTCTTTACATTCTAAAAAGAATAATAAATCTAAAATGCATATCATTCTCAACAGATCCAATGGACTGGAATCCATTTTTTCATATTCAAATCTCTTCCAAATGTAATAAGGGACCAAAATTGCAAACCTTTCTTCCTTCCACCATCAACAATTGGGTTTCCCTCATCATCAACAATTCTTCCTTTTGTGTTGACCTTCTGAACTAAGAAACATTTGTCATCTTCTCTGTAGTCTAAGACACCAACATCATAGAACTGGTACTCTATTGATGGGTCTCTTGGGTCCACTGAAAATATATTGACTGGGTTAGAATGTGCAGGAACGTGTCAAGGTATCAGCAAATAGTAAACTATAGCACTTGTGTGTGGCCACTTCAGTACCCTTTGCATTTGTTTGCCTTTGCTTCTAAAAAGAGAGCTTAGTCAGTAGTTTATAACTAGATTCTGGGTCAAGGGTACCAATTCAGTGAATAATAACATCACAAATTGAGGTGTTTTGATAAATAACCTGCCGACAATACATATACTTGTTACTAGGGGTATCACATGACAAGAAAAAATTTGGGGATGCGAGGGATTTTTCTGTTTCGGTATGGGACACCCAGGATGAACTGTTTTCTGCTTAAGAAAAAAATTCCAAATTCCAAAATCTAGCACTGTTTTAAGAGTAAGCCAAGAGGATTCATAAATGACCCTTAACATTATCAAAGTAAGCCACAATTTTTGACATCTGCCATACCTTTTCCCAAATAAGGAATTGGAGTTTGAGTCAGACATCAATAATGCCTCACTAATGTGTGCAAGAGGTTTTAGTAAGTTTTTTTTGCAAGAAAATTCAACAAGTCTGCAGGACTTATTTTTTCTTGAGGAAGTTAACAAATTATTGCTAAATGAATAAAAGTTAGACCTTTTAAATTTTTTTAACTATTATGCTTCTATTATGCTTCAATTGAAAAAGTGAACAAGTCTATCTTTTACGTATAAATCAAGCAGCCAGGTAGTAAATACCTTGATGTTATCATTACAAAAAAGGACTGCTGTTTTTATATGTGACGAATATAAGATACATACAATGGTGACAGTTGTCATTTGTTGGTAGCAGGGCTCTCCCTGGGACAGGTTTCCGAACTCCATTCTCAATTCCTAACATGATCCACTCCATGGGGGTGCGGCAATCAAACTCAGTGTTATCAAATACATGCAACGGCAAATATGGAGGAAACGGAGCAGGATCATTTGGATCCCGATTTAAAATAACATTATTGTTTTCAGATTCCTTTTTAGGCATTAACTGATCGATTTGTATTCCCTCATCTTCAAGGAGAATGTTTATATCTTGGCTACCATAATCGCGTTTTCTGCGTTCAATTTCTATTTTTCTAGGGCAATCTCCTGGAGGAGTAAAGAATGGTAGCTGCACTTTAGGTTGGTATGCTTTTTCTGGAAAGTCTGATATGTCCAGTATTTCTGTTGAAGGTCCATAGTTTTGTTTTGCAAGCTCATCTTTGAGATTGGCAGGAGTTTGAAATGTTGTCACTGAAAAATTCAAAGAATATTTAACAAAATTAGGCCTGAGTACATACATGTCATACAGTAACTGTAAAAATCATTGAAAGTTGAACAAGTAGATTCCTCAATTGAATTATTAATTTGTAGATCATAATATTCATCAAATATTGTCATTAACATTATTGAAAACTCAGAAATTCAATGAAGCCAAAAATAAACTGGAAAAAGCTGCCCAGTAGTACATATAAATGTTTTTAATATCTCAATTTCATGGAAACTTTTTCATGTACATAAAACGTCTCTTTCTATCACTAGAGACTGGATGTCTATACCCATTGAGTAATATGTTAAATTAAATAAATAAATCTATTAGCTTTATTTGTCACATACCTTTTGGGGTGTGTTGTTCTTTGGCAACATTCCATAGAGTATCCTGTGCTGTCTCTGGGCCAGTCAAGATATTCTGTAACAAAATCAATGTTGCATCATAGCCTTAAGTTTTTTACCTCATTTATATTTTGTATGAATAAAGGACAAGGTGCAATTATTGGCAAATATCCCTATGGTCAAAATGAATCATTCGTAGGTGTAACATGAAGAATAAAATGTCATATAATACTTTGGAAAATATTAAAGTGCTCGGACACACATAAGCTGAGATAGGGATCATTTCGTTCAGTAAGGTTGTATTGACTTACATGGGGCTGTGCACCATTGACTAAACATGAGGATATCAGCAGATCCCAATAGAGGCCATCAGTTTCCATTGATTATCACAGAAATACCAAAAATACACTATGACCTGAATCGATTGCAAACTTAATAATTTCACAATACTACACAAATGGTTTATCTCATCAAATGTGCAAATATGGAGTTTGCAATCGATTCAGGTCATACTTAAAATTAAAAGATTGTACATTTTTTCATCATTTTTTTCCCTACAAAATGGCTATAGAAAAATGCTCCAAAAACAACTTTTACACTTATCAAATATCATACAAGTTTGTAAAACCAAAGATTATACTCTTATATTTCATTATGTAGTAACATATTTGGATAAGATGCAGGGATGCGTAGGATGTAAATGGATTTTGACAGACACAAAAATACTTCCTGGTTTGGAATCTATGCCTCTACACTTCATGATTGAATAATGACCCTAATAAGTGGCCTATACATCAATACAGTGCTGAATATAGGTCAACAAGATACTAGTGTGCATATAAATGTAATAATAAAAGCAGTATACTCATTTTGAAAAATCAGATGAATTATTTTTTTCCCATGGGGAGATCCCAATGGAGGGTGTATAAGGTCCTTTCTTCATAAAGATAACTACAGCTGAGCATCGTAAATCGATTGTTGTAACCATGGATACAATGATGTCACAGTTAGAGAACAATGGATTTTACGAATTCTTAACTTTACGAAGTTCCGTTACTGGGCCCCAGGATAATAATTGTATGCATTTTTTAATAAAGATAAAATCACAACTTAAATTACTCACCCCCAATTGATCACTGGCACCTTGTCCTAATATGTCAGAGTAAAATCCTCTTTGTTTTATCTCGGGATATTTCTGGCCTGTCTTTGAATTGGTTTTACTCAAAGGCCGACTACTTGTGGTACGGTTGGCAGAAAAGGGTCTGCCATGGGAACTCTTAGATGGTCGTACCGACGACATTTTGTCTGGAAAACAAAGAACATATGTTTCATCATCTACTGATTTTGCTTCAAGGGTAATCAAATCACTACATCTGTTATCTCTACTGAAAGATCTGCAAATAGTTACATCTGTTCGGTTACTGGAGGTTTAGTTTAGTCACTGTATATTTGAAATGGAATGTCTACATACAGTACATTTTAAAATGGATATATTCTCCTCAAGTCTATCTATATGTAATGACATTAGCAATTGGAGGATACATGCACATTTGATATTATATTAGGGCAAAGAGGAAGGAAGGAAGCCATGTTTTTTCTCACATGAATTGAGATCTCACAAAACTATCTTTTTACCGATATCAAACATGGCAGAAAATGGAAATTCTAATTTCTAACAAGTAAGTGTCAAAGTTACCCTCATGACAACATTACCCCACATGTAATCCTTTTGCTCTACAAATATGTGCTGTAAGGTAGTGCTGCAAGTGGCATCAAATTTCAGTACTGGTATCACGTATACCCAATTTCGTACCAATTGGTAGTGCCATGAAAAATAAAAATAAATCAAAAAATGTGATTCCTTATGTTGAAATTTGAAATCCCACTGAAACTCGTTTGACCTTTTATATGTGCCTCAAGTTCCACCCACTGACACTCGTTTGACCTTTTAAATGTGCCTCAAGTTCCACATATCATACTTAAAGAAAGTCTGGATGAGAGAAGTTTAAGCTGTTAGACAACTAATCTAGGGATCCTTACATTTCAGCTCTCCATTTTGAAGAGGATTTGAAGAGCAATGAACCCAGCACTTCCAGGTAGAAAATTTCTTGCCAACTGATGTTGTTTTACAAAAGAACAATGCAAAATCAGAGCGCAGCTATCAGGCCGTTAAACTGTCACGCAATTTGCTTATTTGAAATGCATTTGCTGAAGATATCGAAGACCCGCCAACTTCTTTTGCATGACAGAATATGTCAGGCGAATATGCATTTTACCTGATATTTGTCAAGCAAGAAGAAACACATTCTGTTCTGACTTTTCATGCGAATTCTGTATATGTCACGCATTTGCTTCGAAATTTTTTGTACCTCCCCCCATCCAGCATCTGATTTCAATACTGGCACTGAAGCCCAGCATTACTTTCGCACTACTTCTGGTAATACTGTGATGCACTACTGTAAGATAGTGGCTGTATAAACAGAAAATGACTGAACATACATACAGTGATTTATATAAAATAATGGAATACACAATCTGCGCAACAAGTGAAAATGGAGGCACATGAGAGAGCACAAAGAGAATTTACAGTACAAGGAACTAGCTGTCGAGGAAACAGCAGCTTATGCAACACAACAACAACAAGCAGGGTAATGTTTGCATGTGTGGAGATCTACCCCATCCCTAACCAAACCTGTCTGGCCCAGTTATCTACTCTCGATATCGTAGATCTGGGCCAGACAAGGTCCAATGCAAAAAAGGGGGGATTTACTCAGGAAAAAACATGTCACTGAATCATCACTTATTATTCATTCCCTATTAGCCATCCAACCAAAACATCGGGCTACATGTAAACCCAAGTATTTATTTGAAATAAAGAGTACATAACTTACATGTAAATGTGGTGTTTTGTTTGTTATTTTGATGTTGAAATGGGCACAACATTTCGTCAATATTTCGTCAGTTCTCCGCACCGAATTAAGTCACGTGATGTGGCGTAACACGAGTGTGACGCGATAATTTTTAAACTTTCATGGAACGAAAATTCATTTCCCGGGAATCAATACATTCCAAATATTACGATTTGTTCAGCAGATTTGTTATTAAAACGTAGATTACTTTATAAAACAGATGTATCTGTGTTGTATTTAGACTGGAAAGAAATATGGTGGACATTAAATACAATTTTTCAATTTGTTGAACTGACCGAATGTAGTACTGAACGAAATATGCAGCCGAGACTTCTCGATATTCTACGAGATCACGAACAGATTGCAGAAGAATTTCTCTTTTTGCTGCGTTTTATCGTTTCGTTCTTATTTATTAGCCGTCATCCAGCGATGGAAACCTAATATAAATACAAAGTTTGATACAAGGAACAAACACGTAAGTGACTTTTATGATGTTTATTCATTTATCAGCACGTATTATACATTGAAAAACCAGTGTGTTTTTTCCGGAGTAAATACCCCATTTTTTGCATTGGACATTGTCTGGCCCAGATCTACGAGGTCGGGAGTAGATAACTGGGCCAGACGGGTTTGCAGTCTTCGCGTTGACGCCGTTTTTTCTCGTTTTTACGGAAATTTCAAGAGGTTGGACGGAAAAATCAGAAATAACTTACGTCCTTGGGACGCAAAGATTCTACACCACCATCAGGTAACTTTAACTGCAGCGTAGAAGTGATAAAACATGATTTTCTGAAGAATTTTCAGATCGTCTACTTCCTTGATCTTGATAATGTTTATGTCGGCAAATCTGATTGGCTACGAAGTGTCTCAGTATATTTGCGGGGTTTCTAGTCTGAAACGCAGCATTTGATTGGCTGTGGTGCCCTCCGAGTCATTCCGGAGTATACCGAAGCTGGATAATCTGTTGTACGCAAACATTAGTTTCAAAATTGAGAATTGAGACTTGTTTTTCACGATAACCTTAATTACTTCCACTAGGAACCGTTAGATATCGATCTAATGTTATACATCAATATAATTATTTAATGATAGATCAACGTTTTTCATCTAAAAGTCATCAGAGAAAGGAGAAATGTTATAAAAAGAAACAAAAAGTTCACGACCTTGAAGATCGCTGGTTGGTAAAATGTGAAAACAACTCTTAATTTGAATATTTCTTTCATTCATTTCGGAGAATTTTGGTATAGCATTAGTAAAGAATTGTGTGAAAAGGACCAAATGATAGATATTTATCGGGAGAATGCATATAATTACAATACATGTCATTTTATCCGGTTTTAGCGAAAGCACTCTATTATCGCCCAATTTACTTTCACTTTAATATTAATAATAAAATATGAGGGACGCAAAAAATATTAGACGGGACTCACATTTTTCAAATGTGTTGCGTCCCTGGGACTCAGAAATTTAAATGGCTAGCCCGAACACTGGGTTTGGTTACCCCATCCCAAGAGCAAGAACCTTGACAAAAATAGACCATATAGTGGGTGAAAAAATATAATTTTTTCATCCTAGGATGCAACCAAACTATTACTGGAAATATGATAGGAACTTCGACCAAGAACATGTATAAAAAATCGAGTTCCTAGAGATATTGTAATGACCTCTGGTCATTCCTTTGTTTAAATATTGTTTTAAGTACTTACTGAACTTGATCCCGATGCTTTAATGATGTTTAATCATGTTATTTAACTGTATAGAGGTTACTCCCGTCGAGAGCTACTTAGATTTTGAAAGTATAGCTCTCTATCGCTAGAATCAACAGCTTAAGAATCCTGACTTCAAAGAAAATTTCAGGGAATTCAGCTGACTCATGTTGCACATTATATACCTGAAAATGTATCCTACATCGCCATCTTTCATTCAGCTCAACTATAGAACGTCTCACTGCCCTATGTATCAATCAGGACTTCATTTTATTGGTCGTGTGAAAAGTTTTGGCCAGGTATATTCAATATGGCGGCTTGACGTTTCCCAAGTTGCGCATGCGTCGGTAGTATTTCCGTTTAACCGCCATATTGGAAATGGGTATCGAACAAAAAACGATTAGAACTCCTGATCGCCATAGAAGCACATCCGCGATCCTACATGCACGGGGAAAGTAGACACATATGAGCCCATATGTAGGCTACAGTTTGAGACAAACAGCAAGCCGTTGACTGGCGCTGATCAAATTTAGATGTCACAATTCTACAGCTGGGAGATCCTCACGATGGAGAGCTATACTTTCAAAATCTAACATGGTAGCTCTCGACGTGAGTAATATAGAGGGAGAATTTGAGTCTTTTAAAACATATTTCACTTTTCATAAATTTCTTACTTTTTTCTAACTCTGCTGGATTACTCACTTCCGGGTTAGTTTCATTTTCATTTTACTTTTTTCTCATTGGCTCAGATCTGGTCATGTGACCAAATTCTGACCAATGATATAGCCTAAAGATTGGCCCCCTTGTGGCCCATGTTTTTCAATTAACAAGCACATGCTACTTTTGGGAACTGGAACCAGCAGAAATTACTTTGTAGATAAATCTTGACATAAATGAAGGCTGGGTAAGCTTTATTTATTGGACTAAATTCTCCCCACATTATTTGCTAACTTTTGTACACTTTATTTCACTTTTTAAGTTTGATTTTTAATAGATATTTTGGATTGCAAAACATTGTGTTTCTTTTTATTCCCACATATTAAGCTGCTTCTGACTCCATCTTACAACAAAAGCACATGAACAATCATTTTTTATTATAGTCTAATATTCAGCCCCGACTCTGGGGTCATTATAATATTTTCTCTAGGCTCTATTTTTATGCATTTTTTTGGAGACCACTATCAAAAATATGAAATTTTGAAATTTATCAACCAAAATAAATCGTCGAACAGACACAAGCACTAAGTAGGAACCCACAGTCTCAGTCACAAATTTGACAAAATCAAAATAAATATTTTTCCGCCATGTTTTTCAATTTTTCAACATTGTATGTTGCACATATGCAAGAAATACCGAATTTCGTCACTGAAACAATAATCAGATACATACCTTATAATGCGTTTTATATCTCCATCAACTCAATTAGCCTAGTTTTCATTTAAAGTGGTTTAAATCGCAAGAAATATCTCAAATTTTGAATAAAAGTGTCGTAAGTTGCTAGGCAATTATTGCGCATGCGTCAATTTTTATGACACTTGTGATTCTAATTTGGCCCCAAATAAGGGCTGTTATGTGGAAACATTTTAATATATTATCAGATAAATAAATGAAATATATTATAAAACGTAGATATATCAAAAATTCTCTTTTTAAAAGTAATTATTGACTTGTAAAAATAGTACTTTCTTTCTCGTCAAAAAGGTCAGAGGTCAAATAACAATGCTAGACCACTGTTGGACAGATGATGAGTTCTTAATGAATACTGTTCCATTTATGGATATAAACCATGCATGGTAAGTATTTGAAATCATTTGAACTTCTTATTAATTTCTTCAATATTCTTATAAATTTAGCAATAGATCTATTGATGTAATTACTGTAATATTGGACTGTAAAACTAAAGTCAAAAATTGTTTGGCCACTGAATCTTCAGTGTCAGCTGTATGATAAATGTTATTCCAGGATATTTTACTTTGAAAAGTCAACAGGTTGACAACATCCTATACAAATTAGTTTTGTCAAATTATACATATTCATTCATGCATGAATTTGTATAGGCATCTTTTGTATGTACTAAGTTCTATAAAGTTCAGGTAGGTGCATTATAGGTGCATTCATGCGCCTCTGGGCCTTTATATATTTATCTGAGATTTGTCATGGCCCCAGAGGCGCATCACCAAGCATTAAAAACCCTAGGCAAGTTGAGATTCTGAAAAACAACCGATCGGTTGTTTTTGCTTTTTCTCGGAGCTCCTTACCTTAATCTTTTAAATTTTTGGACCACTATGTAGCGACGTTGTTTGTCTTCAAATTGACCCTAGTTGTAATCATGTTTATAGTGGAAATTATATCAAGAAGCGTCTTTGTATTTTTCAGGTTAGAGAAAGTCGAACGAATTCTCAAAATTGAGTTGACCTACATAATTTATGCGCATGCGTGATGTCACAAGTCACGTGACTAAATGAATCTGCATATGGTCTAAACAATTAAGAGTCACTATCTCTGTTTGGTATTCCTTATTAAAACTAGAAACTATAATAAAAGTCACTGTCTATAATGAGAATTCCTTAATTAAACTTCAACATATGTGATTCACTCCCGGGGATTCACTGTTGAATATTGCTTACTATGCAGTCTGATTGATATGAACTTTATGTAGTAAAATAGATGGCATCGTATACATTATGGAATTCCCTATCTCTTCTCGCGAAGTCTCGTGCCGCTATAGAAAATTTTGAAATAATTTAAAAAGTGATGATTTTCCTATAGTATCAGCGCAATTACATCGTGCAGAACAACTTATGTATGGTAAGTTTAACAATTTATCATATAACATTACATTGGGACAAATATATTTAAAAAAACCAAATGGGAATCAAAAGAAATCAACTCCAAAGTAGCGCTGGGTTCAAAAAAATTTAATTTTCTGAAGTTTGAGGATTTTAATACAGGTGCATCCACGGCTCTAGTGACCCTATCAAAACTCCGAGAGTCAAATAAGTCACTAGAGCCGTGGATCCACGTCTAGGTGCATTAATGCGCCTCTGGTGTTTTATTCATATATCTGAGATTTGTCACGACCCCAGACCCTAGTGACCCTATTAAAACTCCTATAGTTAAAAAGTAACTCGAGGCATGGGCTTCCGCGTCTATAGTTCAAGAGGACAGTACACCCGGGACAGTACAGTAATCCTCTATCATCGGATTATGACAGTTTTACATACTTTTCGCTGTATCATTTCTGCTTCAGATAATGGCTGGTATAGTCAAAACAGAAATGTTTGTAACTACTTTGAATTTAAAAAATAAGCAATCAAATGACCATATTGAAACAGTATATGTAAAAATAGAAACATTTATATTTATCCTAACTTTTGTATATTTCAGATAGTAATGTATAATGTGTAGCAAAGCTGTGGCCTTTTGTAATTTTTGGAGTTTCAGCCATGTTAATTTTTCCGAAAATAACATGGCAGAGAAGTATCAAAATATAAGAGGACAAAGATATGATAGCTAAACTACAAAACAAACTGAAATATACAAAAGTTAGGATAAATATAAATGTTTCTATTTCTACATAAACTGTTTCAATATGGTCATTTGATTGCTTATTTTTTAAATTCAAAGTACATTAGTCACAAACATTTCTGTTTTGACTGTAGACTATTTTTTCTATGAAGTTTTTGCTATTTTTCCCTGTCTAAATGTGCATTGAAGGGACTTAAATATTAGAGATCTGACAAAGTATCTATGGTTTTGAAAAATTATGATCATGTTACAATTCTACTTTTCACCTTCATCATTTCATGTCATAGTTATAATATAAATCATAATAAATGTCTATCAGTATTTATAAGTTCTGACTTTATTTCAGGATAAACCATCAATTTTTAAGGTTATACATGACTCACACCATCAGTGTCTGTCTTGCGATGTCATCAATGATCAAAAGTTGAATTAGAAATAAATTATTTCATAACCAAATATATTCTGTGGGATTAATACTGAAGTATCAAGGACGTCTCTTTGCAACACATTTAAACTATGAAATATGTTTTTATATTATGCCTTTAATTCCCATATTAAAATGTAATAATTATCAGCGAAATATCATGTTAATGAAATATGCAGACAGACATACTTTGATTCCTCTGGCGTTATCAATTATTCACAACATCAGCCCAATTGGATAAATTATTCATTAAACAATCTAATTATCAGAAATGCTCATCTATAATCTAATAATGTTCACCTGTTATACTGGGATAATGTCTCTAAGGTTCATTATTATGACTGGTAACAAATGTAAGCTTTTCAGTGTTTTTGTTAAGCTAGATTAACGGAATAAAGTGTTTAGCATATGTCATGTCTCATTTTTTATTTGAAAAAGCACTGTTTGCCCCACTTTGTATTTATTAACAATAAACCATAATATTGTGTTTGACTGAATTAAAATGTTCAACACTATAAGGCATAAAAGTGGCAACATATTATTGTTCTAGCAGACATTTTTTTATTATGACACCTCCAGAAGTGGTGACACATTGTTATAGTCTCCTTGTTATATTGTGAATGGTATTCGGTTGTCAGTTTAATGCCTCTAACAAATGGCAGGTAGTGACATTTTTCATGTTAGTGCTTTGTATACCTCTGGCTCTTTCTACCAATTTTTGTCACCCTCATCACTGTTTTGTATTTGTCATGGGTATCCATACAAATGCATTTGTTACTGCGACCAGGTTGTGACATTTTGTCATATTAATCATAGATGCCTTGTTTTATAAAGATAAAAGAAAATCAATGTTATTGTTGAGAAAAAACATTCATTTATTGATTGTCTCACAATCAGTATACATTCATACAGTATATTGATATTTCTCTCTCATAAATAAATAACCAAATTTTGCTGAGTTTACCTTGTCTAAATAATTTTACAGTTGTATAATGCATCATATAATATGAAACTTTCTCACATGGAACTATAATACTTATTTTCATACTTAAAGTTTATTTGTCACTAGGTCTTATGCTAAATTATCCTCAATGGTATAGCAATATTTACAGAGGAATATTTCATTTGGATCAATATCTAGTAAATATGTACTTACAAGTGCCAACTAATATGATACCCACAAAATTTTGAAATTTTAATTGTAATTCAGTTCCTTACCTTTCAGAGTCTTTACTTAGGCCTTAATCCAATATGATTTCTCTTTAAATGAAAAGACCAGAAGTGGTTTTGATTTCTGTGTAATTATAACTCTTGGTAATTTCTCTATTTATTTAATCCCTTACTTTGATAAATTATTTTAAAGCCAATTCTATGTATTATTTTGCATGTTCAAATAGTTTTGATAATTAAGGGCATTTCATAGGGTCAACTGAACCCATGGGAGAAAAATCATACAAAAGATTAACGATTAAATGAGATGTTATATTCAAGGGAATTATTTTTTATTGAAATATATGCTGCAGGCAACATCAATTTTCCTCTCCAGTTTCCAGCCTTCATTCATGTATTTGCTTCATAAATAGGAGTTATTAATTTGGGAAGTTATTGAAATGTTTGCATTGTTCATAAGATTGCAATAACTGAATAAGGAGGATATTGTTTATTTTATCTTTATTTCCCGTATCAGAGATATGGATCTGGAGCAACAACAGTTTTTACATATAAAATATCAGATCATGATTATAAATATATGGAAAATACATAATAGAAAAGAAGAAGAGTATTTACATATCATAATTTTTTAAAGAGATTCTGAACATATGCAGGTTTTTGCACTAATGTAATGATATATACAATGTAGTTAATAGTTTCATATGTTAATTCATCTAAATTAAATAGAACATCAGTCGAACTGCCCAGTAAGGCCTCGTGCCATAGTCTTTCCTCAAGTATGTTAATTTGACCATTTTCTCCAAATATGTACCTTTCGAGATAAAATTTCTTATGGACTCTGTGATAAAATTATATCTTGTACTTAAAGACAAATGTTCATAAGATTGCAATGAGAAGGATAGCATTTGAATCTTTTTATTTTGTTCAAAAAAATCCCTAATCAAATTTCATTGGCATGTGCTTGCTTCATATATCATGGTCATTAATTAATTAAAAATATGGTAAAATGAATATTTTATTAATAGCGAGATTTTGATTAGAATTGAATGGTTCTGAATTACCATACTTAACCATGCAATATCATCAGGATGATTCTCTCATGTCTATTTCCAATTTCCATTCAATAAATAAACTAATTATTAATTCTGTTTTGTTTCCAGAGAGAAACAGTCCTATTGATAAATATAATACATGGCGGACAGTAAACAGCTGATCTTTCGTATCAACGACAATGGCGTTGGACCAGAGATTGTCCGTCATGTTTTTCTGGAAAGAGGCTGGATAGAGTTTGACGAGGATCAGCATTGTGATTATGAATGGAACTTTTGGTGGAAAACATCCCGATTTCGACAATCGGATTACGACCAGTTGATGTCATGGCAACGAATAAATCACTACCCAAAGACATCAATAATCACCAGAAAAGACAGCTTAGCCCGGAATCTCAAGCGTATGAAATGTGTGTATGGCGCTGGTGCATTTAACTTTAGCCCAAATGCGTTTAATTTACCAAATGACTATAAAAAATTTGTCGGGGAATATGCCAAACTTAAAGAGAAAAATCCAGACGAGGAATTATATTGGATTTGTAAACCAGCTGATATGTCTCGAGGTCGGGGAATATTTATATTCCAGGAACTAAATGAATTGCAATATGATTGTAGCGCAGTGGTACAGAAATACATCCCAGATCCCTTGTTGATATCAGGATACAAGTTTGATTTAAGACTTTATGTGGGAGTACCAAGCTTTCAACCGCTGTACGTGTATATTTACCAGGAAGGCCTATGTAGATTCAGCACTGAAAAATATGACCTCACAACACTTCATAATCAATATTCTCACCTCACAAACACGTCTATCAATAAACATGGTCCTTCTTACAGTGCGGAAAAAGAGCGAATAGGTCCAGGATGTAAATGGACGTTAACCCAGTTACGTTACTATTTTAGACAATGTCATATTGATGACCGGGTGCTATGGCAACAAATTGTCAACATCATAATATTGACCCTAGTTACCCAGGCCTCTGAGATCCCAAAAGTGAACAACTGTTATGAACTTTATGGCTTTGACATCCTGGTGGATGAAAGTCTCAAGCCATGGCTACTGGAGGTTAACTTTAGCCCTGCGATGAGCACAGACTCCCCCGTTGATCTCCTCGTCAAAAAGCCTCTGTTGCATGACCTTATAGAAATGTGCAACTACAAACCTGGGGATGTTGAACGAGGTGGAAATAATTTTAAACAGAGACAGTTGAGGAAAGCTTATGCTAGCCCTATGGTGTCGGGTCGTTCTTCAACCTTAAGTCAACCTGGAAGGTGGTCGAGTAATAGTAATCGCCTACCTGATATAAAACCTAGGATTTACAACTCTAGCCCAAGATTACTCTCAAGGGGTAAACTGCGCACCCCGCTGAAGAGTCGTAAAGGGGATAAAGCTACAGGTGGTGAGGAAGAAGGGACAGATGATGCGGAGAGTGAGGAGGATGGACCCGTGCCCCTGGTGCCTGGCTGTGGCTTACCCTCTGTCCAACAACCTATGGAAGAATTCTCAAATCAGCGTTACTCAAGCTCAAGTTCTGGACGTTCAAGCTCAAGTAGTAGCTCTCCTCCCGGTCACCATGGCTCCCTCAATAGGCCAGACAAAGACATTAGATCACCAGGCCTTAATAAGATTAAGGAGTGCCAAATTTCTTCCAAAAAACGCAATAATTCAAAGACATCTCTTTGTTCAGTTGATAGTGCTTTCTCAAGTGACAACTCAGAATCGTTAACTGTAGCAAAGGGGAATAAATCTAGTAAAAGGATGCCAACTTTAAGATCCAAAAGCTCAAAGTTTTCCAGCTCTATGCAAAGAGACCATGAAAGTGTGAAAGGGATGGGTCGAAGTTTACCTAGGATGATATCAGATGACACTCAGTATACAGTTGAAGGACATTCTAAGCCAGTTCATAAACCAACGACTACCAAAACAGGAAGTCAACGATCTTCGTCACGTCAACATGACTCTTCCCGTTCACAGCGCTCTGGTGTTGCTTTCACTGCTAATCCCATTGCGACAAAATCGTTTATGTCAAATCGAGTGCATTCTCATGGTGAAGTACACAAAACTGAGGCCAGGGACCAGGTGTCACCAAAATCGAAGGGCCCGCCTCAAAAAATTGGTGGTTTCTTCCTGACTTACCCATTTAATGAAATGTCAAGAAAATCAGGTGCTAATATTGATATCAAAATGGTTATAAGGGAATGTCAGCGTTTGCTGAAGTTAAAACGACAGGAATTGAATAATGAGAGGACGAAAAAAACCTCTTATGTGGGGCGGGATGAGACCCCTGAGGTGCAAGAAATGTATGAAGGACTTCTTAGACAAACATCATCCTTATGGGGACCTGTGAAAACGCCTGAACCTGAATGATACACAGCATGTACATGTAGGTAATTATTTAATTTATACTACCTTGCATGTACTCTCACTCTTATCTAATAGATACTCATTCTTAATCTAAATTAAAACAATTCTTTAACTTGCGCCATTGATATGCAGTAGTTTTCTCCCTAGCATGAAAGCAAGTGGCTGCACCCACTTGAGATTTTGATAATAGGCATACACCCACCTGAGAATTTATTAGCACCCACTTGAAATTTGAAGTCTTGCAAAATAGGAATATTTTGAGCAAATTTCGAATTGATTATGAAATTAAGAATTCTGCACCCACTTGAGAAAAAATCCCAGGGAGACCACTGCATGTACACTACAAGCCTTCTTATCTATTGTGGTATCCACCTACCAGGTACTATCTTTCAGAAAGGAGTTGCTCTCGCATGCATCAGACAAAATGTACTTGTAAAATTAGAATACTCTTGTATCTTTAACTAACTATCTAGGCTTAAAAAAGAATTTGCTCATCTATTGAACAGATCAGCATTGCCTTTGAAAATGTTTTTTGATACCATGGACTTGAAGAAGGAACATCTCCTAAAAAATTTGATGCTAATGTTTATCACTTAAAGTGGCTTCCATGATATTGACTGAACATTATGGTGTAGAGAAATCATAATTTTACTGAGTGGCTTCATGAAAATATAAACATCATTATAAGCAACCTTCTGTTCATTCTTAGGTTTATTTTTGTCAAGATTTGATATTTTCAAAAAAGAAGGTTATTTTAAGAATTATAGTCCAACAGGTGTTACAATTTTATGTAATTTTGAGAGTTATTTAAAGGTTGCCATTTAACACAAGAGTGTTAGTATCATAATGATAGGCCTTTATGATACACCAACTACAGTTTTAGAACAGCTTAAACCAACATTGATCGTTAGAAAAATACATTGCAATAGACTAATTGAGTGGTTGCTTAAAATAGTTGCTCTCGTGGATTTTTCAATATAATCGATGGAATTTATACCGATTATTAGATAAAAAGTTGATAGGTCCAATACAAATAAAAGTATGGAAATTCTGTTTGAAACCAGTTGCATCAGTCATTAACTACTTTCTAAGGCTTTATGTATTAGTTAAGTCCAACTTATGTCAGACATTGCCCCAATATTTTAACATCGTGCCAGGGATAGTTTTTTTTTTTTTTTTTTTTTAATTAATTTATTAACATTGAAACAACATTTATACAATTTTTACATAATATACAATGGTTACATTGGTACTTATACAGGAATACAGAACTTATTGGTTATAGATTTTACTATTTCTAATTTTCCAAATTTCAAACTTGTGTTTAAACACTAGCTGGTTTCTATGGCATTTGCTCTCAAAATCTCCTTCATTGCTATAAAATAAAATTTCTTGTTCAGAAAACTTTAAATTTTGAGTATTTACATATTCCTTTGCATTCGTACAATTGACAAATAAGTGTTTATGACTTTCTGCTTCAACATTGCATATTTTACAAATTCCATTTGACTTCTGAATTTTTTGTAATTTTTTTTCTGTCCATATGGCTCCATTAAAACATTTAAATATAAATTCTTTAACATTATTGCTAATGTTACATTTAAACAAAATCTTATAAAAATCTGAGAAATCCGTTTGAGCAAACTGCTCAGACCAATACTCTTCTGATTTGGATTCTGTTAAACTGTTTTTTACAAACCCTTTTCTTATTGATTGCACATTGATTTTCTGTACAGGAATACAATTAAAATATATTTTGCTTTCACTGTTTTTTAATGCCTCAATCTTGATTCTGTCTAACTGGGATAGGGATAGTTATCGATGCAAAACTATTAACATTGATCTTTCCCACAATTCCCAGGGGTGCTAATTCCTAATTTTATTTATTCGGACAAAATATCTCTCTTTTGGCAGTGTAAGCAAATTTTCAGCAGAGTGCAGTTTATAGATTTTCAACAGTTTGCAGGAACAAGTTGCTCTAAAGTTGTGGAGGTCAGTGTGGCTTTCCTTAATTGAAAATTTCAAATCCAAAAATCACACAATGTTCTTGACAAAGCACCGAATTTCTCTTGCTACATACTTAAAGTGGCATAGAGAGCATTGGCAATTTGCATGGCCAGCCATGAGGCAGCACCAAAATTTTTTTTTAAATATATTTATTCAGATTTTTTTCACTAAAACTGGAAATAAGTCCAAAGGTAGCAAAACTCCTGTAGTCTAAATTTGCTTTGCCTATTTGCATTTACAATTTTTTCTCCTGGCTACACCACTGGAGAGGCACCTGCTATTAAGGCACTTGTGTTTAATCTCTTTTAGAATAAGTCTGAAGTATCACTTCATGAATTTTCAGAAAGGTTTTATATTTGGTAAATACTTCATTCAATATTTAATACATACTTCATTATAAAAATCCAGTTTCAAAATTGTATTCAAAATAATTATTGAACAGTTAAATATGTTAAGCATAATTCTTTATACCTGTTGTCAACTTTTAACCCTTTCCATTGAATTGATTTTGTATTTTAACATTAAATTATTGGATTCAATGTATACTGAAAGAGTTTGATACGAAATCTTGAAGTTTGTTTACTTCAATCTTAGCAACCATGAAGTTAATCTGAAATGATCGGTAAAATATTATTCTAAAATATTCTTTTATTCTAGATATTGTCCTTAAAATTTTCTTTGTAAATTATATATGTTGTTTTTAAAATTAAGCTTTGATATTTAAGCTGTGATTTCCCATATTATTTTCTATAGCCAGTTTTTCAAAATTGCAAATGAAATTGAAAAAATGAAAAAACATTTGATGTGTCGGTATGTTCAAACTATTTTATTCTGTTTTCTGAAAAAAGTTATTTTCGGTCAGGATAATGTTATTGACAGATTCAGTGTCAATCATCAATTTTTTAGTGACATTTTTCTTAAGAACTTGAATTACTTCAGTATTTATGGTATTTGAAATTATTCCATGATAGAATAATTTCCAGCAATTTGATTGGCTCACATGTGATCTTTCTTACTGAGATCATATCTGTTCTACATACTGATATCTCCAAGTCATATTTCTTTCATTATTTAAAGTATAATGTACCATATTATATATAATATGACATACTGAGTCACTGCATCATATTACATCATACATCATTTTATTCAATGATTTCTCAAAAAATACCTCCAGGAATATTAACTTTCTCAGCATATTTTGGGTATTTTACATGCATCATTTAACATTAGATTAGAAATTGAGAGTATAGAATATGGTAAGTACCCGAGACTTTGTGCAGTGCAAGATTATAGACAATATCCAAGATGATAAGCAGCACGTGACATCATCATGGTATCAGATGCTATTTTAGAGCACCTTAGTATGTGTAAACATGTCTCAACATTCACTATTGAATTTTTTATTGAACCACATTAAAAGATCTGATGTCATTATAATGCGCCCACCCAGGAAAATATACAGTGGTCATGTTCTAAAATGCAAAATATGACAAAAAAGAATGAAATAAGCAAGGAATAAAGTAAATAGGCACATGATCAATAATCTAAACGGGATAAAAAGCCAGAACTTTATTCAGTCCATTCAAGATTTTCAGAAAAATGAGTAAAATTTGAATGGCAAGAAGGTATATTTTGACCTGGGATTCTGCACTAAAACCTGAATAAACTTATTGTTGCTTTATGTTTATATAAACAGGGAACAAGAGTACTTTCAGAACCGTTTAAAAATATAACATCTTATGTTACAGAAATCATTAGTTCAAAATCCTGTTAACTCCTTTTACAAATATAATATGAGAATGTGGCTTTTATATGAATTATTGGATTATAAGATCATGTGACGTAACGTCTCTCTTTAGACTATTGACCCTTGGTGACTGATGTCATAGTGACATGGTTTTCTATATAAAATAGAAATACATACATTTATGATGTTTAAATATCTGTATTCTGATTTGTCAAAAATAACAATCAACTATTAATGTACCTGTCATTTAGTATTTGTTGTCTACATGTAACTATGCAATATTGACACATCATTTACAAGCCAAAATACATTTTAAGCTGTTCAAATGTTCCTTTAAAGGCTATGATATTTTGCTGACAATTTCACTGCTACCCACTTAATTACACAGATGTATCGTCGGTCATGGCGGAACTTCCTCCGGGACTAGGTTTCGGTAAGATTTTTTTATTTCCCGATTTACACCTACTTATAAGTCATGTTGTGGATAATAATTTGGCTCGAAGTTAAGGAAGATAGTCTAGTTTGAGAATGCGTCGATGGTTTTAGGTTTTATATGTTAACAAAGACACAATTCACGTATTTAGTCCCTCGCTTTTCTTACACTGACGATCGGCATTATTATTGCCAATATTACACTGATATTGGTCGTTCGTCAGTGTAAGAAAAGCGAGGGACTAAATACGTGAATTGTGTCTTTGTTAACATATAAAACCTAAAACCATCGACATATTCTCAAACTAGACTATCTTCCTTAACTTCGAGCCAAATTATTATCCACAACGTGACTTATAAGTAGGTGTAAATCGGGAAATAAAAAAATCTTACCGAAACCTAGTCCCGGAGGAAGTTCCGCCATGATACACCGATGATACGTCTGTGTAATTAGGTGGGTAGCAGTGAATTTAGTATAACTAATAGTTGTCCCTTCAAAGATTCCCATTGCTAAAACATATCCCTTTAAAGGTTCACACTCAAGTTGTTCAAATATGTCCCTTTAAATTTACTCTCTTCATTCCATATCATGCCCATTTTCTAAAAAGTTCAATAGTTTTGAATTTATTTCAGAGTAATCTGGCCATAGATTTGAAGGAGATATCCACCTTTTCAGTTTTAATTCTTTTGAATATGTCGCATCTGAAATCTTCAAGCACTTCTATATGTGGATAGATTCCGTGTCTCAGTCCTTTTTTCAGAGAATTCTGGAAATATTGGCATGCCTTTCAAAAAGTTTGCTTCAAGCATCTAGCGCTGTCTATCCCTTCAATTTCCTTTAAAGGCTATTAGATTGTTCCTCTTTGTAAAGGCTCATACAAATCACTTGTGTTAGATGGGCCTGACATTGATTCTCTTCCCAAATGTTCATAAGCTTTATCACATGGGTCCAAAGTCTTCCCTTTATGTAAGAATACTTTTCGTAAAAATGATGGTTTTCGAGCGACACTAGGCTTAAACCTTCGTGGATTTTTTTTATGATCTACGTTAACATAAAATTGATCACTTTCAATTTCTTGATCATTGATCAGATTTGGTGGCTCAGTATCACTTTCTCTTTTCTTTGCCTTACGTTTTCCCTGTCTGATAGTCTCATCTTTTACTTCAGGTTTTGGTGAGGATTTGTCTGTGGTCGAATGAACATCCTCATTAAAAAATCTCTGGTTTTTATATATTTCCCCAGTAGGACTATTAGAAGATCTATCAGAAGAAAGATCTCTAATATCATCAGTAGGATTGTGAGTAGGATCTCTAGTCTTGCCCTCAGTCTGTTTAGCTTGAGATTCACCCTTCTCTACATCTACTTTCATGTCCTTGTCATCCTCAATAACATTCAAATACAGGAGTTCGTCATTAGGTCTTGTATCCAAGTATTCATTCTTAACAATTTCTTTATTATCAGATGATTTAACCAATATAGGTTTGGCAGCTTCTTGTTCATTACCCTCTTTTGATGTCCTGAAAAATAACAATGACTGTTATATTGAACAATTTTTGCTCTAGTATGAACCCCCTGTAATACCCCTCAATTTGCACAATCAACAAGCAAATTGGTTTAAGGGGAGGCATCAAAAGATCAATGTCTGATAGAAAACTAAATAAATCTAGTTTGGGGGGGAGGGGGTCAAAGCTATTTCAGTTTGCTATCCGACAAATTTCAACATTTAATTTTTTTGCAATTTCGACTCGAAATGCCTTGGAATGGTTTAAAAATAAAGACTTTACCAGATGCCTTCTTCACCAAGATGCATGTAACATGGAATATTATGCCTATTGTTGTTGGCACATGTATTAAGAATCATAAATAAGTTATAGTACTGCCCCCATGAAAGTCCAAATTGAGTCGCAAAAACATGTGAAAAGTCCACGATCAACTTTCATTGTATTTAGTTTTGAGGGGGAGGGGGGGGTCCAACTCAAAACTAGATTTATTTAGTTTCCTATCAGACATTGAACTTTTGATGCCTCCCCTTAGATGAAATGATTGATTGAGCTTTAATATTTCAGTATTATGATTCCCTAGACTAATTAAATTAATCAAGTGGTTAATGAATGGTTAAATAGAAATGGTTTAAAAAATAAAAATATGAACACTTACCAACATTGAGAATATTTCTTTACATTGATAACGTAACTTATCATAACTCCCAGGATGCAACCTGAGACAATGCCCCCAAGATATGCCAATGAAATCCATAATGTTATTTGACCATCTCCTGTTTCATTCTGATTTTTTATGTTGGCACGGTTACTAATTGTTGTTATGTTGCTATAGCTACTTAGGTGAGTATCTGTTGTGTTTGAGTCTCCATCAGTTTTGTGTCTTGGGACTCCAGGGGTTGAAGCCTTTTCTTGATCTTCAGATGTAGCATCTGCAAATGTAATTTTAAATAATTGTTTTATAATTATTTGGTACTACTCATAAAAGTAGAAAATACATGTACATAAATTGTTACACTTTAAGCATCTCATTAGCTTAAAGGAGGAGGGAAAGTATTGCAACAGATTCCGTACAGTCATATGTTGGATTTTGGCTATTTTCTGAGGATTTAATCAGGTGCATATGTTAGGTCAATGCATTACCTCCATGAAGAGCACTCATAGAGATGATTAAATAATTTCGATTTTGAGACAGGGAAGATGCAAACAACCCACCCACATGTGGACCTGGTTTTCAACCTCCTTCACCCCTGCTTTTTCAATTTTTGTTGTATCAGTATGTTGTGTTTTGACACACAGCTGACCCCTTAAAATGAATAAGTAATTCCTTTTAGATAAAGTCACCCTATGCAGACAGAGCCTGTGGGAAATATTGGGTGCGGCGCAAATGAGCGGAGGGTGCGGAGCTAACGGTCATTTTTGAATTTAAAATTGGGATATTTCTGAAACTAAGCCGTTTTGGGACTTCAAATATACCAAGATATGTGTATTTGACACCAAATATCAATAAAATTGTGAAAATAGTAGTGCAATTCATTTTATAGCGACGCAGTATGCCTTAAACATTTCCCAGACCTATATATTTTGAGACTATCCTTTTAATACTGCGTCCCCAGCATTCATAAAAAATGGTGTTCAAGATACACTACCCATGCAAATTATTTTTGCATCTTGGAAGCCAGGCAGTATCTGGGTGATTTTATAAAAATTCGGAAATCTTCTTCAGATATGAGCCCCTCTAAATATTGGGTGCGGAGCTACGTTAATGGAGCTGCTCCGCACCCAATATTTAGAGGGGGCTCATATCTGAAAAAATTTCCGAATTTTTATAAAATCACACAGATACTGCCTGGCTTCCAAGATGCAAAAATAATTTGTATAGATAGTGCACCTTGAACACCATTTTTTATGAATGCTGGGGACTCAGTATTAAAAGGATAATTTCAAAATATATAGGTCTGGGAAAGGTTTAAGGCACACTGCGTCGCTATAGAATGAATTGCGCTACTAATTTCACAATTGTATTGATATTTGGTGTCAAATACACATATCTTGGTATATTTGAAGTCCCAAAACGGCTTAATTTCAGAAATATTCCAAATTTAAATTCAAAAATAACCGTTAGCTCCGCACCCTCCGCTCATTTGCTCCGCACCCAATATTTCCCACAGGCTCTGTCTGCATAGGGTGAAAGTGGAAAACAATATTTCCCATGTTATATTTCCATAGGGGAAACTCATGCAATCCATTGCTTTCAGCTTAATTTTGGTCACCCATTATGGATATCTTTTAAACCCCTGAAGGAATTACTTATTCCTTTAAATGGATGGACTGTGTCAAAACGCAACATATTGATGCAACAAAAATTGAAAAAATTACACTCCTTGTTATCGCATGTTAGGAAGCAGAAGCTTGTCAGACCTTTTCTTTAAATTAAAGAAATCAGGGACCAAGCGGATCTATACTTCAATACGTCACAGAATGTCAAGGTCACTTTTTTACATCATATGTAAAAAGTGTAGCTAAACTTGAAGCGAGGAGTCATTCAGGAATGGCATTCATTTGGCTAAGAATGAGGTTAGAAAGGAGATTGGGGATTTGCATATAACACATATGTTCTTGTATGTTAGATGTACGTTTGGCCCTAAAAGGGCATCAGTACAAATAAATCCTATTATATCCATAGAACACTGTTGTTTGAAAATATGTTTACACGTCAGCATTTAAAAAAACCTATCCAATGTTTGTGTCTGCATGTCACAAGTGTTCACATTGCGATGTGTTTAATGTGTATTTTATGTTTCTTTTATAAACTTTCAGTATGTACATAAATGCTATATAATACACATTGACATCATTAGGCATATTTTAGTATATTACAGCACAAAAAAGCAATTTAACGAGTAAAAAAAGTGTTATGCGTGACTGTGTCACAGTGCTAAGAGACTTATCCTAGTGATATAGGTAAACATAAAAAGACTTTACATATTCACATTAGTATAAAAAGAAACTAAAGACATATTTACATAAGTACAGAGTTATGATGTGCTGTAAAAATAGAGAATGCCCATTTATTCTTTTACAAGTACCATAGATGATAAACTGCATGTTTTAAAAATGAGTTTACTTTCATTATATCAATTTATAAGATATGATGCATTACCATGCAGTATGTCTAGTAAGATTATCATCCCAAATAAAATCCTTATTGTCCCAGCAGCAGCAGATTTCTTGCCTCGCATCTTTTAGCTTGTCAGGAATGGAGAGCTAGAGAGACACAACTCTTTATACATATTCATCCAGCAAACTAACTGAACGCAAACTGTTGAATAGCTTGTCACTACAGTATTTGGAAATAATAACCCCTTTTAAAGGTCTAAAGATCACACTTTAGGCAGCGTATTCGTAGTCGAATGAGGAAGTTCAATAAAACCTTATGAGAAAGCATGATTTTGTTTGAAGTTCTTAGAACAGTGTTTGATGTGTTAGGTATATCCTAAACATATTCAAATGATAAAGGTTCAGACTTTCAAATGTAAATAGTGGATTTGGTGAGAAATTGAAAACAGTCAAAGTTAATTTCAGCAATTCCAGTTCTGGTAATGGGCTCGGAAAAACTGGTTGTTTATTTGGCAATGGACTGAATATGTTAAATTATGGCAATCATGTTTTCAACTTGAATAACAGTCTATTTCCTACTGCCTACATCCTTTATTTAATGAGTTTTATGACAAGTATCCTTATGAAATAATTTTGATAGGAATACTACAAAGCCATCCATCAGTCTTCATCTCTTTCATTTTGTCAGCCTCTGTGCATCTTTCTCTCTGTCTGTCCATCTGTTGGTCTGTCCATCAGTCTTTGTGTCCCACTGTCCATTCCTCCCCAACGAAATTAACCCCTTTTTCCACAATTGACCTTTGGATATGACCCCTTGGCTGCTATGTATGCTTTGCTATGCTTACAGGCTCTTTAGATTCTAACACAAAGCCCAAGAAATACTACAAAGTGAGACCAACACTGCATTCAGTCAAACAGAAACAATTGCCTTTAGTTGTTGATGTTTTCATTGGGTTGTATAATGGTGAATGTGTTGAATACTTTTACCTGAATGATAAATAAATGTTTGGCATAATCAAGAAAATTTTATGATTTACTTATCAGTAAACAACTTAGTGATTCAAAGGTTTTACTATGTGCTGCAATGTCAAAGACCATTTGACTTTTGAGAGGGACCTTTTTCCAGAAAAAACAAAAGCTAATTACTGAGAAAAATATTTAAGACTTAGTTTGGACAAACATATGAAAAAGACTCTGTGTCTTGTAGAGGTGGTTCTAAAATATACAGGATAAATATTCTGGGTTCATTAGTTGAATAAATATTGGCTAGGCATAAAAAGGTTAGACCCCCAAGTTGAAGCTAGTGGTAGGCCCCTAGTGTGTATGAGAGAAAATAATTGCTTCAGGTCAGAATAACCAGAATGAAAAATTCAATGAAATCATTATACTCCCCAGACATAATTTTATCGCTACTAGTGATGAATTGCTCAAAATTGAATAATTATCAAAGTAATTCAATGGAAAACAGCGAGCTTGAATATTTGAATATTATTTGCGGGTCAGGATGGATGCACATGAAGATAGCAATCAAATTGTTGTTTTTTGTATACTTGAATTACAGGTTTAATTAGATTAGTTCAGTTTTTATGACTGGATGTTCAATTGGCACCTAATTCATAGGAGCTCTGTGTTATCCTGTTTTGAGTTTTGCATACTTTCAGGTTACTTGAGTCATTTTTCCAATAATTTATAATTGTACCTGATAGCATTGAAACTTGAAATACTTAAGTCATTATCTCATCCTTTAAACACAGTCTAGACACTATCCACTTTGTTTGGTCCCTGGTGTCTGATCTCCTATTTCAGAGAATGTCATTATATACTCCTCAAAAAAAGTTATTATATTAACATCTACAGTTCCATATACAAACTCGTATACTACATGTTTATTGAAAATATTGTTCGATGCATTTTATTATCCCAAATGAACAAAGTTTGAAAGGGATACAGTGAAGCCATCTGTCCATCAGTCAGTCTGTCAGAAAAAATGGCTGCCTAATGTGGGAATTCTTTTAATTTCTTTCTTCAAATCTCTATAATATGGTAATATTGTATTGTCTCTATGATCCGTACCTTTGATACTCCTAAGTGATCACCTAAATGATTAAACTGGTGGAAATTCTGAAATATCTCCAATATCTGTCTTTAATTATCTGCAAATCAAGGGTAGGACAGATGGTAAATGTTATATTATGACATATTCAGATTTATGAATATTTTCTTCATTGGGATTTGCTACTCTGTTGAGTTGCTGTTTTCTAGTTTTCATGACATATATGCTATAAACATTAATTTTGACATCAATGATTAATGAAATGTACATTTGTCATGAGCATATCTGCAAAATGATATTTAATTTAAAATGAATATGGTTTGATACCAAAAGCTGCAATAAATAATAATGTTTCTTGCTTAATGTTTTCTTGTTTTTATTTACAGAAAGCTTCAAAAGCAACCATCAAGGACAATTGAATCATCAAAACGATTTGAATCATCAAGAACAATTGAACTATCAAGAACATTTGAACCATCAAGAATAAGAACATCAAGAACATATTAACCATCAAGAACATTTGAACCATCAAGAACATATGAACCATCAAGAACATTATCAAGAACAAGAACATCAAGAACCATGAAGAATATTTCAAATAACCAGGAACGTTGAAACTTTCAATAACTTAATAATAACATGATCTATCATATCAGTTTCAATGTCAGTTTTAACTGGAAATTACCAGGATGACACTTGAGGCCACTTGATGGACTTAGTGATTATCTGATATCACATTATCTACATTTAATATACCATTATACGAACAGTGGCAGTTTTATGTTCATATAATCATGGACCTGAAGTCTGTGATATAATTATTCTACTTCTGTCACAATGGACAGAGAAAAAGTTGAAGATAGATTTTAAAATTCATAAAATTTGACATATAATTGTTTATAAGTTAACCATATTTATTTTTACTGGATTGGCTAAATGAAGAATAGCTTTGAACACCCTTACAAGTATTGTATTAATTCACAAGATATGTCTAAGACATTTAAGTAAAAAATCATCATGTTTTAGTACATGTTTAATTAAATGTAATATCAACCTGTCCATGTTTAAAACAGGATGTCGTGTAACACTTCAAGATCATTTCACGTGAACTGATAATTTGCTGCATTCTGGGTTTATGAATGAACTTTGTAGACTTGTTATACATGACTTTAATGTTGAATCTTAACTCATTCAATACTGGGGCAAAAGCACTAAAATACTGAAGAATTTTTGAAAATTGCCATATATGGTACCTCTGAGATAATATATAAAGTATACACATGGGCATAAATATGTAGTGTTATATATCATTTTAAAGCATATGATATACTCTTTCAGAATCAATAGGTTTTTAAGTCCCATTTTATAAGTTGTCATGGTAACAATATTCTAAAAAATACACTGTGTTTGTGCTTGGACGTGACATCACGTCCTTCGTAGTCAACGTATGTGCTTTATGACGTCATATCACGTCATTCGTAGCGAATGAGTTAAAATGGATTTAACAGGAAATAGTAAAACCTGTATACAGTGTGTTCACTGTAGGTAGGTGTTCACTGCAGGGAGGTGGTTTTTACAGAAGTCAGTGGAGTATGTGCTGAGAAGGGTGTTCACTGAACATAAGTGTTCACTAGAGAGAGAGAGTGGTGTTCACTAATACAGGTTTCGCTGTATTTATGTATGATTTCCAGTGTATTCTCAAAAGTAAAAATGTACATACAAAATACTTTTTACAAATGTTAACAATTTATACTTGCTTTACTTGCCAAAGTGTGTCGCATTTTTAAAGTTATCTTGGCGCCTGCTTTTATTGTTAACCAGAATGACTGTATATTAACTCATATAAGTCTGCAATTGACCTACAACTTACAACTTGTCTGCTGATGAGTATGTTTGTAGACCTCATAAACCACATGTTCGAATTCAGTGGAAGGTAGACTTTTAAGAGTTAAGTTCTAAATATTTACTGTGTTTCTGTGTTATAATGCAATTAAACTGCTGATTTGTATATGAAATATGCAAGTTTTTCAGTAGAAATAATATTTATCTTTACTAGAGAATGTTAAATAAATGTTGAAATAAATGCAAAGCTTTGTTATTGTTTAAAACACAAGATGTTCTCTTTTTCTTTTGTTAGCATATTATATATAAGAAACCATAGACACAAAACCACTGTTATGGAGAATGAATTAGACAATGAAAATAGAAAACTAAGACCTCTTGCACGACAAAATTTGTTCATTTGTTATTGTCTCTCTGGATAAATGGTAGCTTTACATATATATCAATGGTATAAGTAATGACAGCTTTCAAATGGTGTATGCATCATGTCAAATATTATGAATGACATGAAACTGTATACAGAAATATTTTCTCTACTATTAAAACCTCAACTGTCAGTCAGCCAGCGTACAGTATTAGTGGATATTGAGGGGTTATCATTACATATGGTAAATGGGTTGTTTACAGAATAAAAATATTGATCACTAATTTCAACCCCTCTGTGAGATATTCTCAGTTTTATTCTAGTAGATTAGATTAAGTTCCGAATATTGGTTTAAAAATGATCAATAACAACCCGTTTATCTCATTATTACTTAATGCCATTCTTCTTTTGAACAGAGGTCTTGTAAAATTCAAATCCTATTTAAGTTTATTGATACATTTAGAACTGTTCATTTAAGTACCTCCCTGATCTTAACAACATTTAAGGCAAAGGCAAATATTACCTGTTTCACATATTGGTTAACCTCGAAATAACTCAATATGTTTGGATTTCTTTTTTGCCTGGAGATATTTTTTATTCTTTATTTCTAATCCAACCAATATGTACTCAATCATAATTATTTTTCATTAAGAAAAGGAAATTTGAAACGGACATTTTTCGAAATTACCAAGATTGATCTTTTCAATAAGCCTTTATCAAATTGTGTTAGCCCTAAATATGTAAGTTGTTGAAATCCCACTTGAAATTGAAGTTAATCTGATTGTGTTTACAATAAGGTGTAGAGCTAATCTTAAGCAATACCTGGAGATGAACTATCAACTCCAAGCACTCTATTTTAATTTATATCATGTCATATCTTTACCCAAGCGACATCTATTAATAGTCAGACGAATAATTTAAGGTCATGTGGTTCTTTTAACCAGCCATAACCACCTTCTCCACTGGTATTTACGTCATTTAAAAGGCAACGTTGCAGTAGAAGTTTGACTAAAAACTTATATCGTAAGCTCAATTGGTCTTGTGACTCTGAGTGTTTCACTTGTACGGAGGTGTTCCTCACAGGTTTCACTGTATGTCCATTCTATGAATGAAAATTAGTAATTTTATTAATATACAAAAATTAGAATTTCACTGATCCTTGGATTTAAAGATAATATAAATATAATACACACATGTATTATGAAAAGTACATGTACTATACTGTACCATGGAGGAAAAGTGCTATGCCATGTATCATTTGAATCGGTGGTGAATAGGGATCTGTATCATGTGATTTTTAAAACATTTACTGGTACACAACAATGAAAGTAAATTTCATATTCTAATGTCAATTTATTCTTAGGTTATATCTCAAAATTCCAGAATTCCATCTCTTAAAACTCAGCTGATGTAATGTGCTGAAACAATATTTACAAATTGATCGATCCCTCGGTACCGCGATATTAATACGCTGAAAAATAGTCCAAGAAAAAGAAACAGGTTTTTCTTTTGATAAAGATATGGTATTAATGTTTTGACAACAGAAATGAAAATCGGTTACCTAAATTTTTGTTTTGTTTAACATTTTGTATGCATTAATATTTTAAAATCAAAATAATAAAAGAACTATATTCCGGAAATCGATGTGCACGTTGTATACAAACTGAGCAAGAAGTCACACCAATGATCAGAAAATTAAACGTTTATGGTGCAATAATAACTGCTTATAAAGGTCTAACCGAGTGATGTCATTCATTTATTAACATGCATTTATAGAGAAGAGATACCAAAGCAACTTTTTGAAGGTAATGCTACAGTTTTTACAAATTCTGGATGGTAGTATTTGATGATATGTTTCATTCATTTTTATCATATAATAAGCTACAAATACTACAAATAAAGCCTACAGTAATTGAATACCGAGCAGTATCCGAGTCTGTAAGACTGGCTAAAAGTAAACTTCTGTGGAACTCAAACTTGTACACCTAAACATAGATATCCAAGTAGTCAAAACTATTGACATCAACAGGATCATGTACCAAGGTAAAAATGTTACAACAATATTACAATAACAGTTAGATTGGGTTCATCGGCTGCAATTTTATTTCCAGAAAGACCTTAGCCATCAGTTCAAAAAGACACCTCTCAGAAAGGTACACAATTAATAATGCGAGGAAGAGGCCGCGGACGTGGTGGAAGAAGTGGACGAGGAAGAGGGGGAAGCAGGCAAGGAGCTAAAGTAGCATCAGAGGATAACAGTGATCTTGATATCAATAAGGATTTGCGAGGATTTTTTGTTGGCACTGCAAGTTTTGATAAGCATTATGACGCACAGGTGTCAAATAGAAATCGCTATATTGCAGGAATCACCGTCCTTCAGAATAATGGAGTGGAAATCTCACAAAGTAAGAACTGGTTACACTACATGCATGTTCAAATATATAGTACAATCTAATTTTCAAAATTTATTATGATCAGAAGCAGTCATGTTAAACTTTGTTAGATGGAGCACCCCGACCCTGATGAGTTTTAACTTAGATCTGATCCTAAAAACCTCAAATATAATGAAGGTCTACAGGCAGCAGATGGTAGTCTAGTAGTAAACAAAATACATGTATTTAAACAATTGTGTGTCAAATCCATGTGAAACCTGAACATGAAACTTATAATGACCCCTTTTTTACTCATTATAACTCATTCCTCTATACTAACTCATATATAATGTGTCAACATCATGTTTCAGATGCAAGGATTAGGGCTCTAGCTGCAGCATGGGCAAGACAGGATCTAAATCTGGCCAACAGGTTGCTCAAAGACCAGGAGAATTATAGCTTTAATGAGGTCCTTAAGGCTGTTACATTACTAGACTCATCTCGCCAGATCAGAGTTCATGAGAAAAAATTAAAGAGATTGCAACTTCAGGCTGAGAAAGTTAAACCCAGAAAGTTAGGACTTATTAAGTCTCAAATTGATAACCTTAAGGTTATAAAGCCAAAAGTAAGTAAAAATGAAGAGGGAGGGTCTATGTTATCAACTTATCAGCTTTAATACTGCTTGTTGCACCTCATGTTTATGGCAACTTGATTATTTCAACCAATATGTTCTTGGTTCGATCCACCAGTAGGAGAGTACAGTAAATAAGCTAATTTTTCAATTCTTATTTCATAACTGAGCACAAATATAATATTTTACACTGGTTTGTTATGTCACTAGCACAAGTGATATTGTTTTGATCAGTTATGAATGATGTTCAGTGGTTGGTGTTTGGTATTCAGCATGTGTAGCAAATGGTATGTGGTGACATTTTGCTCCAGGTTGGCTCAGCCAGTGGAGCTGTATGTAAACATGTCAGGTCTTGGGTGAGGAACTTCAGCAAAGACCAGTTGGAATACTTTGCACTGCACATGCCCACTGAACCATGGAGGAAACTAGCAGACATTTGTCACTTCAATCCAAACCAGGTATTTCCCTATTGGTGTCATCTCATCATAATACCCATACATCCTACCACTCAAGCTGCAGATACAGGCCCTTTGCCAGGATTTGCCAAGGGGGAGGGGGCTTACTTTTTAAAAAATTACATCAAACCCCCTCCCCCTGGCTATAGGCCTGAGATTAGTGGGGGTCTGATAAACTAGAATCTATTGTCTTTTCTAACATTGCCTAAAAATCAAATTGCAATTTAAGATGCAAAAATATATGAAATTTTACTGGTTTTCCTTGAGATTTAGAAACTATTTCTGACTAGCAATATACTGTACTTCTACTTAATTTGACGGATCTGACAAATTGTTAAAGTCCGCCAAATAAAGTAGCCTTCAAATTCCCTGGTAATTTTAGTACAATGTAATATTGCAAGTTTGCCAAATTAAGTAGCCACCAAATGGTCAAAACTGCAAAGAAGTAGCACCAAATAAGTAGAAGTACACTAAGTTTAATTCTGCCTTAATGTTGATTCGGTCTTTTTATTTATACATGATTTATTGAAATGCTGTCTATCAGAATAATATCAAAAAAATATTAAAATGATTATGTAATTTACAGGATTTCCCATCGTTGCCATGGTTTCTGCCATTCTGCTATGGGTCCCCTGCACCAGAGGATACAATGGTTAGCCATTGTAAGGACATCACAGAAGATAACCTCAACTCTATGATTAAAGAATACCCAGTACCATACAGTCATATCAAGGAACACAAAGACAAGTTAACCAGTGAATCTAAAGCCAAAATTGCAACATATACCTCAAAATTAGACACTTTGTTATGGTAAGTTCTACAAGCATAATACGTGTATTTTAAAGGGGTTGTATAATGTTTATTATATGACTAGTTAGGTTATTACATGAGATAAGGCCTTGATATCTTGAGGAAGGTGGACTTATGGATGTGCATGTTTAGATTTCATGAAATTATAATGACTATAATGTAAACGTTTGCCAGGTACTACGAAGACATAGCTTGTGAAGAGGTGGATAGAATAATAAATGATCGTCTCGAAGCAGGAGAAACCGTCTCATTGCCTGATGGAAAACTGTTGGAACGATTACTAAAGATAAAAATGATTCGAGAGGATATTCCCACTTCTATTCTCTGGTATCAAGTCCCAACCAAAAAGGTACAGGGTGATCTAATTTGTATAACTATTAACCAGAGAAAATACTTTGTTTCTTTTTAAAATAGTTAATTGTATTCTTAATTATAATGCTGGACATATTTTTACATATTATCGCAAACAGTACACACAAATTAGCTTTTATACTGTAAATTGTGAACAGTATTTTTACATTTCAAGATTACACAGGATGATACTTTGTATAATAAAAGATGATGAGATAAATAAGGTAGTTCATTTTTGTCCAAGATGTCTCCTTTAATAAAAAAAATTGGCCTGTTTTGAAAAATCAGCCTTTAATTTTTTGAAAACACTGGTCAACATTTTGAATTTCAGGCATGCAATTCATGCGATACATGCAATACAAAGGCACAGTTCTACCCACTTTTACTTCCCATTGGACAGAAAAGACTTGATAATATTAGGTAATTGAACCTTTGTTATGATAAATAAGTATTCTGTTTTAATACATGACCTCACTGTTGTATTAAAGGGGGGGGGGGTACTTTTGAGACTCTGGAAACTAAATTAATTTTATTGGTTTGAATAATGTTTAAAACATTTGTTTTTTTATAATTTGCAATAATTATTTCAATATTGGTTGTTTTCAGTCTTCCGATGGAGGCCCCTATAGTTGTGATAGGGGATATGTCCTCCAGTATGAATGTTGCGATCCGGACATCAACGATCATTGCGTCACTCCTCACCGCAATCACCTCAGCTAAGCTTGTCTTCTTCAATCAAGATAATCATGAGGCTCCTTTTATTCCAACAAATATTGAAGAGATCTTAAAGATGGCGGTGACCAATCAGGCCTCGGGGAGTACAAATCCAGCAGCCTCCTTGTGGCCATTTTACGAGGCGAAAGAGAAAGTGAACACATTTATTATTGTAACGGATGAAGAAGAGAATCAACGGTGCCAAAATATGGAGTATGTCACCATTAATATGTTTTTGTTGAAGAATACATAAAATATGAACCTTTAATATGTTTTTGGAGTATGGGTCTTTATGAATGTTTCTTTTTGAAATAATAAGAAGTCTTTTTGAGATACTAGAGGTAACAAGATTGCAGAATGAACACAGAGCAATGTGAATACAGGTTTACAGTATGTGATTCAAGATTCAAAGATCAAATATAAATCCCCAAATATGATGTGAATTGTAATAAAGAAAATTTTCTATTTTCAGTTTTGCGACTATGTTTGAGAAATATTCACGAGAAGTTTACCCCTCAACGCTAGTATTTGTGTCATTTCTTCAGAATCAGCACAGTACAGGATATATGGTTCCTAAACTGAATGAGAAAGGGTTCCATCCTTTAGTTTTCAAGCTAGATAGAACTAAACCAGACCTGACAAAACTAGATAACCTATTTGGGCTACTCTCTTCAACATCGCAAGATTTTGATGCACAAATCTCAGCAATGGAACAAGAGTTGAATATTTCGGATGTTGATATGAGCCAACTGCATTTAGGTTCAGATTCAGCTGTTCAAAATTCAGAAACAGCTGTTCAGGATTCAGAGACAGTAGTTAAGGATTCAAAAACAGCTGTTCAAGATACAGAAACAGGTGTTCAGGATTCAGATTCAAAGTGAAAGTTTAAAAACTCATGAAGAAAGTGTTAATAACTCAACCAACAATATGATGATGATAGATATGTCCATCACAGTGCAGTTATAAATTCTACATAGTATTTTTTATAGATTTACATAGAACTATCTACAGTTTTTGCAATAAAATAATATTTTATACGATGTATGTATGTTTCTATCAATCAAGTATTTATTATAATATCAAACAATTATTTAATTTAAAAAAAATATGATGCAGTTGTAATTATAAATGTATAACTTATAAAATCAAAAATTACAAACTGTTAACAACTAAATTATTCCTAAATAATGGCATATAATCCCAAATCTTAAAAACCTTGACATTAACATGAATAATGAAAAGTTGTCATGCAAAAATGTAGATTGTTTTTATCTAGTCATTGGTAATTGTTAGTTAGTTTGTTTGTACATAAGGCTATAGTGAATAAATTACATGTTTAACATTTCTTCCCTCTTCACTTTTGAATTACAGTAAAACTTTTTTAAAAATACATTTTTTCATGATAACAATGTTGAATAGAGGTTACCTGTTCAGTTAGTAGTTTTCTATTTGTTTTCTGTAGTTACTTACACGTGATATTGTGCAAATGAAGAGTGTAACACTGGTGCGTGAGTATCTGAAAAATATTTTTAGCAGTTTTATGAGGGAGATATTGACAATGTTTTACACCATACATGTATTGTATCTTTAGCCATATTGTTTTATCAGAGAGAGATATGATAATGTTATTATTGTTATAATCTCTGTTTCTGGTTTTATCATTGAAAGTTGATATTGCACAAAATAAAAAAATAATTAATGTAAAACAATCTGAGCTTATTTCACTAATATGTGTTCACCATTCAAAAACCTTGTCCAACCAAGGGTGAACGTTATATCTGGAACACAAATACAATACAAAATATAGATGGCATTATAGTCATTCCTCCCAGTAAATTGGGAGTAAAATGTGTTTCTTGTTTATACTGTGGTGACATTACTATCCAAGCATTATGTCACGTTCTGGTCAATTATAAGTTCTATGTGTTGTTTTTTCTTGTCAATATAGCCTAAAAGGGCATATCTAAAGAAACCATATTCTCTCTAATGAGCGCACAGTGTGGTTTCCGAATTTAAATTTAAAATGGTAAGATATTGAGAGATTCCATAAATGCACATACAAAAAATTTTGAAAAGAAACATTGCAGACAATATTTTTAGTTGTTATCACTAAGGTCTGAGACTAATATAAACTTTTATTTTAGTCTCTGCATGGGCTCTACCTCTCTTGTATTTCTTTCTCTGCATTATATAATTATCAATCAATCTCCTGTTGTGTAAATAATCAAAACTAAATGTGTGCTCAATGGAACTGTGCGCTCATTAGAGTGAATATGGTAATCCTTATCAAAACCAAGAGAGAGAATTGAAAGTTCAAACTAGGGGTTTTGTTATATCCCCTCCCCATCTGTGGTGATATACAAACAGACAGCTGCATGTTTCTGATTTAATAATGTACATAACGCTGTGCTGCAAATAAACTATGGGCAGAATGATCGGTCAATTTCATTGAGATGTGGTGGCTCATGACGTCTGGTCACGTGATAAATAGTTGACGTCACCAGAAAGTTACGATGTCGGATCCTCAAAAAAGTGATATTACTGCAATATTTAAGCGGTTAAGATCAATTACAACTAATAAGGTAGGTAAAATAGATTCAGGACAAATTATGACTTGTAGATGGAGCCATGGAAACTCATAAATTAAGGCAAATTACAATGTTATTGAGAAAAATATTCAACTTCCGGTTGATTTTTTTCTGGGCAGGTCCAAAAAGATTGCACAAAACTTTACCATATGTTAAACTAAGGAAGTCACTTGTTTAAACCTCGTATGTTCAGGGTCACTTGATCATATAGTGTTTATAGTATGATTAATGTTTCATTTTGGTAGGTAGGCATACCCAATAAATAAGAAGTAAATTTACAAAAAGGTGACTTGTCATGTCTACATTCAAAGAGTGAATCAGATCCATTAGGTCGAATAGGTAACGTCGACACCATTTTGGGGTAATGTTGACATCTTGTTGTTTATTTGCTTTAATTTCTGATCTAGGGGAAGCCATGATTTTTTCACGCATGGGTCGAGAATCTCTTGAGATTTTAGTTTTTCCAGAAATCAAACATGGCTGAAAATGGAAATTCTACTTCTAATAAGTAAGTGTCAAAGTTACCCCATCTCTCATGTCGACAGTACCCCACACATCGACGTTACACCCCTTTGCCATAAATGTTATTTTTAAAATCAACCCCGAATTTTATGGGTAAAGTGGGGGACAAAAATAAAACTCAACGTTCACAAGTTGTCACAATGAGCTAATTTCCAAGTTTCGTGTCTCAAACTCTCCCAAGCGGTAGAAAAATAATTCCCGTTCACTAAAGTAGCACAATAAATGAATCCAAAGCTTCATACCTGCAAATAATGGATAAATCCCTACCAAATCGAATGCATGTTTTCATGAATCGCCATGTTTGTTATCCAAAGACGGTTGACTCCCAGAATGCAACATCAGTTACTGTATTTACTCATGGCAGGTTTCAAAATGGCGGAACAGCATTTTGAAAGCTGGCACGTGTCATGTTGCATTCTGGGAGCCAATCCTCTGTTCCGGCGCAATCGGGCGACAAAATCACCTCAACATTTGAAGAGTCGGCATAACATGTGAATATCCACTTCAACTTTTGAAGTTCTTATTTGTCATAAGGGACACAAATTCCACTATATTTGGACTTACTCAGACAGAGAAAATAGAGCACTATATACACTGAGGTAAGAATTTATTACATGTGCGACAGCATGTACTTTTCATAGCCTTTGCAATTCTTTATGATCCCCACTGTAGATTCCATTTGAGGTACATGAAAAGGTTATTGTGGATTATTCTTTACTTGAATAAAGACTCAATAGGCAACGGTGTTATTCGAAATAGAAAATACAAACATACTTAAGAGACAAACATCTTGTTGAAAGGCCATGGTGTAAATCACAGTGAACAGAAGCACCGCCCTTACCTCAAACTGGATTCATTGCTCAGATAATAAACTAAATTGGAGATGTTGCTCAAAATTTAAAACTGATCCTCACTCCACCTGTCTTAGGTAAATAGGCCTGATGTCATAATTGTCGTGATTGCAAATTCAAAACAGTGCCACATTTTTTCCCCTTCAGATTTCGAAGTGCCATATTTGGTCTTATTACCTATTAAAAAATTTCAAATCACACAAGAGGTAATCACAATATTATGAATTTAGAGCCAGTCATATTGTAGTGAATAATGACATTTTCAGTGTTGGAAAATATTAATCTATAAACAGGGGATCTAAAATTTCATCTATCAGATTGCGGAAGCCAGTTTTTCTGATTCAAGATGCCCAACCTGAAGCATCTGTAATGGAGAACTTCCCATTATCTGTCGTGTGACTGAGATAATAAATAGTTGGCCTCATGTATTCAGATGAATGTGTGCCATGTTAATTTGAGAGCATAGCCTCAAAATTACGAAGGATAATGTATACAAATACAGCTGTACAGACATATTATACTTTATATCTGAGACTTGTAAAAGTTTTCATCTCTGTACTATGTTTGTCTCTTGAAATTACATTGGATATATTGGCTGTCTGTTTAGCATAAATAACATTGTTGTTCTGACAAGTATGTATATCACCTAAAAGTTAAATGATAAAAATCTAGATTTGTGTAAAATGCTCTCTATGCAAACCATCATACTCTCCATTGCTGAACCTGAAAGATTTATTTGGAGTTGTAGTCTGGTTCAGTAATTTTCAAATTTCAGATAGCATACAGAGCACTGATTAGACTTATTCAGTATAAGGTACATCTCAAAACAGGAAATAGTACTGGTAGAACTTTCAAAAAAGGCTTGAAAACATTTTCTCACTTTAGTGTAACATTATTGTGATAATATTCAAAACCAGTGTAGTACAAGTACATATTCACTTTATATTTAAAATTCTTTTATATTTAATCACAGACATCAGCAAACATATGGAGGAAATAAATTGTATGTAGACAGTAAAAAGCTTTATAAAGTTTATTAACCCTAAAAATTATTTAATTATTCTTTTGTCTTCCACCACTGTGAAATCTTAATCAGGTTAATCTGAAACTTTTAATTTCCAGTTTGTTAAGCTGGTCATTGTCTCACCCATAATATTAAGTTCTCCAAGACCTAATGGTAGCTGCTAAAGTTTCACTAATGAAAATGTTATCATTTTTCTTTACAGCAATGTTTCGACTGTCAAGCGAATAACCCAACATGGGCCAGTGTTACATATGGAGTATTCTTATGTATAGACTGTTCAGCAACACATAGATCTCTAGGAGTACATTTAACATTTATACGATCAACACAACTAGACACAAGTTGGACATGGCCTCAGTTAAGAGCCATGCAAGTAGGAGGAAATGCAAATGCTGTAAGTATTCATACATTTGCGATCTTCTTTCTTGTAATTTAAAACTTGGTTCAGCATCATCTTAATCAGGGCTTTTTAGCCAGAGTACAAAGTTCTTACGGAATTTCAAATTGTTCATATTTGATTAAAGTGACAATTTCCAGATTCTAAAATCATCACCTAAATTGAAGATAGAGGTTTATTCTAATCAAATTCATTATTGATATCATTCATTATCAGAACTGCTACAGTCATTATTGTTATAGTCTTCAACTTTTTAGTGGATTGTTCATTGATTGCCATTCGGCAGTTGGTGTTTGTTGGTTGGTGTTTTCCGCAGTTGGTATCTGTAGCGAATGGCAGGTGGTGACATTTTGCATGTTTAACCTTGTTTTCCTTGTTTCAGACTGCATTCTTCCGACAACACGGCTGCAATACATCAGACTCTCAGCAGAAATATCACAGCAGAACTGCCAAATTATACAAAGAAAAACTCCATTCCTTGGCACAGGCTGCCATGAGACAATACGGAACACAGGTGAGCTGGGAATATTTGTAGCAGGATACTTCCACTCTTATATCATTTTCAGTATAGTGTTATACATGTAGTATTACATTAAGCCCCTGTGTTACCCTCAAGGGGTGATTGGCAGAGTTGCAAGAAAACATGTAATATGACAACAACTGCAATCATTCAACTTGTGGCAAGTCTTCTCTTTTTCATTTACAATTTTTTACAATGATGTAATGATTAAAGATTACCTCAAATAGAGTTCTGTAGAAAGTTATTAATTAGAGGATTTTGTCAAATAACCTGTCTCTCTTATTAACTTTCAAGCTTTAAATTAAAGAGTTCCACTCAACAATACACATACAGGATATCAAGAAAATAAAATATATGAAAACATTCCCCAGAATGCTTAAATGCTAGAGAGATCACTTTGTCCATCAGCTGTTGATCTTGAACTTTGCAATGTTTACTTCAGAGCAGAAGTTCAAACTTCTGTAGTTATGAGAGATAACAACTGATAATTGACTTTCATTATTTTACCCAAAGGTAAAATGTCACGGTTGTCACAGTTCATATTTTTGATAAAATTTAAGAGATTGGGAAATGGAACTTACTGCTTAGGATAAAAAACAAGCTGGCTTGTAGTCCATCCTTATATAAGAAATCAGACAACTTCACGTTTTGAGAGAAGTAGCACAGAATATGACAGAGCAAAGTGATATTTTGAACAGGCTTGACAATTGATGGTAACCACAAACCAGATTAGTGAGATGGGACAACTCTGAATTCTCCTGAATAATTCTATTAATTTTAAACTCTTGTAATGGGAATTCTATTTCCATGAATAATATCATAAATGTCACAAAAACAACAAAATAATCACAATGATATTATGTATATTTAAGTCATAAATGTAATTACTATATATTCTGAATGTACATAATTTGGATTACTTTATACTTCATGATAATATGTAAAAAGTTTACTTGTTTCAATTTTAGCCAATTTTGGATCTACAGGTCAGATTTAATATATCTATATCACAATAGGGTCTTAGACTCTTGGTTGCCATGGTGAAATAATACCTAAATCATGGTTGTCATGGTAAAATTCAGTGTGGGTCATGGTTGCCATGGTTAAATAATTTAAAGGTCATTAGGTCATGGTTACCATGGGATATACATCCTGGATAATGAGATGCATGTACTTGACTCAGGACTTATAAAGTGCTTTGATACCATGGTAGTGTTTCTAGGGTCTAGGACTCTGACTCTCACCACTTGGTTAAGTGCTTGTAGCAGATTGCATATAACCTTGCTTGGATGGTATGCTTACAAAGTGTCCTTTATATAAACTAAGAGATCTTCATTTTACTGATACAGTTATGTAAGAACTAATGCCACTTAGTCTGATGCTTCGTTGCATGTGTTGAGGTAGGCCAAGTATAGTCAAGTGAACTCGACTTAATGTTGTTGTTTCACGTTTCTTTTTGACGATTTGGATATTTGTTTTTTATTTTTGTTTTCAACATTTGCGTCGAGGATATTAAGGCCATTATATTGCGGTAAATGCTTTTCTGCCCTCTATGCCCAACAAAAGTTACACAGATAAGATAATGGATCCAATGCTTCAACTAGAATGTATTAAATCTTACCTTAAACACAGGAAACACTTGATAATTGAAGAAATGTAATCATTTTCGTATATGTTTGAACCAATTTCCAATATGGCTCTCAAGGTCACTCAAGGTCACTGAATACAGTCTAAATGTGAAACCATGCAACCAAAACGAAATCGTAATTATTTATTACCAACATATCTGTTTTCAGTTTCTTCACCCTCCTTGGTGTCTGAGAAGGCGATTCAATTGTCATAAGACGATGATAAACTTTTTCGAGTTGAAATCTCGATCTCAATATGGCTGCCGTTATTTATTGTAATTTCGTTTTTCGCTTCACCTAGAGTTTTACTTTTACACAATCATTACCCAGAATGCATCTACACATGGGGAAAAAATTTGTTTCCAGAAAAATTCTTATACTTCTTCAATTATCAAGCGTTTGACGTGCGTAAGGTAGGATTAAATACATTATCGATGAAGAGCATATTCTAATACATAATTTGTGTGATTTTGGTTGCCTAAACAGGCCAGGAAAGCATTTCCCTCAATTTACAACCGGCAAGTGTGTACGACCCTAGTATGCAAGAAAATAACAAAAAATAAATATCCAAATTATCAAAAAATAATGACAAATAGAGCATACGATGGTCGGATTTATATGACTAGCCAAGTAGAAAAATAATTTGTTTAATTGGATCATTTAACATTCAAGATCATGCATACATGCTTGCTTTATGTTGCCATGCACACCCAGGTCCAAAAGTTATCTTACCACGCCTACCTTAAGGTACGGGACTGTCTAAATCTAGGATTATGGGACTGTGGGATTGTGGAACAAGAAATTTGAATATTGTCCCCTGTATGTGCTATTTCTGTTTGTAAACTTTTTTAGAAGCATCAAGACCATGTGGATTTCTCATGATGCAACAATATTATTTATGGGTTTGAATCACGATTTATAGATATTGGTATTCGCGGAATATAAATCTGGCTTTGAACCATCACTGAATATGTTTTTCGATTTTAGTTAGAGTTAATATAATCCATTTAAATCATATATTGAGCTCAGTCAGGTCATATTATCCTTCACCAATTTAATGTGCAATGAAGTGTGAATCTGACATCACATGCTTCATTGAAGTATGATCTATATTGACTCCATTTGACCTTGGTGGGTCATGATAATTACACATTGACTATCATGTCTTATTAATCATGCACCAATTTAATTTCCAATGAAGCATAAATCTGACAACACATCCTTTGTCAGTATGTGAATTGACTTCATGTGACCTCAGCAGGTCATGATAATTACAGAAAATAGAGAGCAAAAGTCTATCTGAGGGAAGTAATCTTTTTGCTCCTGTAAAGAATATTGTACTTTCACACAAACTGTTGATTGAGACCAAAAATCCTTTGGGAAATGTGTAGGCACAATATCATGTCATATGAGCCAATAGTCAAAAGCCGCAACTGGAAGATCACTAATAATACAGATCATAGACAAGCATGACCTTGTGAGGACATATGTGCACTTTTTTACTTACAACAACATGTAGATCCAGGATTTTTTCTCAACATTTTTCACTCCCAACTAGATCCAGGTCTTGACCTTTTTTCTGACAAACAATCAGAAAACAAGCCTAATAACCCCTATATGCAAATCTCCAAACCTTCGAATATCACTTAAAACGTAAAAAGTGATATTAGATGGTTTCAAAAGTGATATTCAGTTGTTTCGATTTTTTCAAACGTTTTTTTCATGAATTTTGCAAAATGATTTTTTCAAAATTTTTATATTTTCGATTTTTTATCTGATTGTTCAATGTTCGCTAGGTAATAATTTCTCATGGGATAAACAGACAATCCTATGGTTTTGAAAAATATCAATTTTGCCATATAAAAAAACGAAATTTTTTCAAAACCATTTGATATTTCTATATAATTCTACAGGAGATACCAAATCGACAAATCCTTGAAAAGGCCACTGAAAATCAGGTCAGACATCAATATTAAACTACATTAGAAATATAGAATTATATAAATGTTCACAAGATATATGAGAATAATGTTGAAACATGTTTGAATTGTTTTATTGTTAAGCTTTTTCTGTGTTTTACTAATTAATTGTATGTGTTACTGGTGTCTACTACATCAACATGTATAATACATATACTTAAAAGCAGAATCAGGCCTATAGGAGGTTATGAAATTGCAAACAACATGTACAATTGACCTACCAATCTATTCCTTACAATCTCGAATACAAAATGTCCCAAAAGATTTGCGATATGTTATAAATTGGTGAAATTATTAAGGATTCAAAGTGCAAATATGGGAGGAAAATGTTTAAATTCTCCCAAATTATAAAAAATGGTAACCATGATTATTTACATATACGAGGGGTGATCCAAAAGTCTTGGACGCCCTGCTCTAATTTTGTTGGTTTTTGATAAAATTACTTCAAACTTCCCAATAATAAAGACCAACAACTTAACTACTTTGTGTATTAATTTCATGGAGAAATGATATATTTTATGTTGTTTTCTAGATAGTTTTTAATAGAGGGACCCTGCCACCCGGAACGGTATTCACATATGGCAACTTTCAGCCTTAAATGTTGCCGCCATTTGACTTGTTTCGCAAGTCCTGACCACTATATTTCTTTGAATTTTGAATGTTAAACCATGTTAGTTTACTTCCTTTGTTACTAGGCCACCAATTAATTATGTTTTAATTATAATGTCACATATGACGATGGCAATATATGTCAAATTCAAAGAAAATGACATCAGACAAGCAACCCTCATTCTGGTATCATTTGTGCTCCAAGATGGCTGCTGAAATGCAGAACATGAAAAAATCAAAGTGGAACAAAGAATACTACAAACATATTCTTACTATTATTGACCTTGAGCAGCTACCATATGCACGATGCAGTCTAGATATGGCTCCGTGTGATTTTCTTCCTTTTCTCCAAGTTGAAAAGGAGGGTTGAAAGAAAACGTTGAAAGAAAACGTTTTTATTCATTGGATAAGGTTTAGAGTGGCACTCCAGCAGCATTGGTATCACATAAGCAATGGCAGTTTCATGAATGTCTTACATTCATTGGTAAAGCAGTACGAAAATTGTGTTCAAATTCGTTTAAAATATTAGAAAAGTAGGTCTTAATATGTGAAGATGATGATGGCAGATGACAATCAGATTGAAAATCGGAAAATCTCTTATATCATGACTGGTATTAGGCTGTGCACCTGCACCTGCACTGGTATTTGCCATATTAACAGTTGTGACGTGATTTGCTATATTTAAATACCGTTCCGGGTGGCAGGGACCCGGTATTTAAAAATATTTAGAAAAGTAGCTAAAATATATCATTTTCTGGTGAAACTTATACACAAAGTTGTTCAGATGTTGATCTTTATTATCTGGAAGTTTCATGTAATTATATTAGAAAATAGCAAAGTTAGAGCGAGGCGTCCAAGACTTTTGGATCACCCCTCGTACAGTATTGTAAAACTCTTTAGTTTCCTGAAATAAAGTATGCAATTTGTTTTTTTTAGAAAATAGACCTAACAAGGAATGATATGAGGTAGAAATATTTTGAATTAGAAACAATTTTTATTTAGCTTGCCCTCTAGATCCGATTCTCTGTTTAAGTATACGTGTACATGTATTCTTTCAGTATTTATGCATTTATATACATAACTTCAAACTAAGATTATTGCCTAAGCTTATCGAAGCTTTGTACCCACATTTATAATAAATATACGCAAATCATACATGCTCACACATAATATTAATATGCAGGTTTCTCAGTTTACTTGTATTGTTCACTAAGTGTTTTGATATATTAAAAATTCATATTCGAGATGTTGACTTTTTTTCTTAGTTATATGGACAAATGAAAGCAGGTGTTAAATGATAGCCTGATTGATTACATATATTGATGTATTGGACGATTATCATCCAATTATTAATTAGGCCATACCAATTAAATGTCTGTTTCGTTGTACCTACCAGTTCATCAGAAAACTCCCTGGTCAAACCATTTTCTTTCATTTTTGTTTATGATTTTAGGACTTTGAGGGTGTTTCTTTCATTTTGACATGATGAATATTTGCAAAGAATAATAAACAGTATTAGGAACATGTAGGTCCTTTTTCAAAAACAGTTCCAACTAAACTGACAATTAATCTTTAGCGGCCTTGTTTTGTAATAGATATGTACTTCATACCTTCTGTATGTAAGTATATGTCAAACAGGTGCATTTACTTGTAGATCCTGGGTGAAATAAGGCGTAATATTTATGCCATGTTAGTAATAGAAAAGAGGGTGGAATTAGGGGCTTTTAAATTCTATTTTACCAAATTATTTATAAGATGTAAAAAGAAGACAAAATAAGTGAACTGTAGATCCACAGTTCTATTAGATTTATTTGTAAGTAGAAATGAAAGTCTATGATTTTTTGAAAGCTGGCATCAATTCTCCGGACCCCCTTGTTTACTTCACCTTTTTATGGAGATGAGTTGTATGGTAAGGTGATCACAAATACTTGGAGCATGATTTGTTGAACTACCGTAATGGTGACGAAATAAAGTTTCTAACAATTAATGAAATTTAGACATTCTAAAGCTCAAAATTGTATAGAGAAGTGGGTCGCAAGTTCAAGTGTAGAATAAACAAAACTGGTTACCAGAGTGACCTGGCTGAGATCACATTACCAAGGTAACAGGAAGTTGTTTACAAGGAAACAAGGAAGTCCTTATTCTTGAGAAAATGAAAATTAGATGCAGTTGTTTTGTGGCAGTATGTTACGATTATCTGTCAGAGTTTTGTTCCGAGTTTCATGTCCCTGTTTCAAATAGCCTTTCTTTTCTATTGGATGCCAAGAGGGCTTGACAGATTTTTTGCTTTCTGTTGTGCAGAGACAATATGAAACAAATAAGTAACCATGACAACTCTGTTGTGACATCATCGCCTGAAACTTTTATTTTGTTCTAGGTCCATATCAACACTGGCCATGATGTATCATCTCCATCAGCTACAACAAAAGATGTTGATTTCTTCAAAGAGCATGCATCTGCTGCTTTATTTACACCACAATCTGATAGTACAGCACCTCCAGTTAACAATGGATCTGTTGCTAGTAACAATGGAACGGTTGCTCAACCTATACAAAATGGCAACCTGAAAAAGGAGGAAAATGGAGGTAGATATTAATGCACAATGTTTAAGTTGTTTCATGTACAAATTGATTTCCTAATCCCCATTTTAAACAACTATTTTCTGAATATATTGACTTACTATATGTTATTTTCCTGTAAGTAAACATTGGTTAAATTACTTCAGAATACGAGGGAGTACAATGTAGATTTCCTATATAAATTTTGCGAAGCTAAGGTTGCCGTAAAAGTGTAACTGAGGCTTAACCTATATACTAATTTATCAATACCATAAAATTATGTACAACTATGGGATTCTTAAAAACCTATTTAAACAGTAATTAGGTACAGATCATTTCTTCTAGTAAAACCTGTCTAATCTCAATACCAGTGGGACCAGCCAAGTGTTCAAAAAAGCAGGTGCTCACATATCAAGGCTTCTTTTGACAAGATACTCATTTGGAGACAGAGGGAAAATGTTCATATTGAGCGATGTTCCACTATTAGTTCCACTTACACAAGTTTGACTGTATTGTATAATATGCTATAATGTTGCAGTGAATGGTCAAGGACCATGTGTAGAGGCTGCATTGAGCACATCTCCCACTGAAGCTGTAGCTAAAGCTGAGCCAAGGAAGTCTACTATTGGAGCAAGAAAACCAGCAGCTGTGAAGAAATCAGGGGTTAGTAGAATGAAATAGTGTACAGTGGAGCTTTAATTCATTGGGACTGGGATTTGCTACCATTTTCTTGATAATTTGGGTTTTTGCTTGATTTTGGAACACACTGAAATCTTTTTAAGTACATGTGTAAGACAAGTCAAAGTTTTTATATAGAGAAAAGGGACTACATCATAATTAAATTTACTTCTCTCTTTCCACAATTCTTGATTTGGACACCATCTATCTTTAACTCTATACTTGATAATAAGGAAAATTTAACATGTGGAAATAGATGAGCTTATAACCTGATTAAATAACTAAGAATGCTTTGTCTTTCATGAATTCTCTTTTTGTTAACTATATATCTTTTTTCATAGCTTGGAGGCAAAAAATCAAAGTTTGGTGCCCAAAAGGTGAAAACGAACTTTGATCAGCTTGAAAGTGAGGCTCAGATGCGAGATCAAGCAAAAGAGGATGCCACAAAAGAACAGATAGCTCGCGAGAAGCTATCAGAGGAAGAACAGATTAAGAGCATGTGAGTAGTTTAAGGATTTACAATTATATAATACAATTACACTAATCCTTGTGTATTTCAGAACGATTTACCATATTATTTTTTGAGATGTAAAAATTCTGATTGAAAAGTGTTTTACCAAAAACCAACCTAAATTACTGTAATACCAAATCATTCTCAAAATATTTGAACATCAATATTTATACAATATTAATACACTTTATATATGAGATAAATGCAAGACTTGAGGGAAATAGAGATATAAGTTATTAACAAAGTTGAATGATGGTAATGTGTATACATGTGCAATAACAAAATATATGAAAAAGCAGATTCAGACATAGATTTATTTTTTGTCTCCTCAACTAGCATTGAAAGTCTCCAACTTTTTGCAATAGCATTTGGCATCTGTAACAAATGGCAGGTTGTTACATTTTGCATGTTAATGCCTTGTTTCTTGTTGCCAGGGCCTCTATGAAACTCGCTTACCAAGATATGTCTCAAGAAAAGAAAAAAGCTGAAGATAAAATTCGCCTTACTGACCCAAAGAAAGCTGCTCAGTTAGAAAGATTAGGAATGGGATTTGCAGGTGGAAAGTGAGTGTCTCTTTCTTGTCATGACAATTGCGTTATGTTTCTTGTCACAGAGGTTATAACCTGGGAATCAGAATCACATACTTAGGGGCAGCACTTCGCAACACCAAATAAATTGTGAAAAACTGTGTTCAAAGAATATAAGGCACGGTTCATTATTAAATACTTTTTGATAATTTTTTGTTTTGATTCCACAATTTTGAAAGAATAATCATAAGTTTTTAAAATTAGTTTTTACTATTGAGTGATTTAAATGCGTCATAGGGCATTATTAGTAACATTTCAATACACACTGATAGTAATATAATACACTGTATGCTAACATCTTTCCCATAAAAGAGTTGACATAACTCATCCCAATTCTTTTTTAAAGGGGAGTAAGCCATTCTGCAATCACAGATATGCAGACCATAGACCAAGAAAAACCAAGTTCTGGCAGGGAACGTTCAGGATTTGATAGATACTCCTCCAATAAAAGCCGCGACTTTTTTGATGACGAATTTGAGTTTGTTAGTGGTAGTGGATTTAATAGTGGCCCACCAAAGTGAGTTGATTAATTATTATTTAGCCTACAATTTTGTTATATGCAAGGGAAACATGCAACATGGCATTGGAAATTAGAATTTTATTATGGAAACAGTTTCAAATTTTCTCAAAAACAACAGGCGGTTCTGGTAAAAATGAGATTTAGAAGTAGACATAACATAATAAGATCCTCTTTAGAAATAAAGGAATAAATGTATCAAGTGCATAATTTTTTTTTTTAACTTTTTAATAATATTATTACATTATTTGTTAACATGGAAATACATCATAAGCTAGGGATAATAGAGGGATTTCGCACAACGGGTTACTCGTGTAGACAAAATGTATCCACACATCTCGTTTTAATTTAATTGCTAAACACAAATCTGGATCATTTTGCTAAAAACGTTTTGCGAAACCTCTCTATTAATAAATTGTTCCGTCTTATCCCTAGATATGACAGTCCATTTGGCAAAGATAAGGGCGCTGACCGTGACGACAGATTTGGAGGGGGATTCTCTAGTAGTAAATGGGACAGTGCAGATAGATTTGAGAAAAGACAAAATAGTTCTGAAGATATGCCCCATAAAGAGAAAGATGACTATAGGTAAGCCAGCTCCAAACCATGCAGTATCACTTGTCATGTTCTTTTTTCAACTCACTTTAAAATCTTCATTTATGTTAACATAATCACAGTCATCTTGTTTCATGTCATTTTCATAACATTGTTATTTGATGCAAATATTGAGAGTAATGTTGATGATTTCTTGACTAAACTTCAGACCTTTTTATGAAGTATCCCTAAACATGGCCCAATGGCCCACTTTTCTCTGGACAATATCTTTCTCTTGATGTTTTCTTTGGATTATATTCCGACAGACATTCAATTGTGATTTTATGTACCATAAGACATGATTCATGTTAGAATATTTTTTGATCAATGAGCATAAGTGTTAACTCTTTTAGTGAAACATTTTAAAAAGATTTGGAAAAGCTTGACATTTGTGATATTGTTAAAGTTAAATGTGTTAAATAATAGTCTTTGCAAGGTTGTTGTTCTTTCTCAGCTATTGTTTGAATTTCATGATAGTTTATTTTTTATATTATGTCACCAACAGAAGTAGTGACATATTGTACTAGTCTCCAAACAGATTGGATAGTTAGTGTTCGAAGTCTGTAACAAAGGTGGTGACATTTTGCATGTTACCAGAAGTGGTGACATATTGTTATTGTCTCAACTTTTTTGTGGCAGTGATTGGTGTTCGGCGTTCTGTGGTTGGTGTTTGGTGTCTGTAACAAATGGCAGGTTGTGACATTTTGCATGTTAATGCCTTTTATTTTTGTTAATGTAGCATGAGACTGTTTAAATATTAAACTGCATAATAGATAAATGTTCATCATATTCACTCTATAGTATTCTGCAAAGTCTCTCTCTTGAGTTATCACATTGCTGTTCTGGATATTGATCTCAGGCTTTTATTACTTATTTATTTCTATTTATTTTAATATGGAAACAGCGAAACTAGCGTATGATTTTGATCAAAACAACCAGTGCCAGTGCTAATGAAGCCATTGTTGATGATATCTAGCAGTACACTATAGACTGTATGCATAATGAATATTGTGGCATGTTATTGTCATCCCACTCGAAACTTTCTGTACATATTTATGTTATTGAACTAATCGTTTCTTTGCACATCATTTATGTTTTGAAATGTATGGTTGACCTGGATATTTCTGATGCCTGGTTGCTATGCTGTGTTATGTTTTGTTGTATTGTTGCTAGGTCTAAAGGTCTCTCAATGGATAGATCATCAGGGGCAGGGGACAGGTACTCATTTAATTAACATCTCTTACTGACCATTTCAATATATCAAAATGCCTCCACTTCTCTATTTTCCCACATCCATCAATTCAAAATGATTTTCCCTGTAGACTTTCTGGTATTCTTTGAACTATCATTAAGTTTGCTTATTTTTTCCTCTATCAGAAAACATACTTCACATTTTTGTGTACTGTCTCATTATTAACAAACCTAAAATTCGAAATCACTTCAGTCATGGACTACCTTAATCTTTGGTGAATATAGAGTGGCACATATTGATAGATTGACATCGCCTCTCGCAGCAATTAAGGTGACTAGAGTGGGATGATATTAGACTTGATATTGCGCAAATTCAGTGTGCAAGCCTCCAATGTAAAAGGCCTAGCTTAATTTGGTTAAATAACTCATTCTACTCTGCCTACATAAACAAGCTTGTACTAATCGCTCACTAGTCTAAGTGCTGTTGACCTTTTAGCTCATTCACATGCCCTTGGCCCTCGTCGTATGTGCTGTTATCTGTTCATTCACTTCTATAATTCTTAAGAATAACTGTGTTAAATGAAGTAGAGTCTTTTTCTCCTGTAGTCATGAATCTCCCAAAACCTGTCAAGAAGTTTATGTTCACACTGTTACAAATTCTCCACTCCTTAGTTAGTGCAAACTCTAGTCTAGTAGCTAAGTGTGCTCATTCAGCTAACAAGTGTGCTCATTCATCAATAAAATGTGCAAATCTCTTCATCAAGTGTGCTCATCTTTTCTTTCTTTAGTGTGCCTAGTCAACTTAGATTTGTGCTTATTTTCCTATACTTTGCTCCATTCATTATGTAAGTGTGCTCATCTTTCTAAGTATGTATGTCCAACCATTTAACAAGTGTGCTCTTCCACTCAAGTGTGCTCATCATTGACACTAATGTGCTTGTCCAAAGTGCATGTTAACCATTGATTTGTTTTGCAAGTTTGATGTTTAAAAATGTTTAAAAAGCTTGCTTGCTTTAAAAACATTTTACCGTCTAAACGTTCTGTAATATTTAGTTAGTTGATTTATTGTTGTATAATATTCTTTTTCCTGCCAGCGAGGATACTGATGACATCATTGATGACGCAAATAATGATGACGATGAAAGGTATTCAAATAATAACAGACCTAATATGGCACCCTATTGTACCCCTTACTAAATTGATTGGGTACCCTAGAAGCAGTAGTTAACCCAACAGTGCTTTATGATACAATGCGCCTATGCTGTAATCTCTTGGAAATGGCTAATCAATCTTTCTCTTTATAGAAGTTGACTAATTGGTTGAAAGCTTCACAATACAGTACAGTTACTTACTAATAATTTAGTGATTTCCCCAGCAATCAAGCAACTGCGGGTTGTACCCAGTGGAAAACCTGAAAATTCATTCACATTTGAGATTTGAAAATTGACAGTCATGAAAACTATGTTTGACCCATTTTTAAGTGAAAATAAGTAAAGAAAACTGAGTATCTATTTGAGAAAATAAGTTGAGGAAATCACTGATATAATGTATATGTACTGTCTAAGCACAAAGTGAAATGGTGGAAGTTAAAAATACGGAATTGATTTCGAAACAAAAATTACAATGTACATAATACTGTTTGGAACAGGCCTATATGTAAAAACTCTTCACTTCAGTCATAACTTCAAAATAAGACATAACAATTTCATACTGCTGGAAAATTTTACCTGATTGGTTGATTCTTTAATTCAGCCTTATGGGTAAAGACATTCTTTGCTTAAGGCAGGTACCAGTAGGTCTACCTTGAAGTCTCACTCATTCGTTTCAAGTTATACAACAGATAGAGCCAACTGCTACATAGCATCTTCCAAATCTGCAATATGCTGGCCATTGCTAGGTTACTATTGCTATGGACTGCTCTGGTTGATGTCTTTGATTTAGTACAGAAAATAATATTTCAACTGATCTGCAGGACTATGGGATTTTGACAATGAACAGAGTGATCATAAAGCAGTGATCTCCCCGGCATTAAAGCAAGTGGGCGCAGCACCCACTTGAGATTTTGAAAATAGGCTTGCACCCACCTGATAATCCATTTGCATCCACTTGAAAATGAGAAAATCATAAAAAATTGGCATATTTTGACCAATTTTGGTCTGGATTGTGAAAATGAAAATTTTGCACCCATTTGAGAAAAAATCCTGTGGAGATCACTATAAAGTAATGTGAAGTATGCAAAATATTTCGATAGTATTGAATCTGACTAATTATTACTTCAAATGTTACTACTAAAATTAATAATTTCATTAATGCTGTACATTTTTTATGTAGCATGTAAAAATCTGTTTTGGGAAAGCACATGATGTTTTGAAAATACCTACAATGTTTGAGAATACACTTGATCACCCTGTATCATTTTTAAAGAATTGGCATAAAAACATACAATTTGCACATTGATTTATAATCTGGGTCAATAATTCAATATGTAAAAAATCACCATTAACTTGAAAACATTTGAATTAAAAAAAGTAGAATAAGATATTCATTTATGCACTATACTAAAATTAATCAAAGCCAGACAGTTTTCCAATAATTTCTAATTCTATGTGTACATACATGTATATAGATTTTGAAATACAAAAATCTGACTTTTTAGAGTCACTTTATTTAATTGTCTTGTAATTGTACTGTTCATGCATAGAAATGTTGTTTAAACAATCAGAAGCAATTGTTCAGTTTCATGAGAAAAATATAGAAAAGGCAAATATCCCAAGTAAATTGGCTTCCAATGTAGAGACATTTATAATCATCAAGTTGGAAGGGTCAATCATTTCAGAAATGGGACAAGTAATTTTTTAGTTATTTCTAAGTGTCGGTCATTCCAGAAAGGAATTTAGTTGCATGTACACTAGTATTTCTAAGTGTCAATCATAACAGAATTGGGAGGAGTAATTTATTTTTAAATGTTAATCATTTCAGAAGTGGGAGGAGTCGCAAGACCTATGATCCTCCAAGTGAGTCTACAGATGCCCAAAAGAAATTTGGTTCTGCCAAAGCTATATCCTCAGATGCCTATTTTGGTGACACACAATCAAAGGTGAGTCGATCAATGTCTAACTCATATTCGAAAATACCCTGAAAATTATACTTGACTATTAAGAGGCTTTGTTCCAAACCTACTTATCCAATAAGTTAATCACTTTACTCAAGATGCCCCAAGCCACATTTGATCTGGATCAGCCAATATCTTCAGTAGATAAACTTAAGAGAATGATATAATATGGTAAATGCTCTGTAACAGGCCAACTTGTAATTCACCTTATGTAGTAGGTCTGATATCTTTTTATCAAAAAAAAGCTATATTATTGAATTAAAATAATTGACTATCATCAGACTTAAGAAACTCCTGTAACTATACAATATTTTTCTACAGTTTGAACGTGAGAGAAATATGTCACGTTTTGAGGGGAGCAATTCTATATCAAGCGACGACTATTTCGGAACTGGTGCACCTAGACGTACCAATAATTATGACAATGGGCCTGATCTGGCAGATATTAAAGATGGCGTAAGGCAGGGAGTGACCAAGGTTGCTGGGAGGCTTTCAAATATAGCTAATGGTGTTATTAATAGTTTACAGGTATGTATATATACTTAAATATGGAAAACATATTGTTTACAGTGAGTTAATGTCATAGTCCTTGTATATATTGAATATAAGGGAATAGGGATATTATGTACAATGAATAATTGGTATATTATGTACAATGAATGAGTTGAACATTATTTACAATGAATGCATTGTATATTATGTACAATGAATGTAATTGCACATTTTGTACAATGAATAACGAAAATATTATGTACAATGAATATTTTGGATATTATGCACATCAAATGTTTCAGAAATTATGCTTTAACAGTTATTTTCATTTACAAAGGACTTCATCATTGAAGAAGATGTATCTTGGTCCCCAAACAAACCTATTAAATATTAAACTGTATGAGTGAGACACTATTATAAGATACATAGTTATATGTACAGTAAAACTTGTATATATGGACACTTCAGAATGTGAAACTTTTGAGTCCAATTGTTTATGGTACAAAGAAATAAACAGGAGTTACAAATGTGGAATATTGAGACAGATGGGCTCATTGAATCCCAAAGTGTTCACCATTGACATGTTTTACTGTAGCAGTGTTCACTTTTTACATGTTTTACTGTAGCAGTGTTCACTTTTTACATGTTTTACTGTAGCAGTGTTCACAGGGGATATCCTAAGAATTTAGAGGGATGTGTTTTATTTTTATCGATGGTTTGAAATAACACCTTTATAAAGATACAGGGTGAGCCAAAAAAGGTAACCCAAATAGTCAGTAATTCAACATTATTAAATATTAATCATTAAACTATAGGATAAAAATGACATCTCGGGATGATATTGTGATATTCCCCATATCAAATCCCTCCTGCAGAATAACTTCTCTTTTTATTTGTTCGATGTTCGACTAAGTTCACAACTGTTATTGAATATTATAGAGAAAATAATACAAGTGAAGTGTTGTATACAAGTAAGTAAGCATACATGTACATGTATGTCTAATGTACAGTCTTGTTCTTTCTATTCATTTATCTATTCAGCTCTTGATAACAGTATAATGTGGTATCTTTGCTATATAATGTCAATATCAGTGTTTACGTGCCTCTTATGTGCAGCATAAGGATAACCCAGGCATTTGGAAACTTACTTTATCTCATCTTAAAAGTGGGTAGTACACTTCCAAAATAACTTTGTGCTGGATTAGTGTTAATCTCCTTGCAGAATCAGCACTGCGTTTGTGCTAAATCAGCACAAATTGGAGTGCACAATTAGTGTTTATAATTCACTGCAAAATCTGCACAAATAACTTATGTTTATTGGGTGTGTACTTATATTACATTCATTGCAATTCAATCATAAATCATATGGAATATTCACAAGATGGGAGAACATCAAAAAAGATGTGTTTTTGGTTTTTCGTGGTGCTTTGTTCCATGCTTTATGTTGCGGCTTACATGTCTCAAAATATGTCATATCTCATATGACTAATGGGAGATGGGGTATGTTTTTTGAAACCCTTTACCCGAAAATAAAGTTTATATTTTGGGGCTGTACTTTGTTTCACAATAAACCCATAGAACATATCTATTTACTTCTTCAGGCACAGAGCATGGTCTAACTAACATAAATGGGTCAACTATTCAACATCTCCATCATATGAGACTATAATTGTGTTAAGCTTTGACTCTTCCTCTTGCTCTACATGCACATCAAGTTAATATTATATGTTTCATGTAATACTTAATTTGTATCTGGTATATGTCAGCACAGATAGCGCCATCTATCATGAGAATCAAAACAGTTCGAATTCAAAGAATATTCATGTAGTACAAAATGAGAAGTCAGCATATACAGAGAATAATTACTGTGAAAATAGCAGCATATATGTACTAATAATAAAAAAACACAATAATATTCAATCACCAAAACCACGAGGACATTTCGAGTCCATATATCACAAGACAGCAATTCTCATGTACGAGTTCAGGAGAATAATAGGGAGTTTAAGCTTGCAATCGAATTGAATGTTTTTCACAACCTGAATGGAAAATATTTTAGCGATGCATTTGTATGTTCAATTGATCATACGTATAGATTGGCATTTTGATTTTATATGCTAGCTTAAACTCCCTATTGATATGTGCGATCAACTGAAGTAGGAACTATTGGGATAGATGGTGGTGACTGTGATGTATCAGTTTATTAAGTGATATTGAGTTGTCTGCATTTAACATGTGGGTGTCCTCATCATTTTGACATTAAAATACATACAGCACTTTATTTTAGGATTAAGTTAGTACTTTAATACTAAAGGAGCATGAAGGTTATCGCAAACAATTTCAGAAGGGTGTATCTTGGATTATGACTATTTTCTGACAATGAAGACAGGTTTATCTTCTAGATCAATTCATTATCTCAAAGAAAATTATATACAGTAATAGTAAAGTCAAACAAACTCGGAGATATTTAACTAGCAGTCAACCCATCAACACACTTTTTCAAAGATGTTGACCCCATTTTCACCAGAAATGCAATCATTTTTTACAATGTTTAATGCATTACTATTCTCTATTTTGATGTATCAAATAGTTCTTGAAAGAAAATCTTAATTGCTTTAAGATAAGTGTTCCCCATGTTATTTCTCCATTCAAAAATCTCATGCAATCCATTGGTTTCAGTTCATTTTGGTCATCCAAATTCAGTATCTTTAAAGTCCCTGGAGCAATCAACTTTTCCTTTTAGGAAATCGAACATGTCTCAAAGCACATTCTAATTATGCATTCAACAATATAATAAAAGGTTGCATTTTTGGTGAAAATTAGGTCAACATTTTTGAAAAAGTATGTTGATTGGTCCATTGCTCCTTCAATATCACTTAGGTCTGATTAACTAAATTATCAATATATATACTTTTCTTGAAGATAATGAATAGATCTAAAAGATACACCCATGTTCATGATCAGAAAATATTCATAATTCAAGTTAGAATCGTTTGAAATTGTTTGCGATAACCTACATGCTCCTTTGGAGTATGTAATAGTTGAATAAATATTAAATATTCCTGGAAACTGATTTATTTAAATGAAATAAAAATGGGGGAAATCTGTCCACCCTGGGTGGTCTTATGGGTATGTAATGTTGTGGCATCATGCTGTGTTGAATGCATTGATTATTGTTAATTTATGTATACATGTATATGTAAATAATATTTAAATACAATGATTTAATGAATCATATACAAAGAAGGGTACCTGGTACTCCCACAATACTTCATAGTCATGTACATGTATTTGGAGGTGTAGCTGGGAAAACCTTTCTTTACTTTTTGAAAAACAAATTAAAATGCTTACAATTGAATTTGAAATATTTCTGATTTCAGGACAAATATGGGAACTGATGGAAGGGAAGTGACATCACAGAGTGTATATGATATCAACAATAGTTGTGCTGGAAGTGAATTATTTCAGAACTAAATAAGACAAAACACATGAACAATTTGGAATAACAGCACATCTTTGAGGAGAGGGAGAGGGGGGGGCAACAGATACAGAGAGTACATTATATCTATAGAAATATTATTTATTTATACAAATGACAATTCAGGAATGGAAAGAAGTATCATCAATGCAGAATACCTTACGAGAATTAGAAATAACTATGAGTATGATAAGTACTGATTTGATCACTATGGAGCTTTGGAAATAACGGGACCCTCTTAATATGACACTCAAACAGGTATATTGGCAGAGGGAATGGCAAAGTTCTCCCATGACATGTGGTTACATAGTGTTACAAAAGACATGTAGCCAAAATGTGTATAATACCAAATTTGAAAAAGGGAGTCCTTTCAAAAAGGAATTCATGAATATGATGTTCCATATTAAATATTTGAGAAATTGTCAGAAATATTATTAATTTGTTACAGTTAAATTTTCAATGATTTTGAGCTTGGAAATATTTGGACTTAATCAGTCTACATTAGTTCCAAGATTTCACTTCAAGTAAAAGTTGGGTAACAAGTTATGTGCAGTGCACTGACATAAGTTTTTATTTCAAAACCATGCTTTAGTTTGTTTGATGTTTGGAGAAGTACAACAACATTTTATAATGCTTATGTAATAGTAAAATTTATATGAAGTCCTCGGTAGATATTGTGCAGTTTCAGTTATCCAATATGTCGTATGATTTGCAAGGGAGCGAATATATAATGTGGCTATGTGAGTATGTAATAGCTGCATTCTCCCATGGCTTGGATCTGTCTTCCTTGCTTCAGAATGTATTTTGACAAAGAAAGGTTCTTTAAATATAATCATCAAAAGTAACTTAAGATAACTTAAGTTTTTAGTTGGAGTAAGGTCAAAGTATTGGTGCTTCTATTTGCTGCTTCTATTTGCTGCGAGACTACTTTCAAGAAAACTCAAATTAACTCAATATCAAACATTAACAAATCTTGGTTTTTACAAGGCCTTCAACAAAATTAGTTCTTTCGGAAAAATGGTACACTGGTATTTTAACTAGCTCCTTATCTCCCTATCACAACCATTATGTAATGTTCTTGTAACTGCAATTGCTGCAGACTGAAAATAAGGAAATAGTCCTTTTTGATTTGCCATTTGTAGAGAGGAATGAAGCGTTTTGGAAAATAGGAGGCATTTGGAGTATGTCCCAATTGTTTTTTGAGCAAATATATCTCATTTTCAAATGTTTACTTTTACTCCTTGGAGAAGTTTGTAAATATAAATTTTGGTGATGGTCACGTTTTAATATTTACAATTTGAATTATCGAGAAGATTATTTTACATTAGAGTTTACAGTAACTCTGGATTTTCCAGAAATGAAAAATGGTCAAACTTAAAGAAAATAAAAGGTCAAGAAAGTTAAAGATGTCACCATTGTATAATAATATTCTAGATTCAATTTACAGAATTGCCATAAACAACAATATGAAAGGTGTAAATATAAAATAGCTACCGGGTGACTCAGGGCTATGGTGGCGTAATATCAACTTTTACTTTTGAAAGTGTTGGTGGTTCTGAATCGACATGTACATTGGGAGCACACTCAGTTAATTCAGGTCTCTATCTATGTAAGAAAATTGATGTCAAAACAAAACCCGTGAAAAGGAGAATTTGTTCACGTTCTTAACTTAGCTTGAAGTATAGGATTATCATTTGCAGTATTCTATGTAAGATGAATATGTTTACTGTATGTATAGAATATTGTTGGAAATATGTGGGGAAAACAAATTGTATAGAACAATAAAAAAAGAAATGTGTATATAAAGATTATTTTCTTTATGTTTGTATTTGGCCATTTCTTCTGTCGAAGTTGATTACTGTACAGGTAGAAAAGAATGAACCTACATCAAATTGACCTATAACCTTGGAATGATCTTGACCCATAAAGTTGACTTCGACACAGCAGCCCCCAAATACCTAAAAATGCAAAATACCTAGATATTGAACTCTGACTGTAGAATACCCTGACTGTAGTTTGACCCACTATGAGTATATGTTGTTCACCAAGGATGATGCTGTTGAACAAGGTTGAACAGTATAGGAATGTCCAGACTCACGGACAGACAGAACTGTGCTTTTTAGTAAGAATATGTATACTACCCGAACTCCAAATACTGCTTAGTAGACATGTGTTAGATATTATATTCCGATTTCACAGGGCCAAAGTTGTCATAATCTTGCCCCATCTGTAAAAACTCTTACCCTAAGCTAACAAATGCAAATATTAAAGCACTCCCTTAAATATTGGCAACTTGTCAGATCTGTTAAATATCACCAATTACCCAAATGCGAGTAAGTAGTTACCAGTTTCACCACCAGGTGGCTGATTCGGGTCAATTAACATGGCAGGTATATAAGAAAGTTCCCTTAAACTTGAATATTATCAATTTAAGTGGCTCAATTTTCATATAACCCTTATGTGTCTGATACTTATACTAATGAAAATATGTCCAGTAAAGCAAAATATTATCTGTCCACTAAAAGAAAAGATATTTCATTTTTTGTGATTTTATAGCATGGGGTCTATGGGGAATCTCCCCGAGCTAGAAGTCACATTTTCAAAGAAAATTAATTTTTCAAAGTTGATAAACACTTTTTAAAACCACATTTCTAGATGTAATTTTACATGTAGATTTCAAATATGATATTACTTTGACTGAATTTTGAATTTTTAATGACGTAAATCAAGATTATTTCTACTCGCATCTGGGTTATTCAATTGTATAGTTTCTAAATAGCTGAATAACGCAGAGATAATAGATGTCACCCTTGTTTGTCTTTGATTCTCTTGGGCCAGACCTCCATTCACTTCAATGCTAGAAACTTGCAATAGTCACTTAAAGAGAGAATCAGATATAGCGAGCAGGCTAAACAAAAAATTGTTTCAATTTTAGAATATTTTTGGCTCCTGTCATTCCTTGTCATGTCTATTTTCTAAAAATCACAAAAGTGCATACTTTATTCCAGGAAAACTAAAGATTTCTACAATAATGTATTATTTTTCTATAAGAATGGTTACCATTCTTATTATTTGGGAGAATTTAAACATTTTTCACTCATTTTTGCACTTTGAATCATTAATAACTTCACCAATTTATAATAACATATTGTGAATCTTTTGGGAGATATTGTATTTGATATTGTAAGGAATAGATTGATAGGTCAATTATACATGTTGCTTGTAATTTTGTCACCCCTTATAGATCAGATTCTGCCTTTAATTTCATGATTTATCAAAAAGTATTGGTTGAATCTTTCTGAAACTCAATGGCATACTATTGGATGACCCCATCAATGTGATTAAACATGAAAATGTTGGTTGTCATACAAATAAGGTTTTAATGATTTTTAGCATTGCATCCGATGGAGATTTGCCCCAAGTTTTTTAAAATGTCATGGAAAATGATTTAAATGACATAACTGTGTAAATCAAAGTTATTATTGGAGAAAACTTGTCACTGAATTCAAATATGCTCTCAAAAGTGAAGAAAAGTCATTAGAGGTAAAAAGTGCAAAGGAAAGGTATTGATATGGTGAATTGAATTCAACAATGTTTTTCTCCTAAACCAATTATTTAAAACATTCTGTAAAAAAACATGGTTGTTTATGTAATGTTGACTGATTGGAATAAAATAGCATAAACAACATTTTCTTAGACCTCTCAATATTAAAGTTATACAAAGGAAATTTTGGTTGATTTGACAAAAAATATTCAAAAAATTAAAACAAAACCCCCCAAAATAGTTAAAAAGTAAGATGAACCTTTTATTTCATTAACAAGATACTTTTTAACATCAACCAAAATTTCCTTTGAACAATTATAATATTGAGAGACCTAACACGTTGTGTTTATGTTGTTTTGCTCCAATGAGGTTCGGAAAGATGTTTCATTTCATTCCGAACATATGATACCAAGAACAAAAGAAGTGTCCGACTTGTTTTCTAAAACAATATAGGGAAAAGTATATATTTGTTTTTTCAAATTATAATGTCACAGGCTGGTATCGAAGATTTTTCCGCTGTGACGGAGCATGCTATTTTTCATAAAAACACTAAGAATGCTTCACGATTTAGTTTTTAACTCATATGTTTCGTTATATCAAAGATAATTACTTACTCCATGCAATGGATATATCATTTGCGTGTAACCTTCACTTCTGTTTGAAGTCCAATAACGCTAGGAGTAAAATCTATTGAAAACGGCGCCAGAGTATCAAACTCTAAAATGTACCATTTCTTTTTTAACTTTTTAATAGCATGATATAGTGACACGATAATATTAACATATGTTTTCAGCATAACTCTGAATGTATTAATGAGATATTAATGCATTGGGTCTTTTTAATTTTTTTTATAAAAAATAATATTAATATTTTTTGTCCGCTGTGACGGAGCATTTTCACAGTTCACATTTGCAACTGCTCCGTCACAGCGGACAAAAAAAGTAAACATTATTTTTTATAAAAGAATTAAAAAGACCAAATACATCAACATCTCATTTATACCTTCATAGTTATGCTGAAACCATGTGTAAATATTATTGTGTCACTATATCGTGCCATTAGAAAGTTAAACAAGAAATGGTACATTTTGAAGTATGATACTCCGGCGCCATTTTCAATAGCTTTTCTTCCAAGCGTAATTGGACTTCAAACAGAAGTGAAAGTTACCCGCAAATGATATATCCATTGCATGGAGTAAGTAATTTTGTATGGTATAACGAAACATATGAGTTAAAAAATAAATCGTGAAGTATTCTTAGTGTTTTTTATGAAAAATAGTATGCTCCGTCACAGCGGACAAATATTTCGATACCAGCCTGTGATTGTTACCATTCCAAAGATGACCATTAAATTGACGATGTGTAAAATATTTTGAATTTTTTGATGACTGGTTAAAGAGAAACGTGTGTTCAAAAAGTTCACCATATCGATACCAATCCTTTCTTAAAATCCCATAAAAAATGAGAATTAGCGGGATTTCAAACATTGCACCTTTGTAATACTGAATATGAATGAACATAACAATGTATAAAATTTGGCAATTTATTTTATTAGATTCATTAATTCAAATTATAATTGTAACACAAGCAGCTTCCTAAAGAACCAATCCAGAAGCAAAGGAGGTCAATCTATCCCAAATAAAATAGTTTTTGTAAGTTATGAGAACCAATCAGGTTTTGCATAGGACTTCCAAGAACAATGGGACAAGTCAAGTTAAAATAATAGCCTTCTTGGCCTAACATATTTCGCCTGGCTTAAGAATAGTCCCTTTCAAAAACTCAGTCCAAAATAAACATGGTATGGAATGTCTCCTTTGCTAAAGTTTTTTTGCCACATCTGAAACAAGACATAACAAATGGCGTCTTGGGCCTAACATATACCGCCTTATTCAGAACTGTGGAAGAATCTAAGTGAATAAATACAAATTTAGTTTATTTCATCGTATCCAGCTAAATGTTAATTCTAAGCTAATGACCATTGTTACTTTTGTGCTAGCAAATGTTGCATTTAGGGGGGGAAGTTATGACGGAATATGTATGTATGTGATACTTGTCTGCATTAGTATGATTTTAAACTTGAATAACATGTTCAAGAATATGAGTTGTTGACGAGTAAATTTACACCAATACACAATACAGTGTTTATGAACATGTCCTAAAATAATTATGAATAAGTAAGAACCAATGTTAATAAATTAACAACATGTTCCAAATCCATTGTGAACACATACAGAACCACTTTGAACATGTTCAAGAATCACTATGAACATGTTCAAGAACCACTATGAACATGTTTAAGAACCACAATGAACATGTTCAAGAACCACTATGAACATGTTCAAGAATCACTTTGATTGTAAAAGTGCCTTAGTAAAGGTTTTAAAGTACATTTCAAATAGGCCAACATTTTAAACATATTTCTGTTGCCATCTTATACTTTGATAATCATGTACATCCAGAATACAGTAATTGACAAAATCTGAATTTGGCAAATCTGGTATACAAAACAATACAATATTCACTATATATGAGAAATAATGAAAATAGGTATCCAAGGCAATTTGCTCAAGTTGCTTTTATCAGAAAGTCTGTATTGAGGAATTATACAACTCTTTCAATGTTAAAATCATAATTTTCAAACTTTTTGCCGATTGTTTCCAATTCATTTGTTGTCAAAAATTTGTACGAATTCCCCTGACATCTGCATATGGCGAACTAGTTCACACTGTCCAGTGACCATTATTTTGTGATATATGAGTATTTTTACATCAATTTATCAAATTAGTTCATATAGAAAAATTAAGTGTATTAAAAATATACTTACTTTCACCTCATGATTTTTTAATAACAACATCTGAACAACATTCAACCCTAAAGCCTCTCTTGTGCAAAAACTTTGCAAAATGCGAGTGCATCATTAGACTGATTTCAAAACGTGAGTCCATAATATATTGTGTTCTAATCTCTAAATAACATTTAATATGCCTACACGAATAATTTTAACCATTCATATAAACCCAAGTTCTTAAATCTAATCCACCATGAAAACGTTCCCACAATCCTTTGATCACGATGATAGCACTACATTGAAATGCCTACTGGGAGTTCACATTGTCTTCCAGTGTGTGATGACTTTTCACGAGGCATAAAATTACGTAGGGGAATCCAAATCTGCACATCACCTTGCTTTTGATATACAGCACTGACATTTGTTCAAAAAGTGAGTCTAAAGGGTTTATATGTTTGTACAATATACCCCCATAGTTAGAGTATTAAAATCCTTTTTAATCTTAATTTTGGGTGATGAAGTTAGTGTGATAACCTTACATTGATACATTGTATTTGGGGCCATGAAGTGTGAAGTATTTCCAGTTATTGTGATACATCGGCAAAATAGCAAGATGTTATGAGTGACATTTGCGAAAAAATTCTAATTTTTCGGGAAATTTCATTCTAGATCTACAAAAAATTCTTGTGGTGAAAATTTCATTACATAAGAGATCTTTGCAATAAAAATTCTTTATAAAATATTTTTGTGACAAATTTTAAATAAATAATACTGTATCAGAAATAGATTTAAGCTACAAATCGTATAATTTATGGATCTCGCAAAAACAAAGCTCACGTTAAACAACGAATCATCTACTCACTCACTAATAAAGTTCTTCTAATAGAAGATGGTTGTCTGATATTAAATCACTCCTAGACTACATGAAAAATAGAGAAATATTCCCATCTCAAGCGCATTTTATCTGAAAGCATTCTACTATAACGATCATCTATCTGAAAGAATGGAATCCTACAAAGGCTCTCAATATGTGAGGCCAGAAACAATGTCCTACATGCTAAGTACTTCTAGTTTTGTTTCTATATGCAGGACAGTTTTAGCATCAGCAAGTCTCTCCAGATGTCGAGGGATGTTCTTATCGCGATAAGTTGTGATTGGCACCTGAAGATCCGCCTCCTTTAGACCGAGGATGCTTGTTGCTATGTGACTCACAAATTCTGACCTGGAAACCAAAATCAGAATCTCAAAACTGTTCTTAAAGAACATTTGCAAAAATGAATATCAATTACTGTTTCATTGAATGACAATGATGGACAACACCCTTTAAAAGTTAGAACTTTTTTTGAATTTCAAATACTAAATTTTGTGACTTAAAAATGTTGTTTTAACCAAAGTGATTACACCTTAACATGGGGTCTCTAATAATTCACAATATTTTCAAGAAACAGAACTCCATATTATTAAATGTTTACTTACCACTTGTTGAGTTTTGTCTTATCTAGTAGCATAGAGTCCTGGGAGTATACCATCTCACCACGATGTAACATACAGCAAACAGCTGACCAGCCAAACTGAAACATTATTATAGTAAATTTTTGTTACACATGAGTCATGGTAGTCTTTTAACAATGCTCATTTTAAAATCAGCAGTTACCATAAAAAAGTACATGTAATTTAATTGTAACTTTTAGTGCATTCTGTGCTAAATTCTCATCTTTACAAAAGAAAACAATATCTTGTAAATGTTACATGATTGGGCCAATTTAGGCAGTTAGATGTAGGGCGTCATGTCAATATAGTACATAAAGTGTCAATCATGATAACAGCAATGTTATAGACTAAGCAGACTTCACCCTCTTAATAGATTGTAAGTACATGGAACAACATAGTTTAAACAGGATGACTTTGAAAGGATGAGGAGGGGATACCTGAAGTGAGAACCTCTAAACTAGAACAACGGCAACGCCAAAGCGCAGCGAATCCCATCGAACAGAAATGGCTGGCAATTTTACAAACGAAATATATAGCAAACATCATAAAACAACACACCAGAAAGGCCACCATTTTCAAAATGGTTGCTCACTAGCCAAGTTGTCAACAGAAGAAATAATATGCTTTTAAGTAGCCACCTATAAAATCTTTGAAAAATCGCATACATGTACTTGTAAAATAACACACATAAAAATGGTGGCCATTTTTCAAAATGGCTGACTACTCCCCAAAGTTTTATTAGACAATGTGCCATGCTTAAATTGTTCACATATCAAATATGAACAAAATCGCTCCACTACTTTTTGAGTTATAGTAAAAAATATAAAAATGACAGCCATTTTTATAAAATGGCCGCCTACTATCTGAAGTGTCATGAGACAGTGTGCAAGGCTCATGAGTATTCACATATCAAATATGAACAAAATCGCTTCACTACTTTTCAAGTTATAGTAAAAAACGTAAAAATGGTGGCCATTTTTCAAAATGGCCACCTACTACCCAAAGTGTCATTAGACAGTGTGCCATAGTATTCACATATGAAATATGAAACATACCAAATATGAACAAAATCACTTCACTACTTTTCAAGTAATAGTAAAATATGTTAAAATGGCGGCCATTTTTCAAAAAAATTTTCAAAATGGCCGCATTCTACCAACAGTGTCATAGGACGGTGTGCCATGCTTATAGTATTCACATACCAAATATGAACAAAATCGCTCCACTACTTTTCGAGTTATAGTAAAATATGTTAAAATGGCGGCCATTTTTCAAAATGGCCGCCTTCTACCAAAAGTGCCTTTAGACAGTGTGCAATGCTTATAGTATTCACATACCAAATATGAACAAAATCGCTCCACTACTTTTCGAGTTATAGCAAAAATCGTGAAATAACGAGTAAAGGCCGCCATTTTTCAAGATGGCTGCCATGTGCTTCTTTAATGTCTTCATTTGTAGCTTTATTAATGTCCTTCATAATTTTAAAACATATTGCTATTACAGTTTTACATATTGCACCTAAATTACTGTAAAATCGGCACCAAAATGGCCGCCATTTTGAATTGAGCGGCCATTTTGAAAATCGGCTTTCGAGCAGAACTTCTACCCTCATAGGGCATGTGTGTATAAAATATGAACAAAATCGGGCAAACGGTATTTGAGTTATCGCCCGGACAGACGGACGTACGGACGGACGTACGGACGGACGTACGTACGGACGGATGGACGGACGGAGGCGTTCCCTATATCCCTCCGAACTTCGTTCGATGGGATAATAAAATTGTAAGTACATGTAATACCTTTAAACAGGATGACTTAGAAAGGATGATGAGGGATACCTGAAGTGAGAACCTCTAAATAAAATTGTAAGTACATGTAATACCTTTAAACAGGATGACTTAGAAAGGATGATGAGGGATACCTGAAGTGAGAACCTCTAAATAAAATTGTAAGTACATGTAATACCTTTAAACAGGATGACTTAGAAAGGATGAGGAGGGGATACCTGAAGTGAGAACCTCTAAATAAAATTGCAAGTACGTGTAATACCTTATGTTGGAGCAAAGCGTGTGTTGTATTGGACTGTGTAGTTGATATATTCTCCAATAAACATCCTGCATAATTGGCTAAGGTCTCCAAGTCACAGTGTTTCAGAGTCCCCTCAACTGGAGCAAACAGCTTACACCAACTCTAACAACAAGAATAACAAAAACAAATTAGTTTTCCTAATGAAGGACCCACGGTCCTGTGCTCACACAGTTTGGAACCTTCAGAGGAATTTATATCCTGACTTTCAAACAAAAATATTGATTTGGATTTGTAGTCTCGAACTTTGAGAAACTTAGATAGCATAGTTGTGTGACCTAGTTTGATGACCTTTAACCTTGAAAATTTTACTTATTCAGAGCTCAGTAAGGTCTTTTGTGATTAAGCTGACCAAAATTTACATCCAAAAATCAATTTGAAAAATCAACTTTTTTGACCTTTCGAAGGTCACTGAAGGTCCAGTAAAGGTCAAATCCTAAAACAAATGTCAGATTTGAACTCCTGGCAACTTGTAGATAATTTTCAAAAAAAAATTTGGTCAAATTGAAGCAAGTTGAAAAATAACTTATTTTTACTGTTTTTTGACGTCAAATATCTCAAAAACGGTAAAAATTTGATGCTGACATATTTTGAGAAATATGTAGGGAATGCTTGAATCTATTAATGATGTAATTTATTGCAGGAAATGATCAAGTATAAGGCAAACTTTAAGAATCTTGTCAATCACAAAACCTGCCTTGACTTTATACATGAGAAAGTTTCCTGAAAATGACTAAGTCCTACTTTTTTTCAAATTTTATAGAGTAAACACCAAAAACCGTAATTCCAAGAGCTTTGAAATCTTCAGAGGACATAAGCTGCATATACACCAACTACTAAAAGTTATTTGAAAGTTCTACTTCAACAAAGTGTCTAGTATTTACAGAAAAATTTGACTTTTTGACGTAAAAATCCGCAATTTCTGGGAAACCGGGCGAACTTGGGAAATGGCGATGATAGGTCAAATAGGCATTATGGATATGCATAAAATGAATGTGGATATGACTCAATCCGAATAGCAGTTTAAATTTGTGCGGCCAATGTTGACGGACGGACGGATGGACGGACGGACGGACCAACGGACGGACGAACGCCTGGTCAATCCCATAGGCTCACTGTGTGAGCCAAAAATGATGACCGAAATAGTGGTACCATCTGCACCCACTCAAAAACACACCTGCACTCACTCAAAAACACATCTGCACTCACTTGAAAACACATCTGCACTCACTTGAGTAAATTTGCACTCACTACTTGAAAACAAATCCTCACTCACTTAAAACTGGTACAGATTGATGAACTTTTGGCAACGGTGGAAATTATAAACTTTGAAGCGTTCCTTACCTTGTCCCCCTGGTCTCTATTGTTTACATCAGATACACCTCTAAGTACAGATGCTATCACTGCACTGCTTTCACACTGTAACAAATGGTAAACATACTGTTAAGGAAGTGAGCTGGTACATGCATTCTTGTGCAATGTGAAGCATTCCATTGAAGACATTTAAATGGACTTAATGAACTTAGTAAAACGTTTTATGGAGTAGTAAATCCCATTAAAGAAAAAACTAGAAAAACAGCAACTCCACGGAGTAGCAAATCCCACCGAACAAAACATATTATGCTTATTATAGCTAGTGTAAATGTTGAAATGTTTGTGCACTTTGAGATAGAAGCATGAAATTTGGCACAAAGTTAGTTTATACCATTGTGAACTAGGCATCATCATATAAAATTTGAACCAAATCTGTTCACTGGTATATGAGTTATCAAAGATTACGTTTTTTTCGAATATGGGCCGCCATCTTGAAATTCAGCCGCCATCTTGAAAATTATTTCTTGAACAGAGCTACTGCCTCCCTAGGCATAATAATTATATAAAATTTCAATCAAATCTGTTCACTGGTATTTGAGTTATCAAAGATTACGTTTTTTACGAAAAATTGCCGCCATTTTGAAATTAAGCGGCCATCTTGAAAATGTTTTGTTGAACATAGCTACTGTGTCCCTAATAATCATAATATAAAATTTGAACCAAATCCGTTCACTGGTATTTGAGTTATCAAAGATTACATATTTTTACGAAAAATGGCCGCCACTTTGAAATTAAGCGGCCATCTTGAAAATCTCTTTTTGTGCGAAACTCCTTTGTCCCTAGGCATCAGCATATAAAATTTGAACCAAATCCGTTCACTGGTATTTGAGTTATCAAAGATTACATATTTTTACGAAAAATGGCCGCCACTTTGAAATTAAGCGGCCATCTTGAAAATCTCTTTTTGTGCGAAACTCCTTTGTCCCTAGGCATCAGCATATAAAATTTGAACCAAATCCGTTCACTGGTATATGAGTAATCAAAGATTACGTTTTTTAAGGAATTTGGGCCGCCATCTTGAAATTCAGCCGCCATCTTGAAAATTATTTCTTGAACAGAGCTACTGTGTCCCTAGGCATAATCATATAAAATTTCAACCAAATCTGTTCACTGGTATTTGAGTTATCAAAAATTACGTTTTTTACGAAAAATTGCCGCCATTTTGAAATTAAGCGGCCATCTTGAAAACGTTTTGTCGAACATAGCTACTGTGTCCCTAAGCATCATCACATAAAATTTGAACCAAATCCGTTCACTGGTATTTGAGTTATCAAAGATTACATATTTTTACGAAAAATGGCCACCATTTTGAAATTAAGCGGCCATCTTGAAAATCTCTTTTTGTGCGAAACTCCTTTGTCCCTAGGCATCAGCATATAAAATTTGAACCAAATCCGCAAACTAGTATTTGAGTTATTAAGAGTACATTTTTTACGAAAAATGGCGGCCATTTTGAATTCAGTGGCCATATTGAAAATTTCTTCTAGAGCAAAGGTCCTACACCCATAAGGCATAAGCCTATAAAATTTGAATCAAATCCGTGAAACGGTATTTGAGTTATCGCCCGGACAAATAGACGGACGTCATTTGTTGTTGCTGCATTGGTTTACGGACGGACGAACGGACAGACGGACGGCTTTCCTATATCCCTCTCGAACTTCGTTCAGTGGGATAAATATATTTCATTAAAATTATAACGAAGATTTTATAAAGATTTATAGGTATCAGCCTACAAAACTTAACCGAAATTATAAAAAAAGGTATCCAAGTATTGCCCAGATGCACCAATGGCCATATGGACAAACAGTTTATATCTATATCTATTACTCAAACTTATCAAAGGGAAAAAATTAACTGTAGTTGATACTTGTAAAGCATTGGAAACAATGACCAGCTCTCTACCTTAAATGATAATGTAAGTCCATTTCAAAAAAGAAAAAAATCATTGATAAACAAATTCATGACGTTTAACCATTTCGAAATTGTTTAACAAAGCTGCCTAAAAAACAGAGATAAGAAATATGAACAAAACACAGGCCATTTACGTGTTATCAGTCATCTAAGGTAGCCACAAGTTAATTCCCTGTTCACCGTTGAGAAAATAGCAACACCACCAAAACCAATTTTATTATTCTTTTATCTCTTCAAACTTGCATATTTAATGTCAAAAATGAAATGTTTAAATAGGCAAGAGAAAGTTTGACAGAGGGAGTTTTGTGTCACAAGGCAGGTACCACTTAACAGAAAATTTAATTTGCAAGGGTTCTAAGACCATGTGAACATATATAAACAGTACCAAATGATTGTTGTTTTACAGATAAAATACCTCAACAACATGTTATATCTACAGATAAATACATAAGGTAAACTAAGAGGCAGATATCCTTAAAAAGATGAATACTAAGAGTAAAAAAATGTTTAGAGCAAAATGTTTCCTCATGGTGTTTATTTCTTTACTTTTACTAATGACATTTGTGTTAAATGCCAAACATATGGAGACATTCATAGGAAAGGACTTTACAAGGACAAGGATTTTACCTTTTCTGAACATATGGAATAATTCCACCATGGAACCTACAAATTCAGAGCAGCCTCACATGACAAAATCTACAATAAAATTTTCAAATTCAGACATTTTTCAAACAAGAAAACCTACTATTCCAGACCAGCCAGGCACAACAAAACCTGCAAATTCAGATCTGCCACACACAATAGAAACTACAGATGTGGACCAGCCACAAACAATAAAATCTACAAATTTAGACCAGCCTCGCACAACAGAATCTACAAATTCAGAACAGCTTCACACAATAAAATCTATGAATTCTACAAATTTGAACCAGCCAAACACAACAGAATCTGCAAAAGATGAGTCTAATACAGACATATATTCAAATCAAAATACAGAAGTACATCGGTGCATAGAAGCACTTTTAGGAAATAACACCCAACAAATGAATAACTGCAAAAAGATCAGAAATAAAACAATTATGAAAACCATCATTGATAAATATAACAAGTTGACTCAACGAAAAAAACAACAACAGGATTTTCATCGAGATATAAGCTCAGAGTTTATACACCACAAAGTCAAGGGATCAATGGTACCAAATGTTGTTCATTACATATGGTTTGGGGTAAGAGAATTTGAATTTTTCCATGCTGTAGCAGTGTATAGTGCTTATAAGTTCCTCAAACCTGAGAAGATAGTGTTTCATGGTGATACCATACCAACTGGACCATGGTGGGACTTCGTAAAGAATAAGACATCACATCTAAAGTTTCATTATACTGGGAAGCCTACATATGTATATAGGAAGAAGTTGGAACATTTAGAACATTCTGCCGATATCATGAGGTTACTAATATTACAAGGTAAAACATATTTTTCATTTGAAAACTTATTTTCAGCATAAATAAATATCTGAAAAGTTCAAAATTTATGAAATTCCCTCCAAGGATCATTCAAGCGCTTCAAATTAACTTTGATGAAAACTTTCTTTTCTGTAAACATCAACACTTAAAAAGTGCTTAACTTTTACGATCATAATCAATGACAATGACAAGAGGGCAATGCGCAAACCCCATCAAACATCTAAAAACATTAGACCAGACGCCCAATCATCATTTCTCAAATTGAAAATGTGTCATGTGTAATTATAATTATACAGAAAAGAAGATTTGAATCGAATTCTATTGACAGTGTAAATATCAGGTCATTCTGAGAAAGTTAGTTTTAAGAACAGCGATTAAGACTATAAATTTTTCTAAATTTTCCAGAGATCAGAAAATTTTACAGTTTTAATAGTGAGTGCCTTTAATTGACCATTGTTTCATTGTAGACGAGGGAGGCATTTACATGGACACAGATGTAATTGTTCTTAAATCTTTTGACCCACTTCGTCGATATGATGTCACAATGGGAAAAGAATCAGATGATGGACTTGCTAATGGGATAATTCTAGCAAAGAAAGGAGCCCCATTTCTCAGACTGATTTTTGAAGCATATCGCACATATAGTAAAAAAGAATGGAGTCGACATTCTGTGGGTGTCCCTTATGATTTATCAAAGATTTACCCACATCTTATTCATGTTGAAAAAACAAGTCTCCTACGTCCCAGCTGGATGGACGCTAAGATCCTTTTCCAGGGGCATTACAACTGGACAGAAAATTACGCAATTCACATCTGGCATCGGGATTACAAAGCAATTGGTGGATATTTCCCACATTGTCCAGAAGATCTTTATGACCTTGACACAACATTAGGAGAGGTCATGCGGTACGTATTGTTTGGAAACTCGACACTTTTAAGTGTGAATCCAATGAATACAACAAATCACAACAGTACCAGACACATGAACGTAACTTGCCAATCATATGATGTGTTTAATGTGACAAAACAACTAGTGGAAGAAGGAGACCCAATTAACACACCAGAAAGAAAGCAGAAAGCACATACCATTGTCACACAACAGGAAAAGCAAACTGGTAATTCATTTAAGACCCAAAAAAGAGTAGAAAGGATTGAAGAATTACAAACGCAAGAAATATCAACCTTTAAATTATTACAAAAATACATAGAATCACAAAAACATGAGATAAGAACTGATTCAACACTAGTGCCAACTGATTCAACATTAGTACCAACTGATTCAACATTAGTACCAGCTGATGGAACATTAGTACCAACTGATTCAACACTAGTGCCAATTGATTCAACACTAGTATCAATTGATTCAACACTAGTACCAACTGATGGAACATTAGTACCAACTGATTCAACACTAGTACCAACTGATTCAACACTAGTACCAATTGATTCAACACTAGTACCAACTGATTCAACATGAGTACCAACTGATGGCACATTAGTACCAACTGATTCAACACTAGTACCAATTGATTAAACACTAGTACCAATTGATTCAACACTAGTACCAACTGATGGAACATGAGTACCAACTGATCCAACACTAGTACCAACTGAATAAACAGTAGTATCAATTGTTGAGACATTACAAACTAAAGAAGAACCAACTGCTTAGAACCAACTGATATAAGGGAGTTTGAGCTACATGCTTTTAAGAGAACTTGTACATGAATATGTAATATTTCAAACACTAGGCATATCCCTCTCTCAATAGTTGTTTTATTCCAGGGACGCAATTATGACTATTTTTCTCATACTTTCATGCTCAATCAGGCTAATACTAGGGAGGAAAGAATGGATCCCTAGAGTACCATAATTCTCCACGTTCATGTAGTTCTCTTAAAAATGTGTAGCTTAACCTCTCCAGTATCAGACATTACCTGTTGTAAGAGTGGTAGTGCCCGGGCTATGAGCAAACGGCCTTTCCTGACCCCCAGGAGACGTGTCATGAAGTCCCCACCCCGCTGCAGATTATTGTAAATGCTATCTATATTCTCTTTGCGCTCATCAAGCAATGGTATTCTAAAGTGAGAAATATTTATAATCATGAAGACAGATAAAAAATTCAATCCTTAGAAAACCAAAGTTTAATGTTTGATTTTTCAAATGATGATTCGAAAATGAACTTACCGTCCTTCTTCTGGTAAAGCTAATACTCTTTTCTCAATATCATCTATGTACAGCAGTCGGTCGTAAAGCTAGAAGTACAGAATACAAGCCTAAAGTAAAACCTGCATATCAAAATACCATTCTTATCAGAACACCTCAAAATGTTTCCCTGTCAAAATTCTGAATTCTCCCATTGACTACCAGGTTAAAAAAATTTAAATGTGAATACCTAATCTAACCTGAACACTTTGACAAGTCACATTGGCATTTAGATCAAACAGGTTCTATCATATTCGTCCTAGACCTTTTATCGACTGATTTTAACAATTTTCGACTGTTTAAAGTTTAAAGCATTTCAACATATTTTACAGAGTTTCATAAAAACTTCAGATGACTTCCAAAATATACTATTTTCATCATGGAAACAAGATATTAACCTGCAAAATCCCACAACCTGCCATTTGTTACAGAAACCAAACTCTGACCAACAAATATCAAACACTGACTGCCTAACACCATCAGAAAAAAAGTTGGAGACTATAACAACAATATGCCACCACTTGACATTAAAATCAAAACAGAAGCAATTTTGTCAAAAAATAAGTGACTGTTGCTAATGAAACTCCTGCGTTGTTAGATCTACAAAACTGACCTTCTCAATATCAAGTAAGAGTTCCTTGAATCTGCGTATATTCCTGGCCTTTTGGTCCTCCCCTTCTAGGCTGTTACCCCTTGAGATTTTGTCAATGATCTGCCTTGGATTGTGAACACTAGCTGCTGTTAACTTTCCTAGAGAGCCTTCAAACTGGGCTGAAAAACATAACGTCTTTTCTAAAAATGTATTGAAGTATGTTATATGAGCAATGAGTAGTGAAACAGATATTCTTTCAAAGAGCAACTTTTTTAAATACTTGTCATATCTATTTCAGATATAAAATTAATTTTTGCGATATTATTTCTGGTACCTTTTTACACTATATATGACAGATAAACACAAACACAAACTTTTCCAGATTTTTTTTATTTTCCATGTCCATGTTCCATGTGTCTTATTAATAACTTCATTAACAGCTATATCATCTTTGCTTCAGCTCTGATACAAAATTTTGTAATATTTCCTCAACACATAATAGGCCTTAATCTGAAATTGCTTGACATACCAAAGAGCTTGAAGTACATATACATTTCACTAACATTTCCAGGCCTGTAGGTGGTACTGACTATATACTAACTCACCAGGTCTATAAGTCCTTGTCTCCACCTTTGAGAATTGTGGGAGAACTAGTTTAGGTTCCTGCGCATCACCAGATCCTCGTTCCTGCTCCAACTTACGTACCTCTTCCATCTTCAGACGCATCATAAGTGTCTAAAATATATGATTATCAGATTTAATAATATTTTTGCCCAAAAGTATGAGCACTAGCAAATGGTTCACTAAGGAGTTTATATGTAAAATTGTTGATTGAGTCAACTTGTCTAAAATGGAAATATAATACAAATCCTTAATTTACATTATATAGTTATGTACTGTATAGCAGTAGTCTTGTATAAGTGCTCTCTATCTCTACATGTATTTAGAATGGCATTTAAGACTATTAAAAATGAGCCTACTGAATAATAATAGTCATCTAGGTAGGGATTGTCAGTTTGAAGCTGCATGAGTTGAATCTTTATCACCCAGTCTTTCTCTTTCTTTGTCATCAAACCTGCATCTTCATCCCTCTCACCTCGGAAACCATCACCTGAATTATTTTAACAGTTAATCAAAAGAAATCAAATGCGTGCAATTAAAGTATGGTTTCTAGGGATTTTTCATACATAAATAAAAACAAAGCTGTAACCCACTTTGCCTTTCTTCAAATATTGTTTTCTAATTGAATTATGAAGCTTGATACCATTAATGTTACTTAGAAATGTTGGGTTCTGTGTATTAAATAAAAACAATCACCATTGTATCCTTGGTCACCATGGTAACCATGGTCATAGTCACCACCATTGTTATAGTTACGGTGGTTGTTATAGTTACGACGGTTGTGATATTGCTCCTGCTGTTGTTGGTACATCTGCTGTTGCTGCTGTGGATGAGGACGTCTCTGCTGACTGGAGGAGGAAAATAGCACACTGATCATATTTCAACTTTTGGATAGAGAACATATTTCTTGAGTTGCTTAATCCAATTTAAATCCAACATTTTCTATTCTGTTCAGTTATAAAGTTTCTCTTGCAATTATTCAACAAACTTTTGATAACCTTGTTTGCATGACATTTAACCATGTAGTATAGTAAGACAAAGTATGCCCGACAGAGTATGTAAGATTAAGTTTGGAAGATACGAGAACTGTACAATTTCTTACTTCTGCATGAGTGGGTGCCTAGGCTGGTTTTGATGAGGTCTCCTTCCCCTCATGTGGCTTGGATCACTGTATGGCATCGGCATCGGAATTCTAGCAAAGATAACATCTTTTACGGGCTGGCATTGCAAAATTTATCGGTTATTGGGATCACGCTACATTTCATAAAAAAAATACTAAAGGGTATCACGCTATATTTTGTAAAAATACTATGGAGATCAGTGATCACGCTATAATATTTCGTAAATACTAACAAAATCTCATTATTTATTTTTTTTTTAACTATAACTTGGCTATAAAGTTTGTACCATTATCAAAATTACAGGATGGGATGGTTGTGTAGGGGAACTATAGCAGGTGAACTATCATTTACTTAATTTACTCTGAGTTGTTTACCTTGGATGTACTGGGCTACTCCCCATAGGTGGATGATGACCAGGGGGTGAGTTCCTCCCTCCTTGCCTTGGACCAGGGGTCCTCTGTCCAGGGCCTGGTGTCCTTGGTCCCTGGTTTTGGTGCCTGGGTCCAGGGGTATGTTGCAAGTTATGAGGGCCTGGAGTATGGTGTTGCTGGCCAGCCATCTGTGCATACATGTGCAGCTGCTGAGGCGACATTTGAGCTGAAATACAGAGAGTATCCTCATATGTACAAAAACGTTTTTGCAATTTTTTAGTAATTTATTCTTATGTGTTTATGGATAAAAAAAATTAAACTTTTTACAAACACAAAACACATTGACAGTCTTTCCCCCTTGTGTCTTAATCATACCTAGCATCCTGGGATTAATATTCCTGTATGGAGACATCATTCTCGGGTGCATAAATGGTCCACCTGGAGGGCCTCTCCTACCATCAGGGGGAGTCATTCCCATAGGATGCACTGGAGGTGACGATCCCATTCCTGCAACGCAAGAGATGATCTTAGTTGCCTCATTTTGAATTGTTTTCGTATCATTTTTAATATTATCTACAACTGCAACATACATATATTCCAATATAAGAAGTAGCTTTGTATTGGGTAGCTGGAGTGAATCAAATATTATAGCCTTTGGTGTCCAGTCACAATCTATTATGGCCTTTAGTTTTAAAATGAAATAAAAACAGCCATAAGTAAGCCAATGACAGTGAAATCAGATTCTGTAGTTGAGAAGAGCTACTCTAGGACTTACCCATTTGTTGCATGGGTGAGTTCCTACCCTGAGGAGTCCCCTGAGCTGGTGAAGTCCTGCCTCCCATTGCCTGCTGCAGTGCCCTGTTAGCTACCTGAAATAGAAACCATTGCTTTATACTCCATATGCATATACATGCATATAACATATACCATTCATTTATAATCAAGATCCTGTGCATGACACAACTGCCCAGTCTTAAATATTTCAGTGTCATAAAGAGATAACACAATAAGTACCTCTGTTTTGCACTAAGTTCATAAGTTGCCCCCTCCCCATCAGAATTGCCTTCGATGATCCTATTGATCTATGGTAAAATGTAATTAAGCATGGGACTAGGCTAATGCATTATTTATGTGTAATTTTTAATTTGAGGAGACCAACCTACCTGTGCATGGGCAGCAGGAGGGGGCGTTCCTACTGACAGGGGAGTTCCCTGATTGACAGAAGGGGAGGAACTTCGACGGATCTGATCTTGCAGCACATTGGGCAGTGACTAAAATAAAGGAAAAATTTAGATCAATGATCGGCAATTAAAAAACAAGGATTAACATGCATGTGAAATATTACCATCTGCCATTTGTTACAGATGCTGAACCCTGAATGTTGGATGCCAAACACCATTCACATAAAAGTTGGGAGACCATAACAATATGTCACCACTTGTGGTGCTGACATAGAAACGGCGAAACTCCTATTGCAACAAGTTTGTTTTGGATGAGAAGTGATGTGTAACACAAATATGGAACATGAAAGTTACGAGCCCAGCCCATTGTCACTTTTTTAGAGGTCTTCTATTTTAAGCAGTTTTTCACATTGAATTCAAGACTCTTGTCGATCCATATTAACACTCTTCCCATATACAGGGTGTCCAGAAAGTATGGGGCCCCCCTAGGCAGACATACACCAATGTCCCCATAGTATGTGTCATATATTATTTTAAAGCTTGTCCAAAGTTACATTGATTTGCCAAGTATCATGGTTCAACCCACAAACGGGAAAAAGTTACAGGCATTTCAAAATGTAGTGTTTTACCAAAATTAAAGCTTAGTTTTACACAAAATTAATAGTCGGCATTCTCCCTTGGCCATGTTAACAGCAGCAATTCTTTCCAGACATGACCTTAAATACACTTCAAATAGGGGTATGGCATTTTGTAGTGCTCATAAAACCTTTTTAAGGCATTTTAGAAGAATTTCCTTGGAGTATCTACCCTCACTAACCTCTTTTTACAACTCAATATCCATCCTCTCTTTGACGATGGCATCCACATTTTTGGTCACATTGAGGTTAGCCCTGTTTCCAGGATACTGAATTTAACTTTAATTTTGGCCAAACACTAAGTTTTGAAATGCCTGTAAATTTTTCCCATTTGTGAGTTGAACCATGATACTTGGCAAATCAATGTAACTTTGGATAAGCTTTAAAGTGATATATGACACATAGTATGGGGACATTGGTGTATGCCTGCCTATGGGGGGCCCAATACTTTCGGGACACCCTGTACTTAATCATATTCAATAAATCTTATGAGTCTGTACTCACATTTCCCCGAATCTGTCCTTCTATTTCCTCCAGCATGAATGGCTTTGCGTGACTGGTCACTAGCTCTCGCTCTATCTCCTCTAATGTCTTTACGCTAGGTAGACTTGTCCCTACTGTCACTATGGAGGGGTCCTGTAGGTACAAATATGTGTTAAGGAAAACATATAAATACCATTTTGGGTATCACATGGCCATTATCTTCCATCTTAACAAATATCTTAATGTGAACACATCTCTCAAGTGATTACCACTCAATAAACACCTATTTTTACAGGTTGGTTGTATATAAAATCAAAAGATCAACAATCCTTGTAAGGGAATGACTGTTTCAATATGGTGACGTATATACAATGAAAATGTAAATTCCATCCCTCTCAAAATTGAATTGATGATAAATTAATTTTGGCCCTTAAATTATAGGAAGTTTTATTCTATTCATAAAGGCATTGTAGTAAGTATTCTATATTGTATAATATTCTTTATTATAAGTATGTTTTGTTAATTCATCAAAAATGTTAGATCGCATATGTCCTCTTTGTTAATTATACCAAGGTATAAATATTTTGGAGGATGAATTTCAGTTTAGTTTGTCCAACATATTTGAAAACTTCCGAGTTTTACAGCAAAAACAAACCAAATGGGTCCCTCATAATAAACATTTTAATCATTACTTACATGAAAAGCTGCACTTCCTATGGGTGGCTTAGCAGATTGAAGCTGATGAAGTAGGGCCTTCAAACCATTCTCTGATGTCCTTGTTACTGGACTTTCCCTCATGGGCGAGCCCCAAATATTCTGCTTTCCTGGTGACACCTTTTAACAAAAATCAGAACTAATGTAAGTACATTCTCCAAGTTTAAAATTAGTTATGGATTGATCTATTTTCCAACTAAATTCACAATCTGGATCACTGCAAAATCACTAATATATTGCTTAGGTAATTTTTATGTTGGTATTGAATTTTTTATTGATGGTAAATAGCATGTTATGATATTGATTACACTGGTTCATAACAGGAGTATCATCCACATTCAATATGTATTAGCTATTGATTTATATTAGATACAGACAGAAATAAATGGACATGGGAAATCCACTAAATCAATATACAGTGTATACAGTATGGTAGTAGTAAATATGAAAATGAAATGCTCTCTCTTTATTTTCCCTATGGCTGCATAGTCTAAATTCATGAATCTAAACACTTTTGACACAATCCATAAGAAAAGGTGCGCCAATAAATGAGATATGATGATATGATTAACATGACACAATGTTATATTAGGTTGTAATCACCAAAAGTGTAACCATTCCCATTCGTAACATATGCTGAGAGCCATTCCCCAAAATAGTGAAAATAGCAATATATAGCCTTGATATCGTGTTTTGCAAAATTGGTGTCAGATGTGTGGGGATTAAGGAACAGAACCTCACCAATTGTTCAGTACCCAAGAATGCGGGTGGAGATGATGGTCCAAATAACTCATCCAGACTCTGCTGTCTCCGCTGAAATAAAGGAATAACACCAACATAAACCTCAAGTCCCAAACACCACTTAGAGTTAGACTCAATCTACCAACAGGCTGTCACCACCTCTAACTTATAGTGAAAATTTGTATTTCAATGATATAGGTTAATGGAAACACACAAAAATACTGCGCTTGGGGCTGATGTGAAAATGTCAGTCAGTCATTCTATTCATGATTATTAGAATTAAACATTGATGATTTACAATACTCCAAAAATAGCTATATTGTTCAGTTGCTGTTACTGTAGAAAGGAAATCTATCGGTTGTCATAGGGATTTATTCGGTGAAATGAAAATTAATTCCCAAAGAATACCAAGTTTCAGTCCAAGAACCAACACTTTTAGACATAATGATACATCCAGGACTATTTGTATAACTTTTTAAAAAGTGATACCCCAGTCTTCATACAGTACATGTGAAGAAGTAACTTCCCATCCACTATAGCAACAAGGTGTTGTACCAAGATGAGATTTTGAATTGCCCCATATTTTCAAACTCAAGAGTGAAAAGTATGAGAAATTATCTGAAAATAATTTTGAATTTTCTTCAATCTCAATTTCATATTATAAATCAACAACCCGATCCATGTCAAAATTATTTAATGTTCTTTACAGATTTTGTTTTCAAATGGTGCAGAATTCTTGTTTTGCCTTTTTTGACCAATTTGTAATATTCAAACTGAATAAAAATTGGAATTTTTCATGCTTTTCTCAAAGTCTCTGGATGATTTGTGCCTTGCTGCTCAATTTGTTCAAGATCACTAGATGTAAATAACATAGTGTTTTTTCTTTGTTCAGAATTTACACTTACCCCTGGTATTGGTCTGCCCTCGGAGCTCTGAGAGCTGCCCATGACAGCAGGGTCAAGATCTTCAAAGGCATGCCTTGCATGCAGAGTATCATCCTCCCCATCATTTATCACCCCATACTCCACCATGTGACTTATACTACGTCCTTCTTCCTAGAATCACATATGTATTTCATTTCATTTGAGTTACAATTATCTAACACACTCACTGGTATCTTAATCCTGGCTAGGATCACAGACAGTTCAAGCCAGCACAGGCCTTTTATTGAGTTAGTAGCACTCTAGTAAACAACTCTCTGGTGTACTAGTTAACACAAGCTGGCCTCATTCGCCACATGCTGGGATTGAACCCAGGACCTTGGCATCAGCAGTCCAGATTGCTAGTGTTAATCTTACCACCATAGAGCCATAGTTGAATAGCAGTTTCCACACCGGGAATCGAACCTGAGCCACTGCGGTGAGAGCACCAGACCCTAACCACTAGACAATTTGGATGAGTTTATGGATCTATGAAGCATGACTTAAACTTCAGTATGTGCAGAAACCTAGCAATGAGATTGAGACCTGGTCATAAGCTACTTACATTTGTTCTGCGTGCATCCTGACCAAAGCCAGAGTCATTGTTGATCTTGCATTCCCGAAAGGATTCTTCTAGTGTCTCATGGGTTTTCTCCCAATCTCCCTCTACTGAAATGACAATAAATATATGCATATTATGAAACTCCCAGACACAATCAACCTCAAAATTTGGAGGACTTGCTTTCTTTTTGAAACAACACTTTCAAAATGTGTAATTTATCTATCATATTTTATCAGGGGTTTCATTAGCAGCAGGCAAAGGGTGATTTTCACTGGTTGTTTTCACAAAATTGTTTGTTGTTTTTAGGGACTTTTCAGCTTTTCCACGTTAAATTTATTATTTCCTTTGATTTTGCCTGTTGTTTTCATTTATTTAGCCTGTTGTGGGAAATTCTGGTGAAACCCCTGTTTTAGGTTTTAGGAATTCTCAGTGCAACGTTTAAGGATTTTGTAATTTTCCATACAACATTTTAAGGGTTTCTATTTTTAAAGAGGATTTTTGGGAGCACATAGAAATATTGGATGAGCATTTTCAACTGTGTATTGGAGGTGTGCGCCTCAGAGATTTCAATGTGAGGAGAGCTCTGAATTTCATATTTTGATTTAATCTGTTTGTTATTTACTAAATATTGCATTAAGACACTGGCAAACAATCAGCGTGTATTCTAATGAGCTAATTTTTCTGATTCCTCCAATATTGAAGTACGGTTCTCAAAATAGGTGCAGCAACTTAAATCCATGATCCACAGAGGATTCCATAGAACTTCAATTTCATAGTTACATTGATAAAATGTATAATTACATCTGCCTTGCCTCATCCCTGACACGATACATTATTTAAAATTATAAATGTGCAGTACATGTAAATGATTAATTGATAATATAATTTCCTACTTACATGTATCACCGAATGTTTCATCATTGAATTCATCAAAATCCTCGAGAGGATCTTCTTCCCTTGTGTCACCATCAGCATACTTTCCTGTGCCAAATGCCTGTTAAGAAGAAAATAACATGACAAATTATTACTACAGCGCTGTGCCTTAGAATCAGAACTTGGTCTAAGAATTTATAAAAACCCAATAGAACACAAATCCACAGTGAACACTGTCTATTCTAAATGTTAGACTGAAAGTGTGGTTTTTGATTTCTGGTTTGTATCTTTGTTTTTATTTGGTCAACTTCATTGTCGCTTTAACTGCACATGCTATTTTCTGGAACAAAATAAAGTATGAAGGCATGTGTGTAATTTCCTTGCTTTTTACAGGAAAGGATGATATTGTCTTCTTTCAATAAACTTAGCGAAACATATGAGTAAAAAAATAAATTGTGTGGGTTTCTTAGTGTTTCTATGCAAAATAGCACACTCCGTCACAGCTGACAAACTTTTCGATACCAGCCTGTGTTACCAGGTTTACTAAAAGATGACAATGCAAGGACACTTTCCTGAAAAAAAGTAAGGAAATATACACAAACCTTCATTCTTTATTTTGTACCAGAAAATAACATGTGCAGGCATGGGCTTTCAACTTTTTTTTGAAAGCCCAAGGTGCAGGTAAAGCAATTTTTTCAAACATTTTTTCTACAGGTACCGACATGTAGTAATTACACTGGGATTTTAGATATAGGGTGAAGGCAAAAAGGATTGGCTCCCAGGATTGTAACTCGATATTTTCCAACAATGAAAATGCCAAAATGTCATTATTTTCTGAAATTATAACAGACTATAAAATCAGACTGTCCAAAAGATTCAAACCATTATCTCGATCATTTTTTGTGAGTTTTGGAATTCCCAATTCAAATGTTGAAGTGAACAAAATCACGCGGTACCTACTTCGACCGTTAATTTGAATTTTTGACCTACCAGATGCTTGAAAATCAAGGATTGCGAGTCTCATACCGCACCGTTTTTCTTCTAATTTATACCATTAATAAAAACAAAACAAAATTGCCTTTCTGTCGGTGCATTACGTTATTGTAAAGAGTCTCTCGTTCTAGCAGGGTTTTGGTCCCCAGCTGTTAGAAGGCCTTCTTACAGCTGGGGACCAAAATGCCACTGGAAGTAGGGACTCTGTTTAAGAGAATAATGTACTATCAGAAAGAGATTTTTGTTATGCTTTGAATGGAACAAGTTAGAAGAAATACGGTGCAGTATGAGACTCGTAATCCTTGATTTTCAAACATCCGGTAGGTCAAAAATTCAAATTAACGGTCGAAGTTAGGACCGCGTGAAAATGGCGGCTGTTTGAATTTGAATTTTGACCGACATGACATGCCCATATATAGCGCAAAAATATTGATGCTGCACTCTGGGAGACAATCATCCTTGGGGTGAAGGGGTATATGTCAATGCTATTTCACTTCAATTTGGGGTAACTTCAACATATGGGGAAACGTCAACACCTTGTATATTTGCTCTAATTTCCGATGTAGGGGCAAGCCATGTTTTTCTTCTCACATGGACCAAGATCTCACAAGATCCAGAAATCAAACTTGGCGGAAAACGGAAATTCTTCTACAGTGGGGAACATAAAGAAATACTATAGCTATGAAAATTACATGCTGTCTCACATGTAATAAATTCTTACCTCAGTGTATTCAGTGCTCTATTTTCTCCATCCTAGTAAGTCCAGATATAGTGGAATTTGTGTCCATAATGACAAATAAGAACTTAAAAATTTGAAGTAGATATTCACATGTTAATGCCGATTACGCCGCAAGGGGATTGGCTCCCAGAATGCAACATGACACATGCCAGCTTTCAAAATGCCGTTCCGCCATTTTGAAACCTGTCACGAGTAAATAAGGTTAACTGATGTTGCATTCTGGGAGTCAATCCTCCTTGGATCACAAACATGGCGATTCATGAAAACATTCGTTCCATTTGGTAGGGATTTATCCATCATTTGCAGGTGTGAAACTTTGGATTCATTTATTGTGCTACTTAAAGTGAACGGGAATTATTTTTCTACCACTTGGGAGAGTTTGAGATACGAAACTTAGAATTTAGCTCATTGTGACAACTTTTGATGGTTGAGGTTTATTTTTGTGCCCCACTTTAAGGTACAGCTGGAAAGTAACATTTTGGTAAAAAATTGCTATACCTGCAGCGCTTGTATTAGGCTCTGAAAAATGTGAGTCCCAATGAAGGAAAATTTTTTAAAAAGTGAGTCCCGACCGAAAAAAGTGTGTCCTCCGATATATAAGCTAAATTAGCTTAAGTAGCTATAATGGGCTATTTTGGAATGTGCATGACTTGATCTTACATGTCTTATGTGTTTTCAAAATGTTGCCATTCGTGCCCTGTGATTTAAACATGTTCTTTATATTCAATTCACTTATGTTATGTAACCTCCAGCCTGTTATAGTAAGTACTATTATACTGTGATTATCTTTATACTTGCTGTTTGCACTGAACAACTGCTTGAAAAAATAAGAACATTTTTTAGTATGAATTTGTCTGACACTCAGTAATTTAGTGTATCACTACATTTTCTACATGATCAGAATCCTCTGATTTATATCATAAATTAGACCATTTTGACGTTATATAATCACAAATAGACTACTTCACCTAGGTAAGTATGCATCATTTGTACAATTGAACTCATTTTGAAGGTTTTATATCAGCTTTTCAGTGAGAAAAATATGTCAAATGCAAACTGATAACCTATTATCGCCCATTACAATAGTTCGTTTTTCTGCATTCTTTTTCTTCTTTACTCAAAATAAAGTTGTAAATCTCACATATTTTGATCTTAATATACTTTTCAAGATTTTCAAAAAATGTTCAAAGTTTTGACTCTCCGTCCCAAAAACGGAAATATTTTTTATTTTTCCGTCCTACAATTTTTTTTTGTGTCACTTACATGTAAGGGACGCCGTTAATGCAAGCCCTGACCTGCACGTGTTATTTTCTGGTACAAAATAAATTATGAAGGCATGTGTCAATTTCCTTGCTTTTTTCAGGAAAGTATCATTACATTGTCTTCTTTTAGAATATCTGGTAGGAGTTCAATGGGAACTCCAGGAAATTCTGATATTTCACACTTTCTATTTTTCCAAATTTTCTTTTTAAGTTTTCAGACAACACAGGAACTACCATTGACCTGTTTCCAGGTTTACTAAAAAATAAACAGTGTAATGATCCTTTCCTGAAAAAAGCAAGGAAATACACACATGACTTCATACTTAATTCTGTACCAGAAAATAACATGTGCAGGTATAGCAATTTTTTACCAAAATGTTACTTTCCAGCTGAACCTTAATAACAGTGTCGAGGTTACCCAATTTCTCAAGTCAACGTTACCGGACACGTAGACGTTACACCTCTTTGCCCTAGAGGAAAGAGAGGCAATATATTCATAATATTGTGTAATATTTAGTCTATTTCGAAAAAACCAATTCTTATTTATTGGCATTGTCTATTTTTAGACAATAGCTCTTTGTGGCACGTGGCATGACACAAGAAGAGGATATGTGATACCCGGGATGTGATACTCAATAGAGAGCTATATCTTATGAATATAAGAGATTATCCTACACTTAGTGTACTAAATGTATGATAACAAAAAATCAATTTTATATCTATTGGCAAAATGAATAACCGGAGGATATCGTGATGATATACTCCGGGCGGGGGATATCGTGATGATATACTCCGGAAAACCCAATATGCGGAGGATATTGTGACGATATACTCCGCTTATTGATTTCCCGCCAAATTGACTCTATTTGGCATGAAATTCTTTTGCAATGATATTATACATTTAGTACACTCCTTGTAAGTGTAGGATAATAAGAACATCCTATGATTTTTTTCAGAATATAATTTTAACGGAGTGGCTCCAGGACCGACAATTGTTGGTACTGGAGACTGTCCAGGGGTATTTGCTGGGGTACCGACAATTGTCGGCACTCTATCGTCACCTAATAGTGTCAGATAGAGAACCGACAATTGTCGGTACGCAAGTGGCTGCTACGTGTTTTTGCTAGAGAGCCGACAATTTCATAAATAAATTCACTACTTTAAATATCATAAATAACTTCATCACTGGTAGTCTAGCGGTTAGCGAGCACGATTCGAACACACTCGGTCCCGAGTTCGAATCCCGGCAAGACCTACTTATTTCTTTTGAGGGGGGGGGGATAGTGCTTCTTTTGCAGTATGGAATCGTACAGGCATTAACTTGTAGTGAGCCATAATTTATTTCGACAAAAATTGATTCAACTTCCATCAAAATTGTCCTACAAGCTTCAATTAAAAAACATTTTAAAGCTCTTTTCTTGTTCTATCTAATGGGTCGATATATACAATTAGGAGGGGATGCTTTCGCCCCCGTCGACCTCTACCCTTACTACGCCATGGCACAGGAGAAATATCTCATTTGGAATATATCACTGTTTACTTTGCGTTTGGTAGCTCTCTCATGCGAGATGGAATCGTGGCCATAACTAAGGGAGCCAAATGCAACTTCCATCAAAAATTGTGCTATAAGGTATGAGTACCGTAATCCAACACCAAATTCGAAAATTCATAACAATACTTTGCACATATGGCTTTCGTGACCAACTATGAAACGCTTACCCCCCATAGTGTTATATATCAAAATGCACCTGTCCATATAGGGGTTCAATTGACCTACATCAAATTATAGGGAGTCAGGTTACATTTTGAGATATCAGCGTCCGTTTATTGTAACTCGCGTTTGCTACCACTTCCTCAATTCTGATATGACAGGCAAACGCGTAGTAAACATCCTCACGTTCGGAACTATTTTGGCCTACATCGCTATTTTCGTAATTCAAATGAAAGTTGAACTCCTCTTTATTTTGATACCAAATAGTGGCATACTAGGTACCCTAGAAGCCAACTATGGGTTATTTAGAACGATACCACAGGTTTTTAAATGGACTATATACCTTTTGGCAGATGGATATGGAACCTCATACCATACGATAAGCTCTAAAAAACATTCTAGCTATTTTCTTCTATCTAATGGGTAGCAAACGCCCCTTCCTTTTTATTGGGTTTTCAACGTTTACTACCATTCCCTGTTCCCGGGCTACAATTTTTTGACTGGGTTTGGTAATCCCCGGGTAACCGGGGCTTATGCCCTCCCCGGGTTTTGCACTTGTTCCCAAAATATCCGTATGATATCTGAAATATCCCCCCGCGCATTGCGCATGCGCCAGAAAATTCAACAATCAATATTTGTCGGTCCTCTAGCGTGTAAACACAGCATATCTCCCGTACCGACAATTTATTTGTCGGTCCTCTAGCGTGCCACCACATCAGAGTCTAGAGTACCGACAATTGTCGGTACTCTAGCCTTTACGTAATTTTAATCTAGAGTCAATACGTCCAAATCCAAACAGGGGGGTAAACACGAACGGGTTCCAAATAATGGCAAGCAGATCATTGAAATGAATAATAGTACCTCTACTACCTCTACATAATATTTATAGCCTGAAAGATACAATATAATGATGTATACCAACAATCTTACACTAAAATAATCAATTATGATGATTTAGGTGTTCGGAATTACCCCCATGCTAGTGTTTGGAATTACCCCCACAAACTCTGTGCGTTTAAATAACTAGATGTCAGTAATAAATGATTTAAATTTGGGTTTCTTGATATGCAGGGGTGACAGGATCCAGTATCATAAGTTAAGGGTATCATATAATGATATACCATCGATCTAATAATTAAAACAATTAAGTTTAAGTTAAGTGTTTGGAATTACCCCCATGCAAGTGTTCGGATTTACCCCCCAAAAAAACTCCTGTTCGGAATTACCCCCCTAAAATACCTTGTAGTAAAAATGGAATAACCCAGATATTTTTTACAATTTTTCGTAATTTTTTCTGCAAATGCATTCTACAGTTGATAATACACATAATATATATAGAATCATAGCATAGATGTGCAGTACAGCCAAGCTAACTACATTTTTTGATGGGGGTGTTTGGAAATAGACGTACTGACTCTACTCGGTGATATTGATATATGCACTCGTTCGCTTTGCTCTCTCGTGCAGATATCAATATCACCTCGTAGATAAAAATGATATTCTATAAAATCATAGGATATCCTATAATTATAATTGTCCAAATATGACCAAACATGATTCAAATCAGGTGCCTGACTGATGGAAAAATAAAAAAAAGATGAGAAAATCAGAGGAATGTTTACCATCTAAAAACATTGATTTCTTGCCGATTTTACACTCTGAAATCGATACCAACCATTCCTTATATATAATTATTTCACATAAATGCAAACTTACAGGTAACGCTGTGTCATAGCCAAAGAAATCCTCTTCCATTTCGATGTTATGTCATTTTGATTTTATTTCTTGCTCCAAAATGGACGAACAGACCGAAAGTACTCTCAAGGTCAAAATAATATCCGTGTCACGTAAATAATGATGCATAAATACATTTCATTCTAAATCAAAACGAATGCAGGATATGCATAAATTAAGTTAAGTATAAAATGAACAATGTTTTTATCACAGTTTCGATATGATTATAAAGAATAGATTTGTCCAGAAACCGTTTGGTTCGAGACTATAATTTAACGACAAAGAACGGAAATTAACGAATTTGATACAAGCGAAGCAAAAAGTCATATATTTCTCCATAACCTTAGATACATCGCACTAAAGATTTAGCTTGATGATAAATCTATTGTCATAGGCTCCAATGATACCATAGATATGGATGATAATGATGACATTGGGTCAAATGGACGTCCAGAAGTTTCCGGAATTTCGGCGGTCAACATTTCCGATCCTTTGCCGAATGGTGACGATTCGGCCTTCGTAGATGAAAATGAAGAGCAGACAACAGTTAATGAAAACTCGGTGCAACATGTCACTGTAGATGTTTCACAGGCAGATCTAGTTGCTAATAATGTTCCTGTATATGTTGCAACTTCCCAGGGTATATTATCAGCTGAACAACTAAAGACCACACACATTGTTATCCATGATCAGTCAATGACTGTATCAAACGGCCCTCCAAACTCATCACTTGTACAATCTCCACTAAATAGCCCTGGACTTCCACCACCAACTCCAGCTACTCCCCTTAGCAGAGAGAAAGGATTCAAATATCAATGGGACGATTCAGCGTTTCTAGCAACCCTTCCTATTCGCTGTAAAAACACAAGCGGTGAACTTCACAAAGACAAGTTTGGTTCAGGTGAATGAGATTATCTGTCAACAGTCATAATACAGAGTACTGTCATCCAGTTAATTTTGTGTGTTAAAATTTCGCGAATTTGAGAAACCATAATTTTGCGACTATGAATTCCGTGGATTATTCACTATAGATCCAATAGTTAGATATATTGTTTCTAGTATCTCATTTATCGCCAATATCACTGGACATATGTTTTATACATTTAAAATTAGAGCCTGGGGATTAAATTTGCAAATTTCCAGACGATAATTTTTTTCGTGATTTTTCCATGATTGTAAAAAGTGGGAATTAAACTAAATCGCATATTGGGGGTACACAGTATTGTAATGCAGATCACCAGGAATCAACTGTTGTCTGACATACAACCAGCTCTCATTTAGCCGAATGTGTCAGACATCAACTTTAACTATGTACTTTTTACAGCATAAGCCCATCAGTCAAAAAGTTGGATTTCTGAGAATTCATATTCCAAATCCGCCAGCCTACTAACGTTCTAATTTACTAACTACTCATATCTGCATATGGATCTACCAAGTATACCAATTATAGCATCAAGTGTTAAGATCTGATGTGATAGCTATTAAAGGCAGAATCAAATCTGAGAGACAAAACTGCAGGCAACATGTACAGTTGACCATATTCCCTACAATATGAAATGTAAAATCTTCCAAAAGAACTGGGATATCATGTATTTGAATCTACTTTTCAGGTGGGCGGGGCAAGTGTATAAAGACAGATAATGACCCAAACTGGTACACACCTACAGAATTTGAATCTGTTTGTGGGCGTGGGAGTAGCAAAGACTGGAAACGAAGTATTCGATATGGAGGTAGAATTCTCCAGTGTTTAATTGAGGATGGGATCCTACAACCCCATGCTACATCTTGTACTTGTGCAGCTTGTTGTGATGACATCACAGTGGTCAGTATTATGTATTATGATGAGCTAGTTAAAATGTCATAGTGGAATGGTGTATTCTGGGGTAGATCTGAAAAGTGACCAAAGATAAAATAAATAAACAATTATTAATTATTCTATAATCTATTTTCTGTGAATATCTGTGGTACTTTCACAAACCCGAAGGTTGTTATCGCCGCCTTTTTTTGAAAATTCAACTTCTTCTGATTTATTCATTAATACTTGGTCAATCCTTAATGTTTCTTGAACTTTGTGAAGCCAGTTAGGCGCTTATTAGGGAGTGAGTGGCAGGTACTACATACAGCAATTTGGTTGCCAACTTTTCTCTGTTATTAATTTGCAGATTTCATGTTTTAGATAGAAAATAGATAGAATTGAAAATGTATCCCAGTTTTTGTTATCGGACCCTCATATTTTTACTTCATGGATGGCCCAATATGGTTTTACTTCAGACGGGTCCAGTCAGACTATTCCAGCCCTACAAGAGGCGAAAGCGTGAAAGTTCAAGTACATCAGGACTTGGGACACCTATAAAGAAAGCTCGCCAGCCCAAAATTCCATCCCCATTGGTGAAAGATGCAACATCAGGTTTGTTCATAAATATTTATTTGTTGGATGGTTAAAAGTTAAAAATACAAGGCTCGGCTTCTGTTTTAGTAGACCCATTCTTTAAAATAAAGTGATTTCTTGACAATTTAACACCATTTTTTATTTATCTACAATAAATTAATTGTAATTAAACAAGGGAGGTGCATAATTAAATAAATACTTCGCCTCGCCTAGTATTTTTTTCCTTGGATAGGTATTCTGGCATATCCACCTCAGGGTCATCCAGTATTTGTTTAGTATCATATTGTTCTCTCCTCAGATTTTATTGAAATATTAAATACTTTTTTTTCATTTGAGTTACATATCTCACACAGACACCATATGGCATATATGTGTGGTAGGATAATGTAACTTTTGCTTTTCAAATATCATTAAGATGTATCCTCAGCATCCATCAAATGTTATAAGTTGTACATTATTGTAGCTAATAGTGTGTTGAGGCATCCTTATCATAGCTATTTGTAGGCCACATATGGCTAATTCTGGAAAATCGACCCCCAAAATAAAATAAACAAAGGACAAAATGAGGAAAACGCTGAATGGCATAATGGGGAAAAAAAAGTAATAAAGGTTATGAAGTGTGTATATGTAAAACTAATTGCCAAAGTAAAATGTAAATATGATATCACCTTGATAATCTGTTAAAAGCTTAGTAATCCATTAGATGTACTGTACAGGGCGTCCACAACAAAAGTATACCCAACTTCAAAGCCAGGATACCAGAATTCTGAGCAATTTTTTTTAAATTTAAAGGCTGCAGTATATGGCCTAGTTAATTCTCCATCAAATGGTACCTAGATCATTATGTAACTGTCATGGATGACTGAGCAATCAAGACTTTTATGAAAGGTGGTAAAATCAGCACTGTGCCAAGTTAGCATACAAGTAGGATTGACACAATGAATGTTTTTTGTGTTCAAAACATTTTTAATGTTCAAATTCAAACTTGTTCCATGATCTTCAACCTTTTTTGCATAATTTTCCATACTTTTTATTGCTACCTCCCTCGCGGGAATTGAATCCCAAGAGCCTCTTGAACAGCAATGAAACTTCTACTTGATGATATGCAGCATTGAAGTCAATAGGATCCCCCATTGAAGTCAATACACCCTTGCTGAAATCCTCATTTTCTTAGAAGAACTCAAGTTGATTGAGTCTCAACAAGTAGATTCATGTTGGACAGTATTGCTAGAATCCATTTTCAATAGTAAGAATAGGGATTCTTAAACAGTACACTGGACTCGCTTTTTGTTGGCTCTTCTGCTCAGCTGTCAGTTGAACCATGTTTGAATGCTTATTTTAGAGTAAGTAAGCTTTCTGCCAAATCTTTTTTTCATAAGAGAGCTACTCAGTCCCCAGTCTAGTTCAATATGAAAGTCCTGTCATCTAACATAATGTAACAGAAAAAGAGTACTGAGCCAATTACACATCGATTGCCACACAGGAAGATAACTTGGCACAGTGCTAAATTTACCTCCTATCAGAATGGTCATAATTGCTCAGTCATACGTAACTGTTACATAATGATCTAGGTACCATTTGATGGAGGACAAATAAGGCTTTTTGCTGTTGCCTTTGGATTTCACAAAGATTGCTCAGGATTCTAGTAATTTGGTTTTGAAGTTGGGTATACTTTTTTTGTGGACGCCCTGTAGATACAGAATTGCTAATTAATCAATTTCTCATATGAAAAATGTCACATTTAATTATTGTAAGAAGCAACTTTATCCAAGAGGAAATTTTACCTACATACAAGGTGTCCAAAAAAAACAGGACTGTAAGAAAGTTGAATAATTCGTTCAATTTTGCATATTTTACCTTGAAATTTTAGAATTATTTGGTTCATTCAATGTGAATTTTGTTCTGAAAGTTTGATTATAATCTGTCCATTGTGTCAAAATCTGACCACCAATACATTGCCTAAACCATTTCAGCATATCATTTGCAGTGTTTGGGTGGTATTGGCTTGTTGAAACCACTGCCTATCTCCTTAGATGCCCCTTCTGGTGCTTAGTGACCTCCAAATGGTACTTGTTCATGGTGATAGCACACCCCCAGACATCTTGAAACCAAAAAGGACTGATGATTCAATGTTCGCTAAATGCCACCCAGGCAGTGCTTTTTTCAGAATGCAATGGATGCTGTAACACTTTACCAGGAAGATGTCAGCCCCAGTTGCAGCTGTTCTTGGAATAAACATGTCAATTCAAAAAGAAATGTGTGTAGGAGGATCATCAACAACTTTGTACTCCAGATTGAATTGTGCATAGAGAGGAGAGATGCACATTTGGGGCATGTTTTGTTAGGAACTGTAGTTTTTGACTCAATGCCAATGGGCAGATTATTATCAAACTTTCACAACAAAATTCACATTAAATGAACTTAATAAATATCAATTTTAAAGGCAAAATATGCAAAATTGACCGAGTGATTCAGCTTTCTTATGGTCCTGTTTTTTGGACACCCTGTGTTAAAATGAAAAATTTGACATGATAATGATTAAGAATAGGCTAGGTCATTATTTAGAAATGTTTGTTGTTTGTGACTTTTTGACTCATTGTTGAATATTGTCATTTTAGAAATGTTTTGCTTATGAGATTTTTGAAAATTGTCATTGTTTTGACATATTTTTTGTTTAAATGCAGACCTCTTTGAAAAAAGAAACCAGCCTTTAAAACGCTATAATTTTTCTCACATTTTATGATTTTGACTATATTTCAGTATAGTTTTGAATGTTCCTGCTATAATTCTGCTTCTACAGTAATTTATATATAGTAATACAAAATTTTATTGTAATACTACATACGTCTCAGTTGGTATCCCCTAGACATACATTATGCATGAGGGCACAATTGGAGTATATATATGAATATGGTAAACGTAATAACCAGTACCATCTAAAAGTTTGAATATAACGTAAAACAGGGTGTGCTATCTTGGAATGCAATTGGCAGTAATGTCTATTTGAAATAAGTTTCAAAAGTCTAAAAAGACAACATTACATCTTGGATATGCATGTGTATTCATGTTGAAAGAAACGTTCATTAAATCATGTTTATATTGAATTTTACACAATTGAACAATAGTTCTGTGGATTTAAATGAGACGCTTTCGAGTAACAGTTCAACAATCTTAGAGAATGATACGATATTTTCATCAACCGGACATACAGAATTGTACCAGAAGATAACATTTTGCATCATGGGAACTGTTGGTTTCCTTGGAAACTCTTTAGTGATCTTCACATTTCTGAAGTCTAAAAAACAAAGAAGAAAGATAACTAACATGTTAATACTTAATCAAAGCATAATTGACATGTTTGCATCGATTTTTGTAGCACTTAATAACACATTTGATGATATGAGTTGGATAAGCTCGCAGGGATCTGCATATTATTTCTGCAAACTTTGGCTGTCCCAGTATTTCATATGGGGCACAATTGTGACATCAACCTTTAACTTAGTTGCATTGACATTTGAGAGATATTTTGCACTGATTCATCCATTTATTTACAAGCGTAGATTCACCAGACGGCTGACTGTAGCAATAATTGCAATGGTCTGGATCACAGGAATGGGCTTTCTGAGTTTTGAACTTTTCAGCACTGAACTCAAAGGAACATTGTGCTCATTATGGACAAAATGGCCGAGTGACATTTTTCGTTGTGTATTTGGAGTTATCGTTGTTGTAATCGAGTTTATCATTCCAATCAGCCTCATGATTGGATGTTATGGGAGAATCGCTTTTATGATTCAAAAAGAGGCTAGAGTTACAGATGTATCCAACCAGAGGGAGAAACGAATGCGAAGAGCAAGATTCAACATTATACGTACATTACTCCTCATCTCCATATGTTTTTTCATATGTTGGTCATGGGATACTATATATTTCCTCTTGCATAACCTTGGCCTCAAGGTCAGCTTCAAAAGCCATGTATACCAGTTCGGTGTTATATTGAAGTTTACCAATTGCTGCGTCAATCCTTTCATTTACGTCATTAGCTATGATGCATTCCAGAAGTCTTTACGAGCGGCTTTTGGTTGTAAACCTTCCCCCAGCCATGGCATAGAATCAACAATGATTTTCAGTCGTTCAAGGGCAACTTTGGGTTGTAAACCTTCCACCAGCCAGAGCATAGAGTCAACAATGATTTTAAGGCATTCAAGGTTGAATTTAGAGGATATGAATTTTTCAATGAATTCCTCCAGATTTCAGTCTAAACTTAGAAATGAACAGATATACCACATTGATATGGAACAAAAGAGTGTTGATACATCTGATATAACACTGAAGCCAGTGACCCATTTTTAACTGTCCTATGTCAGTTATTTCAAAGACGAAATGTGTGTCTCAAGAGGGGATGTGCTTTTTATGAATTTTAAGACATTTTTAATGGTGTTTAATATAGTGTAATGTGTCTTCTCTTGTTTTGGCCTTGTTGTACCATGGGTTTCATTATTAACTGGCAATTTGCATCAGTTGTTTTACCAAGATCATTGGTTGTTTTACCAAGATAATCAGTTGTTTTACCAAGACCATTGATTGTTTTATCAAGATCATTGGTTAATTTACCAAGATCATTACCGAAATCATCAGTTGTTTTACCAAGATCATCAGTTGTTTTACCAAGACCATTGATTGTTTTATCAAGATCATTGGTTGTTTTACCAAGATCAATGGTTATTTTACCCAGATCATCATTTGTTTTATCAAAATCATCAGTTGTTTTACCAAGATCATCAATCGTTTTACCAAGATCACTGATTGTTTTATCAATATCATTGATTAAGATCATTGGTTCTTTTACCAATATCATTGATAGTTTTACCAAGATCATTTGGCTGTCTTACCAAGATCACTGTTTTTAGAAGTTTTGCAACTTTTTCCATGTTAAAAATGTAATTTTTCTCATATAATTTTTGCTGTTGTGTTCTTTCATTTTTCCTACTGTTACAAATTATAATGAAGTCCCTGTATCAAAATGATTGATTGTTGCAGCCATTTTGAAAGTAGAATTCAATTTTGCAGCAACTAAAGGTTTCTACTTTTATTTTTTCTATTTATCTATTTATTCTTTGAACAGTGTGGATGATTGGTATCTTCAATCACAGATTGTCATACTTATAGTTTTACAATAGTTTAGCAAGTGGGGACATTTTATCTTGTCCAATCGCCTTGTTTATAGGTGGTAATAATTAGTATGTTAGTCCACAGGTACTACAGTGTAGCTCTACTTTATATTTTTGATAACAGACGTAAGAGACCAAGTTTCTATACTCAACTAAAATCGACATTAATTGAAAAAATGACATTAGAAGTGTCTAAAGATATTAACATTTATTATTTAAATACCACGAAAAAGTGAGCACTATTTAAAAAAAATATGATGACATTTGAATATGCTGAGCCAGTATATTCATTAAAAAATTGTAGCAAATATTATATGTAATATAATACTAAATGTATATTTAAATTATTATATTTTTGATTTTGCTTTTCAAATCTGATTATAGTCTTTAAGCTGGCACCCCAGCCCCCAAAGCTAAGGGCAGTGGTTTGTAAACAAGCAGAAATAATTTCCCATATTGAATCAAACACTGATGCTTATATAAGATTATTAAAGAAAGGTTATTTGTTGTGGTCATTATATATATTGGAGATTTGTTTGTTCATTGTCCCTGAGATGAATATTTTATGCCTCTTATTAATCCAGGTTGATCACTAAGTGGTGAGCCTAGATATATGGTGCCCAGTTTAATTTAGCAAATGCGTTTCATTAATTTGCCAATCCAAATCTTTGCCAGTTTTCCTCAGGGGATTATTTTGTTCAGTAGGACCTGAGAGTATAAATGAAAAAACAATCATCCTAAATAATATGCTATGTATTTTTAAAAGGTATGTTTATTTGTGTCAAAATTCTATGCTAAAACCAACACTTAAAGGTTATATAAGTAATGTAAAGGAATATTGTATTATGGACAAACAGGTTGGCAGAGGTGATAAGTGGAAAATCCTGGAAGCAAAATTAAACAAATGATACTGATGATTTTTCCTTTAAATAAAAAAGATTGCCAATGTTATAACATTTCTCTAAGAATAACGTTTAACCAATAATGTATTGTAAAATCTTAAAATGTATGTTTACCATGTAACTGTACTGTAATTGTTTTTGCAGTTGCTTTGACATGCTTATTCTTTGAAATAAAAAAAAATTGAAATAAAAAAAAAGATTATTCAAGATGAGACAAACATCATAAAACTTCATGTATTTGCCCCAGTTTGAAATGGGTTTGATGTGAGAAGGTACAAATGTTTCAAATAAATTTGAGATCTCTTTAGAGTATGACTTTCTTATAATAAAATTAAAGGTATTGTTGACTTCGAATTATATAAGATCCACCTAAATGTAGGAATATGCAGAAATCTTAAGAAATCAGTAATACTTGTATATCAATTTGTACTCATCTAAAAATATATTAAGATTTATTGCAAATATTATAGTTCAGATTCATGGAAATATAATTAAAGGAATCATATTTTATTTTGTTTGTTTGGATTTGCCACTTAGTGGAGTTGTAGTTTTATAGATATATATTTTTAATTCTATTATTTTATCACAAACTTTCAACTCGTATTTTAATTTGTCCATTTGACCAAAACACATGCTTTTTAGTGGCTTAGCTGGTTTTGTACTTCACAGTTTTTATGTCACCACCACAAGTGGTGACATTGTTATAGTCTCCAACTTTTTTGTAGATAGTGTTCTGAGGTTGGTGTTTTACATCCAGCATTCAGTAGTTGGTATTTGGCGGTAGGTGTTTGTAACAAATGGTAGGTGGTAACATTTCATAAGCCTTGTATCAATCTTACATTTTGATATTTTAAATAATCATTCTATTTTTCCAGTGATGGCGGTTAAGCTTCCAACCAATCAAGGCAACCAGCAACAGGCACATCCCATCCAAATAGCTAGTTCAGAGACAGGTGAAATCCTACAGATCCTAGCAACAGATTCGAGTGGAAATATACTAGCCACAGCTGGTGGCGAGTACCAAGGTATAGAATTTCTATTTTCATTTTGTCCCTTTTGATATTATTACACACAGTGTACAACAATTTTTGTAATGTTATGGCTCAAAGGTATCTATAGATAGTACTTTTGTAATATTATATACATTGATATAAAGTATTCTTGCCTCATTTTGGAGACATCTGACTTTTGGCTACAACTGGAATCTCTCAATGGTCAAGTTCAATAATTATGCAATGCAACCATATCCATTTTTATTGTGATATCCTCATTCCTCCTCCTATACACAGGGAGATATGCCAAAATTAGTACTAAATTAGCACTCGTGGCATGAGTACTCATGAGTGCACTTTTGCCAGAGTGCTAATTTATTACTACTTGAGTTCTATTTTAGTACTGATTTTGTAAAAACTAAGATTTTATTTTAATACCATTTTAGTAACAATATTTTAAGTAATGATTTAGTACTAATTGAGTGCTATTTTAGTACTAAAAAATTGCTCATTTAGTCCTAAGATATTGTTCATTTACTAAAAAAGCACTGTAACAGTAGGTATCATTCTGACTGGAATACAATTCACATGGTTCTTTCAATTTTATTGTTTTGACTTATTCCCATCTCTATGTTGTCTGACATTTTGTTTCCTAGCTTCATACAGTTCCAGGACTGGGAATTTTTTGAAAAGTTTAATGATGTATTTATCCATGTTTTCATATAATTAGATTTGTAATTTATTAAGTATTCTGTATTTTACTTCATCAATTTATGAAGTTTATCAACATTTTCATTTTTGAGTACTATTTTTATCACTCATGATACATGTGCAATAGATTAGTACTCATAATATGAGTACTCATTGAGTAATGAAAATTCAATAAAATTAGCGCTATTTCATCACTCATGATATGTGTACTCATTTAGTACTAAAACCTGCAATAAATTAGTATTCATAGTATGAGTGCTCATTGAGTAATGAAAAATTAATGAAATTAGCGCTATTTTATCACTCATCATATGAGTACTCATTTAGTATTAAAACTTGCAATAAATTAGTACTCATGTCATTACTGCTCATTTAGTTCTAATATTTACTGAAATGAGTACTCATTTAGCGCTAAAATGCCATGAGTACTATTTTAGTATGCAGCATATCTCCCTTTGTATTCTACATGTATGTTAATTCAAGTCTGCTTGGTGTGATTAAGGGCTATTTGTTTATGGCACGATAATGCTGAATAAAGCATTATAAAGATGGCACAATAGTATGTGCAAATTCAACATGGATTTCTTTAGTCATCACAGAATGAACAAATGAATTTGATTATGTATTAGCTAGCCTATTGTAGAGAATCTTGTTGATCATGTGCTATGGTCTTACATCCAACATAATCAGTGATTTATTAGAGCAACTGGGTTCTGCTTTGAGTCAAAAATTTGAAATTTTCATCCAGCTTGTTAAAAACTTTTTATATTAACTTACATTTACTATACATCTAAAAGATCAGAATAATGGACAATATAAAGCTGGAGTGGCTATATAAGGACAATACAGCAAATACAGTGTTTATGAATTCATGAAAATAGTAAATACGTCTCTTTCCAGACACCCAAGTTGTTGTGACTGCAGGTGGGAGCTCTACAGCAACTAGCCCTGCCAAGACCAATGGCATCACTATACAGACCAACACGTCAAACATCAGTGTTTCTCCAGATGTGGCGGAACAGAAACACTGGTGGCAACTTGAAGAGGTAAAACTTTGACGTAATGAAATTGCATTATTTTGTTTAACATTAATGAAGGTGAGGAATACCTCTTTTGTATATCCTGTATGTACAGTCGTAATTTACTCAAATAATCCTGGAAGACAGACCCAGAAACCCCTCTTTGAATTGGATCTTTTATGCATACCCATACATAGGTACATGTATTTAAGTACACACCATAGCCTCTTAACGAGTTGTAGACCACTCAGTCAAACACCCTGAAGTACTTTACGCAACAAGCAAATTAATTTGCCTGAATGGGGATCAAATCCGGAACTCACTGCGTAATTGGTACATGTTCTACCACTGAGCTATATGGGTTAAGCTCACGGTTTTTCTCTTCAAAGTTCTCATTTCCAGACTTCTTCATAAATCCCTTGAAAAATAGCTTCTGGGTGGTGACGTGAATAAATAGATTTGACTTGGAAGTATGTCATAAGTTTGTTAATCAGTGTGCACTCATTAGGCCTCCAACCTCTGTTTGAAAATGGATTTCCAATATGCCCTTTCAATTAAAATTTATATGCTAATACCTGGGATATAAGTTCAAAATGGCCATTATTTTTCATAAAAAATGTGATCTGTCACCTCTATGTAATGCCTTATGGACATGGGACCTCTACCCAAAAATGGGATTTCTAATGTTTCACTTTATGGGTGTTGATTTTGCTAGTTGACATCATCTTTGTTGAAGAAAAAATAAGGGATTTTAAATCTATCTATTTGTTCAAAAATAAACACCTCACTGCTGCACTTGCTAAATGGCACATGTACTTTATTCCATCAAGTTTTAATTTTTCTCTATTTGATCTGACATAACACATTTCTAAATGATTGATTTTACAATTTGCTCATTAATACACTACTGTGTGTCGGACTGCGTCCTTGTACTGTTTGTAGACTATTCTATTGATATAAATGTAACTTTTGTTAGCTCTTGAAATTGTCCGTGGTAAAAACAATAAAGAAGTTAACATTTCATTTTTATATTAATAGCTTATTTGATATTTATCATGCATTATTATGTTTTATTTAAACATGGTCAAAGGGAGTCAGTCTCATTAGTTTTTTTACCTCGAGCCCCTCTAGTTTTGGCTACTATGGTAACCATGATGTTTTATTGTTTCTTATATAGATTTAGTCTATACTTAGGTAATATTTTCTTATATAGATTTAGTCTATACGTAATATTTACGTAAAGCAGTTGCGTCATACCTTGTACTCAATTGACCTTTTGCGATCAGAATTCAGGAATTTTGTTTATGGATACTGTTGTCATGTATTTCGTCTTATTGGTGTGATGTCATATAGAAATGATATTAGACATGATAGAATCACGAAATGGCGGACACTTGGCAGTTTTGAGCAAAAAATATTATTGTTTCTTTTATGAAAACCATGGGTCGGATATTTACCAGATATGCCGATTTGACTAGATCATGATTATTTCTATATATGTGCGAAGTTTGGGTGAAATTCATACTAAACATCGATGCCTATAAGCGCCCCCCGTATTTGTCAAAATCAGGGGCGCTTAACCGCTATCTAAATCATGTCAGTAAGATCTTAGACTTGGTATGTGCTTAGAATGGATGTTGATCTAGTCAAATCGAACGTTTTCATGAAAAAAAAATCAATAAAGCACGAAATATAGAAGATAATCTCTCAAAATCAAACATCTAGAGCTGGGCGACCTAATTGTGACGTCACTACAAGATAGAATCCATTCGGTGATCGCAAATCATCAATTCCATCAGTTCAGTAAAAGTTAATTGATGAATTCTTACTGTTAGATATTCACCTGTCATTGACATATACAGTATAATTAACATCAGTTTGACAGAGCATTAGTCTTAATCATACAAGTACAATGGAAAGTAAAACACATCTTGCTGACCATTTGAATAAGCTGCAACAGATTGTGCATTAAGCATCGCTTTATTTTGCATAATTTAAATAAAATCCACTTGATTTTAGCACATGCTTTAATAATCCACTCATAAAACAACATACCTGTACTCTGTAAGCTATTATCAATAGATAATGTATCAAAAGATTGTTTTTCGTCAAATGAAAACTGTCACTGAGATACTTGGGGGAGGTATTTTTTTGGTAAGGATATAGGTCATCCCATTACTTATCATCATGGCAAAATATACTAGATGCGAGTAGAAATTATCTTGACTTACTTTATTAAATATTCAGAATTCAGTACAAGGCATTAACATGACAAAATGTCACCACCTAGTTGCTCACAATATTATTAGTTCAATTATAAGTCAGATTTGAATTTCTGAGAACTTGTAGATGATTTTGGAAAAAATTGGTCAATTTGAAGCAAGTTGAAAAAGACCTTCTTGACCTTGAAAAAATCATTGAAGGTCAAATCTTTTTTGACCTTGAGAATGTCAGCTGAAGGTCAAATCTATAGTCAGATTTGAACCTTTGAGATGTCAATATGAAGCAAGTTAAAAGAAGACCTTTTCGACCTTTTTTTACCTTGAGAAGGTCAAATCGCAAATCAAAAGTAAGATTTGAACTTCTGATAACTGTAGATGATTTTGAAAAAACAAATTGGTCAATTTGAAGTAAGTTGAAAAAATACCTTTTTGACCTTTTTTCAACCTTGAAAAGGTCATTGAAGGTCAAATCTGAAATATAAAGTCAGATTTGAACTTCTGAAACTTGTAGATGATTTTGGAAAAAATTGCAGTCAGTCTAAACAGCATTTGTTAAGTTATTGGAAGTTGTAAGAATTTGTTACAGACGCCACCCGCCTATTGCCAACGGCCACCTGCTGATCACCTACCACCAACTGTCAATCGTCGTCACAATAGATAAAAATAGATAAAAATTAAGATAAACCTTTTATTTCATTAAGAAGATACTTTTTTAAAATCAACCAAACTTTCCTTTGTACAATTACAATATTGAGAGACCTGAACATGTTGTGTTTATGTCGTTTTGTTCCAATGAGGTTCGGATAGATGTTTTATTATATACAAAACAAGTGTCTGATGTGTTTTCTAAAACAATATAGAGAAAAGTATATATGTATATTTCAAATTATAATGTTACCATCCAAAAGATGTCCATTAAATTGACAATGTCTAAAATTTCAGAATGTTTTGATGACTGGTTTAAAGAGAAACGCGTGTTCAAAAAGTTCACCATATCGATACAACTCCTTTAAATGGACATTTTTAATAATCATTTATTTCAAATATATACTATACATACAATAATACAATAATAACGTTTGACAAGGTTAAAAATAACATTATTGTCAAACTGAAAACCTTAATGTAGTTACATTCATAATTTTTACTTTAGAAAGAAAGATTCATTATTTTATTTAAAATGGTCAAGTTGTGTGCTTAATGTGTAGAGTTTGGTTACGGGTCCAGTAGGTCTTTGGTGGATTGCAAAAATGACACACTTGCTTTGATTATTAAAATATTAGTATTATGATCAAAATCAGGGTGACCAAATAAAAGCATGTCTATTTTATCAGAAGAATTACAATCTAAAAATGCACTTAAGCAATCCGCCATATGGAGATCTCTAAGGAGTTGACATCTTGGGTTCATGTATAGAGGGCACTGTAGAAAAAAGTGTTTTGGTGTTTCAGAGCGATGACCACAGGCACATTCTGGTGAAGGTACATTGTTAAAATTATGTGCAAAAAGCTGGCTTTTCAAATAAAGATCTACTCTGAGTCTATTAAATGAGACTTCATTTTTTCTTTTAACATTACTATAAGTTATGAAATTAGTACCATTGAAATTTTCAAAATGTGCCTTGATCCTACGTTTAAAAATTGAAATTCGCTCACAATTTCTTATATCATCAGGTAAAGTATTCCAAGTTTCAATTGCTGCATAGAAAGTAGATTTCTCAAATCTTTTACTTATATCTAAAGGAATATTATATTCTCTGAAAGCTCTTAGAGTTCGAGTTGGAATATTTCTGCAACCATTGAAAACTTGACTTACATATGGTGCTATTAAATTATGTCTGCTTTTGAAAAGAAAAGTACATAAATGAGATTTTCTTCTATCTGGTAACTTTGTCCAATTTAAAATATCTAACACCTTCTCAGTGCTAGAGCCATGCAAAGCGCCAGTTATCAAACAAGCTGCATTATATTGAAGTCTGTTTAACTTTATCAAAGATAATTCAGGAGCACTAGAATATAAGATATCACCATAGTCAATTCGACTCAAAATGAAGGCATTATAAATGGTTTCTAAGTGTTTAGATCTTAAAACATGAGTCAACCTTTTAAAAGGGTTTAGCAGAGCTTGAGACTGTTTTATTAATTCGTTAATATGCTCTTTAAAGGTTAGTTTTTGATCTAAAATGATACCCAGGTGCTTATGGGTATTTTGTTTATCTATTGCGTTAGTTCCCAAAAATAAAATTGGTTCATTTTGAATAACAGTTGTTGGTGAAGTGAAAGTCAAGTCAACCGATTTTGAGGCTTTAAAGTAAATGGACATATCACCCTTTAAATAAATCATATACTTTATTACGAAATCTATAAATATTTTGCTTGTAAATTAACTACAATATATGCATATGACCTGGAAAATCAATATATTTTTGTGTAGAAACAATCTTAAATGGTGGTAAGTATATAAAAATGCCATTCTCAGACATGAATATGAAGTACATAATTTCAATGTTTATTCATAAAAATGCTCAACCTGCAGAATTTTGCATCTTACTAATTTATATAGCATATTGAGATCATCCACAAGTGCAAAGAAAAAAATTACTATTACAAAGACCTTTTTGGGTATTATTTCCATTCTGATACTTTCAGGAACTTTCCGTTTCACATCTCAAGGCTGAGAAGAAATAAGATGTCATGATGTATTTTTTTTCATTTGGCAGCAATACTATATCCACCTCCTAGTAAGAGAAAGATGTAAGCATGTTAATCTATAAACCAAATAATCTTGACCATTACCTCCTTGTAAGAGAAAGATGTAAGCATGTTAATCTATAAACCAAATAATCTTGACCATTACCTCCTTGTAAGAGAAAGATGTAAGCATGTTAATCTATAAACCAAATAATCTTGACCATTATTTGATACTGAACAAATATTTCACTCTAGTTTCGGTATATTGTACCTGTGCATCTTTCACAAGTGATAGAGGAATATTATCTTGTGAAAGTACCACAGAATAGAAATTTCTCATCTGTCTTCAGGAGAAAGCAAATTTCACCAATAGACTCACATTTAGGCATTATAAAGGTACACATTCATATCTAGCTGCAGATAACTCTTTTGATATATATCTTGATCTTTAAGGAACCTTCTTGTTCAACACCTGTTTCCATGACAATGGATGTAGATGTTCATGTAATCTCAATCCCATTAAATGTAATATTGTAATTCCAGTCTGATTAAACATTCTTTAAACATGTTGTCTGTTATAATAGTCATAAGGGTTTAATACTTTGCTAGTAATAGTCCATTACTATTCTTTATAGCATCTTATTTTTATATGGATTGAAATGACTCATATACTTGCAAACCCATGAATATTGCTTCATATTATGGTTTCATAAAGTTGCTGATTGATTTTAAAAATGATTCATTTGTTTACATTATTCTTTATTTGCAAATATATTCAGATAAACGAGAATCATTGCTTTGTCAAACTGCTAGTTACTGGAAGGGACAATGTAAAAACTGTTTGTTTTTTGTACCATTACCTCGGGTATTATGGACAGAAGGTATTTACACAGGTGTATTACATTGTTATCCCATCGAACGAAGGTTGGAAGGATATAGGGAACGCCTCCATCCGTCCATCTGTAAGTCCGTCCGTCCAGGCAATAACTCAAATACTGTTGGCCCGATTTTGTTCATATTTTGTATACGAGGGGTGATCCAAAAGTCTTGGACGTCCTGTCTAATTTTGTTAGTTTTTGATAAAATTAATTTAAACTTTCCAATAATAAAGACCAACTAATTTTATGTAGTTTTCTCGATATTAATATAGTAACCCTGCCACCAGGAACGGTATTCGCACATGGCAACTTTCAGCCTTAAATGTTGCCGCTATTTGACTTGTTTTGTAAGTCTTGACCACTATCTTTCCTTAAATTTTGAATGTTAAACCATGTTAGTTTACTTCCTTTGTTACTAGGCAACCAATTTATTGTGTTTTAATCATAATGTCACATATGGCAATGGCCGTACATGTCAAGTTCTAAGAAAATGACATTAGACAATCAACCCTCATTCTGGTGCCATTTTTGCTCCAAGATGGCTGCTGAAATGCAGAACATGAAAGAAATCAAAGTGGAACAAAGAATACTTCAATATATTTTCACTATTATTGACATTGAGCAGCTACCATATGCACGAGACAGTCCAGATATGGCTCCGTGTGATTTTCTTCCTTTTCTCCAAGTTGAAAGGAGGGTTGAAAGAAAATGTTTTTTACTTATTGGATGAGGTTTAGAGTGCCACTCCAGCAGCATTTGTATCACATAGGCAATGACCATTTCATAAATGTCTTTCATTCATTGGTAAAGCGGTATGAAAAATGTGTTCAAATTCATGGAAAATATGTTGAAAAGTAGGTCTTAATATGTGAAGATGATGATGGCAGATGACACTCAGACTGAAAATCGGAAAATCTCTCATATCATGACTGATGTTAGGTTGTGCACCTGCACCTCAAGTATTTGCCATATTATAACAGTTGTGACGTGATTTGCTATATTTAAATACCGTTCTGGGTGGCAGGGACCCGGTATCAAAAAATATTTAGAAAAGCAGCTAAAAGATATTAGTTTCTGTTGAAACTTATACACAAAGTTGTTAAGATGTTGATCTTTATTATCTGAAAGTTTCATCCCCTGGGGTGTCATAGCCTGTATAATGAAAACTGAAATAAATTATTTTGTATTTGAATTGAATTGATGTAATTATATAAGAAAATAGCAAAGTTAGAGCGGGGCATCTAAGACTTTTGGATCACCCCTCGTACATATAGCTTATGGGGGTAAAAGTTCTACTTGAAAGGCGATTTTCAAAATGGTTGTTTATTTAAAAATGACGGCCATTTTAATGCTGATTTTACAGTTATTTAGGTGCATTATGTAAAATTGTCATAGCAATATGTTTTTGATGTAAAAAGATCATATAGGACATAATAAAGCTAGAAATGTAGATATTAAAGAAGCACATGGCAGCCATCTTGAAAAATGGCAGCCTTTACTCTTTATTTTACGATTTTTGCTATAACTCGAAAAGTAGTGGAGCGATTTTGTTCATATTTGGTATGTGAATACTATAAACAAGGCACACTGTCTAATGACACTTTTGGTAGAAGGCTGCCATTTTGAAAAATGGCCGCCATTTTAACGTATTTTACTATAACTGGAAAAGTAGTGGAGCAATTTTGTTCATATTTGGTATGTGAATACTATAAGCATGGCACACTGTCTAATGACACTTTTGGTAGAAAGTGGCCATTTTGAAAAATGGCTGCCATGTTTGCTATATACTTTGTAAAAATGCCAGCCATGGCTGTTCAATGGGATTTGCAATGCTTTGGCATTGCTGTAGCCTAGTTATCTTAGGGGTGACATCCTATGTTTTTGGATAACCAAAATATTTCAGTGCTCCAGCACATGTTTTTGCTATTTCAGTTTGATCATGTTTTTGAAGATTTTCATGCCATTTATTCATTGAGTCACTTCCTTTTGTACATACTTTCTCACCATATTCATTTGTAATACAGTCTATTTGGTCCATCCATGTTGCCAAGGGCGACCAGTCATCCTTTCCTAGAAAGTTACTGATTCTAGCGAGTGAAGTATTTCTATTGAGAAGTATATCTTCATATCGGACCTGAAACATTAAAAGTAATACATACAACCCAAAACTAGTGCTACATGACTTATAGTCCTACTTATAACTATGTGTTAAATACAATATGGAATACTATGCACAGATCACAAGTCTTTTTCCATGTTTTGCATTACAGTGTTAAAGGACAACTGAAATAGCTTTTCTCAACTTGCAGCTACAACAATGTGGTTTTCTCCATTGTAAGCCCAACGTAAAGTTCTTGCGATAGCCAATTTTTTATAAAATAAATGTTAGATAACTGCTAACACTCATAGATAACGAAATAAAACTAACTGATCAAACAAATTGGCCCCCACGTGATTAGTAACGTCATATATAAAATATAGCTTTAGTTTATTGGTTCCTTAGTAATCACAACGTCACGCCAACCATAGGATTGTTGTGTAAACAAATAACAATACATTTTGGCATTATGATGTTATGATCTAATGGACCAAAACGGGCCACTTGGGGACCAGTGAGAGATCACGTGGGGGACAATAACGTCACAACCAATTCAAATATTGCTTATTAAGCAGCTATAACGATCATTAGAGTGAAATAGTTTTCACACTACTGATGAGAAAACATGTCCAAATACATTTATCAAAAAATTATATTGATTCCTTTATGTTAAAAATACCATTTCATATCTGCTTTAAGATTATTCTACCTTAGCAATGTACATTTAAACTATGAATTTTATATATTCTGGTATGTACATGTACTACAAAGACAAAATGCTACTTTACCTGCAGTATCCTATTTTTGATATGCAATGGTTGAGATTTGACTGTCTCTGCATCATTCAGCATAATTTTACACAAAAGCCTAGATGAATCACTGATATTCATCGTTCTAGTATAGGCATACCCTACAATTGTTCTCCTTCGTGAATCTTGTATACCCCTTGGGTCACGGATGTAATGAATAATCTTAATATCAGGGTCTCTCTTCAGTATCTTGATAGCTGTTGACATTCTTGATCTGATAAGTTTAATGACAACAGTACTGCTACTTTGGCATTGTTTTTGTAAAATCTCTCCACATTTTAATACTTTTTTTCTGAAGCCAATAGGGTCGTTAAAATTTCTAAATTTTGTTAATATTTCAGATCTCAAACCATCTGGATTTTTGTCCCGATCTTTTGTTAAAATATCAGGATTAATGCAGTAGTTTGGTAATTTGTCAAGATACACATTTCGACTGCATTCCTTGTGATGGTAGTCATTGGTTCTACCCAACCGCTTGCCTTCCATACAGTCCGTGAATTCAGTTTCTCTGCTAACAAAGGGTCCTTTGTTTGTATAAACATGTGGGTGCATTTTCTGGTAGTTACAGTTGAACAAGTGATGGAGTTGGGTTATTGCATATGCTTCCTCATACTCTGGTATTGCCCTGTCAAAATATGCACATGAATGAAAATAGTAGAAATAAATCAGTGCTATGTGTTCGTGTGTAAATGCCAAATGTTTGGTTGTTGTACCAACTGTTTTGATTATCTTTGTTTCCAGTTGATCACCAGCGCCCGGGCCCCAGTGTTTGGGGATTTTTAGAAAAAACATGACAAGGAATGTTATATGCAAATTTTTTTCTTAAAAATACAAATACTTAATTGTTATATGCTTATTTACTGTACATGTATTTTTGCCTAATACCCTTTATTTGGATGATGGTATAATAAATATAAATGAAATTGAAAATAATTGAAAATGAACAAATTTTTTAGGTTTTTAGTTTAATCTGATACTTACTTCAAGGATATTATACACAAGTGAAAATCTATGGAATTCCTAAATATTATGAAGCTGGAAGAAGTAAGCTTGAATTTTTTAAAGATTTTGAAACTAAAATAATTTTACATTTAAGAAATTGAGAGTTCATGCTGGAGGAAGTACCTTATTGTTCCATTGCTATGTATGCGTATTGCCCACGGTGTGACCACTTCCCCCAGGTACATGTGCCCATATACACCAATTAGAGGCTCAAACAAGTACTGTGTGTTCGGGAAATGGTGGAGAAGTTCTCCAAAAAATGAGGTACCCCCTCGTTTATATCCCACAATCATTACTTTTGAATGCATCATGTTATTCTGTAATAAAAATTCCTTATTTTTACTTATCTGTAAATGTCTGTGTGGGTATGTATCTGACCTGTATTTAGGGTTCATGGTAACTTAAATTCATATAGCAATGACAGGCCCGTAGCCAGAATTTTCCAAGAGGGGGTTCACTTTTCCAAAAAATTCTAGGGGGGGTTCACTTTGGCAAATTTGGCCAAAAATTACTCAAAAAATAGTCAGAATGGTGAAAAACTGCATGATTTTGAAAGAAATTCTGGCCAGGGGGGGGGTTCGCCCGAACCGATCCCCCCCTGGCTACGGGCCTGAATGATACACTGTTTTTAACATGTTTCATAGGATTACAGGGTTGAAGGGTTCTCACTTGGAAATTAGACCTCAGATTTTTGTGGTATCACAAATACTCCTCTCTGTCAGCCTGTAGAATCTCTGGAGTCTAAAAGCCTAGTGAGAACCCTGGATTATGAGATTTTAAAGTTTTATGAGAGATACTGAGCTTATACTTGGAAAAGGAGATACCAATATACATGTAGGTGAAGATAAAACATTCAAAGGTCAAATTGTCAAGAACAATATTGATAAAATGATGTTTTAAGTAAACAAAAGAATGCCAAGGTTACAAATAAAAATGATATGCTGGTTAGATTTGAGTGAAATATGAAAGGTAATGAACAGATAGTGAAAAATAAATGATCGACATTTACAAATTCTTTTCTCGAGGCAAGCAATAAATTAAAACCTGCAGCATTTGACATAGAAGTTTAAACATACATCCATAAATATTAACTTTGTATTCCATACCTACTGAGGTTCTAGGTACATAACAAGCAGGAATATATAGTGTATCCATGCTAAGGTCCCGCTCCTGAAAAGCGGACTCAATTTGTGTTTTACTCAATTTATAAAATACAAATTATATTTCAAACTTATGCTGCATATTTTAAATTTCAATATCAGTCCATTGATCTACTGCAATATATAAATGCAAAATCTCATATACTTAAATTACTAGGAAAATGTGTATCTTAGTATGTTTTTGAATTTTTGAACTCTATCAGAAATGATGTACCTAGAACCTCAGCAGATATTATATGGAATACATCTATTACAGTATGTATGGTTGGTTTTTTGATACAGGGTTTATAAATCGCAGTACATCGCCCTTATATACTGATTAATTTTCATGAAATTGGTTAATACATGTATATACATCTTTAGATAGAATATATGCGAGTGTTCCATTTTTGGCCCACCCTGTTATATAGAGCAAACAATCTCCTGCAGGGGGGACATTTCATTTTTTTTTTTATATATATTTATTTATATGGTATAGAAAGTACAATATAGTGCTGCGGCTAGGCTTAAAGCATTATTAGCCACATATAGAATACTTATATAAGGGGTAAACATAGAAATTAAACTTGTAAATTTTCACTCTTTAAAACAAGGCTCACTAATCTCCCAATGAACAGGGAGTAAGCATAACAGGGAAATATCACTAGCACTGTACTATGTGTGGCTATATGTATTATTTCATGTGATGCATTTTCAACCAATCAAAGTGTGAGAAACATGATTATAGCGAGATAATAATACAATGTATTTATCCTAAAGAAAATGTAGATCAACAAAGTATGTTCATTTACCTGGTTTGATATTTTTGTTTCCTCCAGTTTATCATTTCTATAATGTAAGGATTGGTCTGCCAACTTTAAATCCCTCTCTAATGTTAATGTTTTTGCTGTAGCATGAACTACTTTGTGTTCTGTAGCTGTTTCAAAGCCTACTTTAGAAGCAGTTTTTCCATATAAATGTTTTGTGAATGGTGGCCACAATACTATTTTTGCCCCTTGCAGATGATGCTTGGGTACCCTGATGCCACCTTTAAAGTCACCTTGATAAAACAAAAACAAAGCAAAATAAATACTGAATACGAGAATTTCCAAGTGATGACATTTTGAGTTGAAACAAATATGAAATATAACAAAATTGTTGCATTTTCAAGGTTATAAGAAGAGCAATTTAATCAGTGCTTTTATATACAGAAATAAGGTTGTTTCAAAGTCCATAATGGCGCAAGTATCATATTTCTAATTTTTTTTAATTTTATATTTTTGGATCAAAATAGGCATAGATCCCGGCCAGATTCTTTTGTAGTAGAATCAGTAGCTCAATAAATATTCCTCAAGATGAGACACCTCAGAAAATTTCAAATTTTAAAATGATGATTGTGGAGCCATTTCTGAAAAAGATGAGACAAATCATACCTCATTCGAAGCATCTTGTTATTCTTTAACTTTTTTATCACCAATGACCGTTATTCAAGCAATACTGCGTTGATAAGAGGCCAAAACAGTGATATTTTATCGCCGGACTCTTGTCTGTCCAAATCTGAATGGTGCTCCCGTGGTTCCAGAAATGTGACGTCATCAGTACAATGATATTTGGACACATAAGAGTCCGGATCTAGTGAAAAATATTCGCCGTATTTAAAGTCAAATAACTGCATCCATAGGTCATTTACTCGAACCAAACAAGTAGAAATAGAAAGATGAAGATCTCAGGTAAAAAATAAGTGCAAATTCTGTCACGGGGAAGCAGGTACCATTTTGTATAAGGAACGTTTTGAAAGGAGGTAACTTTTTTTTGGACTTTTCCAATTTAAGTGACGCATCTTCTGTATTATTCTTTGAGCCTATGAGATCGTACTACAAAACGATCTGGCCAACATCTGTGAAAATAGGCACCAAATCCCCTTTAATTATATTTGTTGTGTAATATTTTTAATATATATAAATAACTTACCATTGTTGAGTGAAAGAATGACTATAAAAAATATAATTGTTATTCCACTTAAACAAATTAAAACTTTTTTCAAATTAAATCCATTTATCAACTTAACCTCCATGTTGAATGAGACTAATGTCCTGCGCTGAATTCTAAAACCAATTTGAAATTATCGAGTACAAATACTGCCAGTATTTTTGATTTATTTTTGCTAGAGCCAACATATGAATCTAAATCAATAAATATGACATGTGTAATCAATGTATACAGCATGCAGAGATGTTCAGGCTAAATGATACTATGAGGTTATATAATGGTTGATTCCGTATATCGTGTTTATACTCAAATGAGTATATGATATATTCATGAGTGACTGGAGGGAACGAGTGAATATATAATACAGGGTGTTCCAAAAGTAACAGGACTGTTGCTGGCATTTTGTTAAATATGCACCAATCGTCTTCAAAATTTTACACAATGTACTTTCATGTAAGACTAAGACTGCAAAGTTTCGACAAAATATATGAAACTCGGGTAGAGTTATGGTTGCTATAGTGACATGACATCACAATACCCGGGACAACATTCCACGCAAAAAGTTACAGAGACATTAAACATTTTGTACATCCCATATCATTTTGTACATGCCATATCAAAGTTGAAATACAACAACTGGTGGGAATTACATTTGTTTTACATTATTTGATATTCCTATGTATCCTCTACTTTGAAAAATAGGCTCCTCTTTGGTCAGTACAAGAGTAGTACTCATTATCCATGACCCAAACACGTGAGTGAACCCATTTGAGGACATGTCTTGGGGGTCGATTGGACAATTTGGAGATGGTCATTCTCATCTTTAAGGTCTTACAGCACTGATTAACATTCCGTTCTCAATATAAGTAAAAATTAGATATTGCATGATCTGAAGAGTATGGTGCATGGTTTTAGACCTCAAGACCTAGCTCCTATTTGGTTGCATGGTTTTTAATGATGACCTGCGAGCAGGCGTGCTATCAAGATGGATGACTGGCTTCAAAATGGGTGACACTAAAATGACACTAAAATAGGCATTTTAGTGTCAATTTTACTGTTTTTTAGGTACAATGTATATAAAACTGAAACAGTGATATGTTTTGAATGAAAAAAATTATATATGATGATAAAGTTGAAAATTTGAATTTTTTTAAAAATGGTGGCTATCCTGAAAAATGGAGACTTAAACATGCTTTTTTACGATTTTTACTGTTAATGAAAAAGTAGTGGAGCTATTTTGTTCATATTTGATATGTGAATATTCCTTAGCATGGCACATTGTCTTATGATACTGTGCCTAGAAGGCAGCCATTTTCCGATTTTGCTATAGCTGAAAAAGTAGTAAAGGGATTTTGTAACACTGGTAAACATGGCTGTTGGATGGGGTCTGCTATACCTAGGTGTTGCTGTTATCTTCAGTGAATTATCTTGTGTACATAATTAGCATCAAAGACTTTTGGACTAAAAGAAATTATGTTCAAACTTACTTGTGTAACAACTAAGTTTGAAAATTACTTAAAGTATTATGGATGCCGAAACGTTTATTGCGTAGCCTTTTAATTAGGGTGGTTGGAGTTCGTGAGTAGGCTATTCACAATTGGAGTATTTCTTTTGAACATGTGAATTGAATGTAAGGTCTTTCTCGGTTTATACATAATCGAGGTATGACAAAGTTACACAGGCAAATGTATATTAAGTTACAATATCTCATACAATATCTCATAGTATTAATCAACATTTTCAAAATTTCAAAATATTGCATTTTTAAGAATAGGTGAATCGTTTAACAAAGTCCTCGTGTTTTACTCTTCACAGGGCCGTCAAGTACCTTCTCCCTCCTTAAAAGGGGGTTATGGTTGGGTCACAAGAAGTTGAGCAATTTTTAATTTCACCTCTTTTATTTCATGTAAAGAATAACAATTGTTTTATTAATATTGATTGTTACGAGCTTACAGTAAGTTCAGGAATGATAAGAGCATGCCAAACATGTCAGAAAAAATGTGAGGCTACTTGTTTATACAGTAAACAGGTAAAACACATTTAGGTATTATTTTAGAACTGATGTGAAAAAGTACACTTACGCTGTCCATCAGCTTAGTAGCAAAGTATTATGCATGAAAAAAACTCTGCAGATTCATTCTACAAACAACTCCCCCTCCTTTACAGATTATGATAAAAGTATAACGCTGTTGGTAAGTCTGGCTTCCATGCCTTAAATAGTGCTAAGCAAAAATTACAGAATTTTATATTGATATTGTATGATGCTCTCGGTCAACTTTTTAAAAAAGAATTATTTCAGGTTGGCAGGTGGCGGGCAGCGGTTGGCGTCTGTAACATTCTTAAAACTTCCAATAACTTAACAAATACTGTTTAGACTGACTTCAATTTTTTTCCAAATATCTACAATTTTTCAGAAGTTTAAATCTGCCTTTAAACTTAAGATTTGACCTTCAATGACCTTTTTAAGGTCAACATAAGGTTAAAAAAGGTCAAAAAGGTCTTTTTTCAAATGAAGCATTTTTTCAAAATCATCTACAAGTTAACAGAAGTTCAAATTTCAAAAAGATTTAAGATTTGACCTTCAATGACCTTCTCAAGGTCAAAGAAAGGGCAAAAAGGTCTTTTTTCAACTTGCTTCAAATTGACCAATTTTTTTCAAAATCATCTACAAGTTATCAAAAGTTCAAATCTGACTATTAAGATTGATCATAATAACTTTGTAGTTACTCAGTCAAAATGATGACTCACTTTGAACTCACTTTTGTTGTTGCCTCTAACATTTACAGGTTTTAAGCTAAATGTATTTTACAAATTAGACTTTAGTGTTGGAAGAGGAGATAAATAGGATCCTTTAAACGGTATTACTTTTGATAACTGATATTCCTTGATAATTTAAGCATTATTGACTTTATAACATTTTATCCATCTATTTCGATATCTTAGGTCTGTAAAAATGTGATAAAATATAAAAAAATTTATATAATAAAATATATACAAATTGTATATATTAATATATATGTAAATGTATGTATACATTGCATGGCAATAGCATTGTTGGAGTAACAGTTAACAGTCTGATCACCCTGTGTGTATGTGTTTTAAATGGCTAATAGTCTGATCACCCTGTATGTATGTGTTTTAAATGGCTAATAGTCTGATCACCCTGTATGTATGTGTTTTAGATGGCTAATAGTCTGATCACCCTGTATGTATGTGTTTTAAATGGCTAATAGTCTGATCACCCTGTATGTATGTGTTTTAGATGGCTAAAAGTCTGATCACTCTGTATGTATGTGATTTAGATGGCTAATAACCTGATCACCCTGTATGTATGTGTTTTAGATAGCTAATAACCTGATCACCCTGTATGTATGTGTTTTAGATGGCTAATAACCTGATCACCATGTATGTATGTGTTTTAGATGGCTAATAACCTGATCAGCATGGCTCAACAGTTAAAGACACAGATTGAGGATGCAAAACAACAGAGTATGGAACTAAGGGAGACATCTATTAATCAACTGAAGGCTCAGTTCGAACGTGAAAAACAAGAAGTAAGATAATTTTCTTTATTTCAAAACATGGAGCCACATTAGAATATACAGGTACATGTATGCTGAAATTTGTGATTTAAACTGAAGCTATGTTTAATACTCAAGGATTGAATTATCATGTAAGCTATTGCTATTTTTTGACAATTAAATCAATTTTGTCTGCTTATGGATTTTGTTAAAATGATTTTCCAACTGGTGGTTGGTGTTACATTTTGTGGTATGACAAATTGATACATATTTGTATCCAAGGATGATATGGTTAATATTCAAGAGTTGAAATCAATCCTACAGATAATTCCATCATACAGATAATCTCTTCTTTTATTCTCAGTTGACAAGCCCTAAAAATATTTTTGCAAAGAAAATAAGGACCACTTGTCTAGAAAATATTGTGCTACTTTCCAATACTATTATGGGCAAGATTATAAAAGTTTATAGTTGATGACATCCTTTCCTGTGTGAAAATCTTAAAAAATTGCAGCCTTCTTGTTTTGTTAAATATAGTACATGTATATAAATAATTATAGCTACCATATCGAGAGAGAATGGGCTTGCAAGGAATATTCATTTAAATTTAATTGTCTGTTTGTCCCGATTGCACCCATGCAACTGGTATTTATATTCTTAGTAAGAGGAGTAAGTCATGATCCTACACATTGATATTTTTCAGGCTATAAGTGCTATGAGGATAGAAGGTCAGATGAATCTCTCAAGGACTGTTATAGAGGAAAGGACCCAGAAAGAAATAGCATTACAAAATGCATTTGCTCAGGCAAGAGCTGAAATGAATGAAAGTGTGAGCGATGTGGCTGATAAAGTCACGTATAGTGTCACATGGGCACCACCTACATCACATAGAGATATAGGAACAATTATTGATGGGGAGGACTCAGACCAAGAAAAAGAGAAAGAGTGAATCTAATTAATACTTAAGTATATGGATGTAGTCAGGTAGTACACCCACAAATGTAAATTTTGGTACCTGTGTACAAAGCAGGGTTAAGTCGCTTTGTTATGAAGAATTTTGATAAAAAAAACTTTGCAACGAAGGACTTTGTGCCTGTGTATCACCTCAAAAATCCTTCTTTGTGGAGTTTTTTTTGTCAAACTGTTACATAATAAAGCAACTAAGTTGCTGTATAAGTCTAATCAATCTGGGAGGGATAAAATTTGGAAAAATCAATTAATGTGATTTTTGGGGGTAAGGGGTATTGTGGAATGCAATAGATGTTTCCGATAAATCGTGCCCTCTTTTGATCCATCAGGGAAACTATAACTTATTGGCTAGATTGATGATGCCATTGGTTGTAGGTAGCAAACTGCCTATTCAAAAATGTCATTAACTTTTTGCTAATTTTATAAAGTACAACCTATGACATCATCAATCTAGCCAATATATTGTGGTTTCTCTGATGGATCAAAAGATGGCACGATTTATCGGAAACGTCTATTGGTTGCATTTTTGGACTACATCTTAATATTAATGTGGCCCCAAAGGTTCAGGGAATCTTTGGTTGTATATTTTTTCAGATTTGATATTAATTATTTAATTAACTGATACATTTCTTGAGCCTGTGATTTTAGTGTAGATATGAGATGATCGGTGTATGAAATATAATAAGAATAAAATATAGACATTTTTATGAAATTTAAATCTTGAACATTTGAATCAGTTGTCTAAATGAGCAAAGTTCTTCAGGGATATAATTAAACCCTCATTTGAAACACACACTATTAAGCCATACAAAGCCAATCTCCAATAGTACCACACTGTACTGTTTGGGGTGTGGTACCATAAAATATTGTACTGCTGACTAAAACAATAACTTACGTAGGCTTAAGCTAAGATTTGCCAAGAGTAGGTTCAGTTTCCAAAAATTTCCAAGGGGGTTCACATTTGACAATTTTGGCCCAAATATGATTAATCACTTGAGAAGTGCTCAAAATGGTGAAAAGCTGCATGATTTTGAAAGAATTTTTGGCCAGGGAGGGGGGTTCGCCCGAACCCTGCGAACCCCTCCCCCGCTGGCTACGGGCCTGTTACGGTACCATGAACACTGCACAACATCATACTTAAATGGTACCGTACAGTACCATACTGTTTATGTACCATATGGTACGTGATTTCAAAGTGTAGATTGGGGGTATATAGAATCCATACATAAAGAAGATACAATATGTGACCCAAATCAGAAGGTTGTGCCACATGAGGTTGAGGAATTTCAAGCCATGGAATTTTCCGGAAAAAGGTTTGAAACAAAATCAATAGATGTAAAGTGCAGACTGTTACTAATTTTAAGACACAGAGAGTCAGAGCCCTTTTGATTTTATTTAATTATCACTATCAGTTTACTCCCATTGTCAAGTCTTATAACAAATAATTTTAGTTTATCTATTTATTTTTTGTTTCACTCAAAATATGAATGTGCTGTATACAGGGTGGCCCAATAGTAGGTTTACAGAAAGAGATTGCTGAATAACTCACTGTAATGTAAACTTACTTTGGAACCAACCTGTATTTTTTGAGTAAAATCAAGGAATGTTGTCCAATTATAAATAGTTGTGGTAAATTGTTATGGTTTCCCCCTTCCCCCTATGTAATAACATTTTTAGACATGCTGATTTGTCTATATTCTAATATTCAAAAACACAACTTTTCTTTAAACAAAATTATAATTTACTCCATCACCTTTACAAGACAAAATCACAATTTACTCCCTCCCCTTAACAAAACTAAATCACAATTTACTCACTCCCTTAACAAAACAAAATCACAATTTACTCCCTCCCCTTAACAAAACAAAATCACAATTTACTTGCTCCCTTAACAAAACTAAATCACAATTTACTCCCTCCCTTAACAAAACAAAATCACAATTTACTCCTTCCCTTAACAAAACAAAATCACAATTTACTCCCTCCCCTTAACAAAACAAAATCACAATTTACTCACTCCCTTAACAAAACAAACAAAATCACAATTTACTCCCTCCCTTAACAAAACAAAATCACAATTTACTCCCTCCCCTTAACAAAACAAAATCACAATTTACTCCCTCCCCTTAACAAAACTAAATCACAATTTACTCACTCCCTTAACAAAACAAAATCACAATTTACTCCCTCCCTTAACAAAACAAAATCACAATTTACTTGCTCCTTTAACAAAACTAAATCACAATTTACTTGCTCCCTTAACAAAACAAAATCACAATTTACTTGCTCCCTTAACAAAACTAAATCACAATTTACTCCCTCCCTTAACAAAACAAAATCACAATTTACTCCCTCCCCTTAACAAAACAAAATCACAATTTACTCGCTCCCTTAACAAAACTAAATCACAATTTACTCACTCCCTTAACAAAATAAAATCACAATTTACTCCCTCCCTTAACAAAACAAAATCACAATTTACTTGCTCCTTTAACAAAACTAAATCACAATTTACTTGCTCCCTTAACAAAATCACAATTTACTCCCTCCCCTTAACAAAACAAAATCACAATTAACTCCCTCCCTCAACAAAACAAAATCACAATTTACTCCCTCCCTTAACAAAACGAAATCACAATTTACTCCCTCCTTTAACAAAATTAGATCACAATTTACTCCCTCACTTAAATCATTCTTTCACAACTGTTTATTTCCATAACTGTTGTTGATTGGACACCATCACCAAAAGAATTTTAATGTATGGTCATTTTAATACCGAAAACAATTACAGTAGAACCTGTATATCTGAACACCTGGCCAATCCGAACACCTCCTAATCTGAACACTTTTTTCAGTCCCATTTTTTCTTCCCATTGACTCCCATGTTAAAAAACCTTGAAATGTGAACACCTCCCAATTTGAACAGTGAACAGTCATATTTGAAAAATGCATCTGTCTAACCTGAACACTTTTCACAAAATTGCTCAAATATTGTCATGATATGAAAACTTTGGAAAAAAATCTTGAATGGTCTCACTAATAATGGGGCTTTCCAGCATGACTTGATTCATTTTAATTGAATTTTCAAATTTCTGGAATGCCATAAAGTTATGTGGTCAAAAGAACTATAAATATTTATCGAGAATGTGTTCACATTTCTTCCGAATCCGGAATATTGCGAATGCAAAAACCTTGAAATGTGAACACCTCCTAATCTGAACGCTTTTAGTCGGTCCCAATGGCATTCGGATTAGACAGGTTTTACTGTACTCTGTTTTTGTATCAGTTGATCCTATTCTGCCATTTGATATGGACGGTGGTAAAATACACTGAAAGGTCAAAGGCATCTATGTGATATTTATATATTGACTTTCCATCAGTATGAGCTTCAGTTTTAGTTAAATTTTCAATAATCAAATAATGGCATAGATGATTTAATCAATGTTCAAAATTAGTAAAATATTAAATCATTTTGTTGTTGGCTTATAAACCCATACATAGCTATTAAGTAAAACAAACCATACAACATACAGACTAGGCAACAGTTTTAATATGCAAGTGTTGACATACTGCTATAGTCTCTAACTTTTTGTGGATGGTGGTTAGTGTTCGGAGTTTGAAGGTTGGCGTCTGCATCTGGACATGGCATCTGTAAAAAATGGCAGGTGGTGACATATTGTGTGATTTAATTAACCCTTATATTATTATTTTGGCACACACACACACTGAAACTTTATGGTTGGTAGGCATCCATCCAACCATTGTCTGTCTGTCTCGTTCACCTCTCTAACATTCCACCAACATTGGTGTTACAGATTAAAACCAATGTTAAGTTGTATGCACATCCATTTTGTGTTAACTCGTAGCATCTGTTTAACTTGTTATTGTCATTTCCTAAATCTTTTGGGTATCCAAAATATTTCAGTGCTTCTGTCCATGTCTTTTCCTAAGTTTTCGGGTATCCAAAATATTTCAGTGCTTCTGCACATGTATTTGCCATTTCAATTTGATCAATTGTATCAAGATTGAAACGCCATTTGTTCATCGAATCACTTCCTTTTGTACATATTTTCTTGCCATCTTTGTATGTTCTACAATCTATTCGGTCCATCCACGTTGCCAAGGGTGACCAGTCATCTTTTCCTAGAAAGTCACTGATTGTCTGAAGTGAGGTATTTCTATTGAGAAGTATGTCTTCATACCTGATCTAGAATAGAAAATAGAAAAGGATGAAGTTGAACTCAAGAATCCAGATTTCAAAATTCATAAAGGAGAATGTAGCATACACTGTAATAACAAAAATACATCATAAATGTGTGATTTTCAACAATTAGTCATCACCACAAGTCTACAGTTAACCGCTTTTACATGAATCTCAGTCTAACATGTTTCTACCACCATTTGTGTGAATAAGTACCCTGCTCCCAGAGTCTAGTAATAACTTGACTGAAGACAAAGAGAAATTGAACGAATGCAAAGGGTGATAAATATGAATAAAAGTTACTTCACCTGGAGTATTCTTTTCTTTATATTTGTAGGTTGTATTTTAACTGTCATTGAATCATTTAGCATAAGTTTACAAAGTAGTCCAACTGATTCACTTATATTCACCAGTCCAATGAATCCATACCCTGGTGTTATTCTCCTACGTGAATCTTGTATACCCCTAGGGTCACGTATTAAATGAATGATTTTAATATCAGGGTCTCTCTTCAGTAACTTGATAGCTGTCGACATTCTTGATCTGATAAGTTTAATGACAACAGCACTGCTACTTTGGCATTGTTTTTGTAAATGGTCTCTACATTCCCATACTCCTTCTCTCAAGCTAAGAAGGTCGTTAAAATTTCTAAATCTTCTTAATATTTCGAATCTCAAACCATACGGATTTTTGTCCCGATCTTTTGGTAAAACGTCAGGATTGATGCAGTAGTTTGGTATTTCATTGATCAACACATTTCGACCACATTCCGTGAAGCGAGTATCGTTGGTATCCTTAGAAATACATTTAGCAAGATCTAAACCTTTGATAATAGGCGGTCCATTTGTGGTGTATACATGCGGGTGGATTTTCTGGTAGTTACAGTTGAACAAATGATGGAGTTGGGTTATTGCATATGCTTCCTCATACTCTGGTATTGCCCTGTTAAAATATATACATAAATGATTATTGTGTGTGAATATTTAACTAGATAATATGCTCATAAATTAAATGGGTTTAGGTATTTACAAAAATGTTAATTCAGTTAAAATGTGAACTTGATTTTATGCTTAAAGCAGTTTTGTGCCTGCATTCAGATTTGTATACTTTTTTTTGATTTAAATTTGTAAGAACGAGCAATTTGAAATTGTCAAAATACTGACAGCAGTTATGCCATGGATCGAATCCCGATAGAGGTACATGGTTATGCCAACTAAAAATGAAAGGCCAACTTCAACAGTGATTCAACAAATGTTAGTTTGACTTGTGACTGGAGCGAGTCAATTTTACTTTTATGCTTCCAATTACAAATATATATCTATTGGAATTTATTAAGAGACCGGGATTATATCTACATTATTTTGTATATAGGTTGTGGGATTGCGAAAAGCATGGGAAGTGTAGATAAATTGCTCTCCCGCGGTGGCTATCCAGGCCCCGTATATCGCGAGCAAGTTCCCACTGACATCGCGAGCAATGAGCTCATGTTAGAAGCGGGGCGTTGAGAGGTATGATAAAATATAGTTATAGTCGAAGAATGTCATTGTCCTGCAATTGAAATAACCATTGTACTATGAAATAAAGTTGTACTGATTTAACTTACTAAAGTTTCATAGAATTTTTTTTATTTCAATTTCATCAAGGCCCCGCTTTTAACATGAGCTCATTGCTCGCGATGTCAGCGGGGCCTGGATAGTCCCCGTGTTTCCTTTAAAGAGAAAATCTAATTATTCAGAAGGCTGGAATCGGAAAAGAGGGATTCCATAAAGTTACGGCCGAGTTTAGTACCTTATTGTTCCATTGCTATGTATGCGAATTGCCCACGGAGTAGCGACTTTCCCCATGTACATGTGCCCATAGATACCAATCAGAGGCTCAAACAAGTACTGTGTGTTCGGATAACGGTGCAAGAGGTCCCCAAAAAATGAGGTACCACCTCGTTTGTAACCAAGAATAATCACCTTTAATTTATTCGCGTTAACCTGCAATGGAATTAAGAAGGTACATGTACAGTACATAAATAAAGGAATAGTTTGCAATAATAATGGCTGCCATTTTGAATGTTGGAAATATTTTGGCCTCCGAAGTAAATGGTACCTTGTATTCGTTCAGACGATGTAAATCATTTTGAGTCGAGGAATAAAAAATGACAGACAGAGCTAAACTCATCAACAAACTTGACAAATAGGCTAAATTATTATGCCAAGCACACACTCGTATTATACATTATATAACTTGTAGCTCATTAGACAATAAATTAAATAATTTAGATTTCTGGTCTCAAATTGACATCAACCACAAGCTTTTACAAATAGCATATAGCTATTTCAAATACTAATATCTAAAAAAGAAGCATCAATTTAGGTGTAGCCTTGTGTATTTTCATTATTTTCATATGAATCATACAGACAAGTTATGAAATGATCGCAAATTAAAAAATCTCATATACTTGTTCTGCTATCTTGGAATGCCCCGGTGTATCTTCAGCTTCACTATCCAATGATCTGTCTTTGAATTTTGGGTCATCCATGAATTCAAAATCATCCACTTGCTGTAGTTTCTTTGGGTCAGTTTGATCCGCCTTGCCCCCAATTTCATTGCCAAATTCTGAAGAAGTTTCTAACTTAAAATATTTGCCTTTTGGAGTTTATGCTTTAGTTATCGGCAACGTTGTTCACATGGTTTTCTTTTTTTGCTGATTTAGGGGTATCCAAGGAAATGAAAATTATGTTATTTCTTGTCAACGTTTATTGAGTTGGGTAAATTCAAAAGAAACATAGTTAAACAATTTTGAGAATGTGAAAATAAAACACCTATGAAAAATGATAAAAAGTGATAAAAATGACAATATCAACAAAATCGATTAATTATTTGGTGAGATATCTGCGTTAACATTTGCTCCGATGAATTAAAAAGGTGATTTTCTCAAAAATGTCATTATTAAAGCTGTTTTAAAAAATAATCAGTTTATATAGGAGTTGTTAAATCACTGATATCAAGAAATACGACGCAATATTTAATCCAAACGTAATATATCAATTATAGTAAAAATGCCTATATACAATACAAAGGCAAAGGCAGGTGAACTTTCCAATTCCCTCAGTGATTTAGATATTTACTATAAGTGTGAGATAATCTAGTGAATATTCCAGCAGAAACACAAATTGGGGTTCATTTTATTAAGGCGAATCAATTCTATTTTGAACTGATTAAGCAGCTCCAAGATGTGGGTCACTTCTTCAGACATGTCAGACGGTACGATGCCTAAGATAGCTAGCAACTTTTCCAATTTTTGGACTCATTCCTGTTGTATCTATTATTAAAAATCCATAAAGTTCCGATATTTTAATCTTTAATCCAGGAAAACTATTTCTTAGATTTATTCTATGTTCTTTTTCTATTTTTAATATCCGCTCTATATTTGAATAAGTAACGCTTCATAGTATAGAAGCATGCTTTTTAAATTAAATCAAACGTTTATATTTTAAATTGAATGAAACCTATGAAATGAGTAGAAACGAAACATACTGTAAATGACTCACGATTGTGTAATGATAAAGAACCTAAGTACACAAATGCCATTCCACTCAGAAAAATTATTGCTTTTGCAAAACTAAATCCATTGCTCTTAAAAAACGCCATGTTGTAAATGTCAGTGACTATAACATAAAGTTATCCAGATTGCGAAACCAAACTGAATCCATTGCACATTGAAATGTTGGCCGCTACTGAATTGTATTTTTAAGGCTAATTGATCTGTAATAGAGTGGTGTGACCTAAAATCAATAGGCGAATTAAACACAATAATGAGTTAGCTTAACAAATTCTAAAGATGCAATTTGATGATGAAGTTAGCTTAAATGTTCGGTGGAGACGTTATTTTGATTTTTTCAATCTCTGTGGACTTAACATTTGTTTGTGCGTCTTGTGTCTGTCATTATAAAGGTCTTTATGTCCCCACCAAGAAGTGGTAACATGTTATTATAACCCCCATTTTTTCGATCGGCGTTTGGTATCGTCATTCGAAGTCGGTATCACATAGTTGCACTTTTGTATCCATTTGCAATAACTTACCAGGCCGGGTAACGTCTTTTTGTCATATTGATGCCGTTTAATCCTATACATAGGCGTAGCCGGGGGAGGGGGGGGGATGGGTGCGATCGCCTTGCTTATGCTCCCCCCGACTGTAAACCGAAAAAATGGCGATCGCACCCCCTGACTGAAAGCTGACTACGCCCCTGATTCATTAGCATATTTGTTATTTATACAACTACCATCTTGATATTTAGTATGCGTGTTTAAGAAAAAAGAACAAACAATCAACAGGCCCGTAACCAGGATTTGCCAAGGGGGGGGGGGTCAGTTTTCAAAAATTTCCAGGCCGGGGGGTTCACATTTGACAATTTTGGCCCAAATATGGCTAAAATCACAAGAGAAGTGCTCAAAATGGTGAAAAACTGCATGATTTTGAAAGAAATACCCTGCGAACCCCCCTGGCTACGGGCCTGATCAATAAGAAACTATGGAAAGCCATTTGTGTCCGCAAAATTGAATAGTTCCGTGAGCTGTGCAGTACACTTTTCAAGTTGTTTTAAATTACTTTTTGACGAATAGATGGCGTATTCTCAGTCAACATAGATCATTGTGTTGATCAGATATTGGACAAAACTTGACATAGATCGAAATATTTTTGAATATTTATTTTAATCTCTGACGTGGCCTGTTTGAGCACCGGTGTCAAATGTGAGATCGAGTAATTATCAATCAGTTGGAAATACTACTAGGATGATGAAAAACAACTCTTCGTTTTACTAAGAACAGTGAAACGTACTTTAAATCGAAAATATGAAAATAGAATAACATTAAAGGCCCCATGCAAAGTTTTAAAAATATATAATTTAATAAATATAAACCATTGGACATTTCCACAGACTATACACGAGACTACACCTCGTACAGACAATTACCAATGTTCAAAACTGTACCGATTGCTCTATTCAAAGCATCATGATTGAGTTCTCAAAGCATGGAAACTGCTAATGATACGATTGTTTGGTGTTTGGTGAACGATACAGTTCATGAATATATGTAGGCCTCCACCCGGGGCCTCCTAGACTTCCGTCAACGCGAACATCAGTTCTGACCTCGCGAACTACGTTCCTTGCGCAAGGAACCTAGTTCGCGAGGTCAGCACTGATGTTCGCGTTGACGGAAGTCTTGGAGGCCTGATATGTATATTTAGTTTTGATTGGGCTAAAAAGTCTTCCCATCAAGTGATAGTGTCTCGTAGATGTCCAATGTTCAAGTTAGAGGCATTTGGTTGTGTACAGGGTGGTCCAAAAAAGCGAACCCCTGCAACGGGCTATGTTTTCCTTAATACTTGCATGAATAGACTCATATTATCACATGTAGAGAAAGGTCTAACATTTCGGTTGATGCCATAATTTATTCTCAGTCTTAAATTTTGGAGAAATTACAAGAGTTTAACAAACATGCCTGAAAATTAGATAGTGTAGAAAATTTTACAAATGCGATTCACGGAAATTGTTGAAACACATTGGATGATCTTAAACAGCTTTCAGTTAGAGATGCAAATTTAAAACCCTACCATATGACAAAAGGGACACTATTTAAGCAGAAAACACATCTCACACTTCCAATGATCATTTTGAAGCATTTTTAACTGTTCAACATTTCAGGGGTATGTTACCTACACCAACAGTTAGAAGAGGGCCTCTTGTGGAAGGAAGTTGCCCCTTCTGACCAGGAAACTGAGGAGCCCTTCATAAAATATCTTTAAAAGATCAAAAGAAAATCCAATATTCCATGTTTCGAGCCATATTTCATGAGAATTGGTTCATGATTAATGAAGAATTGACATTTCAAGATCATATAGGGGTATGTTCACGAATTCAGTGGAAAATGTTAATAATACAATAATTTTGCAACTAACAAAGGCAAGATGCTAGTTTTAAGCCATAATGTGCGTGATTCAAAACCAAACAGTCAGAAAAAATTAGTTCTTTAAGACTGCAGCTTAAAAAATGTCAGGGGAAGGGTGTTCAAAATCACATTTTATCCATTTTTAGTAATATTTGGTCAGGGCTTATAATTTCTACAAATTTCAAGACTAAGAAAAATGTATGGTACCAACAATTTTTTTAGACCTTCCCCTACAACATGTGAAAATATAAAAGAATTCCTGCTAGTAATAAGGGAAATATGGCCCGTTGCAGGGGTTCACATTTTTTTGGACCACCCTGCACTTCCTCTTTGAGAAACCCCTGGTTTACTTATTTTTGAGAGAACCTTTTTTGAGGAAGTCCATTTCCTCATTGAGTAAGATCTGGCATATATCCTCTATGAGTAAACCTCGACCATGGCACATTTCCTATTTGAGCAAGCCCTGTACTGAGATGTTTCCTATTTGAGTAAACCCTGGAACATTTCGTCTTTGAGTAAATCCTGGAATATTTCCCCTTTGAGTAAATCCTGGAATATTTCCTCTTTGAGTAACCTATGTTACATTTCCTCTTTGAGCAAGCCCTGTATGTTTCCTGCTACATTTCCCCCTCGAGGAAGCTCTGGTTCATTTCTTTCTGAGAAATCCTTGGTACACTTTCACCTTGAGTAAGCCATGTTGCCCTTATGGAGATCTGAATAAATACTTTCTATTGACGTAGCGTTGTTCTATCACGTCTGTAGCTTTTCTATATTTGTTCCTTTCAGATCATTTGTTATAGTTATTTTCTTCACATTGGGTTTTACAGTTTGTGTATGCCATACCAATATCTGAAATAGAAATCAATATTTTATGACGTGCTTTTTATTTATCTATTTTTATGTCTAACTGTATCTCATTAGATGAAATTCCTCTCAAAAGTTATTAGTAACTTCATTTTTTGGGTTTTGTATATTTTTTTGTGGATTTCCATCAATGGACCCCCTCCCATACTTCACTGTTTGAAGGGAGGTGGTTGGGACCTATGTCCAATAAAGTACATCGCGATCAAAATAAATATTTATGGGTTATTTAGTACAAGCGAAGAATGCCACCCAAGGAGTGGTACCCCAAGAGTGATACCCTGGGAGTGGCACCCCAAGAGTAACAACCTTGAAGTGGTACCCCAAGAGTCAACCTAAAGTGTGGTACCCCAAGAGCGATACCCTAGGAGTGACACCTTGGGAGTAACAACCTTGAAGTGGTACCCCAAGAGTCAACCCAAAGTGTGGTACCCAAAAAGTGATACTCTAGGAGTGACACCTTGGGAGTAACAACCTTGAAGTGGTACCCCAAGAGTCAACCCAAAGTGTGGTACCCCAAGAGCGATACCCTAGGAGTGACACCTTGGGAGTAACAACCTTGAAGTGGTACCCCAGGAGTCAACCCAAAGTGTGGTACCCCAAGAGCGATACCCTAGGAGTGACACCTAGGGAGTAACAACCTTGAAGTGGTACCCCAAGAGTCAACCCAAAGTGTGGTACCCCAAGAGTGATACCCTAGGAGTGACACCTTGGGAGATGTACCCCAAGATAACAAAGTAAGAGTGAAGAGTTAAAGTAAGATTGAAACACCACGAGTTGTAAGCCAAGAGTTTTACTCCCCAGCAGTGACCGAATATTGTTTTTTTGTCACTGCAATATTTTTGGTTTTTGAGTGTTAAAGTTCTTATAAAGATGCATTGATTATTATACATTAAATACCGTACCTGTGTACCATTTGAAGCTTTTGGTTCAATTTCTGCCATTTTGAAATTTAGCAATTTCAGGAATTCGTCTTCATAGTGACCGGCCTTTACCATTTTAATGGGGAAGACTGGGTAAGCCTGAGATTTCCAATATGAGACACTAAACGAGAAGCCGGACATGTCGATTGCATATTTTCTGCCAGCTAAAATGATAACAAAGATAGAAATATATACAATGAGAACTAATGATGTGATTTCGTCAATACCATTGTTTGAACACGACATTTTATGTAAAGGATGCGTCTATACCCATTTTATGTACATGGTGTGCCAATACCTCTTGTATGTACAAGGTTCGCCAATACTCATTTTTCATATATGTGCATGATGCGTCAATACCCATTCTAAGTGCATGATGTGTCACTATCCATTTTATAAATCTATGTGTCTTCAAGATGGAACAAAGTTTACACGAATTCACGTATTTGAAAAATGAACTCAATAATTTAGTAAGAAACTGGATGTAACATCTCCAAAGAGTGAAAAATTGGGGAATTTACCAAAGGTTCTGGGCCGATATAAAGATGGCAGCACCAACAGAATCCTGTATTATCTTTTTCTCTCATCTTTATTTAATTAAAAATTATTTCTATCGACCTTTGCCTATGGAATTTACCATACCTCTTCAGCAATTCAATCATAAACTTTTATTCTTCAGAGGGAGGGTGCGGCGATTTTGAAGAAAATTCAACTCATTCCCCCCTCCGTTTATTCTGTCCCATCACTGGGCGAGAGAACCATGCGAGTGAATTTCAAATTGAAATGTTAAAAATCACGCTGAGCATGAAGGTCTCGAGTACAATTCTTTATGTCTACACTGACAAAAACTAAAATCACGCTGAAAAGATATAAAGTATCTCGCGGTGGGCATACATTTGCATAGTTGATGAGTAATACAGTATGTCCAAAACGTCTCTTTACAATACAATGTCTAGTGTAAAGTGACTTTATGGACGCCTTGTAGAACTCTGATGTTGAATTGGTCCAGGCAAAATATAGTTTTACCTCTTCATTTTAATAGTTTGATTTTGATCAAGAGAGTGCGTCATCCATGTACGTAAAATCCAAAAACATTTAGGCCTCCTTGTCATGGCCTTCCTCATCGTTTAAGTCCACATATGTTTACCACATCGCGTATATTTTTTTATCGGTCTCCCTATATGTTCCTTGGTTTACGTACTTACCACTCCATCCGCTAACAAACTTTATCACTTTGCCATTCTTCACCACGGGGCCTTCAAACATCATATTCGCCACAATACCAACGGGCCACATGGATATCTTGTTTGTATATCTCATCTGAAAATGGAGAAATGCGTAATGTTATTCATTATTCATTATTGGCGGAATGGTTCAGTACAAATATAATAACTTTTTCCATCAAACTGACTCGATAATTCCAAAATAATGTATTCTACAGTGTAAGCATATGTTCCGAATACAGCAAGCAATTCATATAAAGATTTATATAAAAAATTATCTGCATTATTTTTTATTTTTTTTGAAAATTGGAAGTACAAGGTGACACAAAAGCCAGAACCCGCAAATCTGTTCTGCTGAATATATGGTTCTGGTTTTGGGGGTCACCCTGTATAGTCCGCCTAGTACACTGTACCTCTTCAAAGATCCTTATATCGTAAGTATTGTCATCGTCTCCAAAGTATATAACTCCAGAACCATTATGATTTTCCTGCAACCACTTAAGACAAACATTTCGCTGTGACATGCCCCTACTGGCTCTGATCCTAATTGACTTTTGAGCGAGATATGTCAGTCGAATGCCCAACCTTCTAACCGTGGCGGGTAACAAAGTAGTTGGCTTGTCGCTGTCTTCAATTATAATCCAATGGAGGTTGGGCACCAGGCTCAATGTTTGTGCCAACCGTGTTATATCTGCCATTCTCTGTGGTCGATCGTAGGTGGGCGTAATCATATAAATCCAAGGTAAATTAACGTTGTCCGTTACCCGAGGTCCAAATTGAAGGATATTGGACTTTTTATCATGAACATCAAAATGTTGAGTTCGATCATCTGGTATCGACGTCCCTATAGAGCTACTTACACTATCAAGTATTTCAGCCATGTTTTCTATTGGTTCTCTTGTACCATGCTGTCTTTGTCTCATCTCAATTGTATATTTCTCCCTTGATATTTTGAATATCACAAACATTACTGTTATAACAATGAAAAGCAATACATTTGGGGCCTTATAGAATCTCATACCTTTCCTACAATACATTCCCATGGTATATCCTATGCTGAAAAACAAGGAATGAATCGCTCAGTTTTATTGCATCAATAATGAAAATGATTAAGAATATAAATACAAGGTGGTCCACAAACAACTCACAAACTAACATTGAAGTATAACAGATATTCCATAGATAATGAGGTCAACTATGTACATTAGTACATGTGCAAGTATTATACAAGAACATGTAGTGGCGGATCCGGCGGGGGGGGGGGCATGGGGCCCGCTCCCCCTCCCCTAAGTTGGGCCTCATGGCTCCAAAAAGCAGGCCTTTTTGGTCATTACTGGGCCTTCTAAGGCCTTATTTTTTAATTTCAGGCCAAATTTAGAAGAAAATGGGCCTCAAAATTTCAAAATTTGGGCCCACTTTTCAGTTTTAGGGGCCTAATATTTCTCTGACCTGAAATTTGCCCCCCCCTTGTTGGTTCCTGGATCCGCCCCTGATACTGTACTTGTACATGTATGACGTATGGCGTATCAAAGATAATTCAATTCCAAGTATCTTAGTTTATCGCGGGTGTCCCAAAAAGTGAGCCGCAATAGATAAGCCAAATTCTTTGAAAGTTTTCACTGAGGAATAATAGGGTATTATTAATAAGCAAGTGCTATAACTAAATGTATGCAATATTACTGCTGAATGAAAAAATAAATAAAAAATATAAGAGATCGGTTACTATGAGTCTAGTCAAATTAAAAGCAGCATGCAAAAATATCCAATGATCAACAGAAAAGTCACCCATTTCAGTCTGAAAGAAGCTTTTTCGACAAGTATTTTTTCAGCCATAGATTAATTAATTAGTTATTCCCCTGGGGCGCTCTCGGGTCATTACATTGGTGAGCCAACCTAACCAAAGTATCCACGTGTAGTTTACGGGTGTGTAGGCGTTAATTACGCACGTGTAGACGTGAATTTACGCCCGTGCAGACGTAATTTACGCCCGTGTAGGCGTTATATAATATTTTGTGGTGAATAAGTGACAGTAAAATAAAAAACAAAACACTTAAAGGATTTTCAACTAGACGCCATGGCGTATTGCCGTACATTACAGCTACGTCACTGTACTCGCATCTGAGTAATTGACCATGTCGATTTTTGTACACCCGCTGTACGTCGTTCGTAAATCATTAATATGATACAAAAACTGTTTTCAACAGATTCGACATATACAGAACTACGAATTAAATATTAATACGTCCACGAGACTCCTGGGAGTGGTGTGTAAAATGTATCCGCCTTCAGAAATAGTGTAATCTTAATAAGTTCTGTGTTGCTCTGATTTGTGAATCGGCTAGATCTCAATGCCCACCCTAGCCATATGCATATGTATTATTTTCTCGGAAACTGAGACATGGATTTAAGCCCTGCAGTCAGTGCATTGTGTGCTGAATCATTCCTCTTGAAGGTGTTGTTTTCAAATCTTTGCGTGACCGTGCAGCGGGAATGCAAAATTTAGGAAAACGCCCGAGTGGAATGAATCAGTCACCATGCATCAAGTCTTGGGCTTAAATTTTTTTCACACATTTTCTTTGCACTCACCTAAGAGATACGAAATCACCAGAACATATTTCAATGAAACTATTTACAAGGGTCAAGTTGACACTTCGACAACCATTCAGCGAATGTCTTTGGATGCGGTGATTGGTTATATAATGCAATACAGTTATATGAAATATTGTGTTCGGATTGGCTTCCCTAGCTATGTGTGATATATCAGCTACGCTCAATGATTTTGAAACTTATATTAAAAGTGTACTTCTTTATTTCGACTCACTGTGTACACGACCTTTGTATTTTAATATTCATTCACATCATGATTGTATTATGATCACGAGTAGATCATATATTATCACAATGTGTACTTGTAGAGAATGCGATATTTAATTTTATAGCACGATTAATGTGTTATCTGTACAATAACAGCTATTGATATTTCTGATATTATTGAAATCCGTGTTATATTTTCCAGAAAATCGTTTATCAAACTCATATGCGTGTGATATCGTTTATCTCACGCATATCCGTGTGATATCACATTTGCATTTCGCGCCACAATATTGTTGGAAATTAGGTCAGATAAGACATGGATCTCGATGAACACAAGGAAGCAAGCCATGCCTTAAGCAATTTTGATCCTGGATACAGCAAAATGCAATCTAATATGCATCATAAGTCTGTGTCAGATATACAGTCTGCAAGTAGCTCATCTACCAGCCAGAGCCCGTTAGGATCACTATCCCAGAATGCCAACATTTCTGGGGGTACTTTTAATATTATGGTCCCACCAGTTCAATCACATTCACATAATAACACCTCTCGCAGGGGAGGCTAGTAGTGAGCATTGACTCGTCACAGTCGCAATAGTCACAATAATATTAACTGTTATAAAGCTGACATAAAACTGACAAAAAACAAAGTTAACATGTTCATTTTATTTACTTTTTCTCGTGATATCATTTTATCGCCTCGTAGATTCGCTCACTCGTGTTGATATCGTGTTGATCAACTCGGCGATAAAAATGATATCACTCAAAATGATGTGATATTCTGTATTTATGTGAAAATGAAGCCCTCTGATTGGTCAGTTCTTGCTACTGAGATTGTCCCCGCTGATCATCTCCGTCGCAATACAGAAAATATTGGTACGGGAGGGACAATCTCAGTAGCAATACAGAGGATCACGCGATAAAAACGTTATTGAATGATTTGAAGTGCAATACAGGATATATTCTGTCTCGATATTTTGTATTTGCACTCGACTTCGTCTCGTTCCAATACGGAATTTCTGGAGCTGAATAAATCCTGTATTGCACTTCAAATCATTCAATAAGTTATATTTCATTACTTTAAAGCTGAATACAGAGGCTAATAAAATTGCAAGCAAAATGGCATATTTCCAGTTATTAACTGTGCATAATAAAAAGGTTAATAATATCAATTCGATATTCATGCATTCTATAAACTGTAAAGTCAACATTTCATCTGGAGTATATACGCGAACAATACCCCTGGTAATACGAGTAATGTGTGACGTCATAGCGGCGGTCCGTAGTAATGGTGGACCATAATTGAATATTCAAAACATTTTGGTGAGTTTTCATGTTCGAATCGTAGCTCAGAACAGGTGTAATATCGTCGAATACACCCCTTAGGGCTAGGCACAAAAGCTTTCGAACCCCTCACTCCCTTCGGTCGTTCGGGGTACAGAAAACGTTTGTGCCTAGCCCAGAGGGGTGTATTCGACAATATTACCGTTGCTCTTCGGTCTATATTTCTTAAATATGGAAGTGAGTAAAGATTTTTCACGGGGTTATTTGAAATTTGTTTTCACGCGTTCTAGTCCTTTATTTTTACAAGTTTGTCTGAATCACAAACAATTTTGACTGTTACATAATGGATTTGGTTGGATGAAATATCAATTATACAGTTTTTGTAACGTTTTGTAGCCTACCTGTGTACATATTCAGTTAATCCAGTATTGAATTTGTGACATGCGTAGACAGATGGATGTGATTCAGAGATACCTAGGATATGCTTGTAGGTATTTATTTTTTATTGAAGCAGATTCTCACTGACTTCTTGCCTATTAGAGATATGACCATACCGCACCCTCGAATTAATACCCTTTGCAAAAATTCGATCTCGCTTCTTCATTTGATTCAACTAACATTGTGCTTGGGGTAGGTGTCTTATTATGAGAATCATCTTCACTTTCCATTCTTCTAATTAGTATAGAGATTTTACTTTGTAATCCCAATCTCACTCGGAGTTAATATAACAGCGTCGCATACATTTTTCCAATATTGTCTCTTATATGTGTGATGCTGAACAACGTATACACCCTTATCGAGTTACAACTTGTATAGTAACAGTTTTTATACACGCCAAAATAAAAACAAGTGATTTTCGGAAGCAACTAGGCAGAACAATACGCTCCCTGAATATAAAGACATGGATAGCTCATGTTCATGTGAAGTTACACCTGAGCAGTTTTAAGCTGTACAGTTAGGACAGGCAATCAAAGTTAATTTTAATGTAGGTTTGCAAGCTGATTTTCAACGTCGGCCGTAGTTGATTTTTCGCTTCACGTTCCATTGGTTGTACGTTTAGCGTAGATCATGAAAACCAAACACATCCAAATCATGGGGATCCATGGGGATCTAAAAGGATTTTAAAGATGGCGTTGTCAGTGACACGTATGTCATATCCATGTGTAATATAGGAATAGAAGCTAGTTAAATCCATGGTGTCGTAGACACCGCAAATTGGTATATACTATATAGCATATCATTTATAGGCATACATACGGATTATACATTTTATAGCAAACAAGTTTTTATGAGTTTGTGTTTGTTTTCCCTGTACCTCATTTAAATATGAATAGTACCTGCAATTATTCCTTTCATATTTAAATGAGTTGGTCATGAAATAGTAGGTTAATCCGGTAGCCGACAGGCGTTAGTTGCATTCGCGAATACAAGCTTAGCTAACAAACCCAATAAGTGGTCATAAAACCATAAACCTGCAAAAATTGATTTGGAGATAATGATTTGTTCACACAGTTCATCAAGGTATTACGGTGACATACGACTGATTCTGTCAGAAGGAAAACCCGACATTAGTTAACAATATGTTTCACAAGAGAACTAGTCATGTAATGGCATGTGATACCTTGGATCAAGAGTTCAGGTACTGCACCAAGGCGTGTAGGGCACATGGAGAGGGTGGAATTTAAAATAAATAATACATTTTTGCTATTTTTATCTTAAAACCAAATGGTGACGTGTTTAACCAAGGGCGTTACAATACCCGGGAATTTATCGGTTCGTCCAGTACTTGTTTGTGATAGCGCCCTCTGTAGGTCACTGTGCTTATAGCCTACAGTAATTATGGCAAAACTGCCCTAATTCACGTCACCACACTAGTCAATGGGCAAAAGGGCAAACGCCTGACTTTTTATCTCGAGTTATGGATTTATGTGGCCTCACTGGCCTATCTGAGGTTCTAAAGCTATGTCTAAGCTACATCTTGACACTAAACTCAATAGGGGCCAATCATCTACTTTTTGAAATAATTGGTCAATTGTGACACTACCCCCTCTCTCTGCAGACACAAATTGAAATTCACAAAAATGAAGGCAAAATTAATACGCCACTTGACTCGAAATTTTCCTTCAGATAACCCAAATAAACGCATTTTCAGTTGAAATGGCATGTTGCCATTGCAAAAAGATTACAACTGTGCCTACATACTAGCTTACTGACTCGTCATGATCACAATTGTGTTGGGACTACATTTATTTTTGAATACTACTTTTTTCTATTCAGCGGAAGTGACGTATTAGGGCATTTTGGCCTAATAGCCACATGGTTGGATGATTTCTGGCTTTAAATTGCGTTTTTCCTATTTACTAGAGTTTTTCAAGTAGTTTTGTGCAGTTTAAGAATATTCTGACAGCAATTATGAAAAATATGGCTTCTTCATTACCCCTGGGGTCATTTTTCCAAGAACCCAATGGTTTTCCTTTAAATTTGACTAGTTTTTCATTTACATCATGAAATCCACTGCCTGATGGTGACATTTTTCAGTATCGTGTCAAGAAATTGAGTATTTTATTGCATATTGCGATTTTTAGCCAAAATCACTGAACCGTGAACAAGAAAATTGGACAAATTTGGCCCACTTTTTGGCAAAATCTTACTAAAATCATCACTTTTTCATACTTTATTCCATTCAACAACCTCCTGATTTGAAAAATGATGACAAATTTGATCAGTTTTGACTCTGGCCTAGAGAATTGGGACTTTTGAAATATTTTTTAGCTCGAATGTAGTCATTCAGAGTGAGCAAATACATCAAAAATTGACACTTAACTCACCAATTTCTGACTGCACCCCCGATATGTACCTTCTTTCTATACTGGAAACCATAAGATGGAAAATTCAATCTTTATGATGAATAGCAACTCGTTGGCTTCCCCATTTACGACAACAAATGACATTTAGGGGTCACTAAGGACAAAATTGTAGCCAAATATCGTCAAAATCAGTGTTTTTTGGGGTAAAAAGCGAAAACTGCTGATTCAGCAAAAACATTTAATTTGTTCATGAAAATTCCCCTTTTTGCCTCCGTCCAAAATATGTTTCACACTAATAAACTTCAATTCTGGGCGATTCTGAGTAGTTTTAAAAAATTTTGGTCACTTTCACATGTGACTAATAATAGCCACATGGTTGGATGATTTCTGGCTTTAAATTGCGTTTTTCCTATTTACTAGAGTTTTTCAAGTAGTTTTGTGCAGTTTAAGAATATTCTGACAGCAATTATGAAAAATATGGCTTCTTCATTACCCCTGGGGTCATTTTTCCAAGAACCCAATGGTTTTCCTTTAAATTTGACTAGTTTTTCATTTACATCATGAAATCCACTGCCTGATGGTGACATTTTTCAGTATCGTGTCAAGAAATTGAGTATTTTATTGCATATTGCGATTTTTAGCCAAAATCACTGAACCGTGAACAAGAAAATTGGACAAATTTGGCCCACTTTTTGGCAAAATCTTACTAAAATCATCACTTTTTCATACTTTATTCCATTCAACAACCTCCTGATTTGAAAAATGATGACAAATTTGATCAGTTTTGACTCTGGCCTAGAGAATTGGGACTTTTGAAATATTTTTTAGCTCGAATGTAGTCATTCAGAGTGAGCAAATACATCAAAAATTGACACTTAACTCACCAATTTCTGACTGCACCCCCGATATGTACCTTCTTTCTATACTGGAAACCATAAGATGGAAAATTCAATCTTTATGATGAATAGCAACTCGTTGGCTTCCCCATTTACGACAACAAATGACATTTAGGGGTCACTAAGGACAAAATTGTAGCCAAATATCGTCAAAATCAGTGTTTTTTGGGGTAAAAAGCGAAAACTGCTGATTCAGCAAAAACATTTAATTTGTTCATGAAAATTCCCCTTTTTGCCTCCGTCCAAAATATGTTTCACACTAATAAACTTCAATTCTGGGCGATTCTGAGTAGTTTTAAAAAATTTTGGTCACTTTCACATGTGACTAATAGCCACATGGTTGGATGATTTCTGGCTTTAAATTGCGTTTTTCCTATTTACTAGAGTTTTTCAAGTAGTTTTGTGCAGTTTAAGAATATTCTGACAGCAATTATGAAAAATATGGCTTCTTCATTACCCCTGGGGTCATTTTTCCAAGAACCCAATGGTTTTCCTTTAAATTTGACTAGTTTTTCATTTACATCATGAAATCCACTGCCTGATGGTGACATTTTTCAGTATCGTGTCAAGAAATTGAGTATTTTATTGCATATTGCGATTTTTAGCCAAAATCACTGAACCGTGAACAAGAAAATTGGACAAATTTGGCCCACTTTTTGGCAAAATCTTACTAAAATCATCACTTTTTCATACTTTATTCCATTCAACAACCTCCTGATTTGAAAAATGATGACAAATTTGATCAGTTTTGACTCTGGCCTAGAGAATTGGGACTTTTGAAATATTTTTTAGCTCGAATGTAGTCATTCAGAGTGAGCAAATACATCAAAAATTGACACTTAACTCACCAATTTCTGACTGCACCCCCGATATGTACCTTCTTTCTATACTGGAAACCATAAGATGGAAAATTCAATCTTTATGATGAATAGCAACTCGTTGGCTTCCCCATTTACGACAACAAATGACATTTAGGGGTCACTAAGGACAAAATTGTAGCCAAATATCGTCAAAATCAGTGTTTTTTGGGGTAAAAAGCGAAAACTGCTGATTCAGCAAAAACATTTAATTTGTTCATGAAAATTCCCCTTTTTGCCTCCGTCCAAAATATGTTTCACACTAATAAACTTCAATTCTGGGCGATTCTGAGTAGTTTTAAAAAATTTTGGTCACTTTCACATGTGACTAATAGGCAAAACTGCCCTAATTCACGTCACCACACTAGTCAATGGGCAAAAGGGCAAACGCCTGACTTTTTATCTCGAGTTATGGATTTATGTGGCCTCACTGGCCTATCTGAGGTTCTAAAGCTATGTCTAAGCTACATCTTGACACTAAACTCAATAGGGGCCAATCATCTACTTTTTGAAATAATTGGTCAATTGTGACACTACCCCCTCTCTCTGCAGACACAAATTGAAATTCACAAAAATGAAGGCAAAATTAATACGCCACTTGACTCGAAATTTTCCTTCAGATAACCCAAATAAACGCATTTTCAGTTGAAATGGCATGTTGCCATTGCAAAAAGATTACAACTGTGCCTACATACTAGCTTACTGACTCGTCATGATCACAATTGTGTTGGGACTACATTTATTTTTGAATACTACTTTTTTCTATTCAGCGGAAGTGACGTATTAGGGCATTTTGGCCTAATAGCCACATGGTTGGATGATTTCTGGCTTTAAATTGCGTTTTTCCTATTTACTAGAGTTTTTCAAGTAGTTTTGTGCAGTTTAAGAATATTCTGACAGCAATTATGAAAAATATGGCTTCTTCATTACCCCTGGGGTCATTTTTCCAAGAACCCAATGGTTTTCCTTTAAATTTGACTAGTTTTTCATTTACATCATGAAATCCACTGCCTGATGGTGACATTTTTCAGTATCGTGTCAAGAAATTGAGTATTTTATTGCATATTGCGATTTTTAGCCAAAATCACTGAACCGTGAACAAGAAAATTGGACAAATTTGGCCCACTTTTTGGCAAAATCTTACTAAAATCATCACTTTTTCATACTTTATTCCATTCAACAACCTCCTGATTTGAAAAATGATGACAAATTTGATCAGTTTTGACTCTGGCCTAGAGAATTGGGACTTTTGAAATATTTTTTAGCTCGAATGTAGTCATTCAGAGTGAGCAAATACATCAAAAATTGACACTTAACTCACCAATTTCTGACTGCACCCCCGATATGTACCTTCTTTCTATACTGGAAACCATAAGATGGAAAATTCAATCTTTATGATGAATAGCAACTCGTTGGCTTCCCCATTTACGACAACAAATGACATTTAGGGGTCACTAAGGACAAAATTGTAGCCAAATATCGTCAAAATCAGTGTTTTTTGGGGTAAAAAGCGAAAACTGCTGATTCAGCAAAAACATTTAATTTGTTCATGAAAATTCCCCTTTTTGCCTCCGTCCAAAATATGTTTCACACTAATAAACTTCAATTCTGGGCGATTCTGAGTAGTTTTAAAAAATTTTGGTCACTTTCACATGTGACTAATAGGCAAAACTGCCCTAATTCACGTCACCACACTAGTCAATGGGCAAAAGGGCAAACGCCTGACTTTTTATCTCGAGTTATGGATTTATGTGGCCTCACTGGCCTATCTGAGGTTCTAAAGCTATGTCTAAGCTACATCTTGACACTAAACTCAATAGGGGCCAATCATCTACTTTTTGAAATAATTGGTCAATTGTGACACTACCCCCTCTCTCTGCAGACACAAATTGAAATTCACAAAAATGAAGGCAAAATTAATACGCCACTTGACTCGAAATTTTCCTTCAGATAACCCAAATAAACGCATTTTCAGTTGAAATGGCATGTTGCCATTGCAAAAAGATTACAACTGTGCCTACATACTAGCTTACTGACTCGTCATGATCACAATTGTGTTGGGACTACATTTATTTTTGAATACTACTTTTTTCTATTCAGCGGAAGTGACGTATTAGGGCATTTTGGCCTAATAGCCACATGGTTGGATGATTTCTGGCTTTAAATTGCGTTTTTCCTATTTACTAGAGTTTTTCAAGTAGTTTTGTGCAGTTTAAGAATATTCTGACAGCAATTATGAAAAATATGGCTTCTTCATTACCCCTGGGGTCATTTTTCCAAGAACCCAATGGTTTTCCTTTAAATTTGACTAGTTTTTCATTTACATCATGAAATCCACTGCCTGATGGTGACATTTTTCAGTATCGTGTCAAGAAATTGAGTATTTTATTGCATATTGCGATTTTTAGCCAAAATCACTGAACCGTGAACAAGAAAATTGGACAAATTTGGCCCACTTTTTGGCAAAATCTTACTAAAATCATCACTTTTTCATACTTTATTCCATTCAACAACCTCCTGATTTGAAAAATGATGACAAATTTGATCAGTTTTGACTCTGGCCTAGAGAATTGGGACTTTTGAAATATTTTTTAGCTCGAATGTAGTCATTCAGAGTGAGCAAATACATCAAAAATTGACACTTAACTCACCAATTTCTGACTGCACCCCCGATATGTACCTTCTTTCTATACTGGAAACCATAAGATGGAAAATTCAATCTTTATGATGAATAGCAACTCGTTGGCTTCCCCATTTACGACAACAAATGACATTTAGGGGTCACTAAGGACAAAATTGTAGCCAAATATCGTCAAAATCAGTGTTTTTTGGGGTAAAAAGCGAAAACTGCTGATTCAGCAAAAACATTTAATTTGTTCATGAAAATTCCCCTTTTTGCCTCCGTCCAAAATATGTTTCACACTAATAAACTTCAATTCTGGGCGATTCTGAGTAGTTTTAAAAAATTTTG